TGGATCGTTCAGCGCAGTCACAGCGTTCTCATACGCCAGCTTGACAGGCTCTTCGTAACCCTTCTGGTTCACGAGATTCACCAAATACGTGGTGCCATACTTCTCAATCATGCGGCTGAAATGCTGTCTCGTAGGCGTGTAGTCGGTCTGCCCGAGCAGCAGGTTCGGCTTGTATCTGAGATTGTTCATCTCTGCCCAGTACACAGGAACAGATCCTCTTGTTTGCAAATAAGTGTACACTTTGTCGCCCTCGGGAGTGTGAACAGCCAAAATCTGTTCTGTCTCATTAAAATTGGCAACATTACCCTCAGAGTCGATTCCACGACGGAAATACCGCGTTCCGGCTCTCATTCGCGACCGTCTCGTGATCAGACCAAACGTGACGGGCTTCATATTCAGAGTCGTGTGCACAAATTTGGCGTATCCGTAGATCATCGGCAGCACAAACTGGTTTGCAACCTTGATGAGATCCTGCGACACAAAGTAGTTCCACATATACTCCGGATCGTAGCCCGTTTCGGCCTGTTTGACAAACGGCTTCGTCAAATCGTAGTCGTACGAGAACATCAGCGAGGCAGACTGGAGATGGGACTCCAGCAACTTCAGGTACCTGCTCTCGTCCTCGTCAAGGTGGTACTTGGTAGGACTCAGAGGAAGCATCTTGAACGAAGTCATTTTAAACACCTTCTTGCCACCATACAGCTGACCCATCTCTGAAGCCTCAGTGACGACTAACATATAATGACAGCTGTGGAGATGGATGAGACCGATTATGCCTGAGATGGGCTGTGATTTCTTGTCAGACACATGTTTTTCCGCATCCACAAGCGCAATTGTACCCGCGTTGGTCACCAGCAGAGCACGCGACTCGCCGCCACGTGCCGCGTTGGCCACCAAATACCCGTCAGCAACCTCCGTTAGCGACAGAAAAGGAGCACTCATACAATAAAAATAATTACGTATTTTCATTACAAAATTAAACTTTATTTTGGTGGAACACACCCTTGCACCACTTAGTAGTCCAGAAGCTTGCGTTTTGGGAAGCTCTTGATTTCTGGCACTGGGATCTCGGGAACAAGATACACCATGCCGTTGTCGTCGATCCGTTCGCGGTCCTTTTCGCTGATGTTGTAAATTTCCTGAATGTGTGTCTTCAGCAGCTCTCTGACCTCGACAAAGTTTTTCTGGATCTCGTACGCCTGGGCCATCATCGACCGTCTCACAAGACCCTCAATCAGTCTCAAAGCCTCAGGTTCGGTCTGGTTCAGCCTTTCAACCAGCCTGCCAATAGAATTGACCAGATACTCCTCCTCGTAAATGGTTCCCTTCTTTCCCCTGGCCTTTTTGCGCTCCTCTCTTCTTCTGTTTTTAGCCGTTCTCCGAGAGGCTCCTGTTTTGGCCGTTCCCTGCGTCTTTCCTGTGTATCTGGTGAAGAACGACTCTCTGGTAGACGTCTCAGACGCGGCTATAGACACGTTATCCGGCGCGTCTGTCTCGCCCATCTCGCCGTAGTAGGCATACGGGTCCTCCTGTTTTTTCGACCGCAGTTCTCTAAGTCTGCCCAATTGCGAGTTGATCTGGCCCTTGCAGTCTGCTAGTAGCTCGGCAATCACACCAAAACCCTCGCCAAGAGCCGGGTCGACCACAGACTCGATAAGCTCTTTTTTATTTTCTTGGTAGCACAGCATGATGGCATGTTCGTACTGGTGGTTCTTGCAGTACAGTTTGAGCGCCTCCTCCATATTATCAAGGAATTTGAACTCCAGGTAGGCCGCCGCAGAGTATTCGTGGTTGTCGGTAAGCAAGGAGACCAAGTGCGTGCAAGTGTCTGTGAGTAGCTGCTTATCATGGATAGCCAAAGACACTGCCTGCTGCCAGTTTCTGGCCAGCACGTAGTTCTCCAAAGCCTCCTGTCTCTGCGACAAAGTCTCGTACGCCAGAGCGGCGTCGGCATAGTCTCTATTCTCGTGCAAATAATCTGCGTACGCCCTCATGATAGCGTCGAACTTGTCTTTTTTGTATCTGAACAAGCCCAGGGCGTGCGTGTAGAGATTGTGTTCGACGACAAAATCGAGGATCTCGGCGTCGATGTCGGGCGAGTCGTCTGGAGAGATCTGGACAAGCCAGTCGAGAGCCTTTTCGTATTTTTTGAGGTAGCTGTCGATCATGAATTTTCTGCGTAGCTCCGGTTGCACATGTAGTTTCTGCAAAAATGGGAGGTACTCCTTCGGGTCTTTTTGCGACTGCTGGGCAATAACCAGTGCGAGCGGCACATTGTAGATGCCCAGCGCCTCGTCATACAGCATGTTGACGTCCAGCAGGAAACACAGGTGCTGCACGGTTTTTTCGATCTCGGACTCGTTTTTGAACGTGCCAATCAGTTCCAGCGCCTGTGTGGTTTTTGGAGGGTGTTGGCAAGCATAGGCTGTGATGATCGTCTGCAGGTACTTGCTCTTGTACGGCGGAGTGAGCAGAACTGCCAGAATGGCCTCGCAGATCTTGCTAATTTTTTCCTTGCCCCGGGGCTTGACATAGTTCGACACTCGCAGCTGCTCGAGCAAAGACGTGGCGTTTTTCTCTGTTTCCTTGTACTTTGTCTCAACAACGTCCTCCTCAAGCAGCGTGGACATGAACAGCTCGATATAGTCCGGCCGTTTGATGTCCTTGATGAAATGCTCCACGTTGTTGAAAAAGAGCTCAGAGTCGTAGTCGTGCAGGATATCGAGCGCGATTCTGTGCGTGCGACACGCGACAAAGGCCTCTGAGTACTTTTTGCTCCTGATAAAGTGCCTGACCTCCGTCAGAATCATGATCCGCGGATGGATCGTCTCGAGGTTGCCACGCGGAGCCTGGAGCACTACGCTGGCTTTCGACGGGATCGCCGTCACCAGAAGAGCACCGCGCTCAATCATTCTCGTTCTCTCGTCGTCCTCGTCCTCCGAAAACGGCTGCTGGTCGATACTGCTGTCCAGATGGACAAACTTCAGCTGGTGTTTGGCCGTGGTGTACAACAGATGAGACTCGGTGACCAAAAACGACGTGACTCCAGAACATGCCAGCAGAGAGTTGACGTAGAGCTTCCCGGTGGACGAAAGACCAAAAGAGACACGCGTGTCGTCAACGTCGGTGACCCAGAAGTCTGTGCACAGCTGCGGGAACTGCGTTATCTTGGACGCCTCGAACGTGCCCAGGTCGAATATATAGACGGACCCGTCCGCCGTTTCGTACGTTAGATGCTCGAAATCGACACTGGGTTTCACCAACACCGGTTTAGGCGGGCCTGCGTCGACCACAGAGGCCAGAAGCGGCTCGTCAGGGTTCGAGACATCGAAAATGGCGATTTTCGAACACCGCGCCGTGTCAAACAGCACGGCCGCCATATTGTCGCCGGCACAACAAACCTGCCGCGGACGGTCGTGCGGGCCCGCAAAGACATCCTTGGTGACGGTGCTGCGCAGCTTGGGCTCGCTGCGCTTGATTATATTTTCCAAGTCCACGGTAGCAAAACTCACACTGTTGTTGCTCAGAAGCGCAAACAGCGAGTTCGAGCGCGCGCTGGCAACATCCACCAGATTGTCCTCGGCCCACACTTCGCGCAGACTGGCCGGCGGAGGAACGTTGGCCATGCCCAACGGCGTGATCTTGCACTCTGTTCCGTCTGCTACCAAAACCATGCCGACGTCTGTGGGCGGACACGTTGGTCCCAGGCCCATGGAGTACGCCATGTCGACAATCTCTATCCTCTTGTTTGAGCCAAACATGATTCGCATTGGGTTTTCGGGGTGGAACTTCATGAACTGGATCTCCTCGCCGGCAGCAGTGTATATTTCCTCCTTCAGGTACCAGTGGTAGTTCTTGGTCGTCCAGATCTGGATACGGTCCAAAAGACGGAACGCGAGCATCTCGCTGCTGCACGACCAGTCCAGCGACAACACTCTGGCGTTTTCTTCTAGCCGCGTGTTGAACTCGCCGTGTCTCAATCCATTTCTCTCAAAAAAAATTAATTCCAGCACCTGCTCGTTTATTTCCTCGTCGAACCGACGGCGCGTCGAGGCAATCAACGAGCCCTGCGGCTTCCACGACAACGGCTCCTCCTGGCCGTCGACCGCCTCAGAACAGGAGTCGAGTTCTCCGTCGCGCGAGTAAACACGGATCACCCTGCGCTCGTGTCCTGGCTCGATCTCCTCGACAGAGCTCAGAGAAAGATACTGGCTGTCGCCACGCCATGAAAGGTTGCATTTAAAAGTCTCGTACGACGACAGATGGCCGTGTTGCACCTCTGCGACGGTAGGATCGTGCAGGATAGCATTGTCGCTGTCGATGTTCAACCCGGCATTCTTCAGCGCCAGACGCTCTCTTTCCAGCTGTTTGGCGCCCTTTCCCTTGAATTGCGTCTCCTTCTTTCCCCACCCAACAGACACTTGCGTGCTGACGTTCACGTCGTTCGGATTCAGGCATTTCTCAGCAATTGGCTCAAACGTCCTTGTCAGCAGCACCAGGTTGTTTTCCCCGGTCAAAACAGCCAAAGTTTCCTCATCGGGCGACCATCCCGCACACTTGATCCCGCTGTCTATAGAGCCAACAATCTCAACGATCGTGGAGTCGGGATCGGGGCTCGTTGCGTCGTACACTGCGCTTATAATGTCTCCCTGTTCAAAGATGACCACGAGCTGGCAGCTGTCCGCAAAATGAGCAAAAGAGACCACCTTGTCAAGGTCGCGAACGGGAAGCGACGCAAGAAGGTTGACCTGGCCCGTCTTCATGAACTGCTGGACCTCCAACGTCTGGCTCTCCTCAGAGCCCATCACAATGGTGAGAGAGTCGGAGACGACGTCAAAAACAGAGTCGACAACCTCCAGATCCGGGTAAGTTCGCGACTCTGGCGCCACCTGACCAACGTTGAGGATTCTAAGGTTCTTCATTGGAGCCCGTTAGTGCTAGCAACAAGAGCTGAATATATTCTAAATTTTTTTTTTCTTGCATGACATAATCTATATACATTAGCGTCTCGTAGACAGAGCTCTGTTGGCCCACCGGGTCTCCACCACGCTCCAATCTATGCAGTTCCACACGTTTTCGAGGTATCTGGCCTTTCCAAACACACCGTAGTCTCTCAAATAGAAGGACGGGTTGTTTCCGATGGCCATGAGCGGCTCGTAGACATACTTCAGCGGATCGTATGTGTCCTGTGCCTGTTCCAACGAGGGAATGTCGATTTTGTACATGCTGAAAGAGCCGTCGTCCTCCTCGGACGACTCCGATTTTTGTTTCTTGAAAGCCCTGGCATTCGAGATCTGTCCTGCTCTGAAATGGTGAGGAGTGCCGTGGTTGTAAGTGTTCAGAATCGCCAGCGAGGAGAATCTCGACAGGTCTCTAGTTTCCTGTCCCAATTCGGGCTGTCTGAATTTGTACACCAGCCACGTGTATCCGTTTCCTTTCACTGCCTTTGCGGTGGACAACAGTAGAGTCTTGAATTCTTGCAAAGAGCCGAACGAGGCCTCGATCTGCGACGCGAACTCTGGACGAGGAGCGTTTTTGATTTCGGAGAAAACGTCTGGCGTCTTGTAGAGCTCCTCCACGCCCACCTGGGCAACTGTATTGTCTTGGTTCGGTTTCAGGGACGAGAGGAAATAGTACAGGTTGTAGATGGCAGAGGCATTCTGGAATACAAACTGCTCTGTAGGTTTCTTCGCCGTCTTGGACAGTAGTTTGTAGTATTTGTCGATGGTCGGGTTGTTAGTGGTTATGGCAAAGTCCTCCATCAGGTTTGCAGGAGACGTCTTCTGTCCCTTGAGGAAGACGTTCTTGTTGGAGTTGTATTCGATGAAAGCGGACTCCAAACTGCTTCTGAGCGGCGACTCAGATATTCCATACTTTAGATCGTCCAGTCTCAGTGCCGTTTGCTCGGTCCAGATGTCCTTGAGCACGGAATCACTGAACAGTCCAGGAATACCCTTGTTTTCAGAGTTTTCCACTATAGACAGGGACGGAAGAGTGATCGTTGCTCCCACCGGCTCCGACTGGTTGTCCACGCCTAGCTCTACCTGGCGGCACGCCGCACGGGAGCTGAACGCACGGCGAGCAAACGGCAAACCACTTAGCGTCTTTCTCAGCATGGAAGGGATGTCGAGAATATGAAAAATTTAGTTGTAATTTGCACGACAGGACAGAAAAGATAAGCGACGTGGGGCTGATGACAGGCTGGGAGGAGATACATGGGCCATTGAGTGGGACGGAGGGGCCGGGAGCAAAACGGGGGACTGGAAGATGGTACGCGGGTATATCCGGGGATGGACCCGGCGACACAGAGCGCGTGGTGTCGCACTGTATAAAAATATCAACATTACCCGGCCGACAGATGAAAGGCGAATTTTGCAACGACCATTTTATTGGGAAAGCTGTAAAATAAAACAAGTAAATAGCAACGGAGCGGGCTTTGTTTTTGTTAAAACAGTTTTAGATTACTCTTTCGAGACCCTTGCGTATCCCACCCACCTTCCAACAGCGGTGGTCCGAGTTTTAACAGCCATCAGTAACAGCGGGTAACTATTTTACGCGTTGCCACTACGTTCCGATACAAAAGGAAAAAAATAACAACCTCTATCCAAAGCAGCGAGCCTTTGTCCGTTCCGGTCAATCCACGCGTTTGATACATTGACAAACATATTTGCTAAAGCCTTCGCCTCTTGTCACTGCAATTAACGCCCCGCCACCTAAGTATGGCTGAACAAGAAGCAGATATTGAGTCCATCATCGACAGACTTCTCGACGTGAGAGGTTCCAGACCAGGTAAGCAGGTCCAACTACACGAATTTGAGATCAGATACCTATGTACTAAAGCCAGAGAAATTTTCATCAGACAACCTATTCTGCTTGAGCTTGAGGCTCCTATCAAAATTTGCGGTGATATTCACGGGCAGTATTACGACCTTCTACGGCTGTTCGAGTACGGTGCCTTCCCGCCAGAGGCAAACTATCTATTCCTGGGAGACTACGTTGATAGAGGAAAGCAATCATTAGAAACAATCTGTTTATTACTAGCATACAAGATCAAATACCCAGAGAATTTCTTTATTCTTAGAGGCAACCACGAATGTGCATCCATCAACAGAATCTACGGTTTCTACGATGAGTGTAAGAGACGCTATAATATCAAACTTTGGAAGACCTTCACAGATTGTTTCAACTGTTTGCCTATTGCGGCTATCATCGATGAAAAGATCTTTACGATGCATGGGGGATTGTCACCAGATTTGAACACCATGGAGCAAATTAGAAGAGTCATGAGACCTACAGACATCCCAGATGTGGGATTGCTGTGCGACCTGCTGTGGTCCGACCCAGACAAAGATATAACTGGATGGAGTGAGAACGATCGAGGTGTCTCCTTCACTTTTGGACCAGACGTGGTTTCGAGGTTTTTACAAAAACATGACATGGATCTCATCTGTAGAGCGCATCAAGTGGTGGAAGACGGATACGAATTCTTCAGCAAAAGGCAGCTGGTTACCATATTTTCTGCTCCAAACTATTGCGGAGAGTTCGATAACGCTGGTGCCATGATGAGCGTTGACGAGAGTTTACTGTGCTCGTTCCAGATTCTCAAACCTGCAGAAAAGAAGAAATACGGCTACGGAACACAGCCTCCGCCAGGGGTCCAGTCTCCGAAAAACAAGAAGAAGCCTACCAAATGATTATCAGAAGCTTGATGCTTACTATGTCGCAATCCACATGTTCATCGTTCAGGAATGAGCCAGCTACTGTCATGTGTTCCATCGAAGCCCACTTATACTTTTTATTACCTATTTGTGATTTAGTTTGTCAATGAAATGTTGTTAATCAGTTGGGTAATCAACTATACGGGCACTATATACTTAGGTAGCAATATTTTTAGGACCTAATTTCGAACAGGGTCACGTGAGAAAGCACAGGGTGAGCATCTCTGCTTTTCCCTCAACTGTCTCTTACAATTTTTTGTTTTTTTATAATTTAGGAAAGAATTTTGGATTTGCTAACCGATTATGTAATGCCCACACTCCCCTGCAAAAAAGAAACCTTTGGAAGCCACTGTCCAAAGCGAGCTCAAAAATTTTTCACTAAACCTTTAGACATTTACACTCAATATGGTTTTAGTTCAAGACTTGCTACACCCTAGCGCGGCTTCTGAGGCCAAGAAACACAAGCTCAAGACTCTTGTGCAAGAGCCAAGATCATTTTTCATGGACGTGAAGTGTCCAGGATGCTTGCAAATCACCACTGTTTTCTCGCACGCCCAAACTGCCGTCACCTGCGATTCCTGCACCACTGTGCTGTGCACGCCAACTGGAGGTAAGGCCAAACTGTCTGAGGGATGCGCATTCAGAAGAAAGTAAACATAGAGGAGAAGAATACCAGCATAGACGAGGGTGTGTATTATAGTGAAACACCAAACGAACATTAGTACTGTTGACAGACAGTCACAAAATGCTAATCAGTATACGTATGTTACGTATGTATTTGATAATTACTATATGAGGTTTGGACTGCGAGTAGTGAAATCATAAAGAAACTCATTAGAAAATGGAGTTGACCAGGTCACTTCCTATTGTAGCACCGGCACCAAAGATGGCTGCGTTACCGAGTTTCGACCCGAACTTCTTGAACACGGCGTTATGCTGTCCTCCCTGGGGCTGTCCGGCGACGGTCATCGGCGTGTACTCTTCAGGCTGTTGTTGCGGAGCATACATTGGAGAAATTGGTAGCTGCTGGTATGGCTGTGGAGTTGCGGCAGGGGTTGGAGCCATTCCAAGTAGCTTGACATAGTTTGCAGGAAACATTCCGGTCCTGCCACGGAGGCTGCCCCTCCACCATGCGGTGCTCACTTTTTCAATCACAGTGATCTTATCTCCTGCTCTGAGTTCCAAGTCTTCCGGCTGTTGGGGCTTGTAGTCATAGAGTGCCTCGGCATACTCGGCTGGGCTTGGAGAAGAACTGGATTGGGCATAGGCTGGTGGAGCGGCAGGCTGCAAGTTGTCTGAGGCGCCCACGTCCTTTGGCGGCATTCCCTCTATATATTTCTCTGGCAAAGAGCTCAGGATCTGATTCATCAGGTTGTGGGTGATCACATTGGACTCTGCGAGAAACTCAAGTTCCTGTGGTGTTAGATTCAACGTGCAATGCACTTACGGTCTTGACGGTGGTCAAAGAGCGGTTGATAGCTGCCGACATGATGGGCTCTTTTCGGACTAAAATTATCTTTTAATAAATTATTGGCCTTCCTTTACGTAGGCGGAGCCATCCAGCCGGTGTAAAGATGTACCGATAAAGACGGTGGTATAGTGCCAGACTAATATACAAATGATAGCCACGACGTGAAGGCCACGACGTGAGGACCACAACGTGCTCGAGCGCTACAGAGGCCCCAGGTAGTCCTCCTTGATGCTTCCGATCGCGCTGATGCTGTTGACGTCAGATCTCGTACCGATGATCTTTATTCTCACCTTGGAGCCTTTCATGATGACCTGGTCCTCGCTGATGTAGGCAGGAGGAGTGTGCGATGGTGTATATTTCATGTCTTTGGGGATCAGATGTTTGGATATGAAAACAGATAGTGGCCCCACGTCGGCAAAGAAGCCCATGTTGTTGACGGAAGAGACAATTGCGTCGACGACTTCTCCCTTGAACGGCTTCCAAACGACTGCACGGTACTTGACTTCAAACTCAGCGTAGCCCTGCTGACCGGGCACGATTTTTCCCTTCCCCACGTCGATGCTCATGCTGTCTAGAACACAGATGATGTATCCAAATTGACCCGTGCATGTTCCTTCGACGTCAGTCAGCAGCTTCTGTTGCAAATACTGGTTCATCTGCGGACCAAAGTAGGATGGATGTAGCGTTAAATTGAGCGAGAGGTCTTTTATAAAGAACATGGTTGGGTGGATTTATTTTTCAATTATTTTTCATGGCTTTTGCTGGCGCAAATTTGGACGAGAAATTGAAAAAAAAAATAATTAGGAGGTGTTTGTTTGATGTCGAATAAAATAGGCAAGACAGGGCTTGGGTTTGCGCGGGTTTGGCACCATGTCGACCTTGCGGAGGACAAGAGAACGCTGGGACGTTTGTCGTCGCAGATTGCAATCACTTTGATAGGAAAACACAAGCCTGTTCCGCACGAGACTCAGGACGCCGGAGACTACGTCGTGGTGTCGAACGCACAATTTTTGCGTGTGACGGGAAATAAACTCAACGACAAGACGTACTGGTCGCACTCCACGCGGCCGGGATCGGGAAAAGCCACTCCAATGAAGAAAATTATCAAGGATTACGGATATGGAGAGGTGATCAAGAGAGCAGTGAGCAAGATGTTGCCTAAGAACAAGCACAGATGGACAAGACTTAACAGACTGAAGGTGTACGATGGCTCAGACCACCCGTACAAGCAGAATCTGATCGCATTTGCTGACCAACAGCCAGTTGTACTGGAAAAGGTCAAGAAATTGGAGGAGAAGACGAAGCTGCTGAAGGAGTACGAGGAGCAGATGTCCGGAAGAAAAATATAACTGCACGGGCACGCATAATGGCTACTTTTGTATATACGACTAACATACTGACAATGTTTGAATTTCATCTCCATCTTAATTTACATATTATTTTTTTTGTATCCGCTCTGTGGCATTATCTGTTGGTGACTCCACTCTTCTGGGTGTACAATCTTGGCGCAATGTTCATACTCATCAGTTCCTGGAACAACAACTTGGCGGCATATGGAATGTGGATCTGGTAAATGTTGGTCTTATTCTTACAGGACTTGCACTCGAATTGGTTTTTCTTCAAGTTGGCAATGACGCTCATCAAACCACAGATACCACAAATGTGGACTCTGAAAGCGTCCGACGAGTCCATCAGTCTCTCCTTCAGGAAGCCTGCCGCACCGTGCGCAATCATACAATCACGCTCCATTTCTCCGAATCTGAGTCCTCCGTCTCTGGCTCTACCCTCCATAGGTTGACGAGTAAGGTTCTGGTATGGCCCTCTGGCTCTGGCATGGATCTTGTCGTCCACCATGTGTCTCAGTCTCTGGTAGTATGTAGGACCAAAAAACACCTGTGCCATGAGCTTCTTACCGGTGTGTCCGTTGTACATCACTTCAAAACCTCTGCTCTGGTAGCCGTTCTCCCTGAGAAGTTTCGACACCGCATCCACAGTCAGATCCGTGAACGGCGTGGCATCTCCCTCATAACCTCTCATCGAGGCCACCTTGGACAGCAAACACTCGATCAAGTGGGCGACTGTCATACGGGACGGAATGGCGTGCGGGTTGATGATCAGGTCCGGAACAATACCCTGTGCGGTGAAAGGCATGTCCTCGTGTCTATACGTGATACCAATGGTACCCTTCTGACCGTGTCTGGAGGCAAACTTGTCTCCGATCTGCGGCACTTTCGTGGTCCTCATTCTGACCTTGGCAAACTTGAGTCCCTCGGCGTTGGTGGTCAGAAGCACCTGGTCGACAATTCCGCTCTCTGTCGTTCTCAGCGGCGTCGAGGCGTCTCTCTTTGTGTGATATTTAGTTCTTTGGCCAAGCTCCTCCGTGTCTGGTGGAATAGGAACGGTTTTACCAATGATAATATCGTCTCCGGAAACACGAACACCAGGAGCAATCAGTCCATCGTCGTCCAGCTTCTCGTAAGTGCCCTGTTTGAAGCCCAAGGTGCTGGAACGCATTGGCTTTTCAAACTCCTCCACCACAGAAATACCGCTTCTTCTCTCCTGATCCATGTAGGATCTGAAGAAGAGCGATCTGAACAAACCACGGTCAATGGACGATTGGTTCATAATCATCGAGTCTTCCTGGTTGTAACCAGAGTAGCACGCAATGGCCACAATGGCGTTCTGCCCAGCAGGAAGCTCTCTGAACTTCAGATACTCCATAGATTGCGTCTTTGCCAGTGGCTTTTGCGGATAGTATAAGATGTTCGCCATAGTGTCCATTCTGACACTGTAGTTCGTCAAGAAAACTCCCATGGCCTGTTTACCCATCGCAGACTGGTAGGTGTTTCTTGGAGACTGGTTATGGTCTGGGAACGGAATGATGGAGGCGGCCACACCGAGAATCATCGACGGATGAATCTCACAATGCGTGAACGAGTGCGCCTTCACGACGTTCTTGATTCTCTTGGCAGGATCCAAGTCGCGCTCGGCCTTCTGCACTTCTGCACTGGCAGAGGAGATCAGGTCTTCTGGAGACATGGCGATCAGAACCGTCTCCTCCTCCTCGGCATCGAGATACTCGATAATGCCGTTGCTCAATAGGGAGTCCCAGCCAAACACTCTTTGAACAGGGCCCAAAGGCTGGCCCTCGTCGTCAAATTCCTCGTCCTGCACGATTTCTTCCACTTCTCTGTCTAGAATCTTACGACAGTGCTCTTTCGTCAACTTCAGTTCACCCTTGTGCTCGCTGTCAGGGTCATTGTCGACAATGAACAACGGTCTATAAATTCTTCCTGCATCGGTGAAGATCTTGAACTCTCTCTCTCTAATGTCTCTAATCAAGGACACCTCTGGAGAAATGGTACCACTTCTTCTGAGTTGTCTCATAGTTTCAACCAACATGGCAGGGTCTCTGTGCGTTCCGACCCAATTTCCGTTCAAAAACACTCTCGTTGCGTTCTTGTGCTCCTGTGGCTCGTAGTCAGACAACGGCTCCAATCCCCACTCCTCCAGCAAGTAAGTGATAGGCTCGGAAGCAGAACCAACCGAGGCACAGGCCATTAGCGACAAGTTCTTCACCAGACCACAGGCTTGTCCTTCAGGAGTCTCGGCAGGACAAACGAGACCCCAGTGTGTGTTATGCAATTGACGTGGCTTGGCCAATTTACCGTCTCTTCCAATAGGCGTGTTGGTTCTTCTTAAATGCGATAAGGTCGAAGAGTACGTGTATCTGTTCAACACCTGAGAGACACCAGCTCTACTGCTCATGGCCTTCTTCTGCTCTCCCCAGTTTCCGGTTGCAAGAGAGTACTTCAGACCAGACGTGATGGTGTTAGATTTCACAGCACTGACAATGTTGAAGTCGTCGCCTCTTTCAATACATCTCTGCATGTATCTGTAAATGTCTCTGGACAATTTTCTGAACAGAATTCTAAACAGGTTGGCTAGCAACGGACCGGCAAGGTCCAATCTCTTTTTACCGAAATGATCTCTGTCATCTGGTTCTTTTCTTTCTAAAGCGCACAAAAGCAATCTGTTGACAATGTATCCAAGGAAATAAGCTTTGTTGGTTTCGTAACCGGAATCTTGCGAAATATGCGGAAGGAACTCACGTTGCAAAATGTCCTTTGCGTACTGGATACGTCTCTCTTTCTTGATTCCGATCGAGTTTCCTCTTCTTCCGATGTAATCCAGGGCGACTTCCTGCGATTGGATCAAGAATCCTTCTTCAATACAAGGCTTCAACATCTCGAGCATCTGCCAATCGTTCTCATCGTAACAAATGTGCTGCAAGATGTCTCCGTCCTCAATCACTCCCAAAGCTCTGAACACAATCACAATCGGAATGTCAGCCTTGATATACGGAAGAGTAGCCTTGATCGATCTCCCCACACCACCGCTCTTGAAGTTGGAGGCACCTCCTCTTGCAAGCTTGACCTGAATAGAAGAAATGAGTCTCGAACCTTTTTCCAACGCGGATCTGAGCTCAGCTATGTGGGACACTGGAGATGGCGGAGACTTTTTGAAAACTTGCACAATATTGGCGGCAGATCTCTCCTGGGCAATTAAAACCTTCTCGGAACCGTTGATGATGAAGTATCCTCCCATATCAAATGGACATTCTCTGATTTCGTATAATTCGTCCTCCGAAAGACCATACAGAGAACAGAACTTGGACTTCAACATAATAGGCACCTTACCTATGAAGATCGTTTGTGACTCAGCACCGGAACGATGCACCTTAATGCCGTGTCTCTCTTCTATGATATCGTCGCTGTCATCGTCAAAGTTAGGAGGCATAATGACCATTTCGTCCTGCTCGATCTCACCGTTTCGGTACCTGGTGATCTCGCCCTCTCTGTACCAAACAACCTGCGTGGTAACCACATCATCGTCATCTATACTTTCCTTCACCATCTTCTTCATTTCAACGTACAAAGGCGCCGAGTAGGTGAGGTTTCTCAGTCTTGCCTCTTGTGGAAGAAGAGTACTCGTGGTACCGTCAGCCTCTGTCTGAGAAGGTTTCGAAAGAAAAATATCTCCAAATGTGATCTCGTATCGTCTGCTCACGTCGTCATCCTCTGTAATATGCTGTGCTGGCTGATCAAGGATCAGTTTTTTGTCTTCAAGAACCAGTTCCTGAATAGACGACTCGATAAACTCTTCAAACGAGTCCAACTGCTGCGAGACAAGACCCTTTTCCTCGAAGAACGACGAGATGACTGTCCAACAGTCTTCTGTCGTGATCATCTCGTATTCTGGAACGTCATACATACTTTCGTTGAAAGACATGTTTATGCTGAAAAGTACACTTTATTGAATACCAATTGTTGGAAGTAACTCTCAAACGTTTCCAAATTCAAAGCGCACTTGACTTGGTGGATGCGAACACTTTCCAACGATTCAGACAAAGTGTTTACCAGAAAACAAGATGTTTATCTAGGAGTATTCGCCTTCAAGTATTTTTTTTTTTCAACGAGCACTAGCATTCACCGCGGAGTTACCCGGACATCAATACTAGCCGGGATTTTTCAACGGGGTCGATATTGGATATTTTTTTATAAAACCTTTTTATCGCCATGTTTGCACGATTCAAAACGGCCAGCAGCGGGCTTTTTGAGCGCACCTTTGTCCAGTCGCAGCGTACCATAATTATGGGCCGTCTTCGTCCATTTGCTCAGAAGAAAAAGCCCACCGTTCCGAGAGAGGAGCGCGCAAAGAAGTCCAAAAGAATTGTCCAATTGGTAAAGGAAGCGATCGAGAACGACGAGCCACATTTCACTGTGGGTGCGAAGAAATTGTACTTCCCATCCGCAAGGGTCACCTTATTACGTCCCAATGCGAAACAGACTCCATATCAAGCCAAATTTCTGGTGCCCAAGTCTTTCAACAAACTGGACCTAAGAGACTACTTGTACCATCTGTACGGCCTACGAGTTCTGAACGTGACGGTTGCCCTGACGCCCGCAACATGGGAGTATCCTATCGGTCCAGGGTTCAGTTCTAGACACAGAGTCGCGCAAAAAAAGAAAATGACTGTGGATCTGATCGATCCATTTGTGTGGCCGGAGGAGACAGAATTTTTCAAGAACCAGGCAGAATTCATTGAGCAGAGAGACGCATACAGAGACGATAAGCTTGAAGCGATCGGCTCGGACAAGCTGAAGCCTTCCAAGGCATTCGAAGGAATCATAGACAGACATCCGCAACCGAAGAACTTTGTTCCAAAAACAGTCGAGAGACAGATGAGAAATCTCAAAGACAAGGCCACGCTCCAGGAGAAGCAGCTCAGAACAGAAGAATTCATTTCCCAACATATCCAGCTATAATCCTGTACATATAAATCCAACATAATAAAAAGCTTGAAATCAGAATCGTAACTATTCATTCGCAAAAGTAGCAGAGCTGTTTCTGGATTTCCAGCCAAATCCCCACGACGGGCGTCTGTTCTGGGGATCCGTGCCCGACGGAGTCACCTTGCGCAGCGATCCCGACGAGTTCCGCTCCTGGAGCCGCGGCAAACTCGTGGTGCTTGCGTTCGCGCTGTGCAGCTCGTCTTTATTGACAACGTCGTACTCCTCCCGCACGTCTTTGTGCTCACCGAACACCATACTCCTGATCGGCGAGATCAGCGACGAGAACAATAGCTGAGGATAGTAGTCCGTCACGTTCTGGCCGGTGGACGGAGCTCTCCAGCCAGACGACTGCCACAGCTCGTTCATCACCTCAGCCGTAGACTTATCCTGCTTGGACGCAACGTTGAGCTTGAGGAACTGGTAACTGGGCACGTATTGGTCAATGATCTTGTTGTAGAAGTCAGCGCCGTAGGTGGCCACGTCGGTGGTCTTAAGATCGCCGATATAATGGTTCAGCACAACCAGCCAGTTCTTGAGATAGTGGTGGTAGAGAATATACGAGCCTGTGACGCTGGTGCCCGAGGAGTCCACGGAAACCAGCGGAAAAACCAGCCAGATCCGCAGATACAGGATCAACAGCGAGCTGAACGGAACGAAACTGAGCACAGTGCTCACTACCCTGTTGGAGATAACAAGCGTGCAAACGGCGAGAACAAGCCAGTACACAAACCATCTTTGGAACTGGCTCTGTGGCGGCAAAACGATGGGCTGTCGCGACTGGTCGACATTGGTCAGCAGCTTGAACGATTCCGCCAACGGATACAAGTATGAGACCCAGACGCCGATCACAGCAAACAGGACCCCAAACATGGTCTAATTGTCGATAGCAAATTCAGTGTGCAGAGTTCTGGTTAAAGGAGGCCTGAAAAGCAAAAATCAACAATCTCAATCACAGACTGTTAACCATAGCAATATGCAGGACCAAATAGTTTTACTCAACTTTCTCCACTGTAAAAACGGAATTAATTAAACTGAGCTTTTTTTTATCTCTATCAATGAACCAGGACACCATGACGTGCGCTGACGTAATCAGTAGGTGGCCCAGTCGTCGATGTACTTAACTAGGTCTATGAGCAGGTTCTTCGTCTCGTCGGGACTCGAGACCCAGCATGTGGTTGCGGCCGTGCGGCTGGCGTAGTCGTTCGACCCGAGAGAGTTGAACTGGTCGCCGACGTGCAGGGTGTTTTCGGCCTTGATGTCGATCTTATCGTTGGAGCTGATAAATTTTTGAAGCACCCTCACACCGTACGCTTTATCGCCAATGTCGACCCAGATGTCTGAGCCGCCGTTGAAGGCGCACCAGCGGATCTTCTTGGCCGTCGGGAACTGCTTGAGACGTTTGTCCACGCGGAGAACGATCTCCTCGAGCTGTTCGCGGATCAGTTTGTAGCCTGGCAGAGGAACCAGGCCGACGGCCCGTTCTTTGCGGATCACGGTGGCTGGGGCGCCCAGTTTGTGGACCAGGTCGTTCAGGACCTCCTGTGCAAAGTCCAGTGTCAGGACAATGTCCTCCTCGGACCAGTTGAGCATGTTTTCGAGCAGCCATCTGTCTTTGGAGTAGAAGTGCAAATTCCGCTCCTCGTTACTGTACCGGAAGAGATAATTTGCCTCGCCGCCCATGACAAGGAGGTTTTCTCTCTGGTGGTCCTTGAGCAGCGGGGACGTCTGGAGAGCGTCGATAAGGCCCTTGAGACGCTCGTAGTACTTGGTTGCGTCGTTGTAGCCGGCCGCCGTGACGATACCCACATACAGGTCTTTGGCCATTAGTTTGATGAGGTGGGGCAAAATGGGCGACTCGGCGTCGAAATTATTGCCGTCGTCGTACAGTGTGATGTCACCATCGAAGGTAATGAGCTGCAGCTTGCGATCTCGGATGGTTTTGGAATGGAAGAACCGCGACATCTCCAGAAGCTGGGCCGTGTTGAGGATGAGCCGGACATCGTTGAACGAGGGCGCCACGAGCCGGCGCTTGCTGATGGCACGGCGCTCGTCCTCGATGTAGAAGGCCTTTTCCAGAGGCAGTCTCGTGAAAAAGTTGCCAACGCTCGGAACCAGCTGCACGAGCCGAGACAATTCGGGGGTGCCGGCTTTGGTCATTTCGATGTTGTCGTCGATGAGGAGTTCGAGGTCGTGGAAGATCTCTGCGTAGCGGCGTTTTGCCTCAGAGTTCACCATGAGGTCGTCCACGGCGGAGATGCCGTTGCTCTTCACCGCGTACAGAACGAACGGCGTGGCCAGCAGGCCTTTGATCCACTCTATGAGGCCGTCGCGACGGTGCTGCTTGAGCGCGTACTCCACTCTGTAGCGACTGGTCATCGGGGGGCTGGGCTGCCTGCACTGGGTGAAGTAATTAATTGTTACCGCACCTGCACGGGGTGCCTTGCATCTTTGCACCGCAACTAAAAAAACACCACTCGCTTTAGCCGTCGCGTAAAACTTGTGAATCTGGCAATTGAGGGGGTTCTGCAGCCGCAACCCAACTTTATCGCTTCAAGGACGCAGCTGGATAGTGTCATGTGAGGCTCTGTTCTCTGGCGTAGCCTACAACGTGACCTTGCCTAAGCGGACGGCCCTACGCTCTGGCTGCTGCGCCTGCTACCACAAGAATCTCCAGCAGCAGCGAGCCGTTGCAGTAGCTGCTGCGGTGTCGGAGAGCGTCTTTCTCCACAGCGCAAATGCGGGTGAGGCCGCCAAAGACCGCATTTCCCCTGCTCCCGCGCAGTGACTCCGACATCCCCAGTTTTTGCCCTACTTGATCACAGATGGGGTCAGCGCTGTCGCTAAGTGCACCCGGCTGTCCCCACACGGGCCATCTATAAATACCGCTGCCAGGGCACAGTGTTGCCATCAATCCAAAGCGCAAAAACAAAATGGCCATTCCTGACGAATTCGATATCATCGTTGTTGGTGGAGGTTCCACCGGCTGCTGCATTGCCGGCAGACTCGCCAACCTCGACGACCAAAACCTCACTGTTGCCCTGATCGAGGGCGGTGAGAACAACATCAACAACCCTTGGGTCTATCTTCCCGGAGTGTATCCGAGAAACATGAGACTCGACTCCAAGACTGCCACCTTCTACACGTCGAGGCCATCCAAGGCTCTGAACGGCAGAAGAGCAATCGTCCCCTGCGCCAACATCCTCGGAGGCGGCTCGTCGATCAACTTCCTGATGTACACCAGAGCCTCTGCGTCCGACTACGACGACTGGGAGTCCGAGGGATGGAGCACCGACGAGCTGCTGCCTCTGATCAAGAAAATCGAAACCTACCAGCGTCCTTGCAACAACAGAGACCTGCACGGCTTCGACGGCCCAATCAAGGTCTCCTTCGGAAACTACACGTATCCAACGTGCCAGGACTTCCTGAGAGCAGCCGAGTCGCAAGGAATCCCTGTCGTGGACGATCTCGAGGACTTCAAGACATCGCATGGTGCAGAGCACTGGCTGAAGTGGATCAACAGAGACCTGGGCAGAAGATCCGACTCTGCGCACGCCTACATCCACCCAACCATGAGAAACAAGCAGAGCCTGTTCCTCATCACCTCCACCAAGTGTGACAAGGTGATCATCGAGGACGGCAAGGCTGTGGCCGTGAAGACGGTGCCTATGAAGCCGCTGAACCCTAAGAAGCCGGTCTCCAGAACCTTCCGGGCCAGAAAGCAGATTGTCATTTCGTGCGGAACCATCTCGTCGCCTCTGGTGCTCCAGAGATCCGGTATCGGAGCGGCCCACCACCTGAGATCCGTGGGAATCAAGCCTATTGTCGACCTGCCAGGTGTGGGTGAGAACTTCCAGGACCACTACTGTTTCTTCACTCCGTACTACGTCAAGCCCGACGTTCCTACGTTTGACGACTTTGTCCGCGGCGATCCGGTGGCCCAGAAGGCCGCTTTCGACCAGTGGTACTCCAACAAGGACGGTCCTCTGACCACCAACGGTATCGAGGCGGGAGTCAAGATCAGACCGACGGAAGAGGAGCTGGCTACCGCCGACGAGGACTTCAGACGCGGCTACGCCGACTACTTCGAAAACAAGCCAGACAAGCCTCTGATGCACTACTCTGTCATTTCCGGCTTCTTTGGAGACCACACCAAAATTCCTAACGGCAAGTTCATGACCATGTTCCACTTCCTGGAGTACCCATTCTCCAGAGGATTCGTGAGAGTCACCTCGGCAAACCCATACGACGCCCCTGACTTCGACACCGGCTTCCTCAACGACGAAAGAGACCTGTGGCCTATGGTCTGGGCCTACAAGAAGTCCAGAGAGACGGCCAGAAGAATGGAGAGCTTTGCCGGAGAGGTCACCTCGCACCACCCACTGTTCAAGGTCGACTCGCCTGCCAGAGCCAGAGACCTCGACCTCGAGACGTGCAGCGCATACGCCGGTCCTAATCACCTCACTGCCAACCTGTACCACGGCTCGTGGACCGTTCCAATTGGCAAGCCTTCGCCTAAGAACGAGTTCCACGTGACCTCGAACCAGGTCCAACTGCACTCCGAAATCGAGTACTCCGAGGAGGACGACGAGGCCATCGTCAACTACATCAAGGAGCACACTGAGACCACCTGGCACTGCCTGGGTACCTGCTCGATGGCTCCAAGAGAAGGCAGCAAGATTGCTCCTAAGGGAGGTGTTCTGGACGCCAGACTGAACGTTTACGGAGTCCAGAACCTCAAGGTTGCAGACCTTTCTGTCTGTCCCGACAACGTTGGCTGCAACACGTACTCCACCGCCCTGACCATCGGTGAGAAGGCTGCCACTCTTGTTGCTGAAGATCTTGGCTACTCAGGAGCCGACCTGGACATGACGATTCCAAACTTCAGACTTGGAACTTACGAGGAGACCGGACTTGCCAGATTCTAAGGAGACATGGAAGGACACACAGCTTTTGAGAAGCTTGTTTGAAAACAGTTCTTTTTCTGGTTTATATCGTTTATGAAGTGATGAGATGAAAATGATGAAAATGCTGAAATAGCGAATATACGAAAAATAAATGCAAATTAAATTCAAAATTATTTTCTTTATTTTTTAGGCTCTATTAGTCACCTTCAAAATGCCGGCCGCTTCCAAAAACGTTGTCATGATCGACAACTACGACTCGTTTACCTGGAACCTGTACGAGTACCTGTGTCAGGAGGGCGCCAGCGTCGAGGTTTTCAGAAACGACCAGATCACCATCCCGCAGATTGAGCAGCTCAAGCCGGACGTCGTGGTGATATCCCCCGGTCCAGGCCATCCAAAGACGGACTCGGGAATCTCCCGCGACGTGATCAGCCATTTCAAAGGGAAGATCCCTGTCTTTGGCGTCTGTATGGGCCAGCAGTGTATATTCGAGGAGTTTGGCGGAGATGTCGAGTATGCTGGCGAGATCGTCCATGGAAAAACCTCCACTATCAAGCATGACAACAAGGGAATGTTCAAGAACGTTCCGCAGGACGTTGCTGTCACCAGATACCACTCGCTGGCCGGAACCCTCAAGTCGCTTCCGGACTGTCTGGAGATTACTGCTCGCACAGACAACGGGATCATTATGGGTGTGAGACACAGAAAGTACACCATCGAGGGCGTCCAGTTCCATCCAGAGAGCATTTTGACTGAGGAGGGCCATCTGATGATCCAGAACATCCTCAGTGTTTCCGGTGGCTACTGGGAGGACAACGCTAACGGCGCGGTCCAAAAAAAGGAGAGCATATTGGAGAAAATCTACGCGCAGAGACGAAAAGACTACGAGTTCGAGATGAATAGGCCGGGGCGCACTTTTGCCGACCTGGAAGTGTACTTGTCCATGGGACTGGCACCGCCGCTAATTAATTTTTACGACAGATTGGAGCAAAACATCAGTGCCGGCAACATTGCGATCCTCAGCGAAATCAAACGAGCCTCGCCTTCTAAAGGCATCATAGACGAGACGGCTAACGCAGCCAAACAGGCCCTTACATACGCCAAGGCTGGAGTCACCACTGTCTCTGTGCTAACCGAGCCTACTTGGTTCAAAGGAAATATCCAGGATCTGGAGGTGGCCAGAAAAGCCATCGACTCTGTGGCCAGTAGACCGTGTGTTTTGCGCAAAGAGTTCATCTTCAACAAGTACCAGATTCTAGAGGCCCGTCTGGCCGGAGCAGACACGGTCTTGCTGATTGTCAAGATGCTGGAGTTCGAGCTGCTTAAAGAGCTGGTCGCGTACTCAAGACACCTCGGAATGGAGCCCCTGGTGGAGGTCAACAACGTAGAGGAACTGAAAGTGGCCGTCGCGGTCGGAGCCAAGGTGATCGGCGTGAACAACAGAAACCTGCACGACTTCAGCGTGGACCTGTCCACCACGGTGAAAATGAACGAGCTGCTTCCAAATGACGGACCAAAACCTCTCCTTTTGGCGCTGAGCGGGATTTCGACGCCCCAGGACGTGTCGAACTACAAACAGCACGGCGTGTACGGGTTCCTCATAGGCGAGGCGCTGATGCGCAAGGGCAACCAGGTCGGCGACTTCATCGCCCAGCTCCACAAAGCAGAGTAATCAAGGCGGAGCCTAGCTGGTGTAAGGGTGTGTGCTGTGTAATTGTATTGCAGAAAAGTCAAAGCACCTGGAATGTGAAAAAAGGTTCACTAGTTTCTGTTATAAATAGAAAAAAACAGTTCACCATGCGGACGATATACTGGTTCTACTCGCTTGTCTTTTTGTGGACGGGCGTGTTTGCCGACGTGGAGCCTGTCTCCCCAAGCTCAGGCGACACTTTTACGGTTGACGGCTCCACTGTGAAGTTCAACGTGACATTTAAAGACGACGGCGAATCGCCTAGCATCAACGACGCTCTTTCCTTCACTCTGCTGCTCATGACCGGTCCGAACGACGATATCGAGCAAAGAGCCAGCCTGGCATCATCCATCACATTAAGCGACCTTGACGACGACAACACGTACCAGGCGTCCGTGGAAGCTAGCGTTGGTGCAGACGGATACTACTACGTTCAGATTTATGCCGACTACGGCTCGGAGTCGTACACGATTCACTACACGGACAGATTCAAGCTGGAAGGTATGACTGGTACCTTGAAGACGTCGGGTACTGGCGATCCTCCTGACGCTCAGCAGATTAGTGTGGAGCAGTCCATCAACTCTGCCTGGTTCACCATTCCATACACCAAACAGACGGGAAAGACGAGATACGCTCCAATGCAGACCCAGCCTGGAAGCACAGTGACAGCCACCACGTGGTCCAGAAGGTTCCCTGCCTCCTCTGTGACGTACTACTCCACCATCTCGGGGACTCCCGTTGTTCACTCGACGATCACCGCCGGCTGGTCGTACACCATGAGTTCTCTCACGAACTACGCCACGCCTGCGCCATTCCCGAGCGAAGTCGGCTGGTACGCCCCAAGCAAACGGTTACAGAGCGCGACATTGGACAGTTCCTACAGAAAGATGAAGAAACGGAGATGGGACGATTAAGACACAAACACATGTAGCGATATTAACAGAGTATAAATCCAGCTAACTCAGACTAGTGTAGAAGAGCTGCGGCACCTTGTGGCTCATTTCCACCAGCTTCGTCACGGCAGGCTCGCTTATTTGATCGCCAAAATCAATGATCTGGATCACCTTCACGCTGTTGTCTGTGTCCACTATACCAATACACTCGTACCAGTTGTTCAGCAAGAGCGACTCGAGCAGGGCCTGCTGGTTTTGGAACTTGAGCTGGATAGAGCCGTTGCACTGGACGATCGCAGTGCCTGCGCCGGTGGACTTGTCGATGAGTTTGCCGATGACACGGACGGTTTTTTTCGTGAATTGCGAGATGATGCTGGCGTCCACTCTGATCGACTCCATAATTAAGCTGCGATTAATTCAATGATTATTTTGCCGTTAGCAGTTTACGCGTCTGACAAGTTGCATTTACGTAATTCCAAGCCAGAGGTTGGCAGGTTGGCGTGGTGCAGAGATGGCGGTCTGAAAAATTATTGAAAAAGTGTTGGACCAAATACATCTTCTCATCATGATCTTCCTCAAAACCATGCTGCGGGTTGTGGACAACTCTGGCGCCGAGCTTGTCGAGTGCATTAAGGTTCTGGGCAAGAAGCCAACCAACCACGCCAATATCGGCGACAAGGTCGTTGTCGTTGTTCAGAACGCAAAGTCTCTCAACCAGCATCTCACAGGCGCAAGCGCCAGCAACAGAGTCAAGAGAGGTGACATCTGTCGTGCAGTGATTGTGCGCACAAAGTCGCCAACCCTGAGACCTGACGGAAGTGTGATCAGATTCGACGACAACGCATGTGTCCTGATCAACCAGAAGGACGAGCCAATTGGAACAAGAGTCAACGGAGTGGTTGCTAGAGAGCTCAGACGGAAGAACTTCAACAAGCTGGTGTCCCTGGCTCCGAAAGTGGTGTAAGAAGCGCAACGTATAGTACTGTATATATCGACACTCAGTGGTCTGTGTAAGGATGTGGAATATCGAGAAAAAACTTTCAGTCTATTATTCTTCATGACAAGAGCCAGCCAGCTTCCGAAGGCCTCGCGGGCCCTCTTTCTGAAGGATCTTCCTGCATCGCGTCTTACGAGACAAAGAGAGAATTTGAACCTGATTGCAAACTACAAGGACTCCGCATACAAGTTTCCCCAGGTGTCAAAACTACATTTGATCTTTAAAAGTCACAACGCCTACGGCCACATGGGGGCGAAGCAGTTCTGGAAGTGGAATCTTCGGACGATCTGTTTCCACAACCCGGATGTCAACATTGAGGTCACCCGAGTCAACTGTCCGACAAAAGAGGAGCAACTGAAGTGTCCTAGTGTTTTGAAGGTGGTGTACGCGGACGGTCGCGAGAAGAAGATCGATTGCAAGCACAAACACTCTGATGATATTATGAAAGAGCTGGTGGAACTCACGCAGGCTGTGAAGTGCCCAGAAGACGAGATCCCGGTGCTCAAACAATAACTGTATATAGACGAATAAACGGTCAGCCAAGAAGATTGCGCAAGCGAGGCTTTGTAGAAATGCTGCAAGGGCGGGTGCGAGTGCGCCACTCGGGGCTTATGATATCGAACGAGGTCTGCGTTGGATGACACCACGTCCAAAACTATTGGTCAGGATAGCAGACGATCGGCGCGACGATCGTATTTTTCGTTTAAAAAAACACACCATTTTATATAAAATCACGAAAAAAAAGAGATATAAATTTGGTGACATTGTTCGTCTTTGGCCATGTCTGGAACCGCTGCCTTGATTCAGGAAGTTCAGAGCGCTGGACTGTACGTTTTGGACGTTATTCTGGCGCTGAGCACGGCTCAGAAGATCATGATTGTGGTTGCCCTTCCTTTCGTTTACTCTATTGTTTGGCAACTGCTTTATTCCCTGAGAAACGACAGAGTGCCTCTTGTTTTCTACTGGATCCCTTGGCTGGGATCTGCCATTCCATACGGTATGCAGCCATATGAGTTTTTCGCCCAGTGTCAGCAGAAATACGGTGATTGTTTCTCTTTCCTGCTGTTGGGAAAGGTCATGACTGTGTATCTGGGTCCCAAGGGCCATGAGTTTATTTTGAACGCCAAACTGAACGACGTTTCTGCTGAGGAGGCCTACACCCATCTGACGACACCTGTGTTTGGAAAGGGCGTGATTTACGACTGTCCAAACTGGAAGCTCATGGAGCAAAAGAAGTTCGCCAAGGTCGCCTTGACCAAGGACTCGTTCATCAAGTACGTCCCAATAATCAGAGAAGAGGTTCTTAACTACGTGAACTCTGACAGCCAGTTCAGGGGCAAGAAGGGCAAGGTCAACGTGCTGAAGTCCCAGCCAGAGATCACCATTTTCACGGCCTCGAGAACCTTGCTTGGTGAAGAAGTGAGAAGCATGCTCAACACTGGATTTGCTAAGCTGTACTCCGACCTTGACAAAGGATTCACCCCAATCAACTTCGTGTTCCCTAATCTGCCGCTTCCTTCCTACAAGAGAAGAGACGAAGCACACAACATCATTTCCAACACATACATGAAACTGATCAACAAACGGAAGCAAGAAAACGACATTCAGGACAGAGACTTGGTTGATGCCCTGATGAAGAATTCTACATACAAGGACGGCACGGCGATGACCGAGAGAGAGATTGCTAACCTGCTGATTGGTGTTCTGATGGGAGGCCAGCACACGTCTGCTTCCACCTCGTCGTGGTTCCTGCTCCACCTCGGCGAGAGACCAGATTTGCAGGAAGAGCTGTACAACGAGATCAAGTCTGTTCTTGGTGACAGAAAAGAAGTGACCTACGAGGACCTGCAGAACCTTCCTTTGGTCAACAACACCATCAAGGAGACACTGAGACTGCACATGCCTCTGCACTCGATTTTCAGGAAAGTGATGAACCCGCTGCAAGTCCCTGACTCCAAGATGATTGTTCCAAAGGGTCATTACGTGCTTGTCTCTCCTGGTTTCGCCATGACAAACGAAAAATACTTCCCGAACGCCAACACGTTCGAGCCCCACAGATGGGATGTGTCTCAGAATGCTGGATCGTCTGATTCAGACACAGTGGACTACGGGTTCGGTACTATTACAAAAGGTGTTTCCTCGCCATACCTGCCATTTGGAGGCGGTAGACATAGATGTATTGGTGAGCAGTTTGCATACACTCAGCTGGGAACTATTCTGGTCACGTTCATTCAGACATTCAAGTGGACCAGTAAGCTTCCTAAGGTTGATTACTCTTCTATGGTGACTCTCCCTGAAGAGCCTGCTGAGATTGAATGGGAGAGAAGGGCAGATTAAGTAGATTGGCACATTATTTAAGTTTCTCTTTGGTTGACCACCTGTAGCTCTTTTTCAACAGGGTTCTTGCGAAGCTCGCTATCTTTCTTTATCACGTCGTTGATCTTTCTTGTAAGGTCGTCCACCAAATTACTGGCATGCTGACAGCAGTTCATAATCATGCTGGCGTCGATGTTGAGGCCTCCGCATTTCACCATCTGACAAAGCTCCTTGTTCTTGTTGATAGTGAGCGTCATCGAGCCCAGACTGAGTCTTTCTTCTAACAGGTTTGCATCCAACAAGATCAACTCGTTGTTCAGGTTTCCTTTTATATTCTCCTCGTCGTCGTTTGGATTGTAGAATTGGAAGGTGAAACACAGCGGAATATGCAGTATCGAGAGCGGAACCGGATTTCTCTGGTCCTCGTCAAATAGAATGACGTTGTTTCCATCGATCTCCATGTCAGGTTTACGGAAATGGAGCAGTGCTACCATGACAGCGATAGACGAGATGTCAATGAAGTTCCCGTCGTAATTCAGAAACTGCAGATCGGCGCGGACAGCCCAGCACTTGGAACCAGCGATTATGCAGAGACTTTCAAGATCAAGCGCTCCAGAACGTCGCACGGCCTTCTCAATAAGTCTGGAAATTAATATCTCGTCGTTCGATTGTTTGCTTCCTGTGGTGAGCCCGCTCTCAAAGAATGGCGAGCAAATGGGTGATATATCTGTGCTAATCTGAAATATTCCATCAAACGGACGGTCTTCGTACGGCTTGGTGATTTCTGCCGTGACTCGACATGCAACTTTGGTTTTCCCCAGGCTCACCTCAGCATATCCGTACTCATCGCGAGAGACAGAGATGTGGACATCTCTCATCTGGAGCAGCTTGCGGCCGTCCAGCCGGATGTTCTGTTCCAAGGCCGCAAGCACAAACTGCTTTTCGTTGTTGGAAATGTCGTAGTCCCTGACCATGTTTTTTTTCAAATTATTTATTCTCTTCAACTATTTTTTTCCATTAATTCTTTTATTTGTTGCCGTCCAACATGATTTCGCCATTGAAACAAATCAGCCCAAATAAAAGCGCCAGGCTGCTCAGGTCGCTTCTCTCGGTAAGCCGGTACTCGACCGGAAACCTGAACTTTTTCAACCGCTCGACACTTCCTTCCAACACCATCATCAGGTTTGTTCCTCAGCAAACGGCCTGGATTGTGGAGAGAATGGGAAAGTTCAACAGAATACTGAAGCCCGGTCTCGCAATTCTGCTACCGTTCATTGACAAAATCCAGTATGTGCAGTCGCTGAAAGAGGTTGCCATTGAGGTGCCATCTCAGAACGCTATTACTGCAGACAATGTGACCTTGGAAATGGACGGAGTTCTGTACTACAAAGTGGTGGATGCTTACAAGGCGTCCTACGGAGTCGAGGATGCACACTACGCAATTATCCAGCTGGCCCAGACCACAATGCGCTCGGAGATCGGCCAGATGGCGCTCGACCTTGTTCTGCGCGAAAGAACCATGCTGAACGTCAACATCACCACCTCCATCAACGAGGCTGCCAAGGACTGGGGTATCGAGGTGTTGAGATACGAGATCAGAGACATCCGGCCTCCTGTCAACGTCATCAACTCGATGAACCAGGTGGTGGAGAAGGAAAGACAGAAGCGTGCCAACATCTTGGAATCCGAGGGTCTGAAGCTCAGTGAAATCAACATTAGTGAGGCCCACAAACAGACAGAGATCCTGAAGTCCGAGGCCGAAAAAAGCAAGAAGATCAACTGGGCCAAGGGTGAGTCTGATGCCATGTTGCTCAAGGCCAAGGCGACGGCCGAGTCTATCAGACTGGTTGCCGACGCCATTGCCAATAGTCCGCACGGCAAGGAGGCCGTGTCGCTCAACATTGCTGAGAAATACGTGGAAGCTTTCGGCAAGCTGGCAAAGGAGACAAACACGGTTATTTTACCTGCCAGCTTGGACAACCTGCCCAAACTGATTGCTAGCGGTATGAACATCTACAACCAGCTGAACGACACCGAGTTGGCCCAAAAAGTGTTGACAGAGCCGCAGCCACCAGCACAGCACAAGGAGGAAAAGAATCCAAAGAACAATTAATGTACATACGGTAGTAACGAGCAGCTGCTACACCTTTTTCTTGAAGAAGCCGTCGAGGGCTCCCTTGCCGACAGCGACTTTTTTCACCTCTTTGCGCACCACTTTTTTCTCAACCTTGCGTTTCTTGGGATTTGCCGCGTTCATCCCGTTCAGCGTATTGATGTTTTCCTCGGCGAGTGCCGTCATCTGTTCTTTCTTCCTGTATTCCATCATGTAGGAGTCCAGAATCTCAGTTGGATACAGATTTTTCAGCTCGGCCACATACTTTGCGTCCACGTAGGAGCTGATCAGCTCAATTGCAAGCTGCTTTCTGCTCACTTGCAGCACCTCGTCTGTTGGCTCGAAGCCGGGCAATGCAAGCTTTTTTTTTGTCGAGGCGACTAGCGCGGACGGCAGATTCTGTGCCAGACGGTCCACTTTTGAGCTGAGATAGCTGACGATCTTCTGCATCGAGGGCTTGTAAAAGGTCTCTTCATTTTCGTCGACGCTCTCACATATTTGCAGCAACGGCTTCCGCAAATTCACGCCGTTCTCCAGCAGCTCCTGAAGCGTCTCACACCCTTCAAATTGCTCCAGCAGGTCCTGGAAGCTCACCATGCGCACACGTTCGCGGCTCAACGCGTCGGTGAAAAAATCCAGCAGCAGATACACGGGGTTGTATTTGGTAGCTATCCAGAGCTCGCAATTATTTCCTACCATGAGACTGTCCACGGACGCGTCCATGGCGGCTAGGAAGATGGTTTTAAGTGGCTGTTGCTTCTTGGTTAGTTTCTGGGTTGTATTGTGCGGATCTTTGAAATTGGTCTTGTTGAGCTCGTACACCAGTCCGTTGTTGACCACCAGCTGGGACCTCTTGTAAGGCTTGATGGTCTTGAACGGCGTTGTTAGGTTGCACGGAACGACAATAAGCCGTATATTGTCCTCGTTAGTCGACACTGTCATATATTGTTACGCGTGAAAGATAGCTCGAAAAATTAAATTATTTTTTGTTCTATGATTTTATTTAGACTCTCCAGCACCAGCTCGCTGCAACGCAATCGTCTGTCCGATCTCCGAACTCTGCTGAGGATAGTGAACAAAAAATCAGAGTTCTACTCTGAAGAAGATCGCAGTGCCAATTCCGAGTCAGAGGTGGTACGACAGTTCCGCAAACTGATCCCTAAAGACCATAAGCTCTCTCATGACATCTCGTCCTGGAAACAGCTCAACGAGCCGCAAGACCTTGTGGAAATTCCAAAAGTCCCGGATGCTTTGGATGAGGTTACTCTGGACGCCTATGTGCGAACTTTAAACCGTGTGAAGACCAGAAAGTTTGATCAAAATCCGGTCTATGTCAAAAAAGCCTTCGAGAAGATCGTCGAGTCAAACGTACCGGAGAAACTGCACACGTACAATATGATTCTCAAGTTTTTTGCAACGACACATGATTTCAACAACGTCAAGGAAACCATGCGTGTGATGAATCAGAGAAAATTATACCCGACCACAGAATCGTTCAACTTTGTGCTGGGTCCGATGAGAACCAGTCGTCATGAACGGAAATTTGCGCTCATCAATATGTATCTCAAACAAATGCGCTTCTACAAACAGATCCCCGACCTTAGTACCTGCTACATTCTTTTTGAGTGTCTTTGCACGCATCGAAAGCCAATATACGATTACATGGTGAAAAATGGCTGCTCGCTGCATCCCATTCTCCCCGCTGTGATGGCCTATAAGCACGACATTGAGAAGAAGAGCTTTGGCGAGCTAATGGCGGAAATGGTTGCAAACAACCAATCGTTCAAGGATGATCCGAAACTGGTTGCAGAATTTGTTAGATTTGCACTAGATGAGTACGGGCCTTCGCAAGCGTGGGATTTTGCAATGACGAGACTTGAAACCGATATAACAGAGCTCACGCCATCGATGCTGGTCCACTTTGTAAACTATTTCGTCAGGGAAAACCAGCTCTACAACGCCATAGCCATAATCAACAATTTCGACAACCATTTTCTCAAACGAAAGGTGCACAAGGTATACGAGATTTTGGCCGCGGCAATGATAGACCGCCCGAACACCGAGAACTGGTCTGTCCTGGCGCGCAGATTTTACATTGAGAGCAAGACATCGTTTTCGCGCACAATCATGCTTCCTAAAGAGGTTGCAAAGCTGCGAGCCAGAGCCAAGGAGTACGGCTACACTAATTTCAACCCGGAAAAACTCACTCACGAGGAATTTGACCTCACGTCGAAAGTGCTGGAGAATCTACAGTGGAGCGACCCTCGTCGCCCCATATTCGAGCTCCAGGACAACCAAGAGAGTTTCCAGGAAGCTGCTAAATTTGTTATGTAGTATGACATAAGCAGATGTGTAGTTTCAAAATTTCTTGTATATACATGGGCAAAATCTATAACATAACAAACTAGATTTGATGGAGCAAAGTCATTTCGGAGGCTCAAGGCCCAACGGCGGCACCAGCAATGGTACCGGGGACGCCTTTGGACAAGCTTCTGGAGTTTCGCAATATACGTTGCCTGGCGTAATGCAGTATTTGCAGTCGCAGTTTACCACAGTGGAGCGCAACAGGATGATGTCTGATTTAGAGAGGTCGGCGCTGAAACTTCGTATTGTGGAGCTTGAAGGCGAAAGAAACACGCTCAAGCTTCAAAATGAAAAGCTGAAAGCTCGTGTGGAGGAGCTGGAAAAGGGACAAACGCATACTAAGGAGCCCTCGACGGACGGATCAAGTGTTGACCATCTGCTCGCTGTGAACAATGTCGATGTAACAAGACTGGTGAAGGCAAGACAATTTCTAAAGACGGCAACCAACGAGATTCTCTACATGCTGAAAAGTCCGACGGTCGAGCTTTCAGACCCATTGCATTTTTCCAAAGATGAGACATACGAGTTCTACTCTAACCTTAATGCGCGCTCAACGCCATCTCAAAAGGCCAGCACATTATCTTCTCAGGATAGCGCTGCTGCTGATTACCTAGATATGGCTATTTCACTAGAGGCCAAAACCAAGCCACATAATGACGCTAATCACAAAGTCCCTGCACAGGCTGTTGCTAAGCCATCCAAAACCACGGTTCTTGAAAACGAGACCATTGGCAAATGTTTCCTGGTCGATGGGTTGTTATTTGCGTATTTACCGGATAAGAAATGCGTCAACGTGTGGTCTAGCTCAGAAAACGGTGTTGATCTGAAACATACCGTTTTGGTGGGGGCTACGAAGGTGGAGGACGTGGTTTACGGCAAAGGGGTGTTGGTTGTTTTGAGCGTGAAACAGGTTCTTGCGTTCAAGTTGGAGACAAAAGAGAACTCGCTTCCTCTTGCCACGTACGAATGGGACGAACCTATCCAATTTGTTGATTTTAGGGAGGATAGACTCGTTGCTGTTTTTGATGACAAGGTTGAAATACTCAAATTAGAGCGTCAAGATGAATGTTTCGAGCCGATCTATGCCATTGACCGCAACTCCGACATCAGGTTTTTGGCAGCCAAATTCACAAACCTACACGATTATGATCTGGCGATTCTTTCCAACAAATCGTTGATTTTGCGCAACACAAAACAGCAATTTAAGAGCAAGCTCACGAAAACAAAAGCATGGAACGCAACAACTTTTGATAATGTCATTGTGACACCCGAGTATGTTCTCTCGAGGGAAAAAACAGCTCTCTCTTGCATTTGGTATAAAGACTTCTCTTCTGATGAGCGCGATATTGAAGAGCTTTCAGATAAAGCTCAGCTGGGCTTCTCACTTGATGATCCAGGCTTGGTGTTTGTCGTGAGCCCCAAAAATAATGGCTGCCAGTTGCTATTCTATCAATGGAGTGATGACGAATGCAACGTTTCGTCTCAGATGGAGTTGGACGAGCAGTTCAAGGAGGTGTGCGTGGGACAGTTTGGCGGTAAAGGAGCTGTTGTGGGAGTTTCCGGAACCGGTATCTCTCTTTTCAATGAATGGGAAATAATTTAAGCAGTTCCAGCGCTATGCAAGAAAAACATCGATTTGATTTTACATCATGATTGGCAACCATTTTGTGTTCAAAAGGGTTTTGCTGACCATCCTCTTTAGCTTCTTTGCATCGCTGTTGATCTACACTGATTATTTGCAGGAATTGTACCTATTCAGCAATAAGTTCAGGCTCACAGAGTTCAAAGTGGATATGAGCACCTATCATTTCCTGAAGAGCTACTCGGACCTAGAACAGCACTCGCTATCTTCCATCAAGCTTTCAAAGGTCCTAAATACCATTGAGCAAATGAGCGGCGATTTAGATACAGCCGCTCAAGAGCTATATCTATATCCTCCATTTCCTAAATTGGATCTGGTCTATGTGGGGCCTACGTTTATCGAGAATGGGTCGCTATCGCTCAATTGTGAATACAGTTTTATGAAATTCAAATGCCGTGTGCAAGGGCTCATTCGCAGCGAAAAGACGTATTTGGTGAACACATATCTGAGCGACTCGAAATTCGAGGAGATTGAGTTCCACGCTTCCTGGAGAGATTTGGTGCAGTTCTACAAAATGAATCGCCTTAATGACGAGAATACTACCAACTTACGTCTGATAGCCAATTACCTGTTTCTTTTTGGCTTCAACGGTACCCATATCCCTCTTTTTGCGTCCCCGTCAGCTGAGGTCGACTCGGCAGTTATTGAGAATAAGATCGAGCTTTACAATAAGATACAGAGCACCATTAGGGACTTCATCGGGCTCGTCCAACTAAAGATGGTCAACTTTGCGCTCATTGCAGTTTCGTTTATTGCTGTGCTGCTATTGCATCTTATTCTTTATTGGGTGCTCTACCTGGTGTGCGGGTATCGGTCGAAAAAAAATATAGAAAACGGCCCATTGGTGAATTACGAGGATGCCATTGTGCAGGATTATAACTTACATTCCAATAGTGCGATACATTTTGACCAACCAAGGAAGCCCGATTTGAAGACCGGGGCTTCTGATCTGGAGCAGCAGAATGACAATAACGAGGATTTCCAGAATCAGGACTTATTGGGTAAAAGCCGTTTCGCGTTTGGGCTTATAATAGTTTATTGTCTCGTCCACTATCTTGTGTATTACCTTATTGACTTCCTAATTCAGCAGGCGATCAACCAGATCTTTCGCAGTGTCACAAACGGAGAAATAGAGCTGAGCGGGATCAGCAGCACAAACACGTTGGTTGCGACTTCGGGGCTGCCAGATCTGTCTCCGATATCTGATGGCTCGAATTGGAACAATAACGGCGGAGAAACGTTCACTTCGCTGCTGAACATATGTGGCTTGGTTCTGAATACGCTGATATTCAGTTTCTTCCACTACCTTTATGGCGTTTTGGTGTACGTTTACACGCTAACATGAGCATGCCAAGACTGGGCTCTCCATTTTTTTTTTTTCTTCAGCGGTGAATCCGATATATTCGAAAGCGGCTATAAAAGGGATCTGATCGTCGTAAAATGTGGGCTGTCTTGCATACGATTGACGAAAATGAAACAGTTTTTGGTGCTCCCGCTACTTTGCAAAGTTGCTTTTGGACGTGCGAATCCTATTGCGTTTGCTGAGGCTCTTGCTTTAGAGCATGGCTCTGATTATGCAAACACCATGGGTGAAATTGCAATGCTGTATCCAACTGATAGAGAATGGTCGGAAGAGGCTGAAACCATTGCTCCATGTGGTTCCTATGCCGCTCCTTCCAATAGATCGGAGTTCCCGCTGGACGACGGTTTCGTGGCTTTAGTTGCCAAGTCTCACCAGGCATGGTCTGTCAACCTCAAAATTTCCTACAACAACAATCCAACGTCCAATGATGACTTCGACACCTGGGCTGCCCACAACCTGACCAACCAGATCGACATCGGACACACGTGCTTCTATCTGCCGGACATTCCTTCGAACATCAATAGCGGAGATTATGCTACCATCCAGTTGGAATACATGGCGCTGGAAGATGAGGCGAACGTGACTCACTACGCCTGTGCCGATGTTGAGTTTGTTGAGAAGAGCGTCTTTGAGGTGACTGAGTTCGCTCTGAACTGCTTCAACGCTACCGACGACAACTACTACTCCAGCGAGGTCACTGTGGACACTTCTTCGTGGCTCTCGTCTGCCTCCTCAGCACACTTTGCTACATTGTCTGAGAGCACCACCTCCAAGGCTACCACCGCCACCTCCACGTCGAGCAGCAGCAGAAGCACAACCAGCTCTGCTTCCTCCAGCTCTTCTTCTAGCTCTTCTTCCAGCTCCCAGGGCATGGCAGGACAAGTTGCGGCCTCTGGTCCGTTCGGACTTGTTTTTGGCTCTCTCCTGTTCTTCCTTCTATAAGTGTATGTACATATGCTAGAAAGTGTATTGTGAGCTCCACCGGTAATCTTGTAGCATGATCATTGGAGGTCTCCATCCTGTTTTGAGTGTCGCACGACCCGCTTCAGTTTTTGTTCACTATTTCGAATTTTCCGTGAATTATTTTCAGTTCATGTTTAGACTCGCCAGATTAGCTACGGCACCGCGCGTTCTGCGGAGCGTGGCGCCTGTGCGCGCGTTCCACAGGTCTTCTGCTGCGTGTAGCTACGAGGAGGAGAAGGCTGTACTGGACAGCTTGTCTGCCAAGCTCTCCGAGGCCGATGTGAAAAGACTGTCTAAGATGAGAAATATTGGAATTTCTGCCCACATCGATTCCGGGAAAACCACGTTTACGGAGCGTGTGCTGTTTTACACTGGCCGTATCAAGGCTATTCACGATGTCCGTGGAAAGGACGGTGTTGGTGCGAAGATGGACCACATGGATCTGGAGAGAGAAAAGGGTATTACCATTCAGTCTGCTGCCACCTACTGTTCTTGGGACAAAGACGACGAGCATTACCATTTCAATCTTATTGATACGCCGGGTCACATAGATTTCACTATTGAGGTCGAGCGTGCGCTGAGAGTGCTGGACGGTGCTGTTCTTGTTGTTTGTGCTGTTTCTGGTGTTCAGTCTCAGACGGTGACCGTTGATAGACAGATGAAGAGATACAATGTTCCTAGAATCACGTTCATCAACAAGATGGATCGAATGGGCGCCAATCCCTGGAGAGCCGTTGAGCAGATCAACAAGAAACTGAAGATCGCTGCTGCTGCCGTGCAGGTGCCTATTGGAGCAGAAAAAGAGCTTTCCGGGGTGGTGAACATTATTGACCGCCAGTCTATTTATTTTGAGGGCTCGCAGGGAGAAAAGCTGAGAATCGAGAAAGAGGTGCCTGCCGATCTTGTTGACCTGGTTGAAGAGAAAAGAGCCACTCTGATCGAGATGCTGGCCGACGTGGACGACGAGCTCGCAGAGGTGTTTTTGAACGAGGAAGAGCCTAGCACAGACCTGATCAAGGCTGCTATTCGCCGTGCTACCATCGCCAGAAAGTTCACTCCGGTGCTGATGGGGTCTGCTCTGGCCAACAAGGGCGTGCAGCCTGTTCTGGACGCCGTTGTGGACTACCTGCCCAACCCGTCTGAAGTTCTGAACACGGCCCTGGATATTGCCAATAACGAGGCCCCGGTCAATCTGATTGCCGCCTCGAACCAGCCGGCCGTTGTGCTCGCTTTCAAGCTGGAGGAGGGCAAGTACGGCCAGCTGACGTATCTGCGTGTGTACCAGGGCCGCCTGAAGAAGGGAATGATGATCACGCACGTCAAGACGGGCAAGAAACTGAAAATAGCCCGGCTCGTGAGAATGCACTCGAACGACATGGAGGACGTGGACGAGGTGGGCGCCGGCGAGATCTGCGCCACGTTCGGTATCGACTGCGCCTCCGGAGACACGTTCACGGACGGCCAGGTGAACTACTCGATGTCGTCGATGTACGTTCCGGACGCTGTGGTGTCGCTGTCGATCCACCCTAAGACCAAAGATGCGGTGAATTTCTCCAAGGCTGTGAACCGGTTCCAGAAAGAGGACCCTACGTTCCGTGTGCACTACGACAAGGACTCGAAGGAGACCATCATCAGCGGAATGGGCGAGCTGCATCTGGAGATCTACGTCGAGAGAATGCGTCGTGAGTACAACGTCGAGTGCACGGTGGGCCGTCCTAGAGTCTCGTACAGAGAGACCGTCCTTGGAAGCACTCCGTTCGAGTACACGCACAAGAAGCAGTCTGGAGGTGCTGGCCAGTACGCCAAGGTGATGGGCGAGTTCAAGGCGACGTCCCTGTGCGACCCGGAGTACGTTGGAGCGTCGCCGGAGGAAGATATTCGGTTCAAGAATAATTTCCAGACCAAAATCGTGGGTGGAAAAATTCCTGAAAAATATCTCCTGGCCTGTAGCAAGGGATTCGAGGAGAGTTTGGAAAAAGGCCCGCTCACCGGCTCGCGCGTTCTGGGCGTGCACATGCTGATCGACGACGGTCAGACACACGTGGTGGACTCGTCGGAGCTGTCTTTCAAGACCGCCACGCAGTTTGCGTTCAAGCAGGCGTTCCTGAACGCGCAGCCGGTGGTTCTGGAGCCGATCATGAACGTGGTGATGACGTCGCCGACCGAGTTCCAGGGCGCGGTCATCGGTCTGATCAACAAGCTGGGCGGCGTGATCCAGGACACCGAGAACACGGCAGAGGAGTTCACCATCACGAGTCTGTGCTCGCTGAACAATCTGTTTGGTATTGCTTCGCAGCTGCGTGCGCTGACCCAAGGAAAGGGAGAGTTCACGATGGAGTTCAAGGAGTACCAGCCTTGTCCGCCACAGCTGCAAAAGAAGCTGGTCGAGGAGTACCAGAAGAGAGGAAAGAAGGATTAGTGTATATATCGTTGTATATAGCTCGTATAAAAAGCTTTATTATTTTTTCAAGTGAGCGCAGACATGTCGACCTTGCCCGAGTCAATCCACGACTGGTCGACCAGCTTGTCCCGGGAAGCAGACATGTGCACATACGACGACTTGATGGTTCCCTCAGAAACACCGGTCTTCTCGCTGATCCGCGACAGCGGGATCTGCTGTTTGAAAATGGCCGTCGCAAAATAGATAACCGTGGCAGCGATCGTGGTGGGCGACCGTCCCTCCAGCACACCCAGCTCCTTGAGCGTGCGAGCAATGTGCTGTGCAGAGGTGGTGATCTGCGGCGACAGACCCAGGTGCGAGCAGAACCGGCCCACCAGGTCCTCCGGATTGGTCTGTGTGGTGGAGATATTGTTGTTGCGGCGAGTGATGAGTCCGTCCTGCTCTGCGTCTTTCCTCTGAATGATCTGCTTGATGATCTTGAACACCTTCCCGATATCCTTCTTCGGCACGTTCGTCAGCGCCCAGATCTCGTTGTACGTTCTGGGCACGTCCGCCTTACGACACCCAAAAAAAATCGAGGCGGCCATGATGGCCTCCTGGCTCTTTCCCCTCAACATCTTGTCGTCGTGCACCAGCTTGTACACCTCTTTGGCGCCGTCCTGGACAACACGCGGCAACTGGTATCCGTCACAGAGTTGCGAGATCTTCGAGTACGCCGACTGTAATGCGTAGTCCTTTCTATCAACGACACTGCGGTTCTGGATCCGGTTCAGCTCCTTGGCCGCGCGGTTTCCGTCCACTCCAGCGCTGATAACCGTAGACAGCTGGTCTGAGTCGAGCACTCCGTTTGTGGCCTCTCCCACACGCGACGGGTCGTCTCCGTTCTGGTCATCGTTGGCAAACGTTCTCCATTCAGAGCGAGTATCTATTATTCGCGAACTCAACACCAGGCCGCAGAGAGCACACACGATATCCCCCTCGCTGTGTCTCTCTACAATCTCTGGCGGATACACCTTGCACTCTGGACAAACCAGAGTGATGTTCAGGTTGACGCCCTTTGGTCTTTCGGATGGCGAAGGCATAAAGACAAGAAAAAAAAAAAATTACAGCCGGTGCTTATGTAAGTACGAATATGGTCGGACTGAGTTAAAAGAGTACAAATGGGCGATGGGGGACGATTAGCAGGAAGAAGCGGGGCAGGACCGAAGTTGGGGTGGACAGTCCAACTCAATTGGCACACAACTTCGCCCAGGACGTGCGCTCCTAACAGCCGCACGACCCGTAGCTGTCTCCGTCGACATGGATGTTCACTGCGTCTGTGTAGTCGTCACTGAACTCTAGACTTTCTTCCTGTTGCAGCGCATTTCTGGCCACCACGTCGAACGCCTGCTCCACGTTGACGGCCTCCTTTGCGCTTGTTTCGAAATATGGCAGGTTTCCCATGCTGGCACACAGCGACTGCGCTTTCTTGGACGACACAAGTCTCTTGTTCTCCTCCACGTCGATCTTGTTGCCGATGACCACGAACGGGAAGTTGTCCGGGTCTTTGATGTTGGCCTGGATGAGGAACTCGTCTTTCCAGCTTTGTAGGTTCTCAAACGACTTGGTGTTGGTCACGTCGTACACCAGAACACAGCAGTCCGATCCTCGGTAGAAAGCGACTCCCAAAGACTGAAACCGCTCTTGGCCAGCGGTGTCCCAAATCTGCATGGTCACTTGTTTATCGTCGATGACAAGGTCCTTGGGCAAGAAGTCGGCGCCGATGGTGGCCTTGTACTGCTGCGAGAACTTGCCATTAATGAACTGCTGCATCAGAGACGTCTTCCCGACGCCAGAGTCGCCCAAAATAATAACCTTGAGGATGGTTTTCTTACGGGTGGACATGGGCAATTGTAAAATGATGAGGCAAAGGCAAAATTATTTACGTAAGGAGAAAGAAATCCAAATGCTACAAATGCTACACTAATTTAATTTGTGTTTGGTTGTTTCATTAAGAACTATAAATTCGTATGTCCATAACTCATAACTTGGGGTGAACACTCCACTTCAAGCTACTCACCCTGGTGGTATCGAGACCCGCTTATGCGGACTTCTTGTCGTACGACTCGCTGCTCGAAATCTCAATTCTCTGCAGTCCCTCGTCTTCCTCGCCACTCTTTGGAACGGTCAAGTTCAACAGTCCGTTCTCAAACTTGGCTTGGATCTTGTCACCGTCAACCTTCACTGGCAACTTCAAAACCCGTGAGAATTTACCAACGGTTCTTTCGGTGTACGTGTTGTTGGCCTTGGTCTTTGTTGTCTCGCGCTCTGGAATTTCACCCTTGACAATCAGCTCATTCGTCTTCTTGTTGTAGTCAATGGTGACCTTGTCCTTAGGGGCTCCCGGAATGGCGACGGTCACGTCGTACGAGTTGTCGTTGTCGTGGATGTCAACTGGCGGAGCAAAGCTGTCGTCGAAGAAAGCAGATGGCCTGAACAGATCCCATGGGCCTGAGCTCTGGTTCGTTGGTCTGGCCACCTCCTTTCCCTCGTTGCTGCCCTTCTTGTTCTCCAGTCTTCTGTTGCCTGGAGCCGCGGAGGCAACCGACGATCTGAAGAATGGATCGTTGAACAGGTTGTTCAGCTGTGCAACCTCCTGGTTGATGTTCTCAAAGAAGCTGTAGAATGGATCGTTGTAGTAAGACATGTTGTTCGCGCTTTCTGATTGACTTGTACTCAAACTAATCTCTGGTTTGCACTAGAGCCACCACCAGGTCCAATTTATACCCTGTAGCCACGAGCCGCAGAGCCGCGGTTACGTAAGCCGCCGCCCCGCCATCGAAATTTCTGGGCACCGCGGGAAATTTCTGGAGAGCAGGAGACCACCCATCTGCTGTTCTCCAGCGTTCCCGAAAGCTCCATCTGGTGATTGCTTTCCACAAATTGCCGGGAAGCCTCACGCCACCACATCTGCCACACCAGTTGCCTGTCACATTGCGCCAGCCGGCGCCCTTGGCAGTCGTCCTGCACACTCTTTTGATTCAGTCCGAAACTTTCGCATCCTCGCGCACATCGGCCTTTTTTTCCAGCCTGGCGCTGCGTCTGTGCGGGAGGCCAGCGCGAGTCGCCAAGCGGACACGTCACATTAGCACGGCGTGCCGCACGCGAGGGGGCAGGCGGGTGTTTACGTAAGCCATCTTTCTCCCAAAATACCCAGGCGAAAAACATCTTTTTAAGGCGTAAATACTGGGCGTGGATGATATAACCCAGCACCGAGAACTGCTGTACTGTTGATACCACTGACACTATGTTGCCGTCCAAGCAAACAGAGGCGCCGCCGTCCAGAGCACCGTTTTCCAGCGCCCAGCGAGTCGGGTCTGGAGGCTCTGACACCGATGGGCGACGCAACATTACTCCCGAGAGCAAAGGCCTGGCGGCGAAGCAGGACGCGAAGAACAAGAACACCAAGTCGTCGATGGTTGCCGTTGTGCAGGAGCAGGCGCAGAACCCGAATCTCGTGCACATATTGCCCGTCTCGAGTGTTAGCAACACTGTTGGTTCAGGGACCACGTCGGCTACGACGGGGTCCGGATCTGGGTCGAGCGTGGCGGGCAACGGGACGATGGGCAGCTCTGCGTCGGCGAGCGTGTCGCGCCAGGTGAGCTCGGCAGATATCACCAAGACGGCCAGCCCGAGTACTGTGAATGGCGCGTCGGACTCGTTTATGACACACCTCAAGTCGAAGCGGTCGGTTATCGATGGGCCGGTGCTGGAGGACGGGCTGCGGCCCAAGAAGGGAGGTGCGGCGTCGAGCTTGATGAATTTGCGCAACGCCAACACGGTTTCTTCGACCTCGACGATACAGAGCAAGGCTTCCTCGAGAGCCGAGTTTTTCGCTGCAAAATTGCACGACGCGATCAAAGTGGACGACAAGAACAGCTCGGACTCGGAGGAGACGTTTGTCTATGACACCTCGGCGAACGACCGGCCGGGCGAGCCGGAGACGGCGAACGACGAGACGCTGACGGCGCAGCAGACGATCAACGACGGTGTGCGCGATAGAGAGGCGCCGGCGGCGACGGTTGTGCGGCTGGAGGATGCGCCGAGCGAGACGGGCAGCAACCGGTCGGAACACAACTTTAATACGACAACGAGCCAGGACCGCGCAGAAGTCCAGGACCGCGCGCAGTCGAAGTCGCCGCTGCCGCGGGCCGAGGACAGGAACCAGCTGCGGCAGATCACGTCGCGAGTGTTCGACTCGAAAGGCGTGATTCCGAGACGATATTCGGGCATGAACTACGAGATCGACGACCTGGAGGACAACTATCCAGCGCCGCAGGTAAACGAGCCGGACCTCTACTCCGACTCAGGCGACGACGCGTCGTTGAGCGAGCACGCATACAACAACAACTATGGCAGCATCAGCTCGGACGGGTACCTGAGCAATTTTCAGAACGGCATATATTTGCAGCAACCGTTTTTGGAGTCCCGCAACAACAAGATGGGGGGCAGCAAACTGAAAAGGAAGCCGAAAAACCTGTATTTCTCGCCGCACGACTTCACGGGCGCGCGCGAGGTGCGCATTCGCCAGATCAAGAGCTTCTGCTACACAATCGGGCTAATCTTGGTGCTGCTGAGTGTGGGGTTCATGAGCGGCTTTATTCTGGCCACGACGAAAGAGTTGCAACATACGCAGATCGACGCCATCTCCGACGTGCTCATCTCGCAGGAGGAGCTTGTGTTCAGCATGGAGGTGGAGAGCTTCAACCCCGGGTTCCTGTCGATCACGATTCAGGACGCCAACATCGACGTTTTTGCGCGGTCGCAGTACGTGGACGCCGAGGAAGCCGACCGGAAAAAGAAGACGCGGCCGGTGTCGACCATTCTGCTGGGCACCGTGACCAGTCTGGACGTGCCGCTGCATTTCCAGGGCGGGTTTTTTAACCGACAACTGGACTGGAGCATGACGGAAATTAAAATAAAAAATCCCTGTTCATTTGACGACTCTGGCGAAATTAAAATACTTGAGCCGTCAGAGAAATGGCTCAACATCTCGAAAAACCCCTTTGATCTGATCATTCGCGGAGTGCTGAGCTACCAGCTGCCGATCTCGACATCGAACCAGACGGTCAGCGTAAGTAGAACGTTCGAGGTGAACCCGGAGGACCTGGAGGGCCCCATTCCGGGCACCAAGGAATAAATTAATTATCAGCGTGCTCTTGTGTAAAAAGCGCCATTGGTGCAGATGGCGCCTCTCCAACAATCCTGAATTAAAAGGTTGCTGTAAATATTTCTGCCAGTGCATACGGCTATATAGAGCGTATAAATTGGCAGGTGTTCCCACTGAAGTATTTTATTACCATGTCTCTTGAACAAAAGCTAGGCGGACTAACCATCCACAACAACTTCAGTGCAACCTCTTTCCAGAACGTGGAAAAAGCAGATTTGCAGGGCCCCGGCTACCGATCTGCGGTCTTCTCTGGAAAAGAGGACCAGATGGTCCAAGTGATGGACGAGCTCGACTCCACAGGGTTCATCCCAGAGAACCTGATTGAGTCTGAAACCAGGTACTTCTACGAGTCGCTCGGCATCGACGACACGTATTTTGCGTCAGAGTCCGTGTCTGTGATCGTCTCGCATATACTTGCCCTTTATTCTGCAAAGGTGGATGCGTTTGCGAGAGGACTCACGGACCGCCCGTTTCTGCATCATCGCCGCGAGACCGACGACCACGCCGTCTACTTTGATGCCGCAGGCTGGGACGATTTCGAGCAGGAGATCGACGACAAATATCTCGACCGTGCCGTGGAGGAAACCCCCTACCGCTTGGAGTCCTTCAATTCCAGATTGCCGTCCGGCGACGTGGTGAAATGCCAGTTTGTTTACAAATGCAAGTTCGGCACGCAGGGGGTGTATGGCAGCAGCGACATTGAGGCCGTCGGAGACTCCACGTTTTTGAAAACTGCCACTCCCCACACTAAATTGCTATATTCGGAAGTCTTGAACGAGTTGGCAGCCACCGAGGGTCCCGTGATCAAACATTTTACTGTGGCTGCCACGGGTGAGCAGAGGATTATCATCGGGTACCGCCGCAACAGCTCGCCCCGCTACAGCTCGGCGCTCAGCACACTGGCCAAATACTACAATGTGAACCTCAGACGCAAATATGTGGAGAACTTCGCCAATGGCTACTCCATCATCTCCATGTACATCGACTACACGGACGGCGTGAGTCCCGATGCTACCATCTACCAGATGTCCAAGGAGGCCTCGTTGCTGTACTGTATTCCGAACAATATGTTCTACAGCAAGTTCTCCAGCGGCGAGATGTCCATCCAGGAGTCTATCTACGCCCACTGTGGTGTTATTTTCGTGACACATTTCCTCAACAGACTCGGCCCGGAGTTCAATGCGCTCAGAGAGCTGCTGTCGCACTCTGTCTCGCCACAGCACGCTGAAATCATCAGCAAGATCAAGAAAAGACTCACGTCCGAGACGTACACCCAGTCGTACATTGCCGAGTGTTTTGAGAACAACAAGGACCTGATCAGCCAGCTGTACAGACACTTTGTTGACCACCATTACACCTCGAGCTCGCTACAGTCCACCCTTTCCTACCAGAGAGTGGAGAAAGTGAGTCCGATCGAGAACGACGAGGACTTTGAGAAGGCGCTCAACAAGTCGGCTTCGGCCAACGAGGGCTACAAGCTTGTTTTGAGGGCATTGTACTCGTTCAACAAGAGTGTCCTCAAGACCAATTTCTTTGTCACGTCCAAGATCGCGCTCTCCTTCAGACTGAAACCGTCGTTCCTCCCTGAGACGGAGTATCCACAAACGCCGTTTGGAATGTTTTTCGTTGTTGGTTCTGATTTCAGGGGTTTCCACATCAGATTCAGAGACGTTGCGCGTGGCGGAATCCGTATTGTCAAGTCCCGGTCCAAAGACAACTACTTCACCAACATGAGGACTCTGTTTGACGAAAACTACAACCTCGCAAGCACTCAACAGCGCAAGAACAAGGATATTCCAGAAGGCGGGTCCAAGGGTGTGATTCTGCTGAACCCTGGCGCTGCCCAGGAGCGTCCTAAAGAGTGTTTCACCAAGTACATTGACTCCTTGTTGGACCTGTTGATCAAAGACCCTCGCAAGGAAACCATTGTGGATCTCTACAACAAGCCGGAAATGCTGTACATGGGGCCAGACGAGAACACGGCTGGCTTTGTGGACTGGGCTACCCTGCACGCTCGCAAGAGAGGCGCCAAGTACGGCTTCCCTTGGAAGGCCTTCTTCACCGGAAAATCGCCTACTCTCGGTGGCATACCTCACGACGAGTACGGAATGACCTCGCTCAGTGTCAGAGCGTACACGGAGAAGATCTACGAAAAATTGGGTATCACTGACCTTGGAAAAATCACCAAGGTTCAGATAGCCGGTGGAGACGGAGATCTGGGCTCGAACGAAATCAAACTGTCCAGAGAAGAGAAGTACATTGCTATTGTTGATGGCTTTGGAGTGGTTGTGGACGAGGACGGGCTGGACAAGAAGGAGCTGCTGAGATTGGCGCACGAGCGTAAGGGCAACCAGCACTTTGACAAGTCCAAGCTTGGGCCAAAGGGCTACTTGATCTTGGTCGATGACACTGACGTCAAGCTTCCAGACGGCCGTATTGTTGCTAGCGGTCTGACTTTCCGGAACAACTTCCATTTGACGTTAAAGGAGAACTTCCCGAACAATTTCATCAAGCTATTTGTTCCTTGCGGAGGCCGTCCTAACTCGCTGGATGCCAACAACGTGCACAGTCTGATTGACGAGAAAACGGGCAAGAGCATCATTCCATTCATTGTCGAGGGGGCCAATCTGTTTATCACGCAGCCAGCCAAGCTGATGCTGGAAAAGGCTGGTGCCATTGTTTTCAAGGACGCCTCGACCAACAAGGGTGGCGTGACTTCGAGCTCGCTTGAGGTCTTGGCGGCCCTGTCGTTCGACGACGAAGGGTTCCTCAAACACATGTGTGTGGACTCTGCCACCAATAAAGTTCCGGAGTTCTACAAGCAGTACGTGAAGGAGGTTCAGCAGATTGTGGTTCGCAACGCACGCAATGAGTTCGAGCTTCTGTGGTCGCTGAAGGAGCAGACGGGCAAGCCGTTTAGCATTCTCAGCGACGAGCTTTCTATGGCTATTAACAAGTTGGCCGACGAGCTGGCCTCCTCCAAGGAATTGTGGGACGACGACGAGAAGTTCAGAAACGACGTGCTCACAGACGCCCTTCCTCACATGCTGCTCAAGCAGATCGGCATCCAGACCATTCTCAAGAGGGTGCCTACGGCGTACCTGCGCGCCATCTTTGCCACTCGTCTGGCGTCGGAGTTCGTTTACTCCAGGGGAATCGACAGCAACCCTGCCAAGTTCCTTGAGTTCATCTCTTCTCTGAAACGGCGGTTTGAGGCTGCTCAGCGGACCGTCGGCTAAGCTCGAGGTCGACACGTCTTTGGGCCTCGTGCTCGATCATGTTGGATTCCATGATACGGGTCCCGATAGAGTCGGCTATAAAAGCCGTGACAAACGTCGACACTCCCAGATAGATTTTCCACTTGAGAGGCAGCGCTTGGTACCGCTGCCATAGAGACCGGTTTGGTGGGTGTGGACGCTTTGTTGTTCTAGAAGACATAAAGATTACTCCACATTTTTTTTCACAGCCATTAGAAAAAAAAAAAACATTTAAATATGATCAAATTTGACTTTTTATTTACATTATGCAGAGTCGTGCGAGGTGATACGGTACATGCTCTCGCCCTCCGTATCGTCGTCCTCTTCTAGGCCGTTGAATGTGCTGTATAACCGTTCTCTCTCCTGGTCTTCCTGTCGTAGATACTCGGAGTCGGATTTAGGATTCCTGGACGTGTCTATTTTGGCCGACTTGGCTTGCAACTTGGACGCATCGAGCGAGTTGCGCGCCATGGCGGCCATTCTGCTGACCGACGCGTTGGACGACTCGCCAATGGACGCCGACCGCTGCGACTGCGCGTACTCGGACTCAAAGTCGTCGTCCGGCTGGATGATGTCGAACTCGTACTCGTCCCGTCTGCGGGCCCTGCCGGGCTTTTTGCGGCTCTTGAGCATCCAGATGCAAATGATAAAGCCCAGCGCAAGGAAGAACACAAAGTACTCCTCGTAGTGCGTGTCTGAGGCGCGGTACACGCCGTCTCCCGTTTCTGCCGACGGCGTGGCCTGGTCTGTGGAGGCGATGGTGCTGGTCATGGTCGGGGCGATCGACAGGGTGCTGGTTGCGGCAACGGTGTCTGTGTCCTTGTGGCTGCCCTGGATCTCGCTGTAGTCCTCGTCCAGACTGAACCGCTTGGCCTTTTTGGGATCGAGAGACTCGCCGAAAAGCCGGAGCTGCCAGTTTTCAAAAGTCAGCCGGTTGCGCTCGTTGGTGTTGCGCACCTCCAGCGTCCAGTTACCCGGCCCAGGCTCCCCCCAGTGCGCGACAGACGAAAACGACCAGTTGCGGAACCCGTCCTTGCTGCGGTCGCGCTTTCTGCTCTGCCCCAGGTCCGACCGGATCCCGTTCGGCGACACCAGCGCCACCTCCACGTCGCCGCGCCGCTCCGCCGCGATGTTCACCGTGACGGTCACGTGCTCGATGTGTTCCAGGTTCGCAGCCACCAGGTCGGCGCTCGTGACCTCGAGCGTGGTCGTCACGGAGCCCACGTTGTCGAGTTTTTGGTTCGCGTGCTGCACGGGCGAGTAGTACCATGCCTGCGGCTTGAGAAGTGTCCAGTTCTGCGCCGCCTGCACCATGCGGTCGGCGTCGAGCTTGCCCCAGCCAAACACCGGCGAGTAGCGGCGGCCCTCGATGTACGAGTTCTGCCAGCTCGGGTCGTTCGAGTTGACTTCCGTCGCCTCCCTCACGGTCAGCGCCTGCACGTCGCGCCACGTGAGGTCTGGATTGGCCTGCAAAATAAGAGCATAGATCCCTGCTGCCAACGGGGCAGCAGCAGACGTGCCCCCGTGCGCCGCCGTGCACTGGTTGTTGATGTCGGTGGTATGGATGTGCTCGCCCGAGCCCGAGGAGTACGTGGACACCATCACGGCCGTGCACGACTCGGCGTACGGCGGATGCAGTCCCTTGTGGTCTATCGAGGTCACTGTGATGGAGTATATGCTGTTTGTGTATCCATCGAAGTTGCAATTATCGTTGTGGTAGCCGCCGTTCCCGCTCGCAAACACGTACAGCGCGCCTTTCTCCTTTCTGCCGTCCTGGATGCCCTTCAGCATCGCCTCGCGGACCACCTTCTCGGGCACGTCCATCGACTGTCCGTCGTCGGGCGGACCCCAGGAGCACGAGTATATGTCGTTGACGTCGAGGCCGTGGATCATGGCGACGGCCTCGTCGTCTGCCGTGATTTCTGCCGACAGAATGCGGATCCCAGACACCTTGGAGTCGTACGCCACGCCAACGCCGCAGTAGCCGTTGCCCTTGGCGGCTGCTATCTCTGCCGCGCACCGTGTGCCGTGGTAGTCGTCGGACAGGCGCGGCTTGGGCAGCGGGCTGTTGTCGTTGTAGTCGTAGGACCCCTCTTTGCAGAAGTTGCGCGCGAGATCGGGACTCTCGTAGTCCAGGCCGTCGTCGACCAGCGCGGTGACCACGCCTGATCCGGTGATGTTGCGCTTCCACACAGGAACCACGTTGACGTCGTGGCCCGGGAAGTTTGGGTTCAGGATGTGCCACTGCTCGGGGAAGGTCGGGTCATCGATGCGGAAGTCCTTTTTCGCGTTCTCGATGGGCTCCATGGACGAGTCCACAGCCGGCACTGGGGCCCTGTGCGCGAGCCGTTTGGGAGGCAGCATGTGCACGGATCGCACTCCTGCGTCGGTCAGCACGCTGCTGAGGTTGCTCTCGCATTTGCGCAGTCGCTCTGGCTCGCCGTGGAGCGTTTTCAGCTGTTCTAGGGACAACAGGTGTGGTCCAGCCTCTTTGTCCTTGTGCACAGAAAAAACATGGTACTTGTCCACCGCGCGCGAGGGGTGCTCGTAGTTGAGCTCGGGCAGTTCCTGGAGCAGCCCTGCGACGTCGTCGGCCGAGATCTCCAACAAAAGGTAGTGTTTCTGCCGGTAATCTCGCGGTGGAATAAACATGTTTGGTAAAAACAGCGCAGCGGAAAAATATTTCTAAAAAATGTTAAAAAGTGTATTAATTAAATTATTATTTTTTTAGATGTTAGCCAGGGCTCCCATTGGGTCGTACGGCGGAAGAACAATTGGGTCGGTGTCAAGAAGCTTGACAAGCTCCGGCACCTCGCTCTTCTCCACAACCACCTGGTACACGTACTCTTTGAAGTAGTCGTGCGTCATCACATAATACCCTTCGCTGCCCTTTTTGTTGGACCAGCTATTTTCCACTCTGTAGCGCACCGGCTTGCCGTTGTCGTCCAGATGGACGCCCGTGATCAGCATTGCATGGGTCATGAGCGACTGGTTGTACAGGACGCGCGACGCCTTGTCGACGGCACGGTGATCGTAGCCGATCAGCCTGTAGTCCCAGAGGTCGATGTCCATAATTCCCCTGGTGTTGTCCATGAACTTTGGCGTGTCGGTGCCGAAGAACACGGCCTTGTTGTTCTTGATGCGGTTGACCACGGCATCCGCAAGCACGTCGATCTCCACGTTCAGATAAGTGACCGGGTCTGTGCCGACAACATTGTTGAGCCTATCGATCTTGATTTTCCTGTTGTACGGGTTTCTAGGATCGTTTAGCAGAGAAAGGTACTCTGGCGTGTCGAACTCGATCACGTCCTTCACAAAAGCCTTGGGGGTCGTCGTGATCGTCTGGAACTTGCCGTCCTTGTCGTAGAAGTCCCACGTGAACTCCTTGTCGGGGGCCGGAGGCACGCCTAAGAAGATACACTGCAGTCTGTACACCTCGGCGATCATCTTTGCCTTGTCGTCCTCAACGGACTTGCCTGCAGCAAGCTTCTCCCGCAAGACCTGCGCGTACTCGCGCAGCTTGGCCAGCAGGAGCTTGTTCATCACGCGCGAGGCCGTGGTGTTGTAGCTGTCGGGATAGACGGCGTTCGGGACAATTCCGTACTTGTCGACGATCTGGGTCATCATCGTGAACTGGCCGCCGTCGCCGATCGGGTCGGTGAGGAAAAACTGCACCAGACGCGAGCTCACGTCCTCTTTGTACGTGTCGCAGATCTGGTCAAGGAAATAGTTGGCCTTTTCGAGCTTATCGTAGAAAAACAGATACGACGGAGAAAGCTGGCATTCTTTCAGATTGAGCTTGGCCATGAGCTTGAGACGCAGCATGTTGGTGGAGGCAAACAGCCAGCAGCGGCCGGAGGCCTTCTGGTCGGTCACCGGGGCGCCTTCCTGCTGGACTTTGGTGTTGAAGACGTGGACGTCTGCGATCTCGCGGGACCTGTTGATGAGCAATTCCTCGATGTTGCCGTGCTGAAACACAGACGCGGCCAGCTTGCTGACAGGGTCTTTCTCAAACGAGTCCGTCCATTGGGCAATTGAATTGAGGGATATTTCAGACATGGGAGGAGATAAAAATGATAAAAAAATAAATAAGGGGAGAAGATTAAATTATAGGAAAAATAAAAAACGGCACTAACAGTGCCGTTCCAGATAAATACAGGAGCTCTTTGTGATCGGAATTACGTTAGCCTAGCTACTTAAATTTTGCTCTGCTCCAAAACGTCCGGAGTGGTGACTGGCCACTGGTAGATCTTACGGTTCTGGAAAACATAGCCGTTCTTCTTGAGATACTCGGTCAGGCCGGCAGGGCCTCTGGAGCCGTAGGCATATGGCTGTGGGGTTGGGGCGTCTGGGCCCTCGAGGTAGTTGAGCAGCGGCGTGAACAGGCCCCAACTGATGTCGAGCTCGTCGTCCCTGACAAAGTTGGAGTGGTCGCCGCGCAGACAGTCTCTGATGAGCGACTCGTAGGCCTCTGGGATGTAGAAGTCGGAGTATCTGCTCTTGTACGACAGGTCGAGCTCGGTGACGGCGATGCCGTTGCTGATTCCCGGCACCTTGGTGTTCATCTTCATGTACATGGCCTCGTCCGGCTGGATGCGGATGACCAGCTCGTTTCTGTTGATGTCCTTGAACATGCCGTTGGAGTTTTCTCTGAACTGGACTCTGATCTCCACCTTGCCCTCGTTCAGGGCCTTTCCGGCCCTCAAAATGACAGGAACACCCTGCCACCTCTCGTTGTCCACCTGAAGCGTCAGACAGGCAAACGTGACACACTTGCTGTCTGGCTTGACGGTCTCGTCGTCCAGGTAGCCCGGCTTCGACCCGTCCTCGGACCGCGTGTACTGGCCCACCAGGACGTTGTCCTTGTCGAACGGCTTGATCGACTTGAGCAGCCGGACCTTCTCGTCTCTAACGGCCTCCGCGTCGAACGAAACCGGTCTCTCCATCATCACCAGCGTCAGCACCTGGAACAGGTGGTTCTGCATCACGTCTCTGATGATACCGATGGAATCGAAGTATCCGCCTCTTCCCTCGGTTCCGAACGGCTCCTTGAACGAGATCTGGATCGACTTGATGAAATTGTTGTTCCAGCAGGCCGACAAAAAGTTGTTGGCGAACCGGAACGGAACAAGGTTCTTCACCATCTCCTTTCCCAGGTAGTGGTCGATTCTGTACAGCTCGTCCTCGCTCCAGAGTGGGGCTAGCTCCTTCTGCAACGCCTGTGCAGAGGCCAGGTCGTGGCCGAACGGTTTCTCGATCACTATCCTGGCAATACCTTTATCTCCAGGATGGACGTACTGTTTCAGGTTGGCGGCCACCGTGGTGAACACTGAGGGAGGCAATGCCAGGTAGAACAGTCTGTGCGACTCCTTGACCTTGCTGGCGGCGTCGTACTCCTCGATCGTCGAGTTGAGCTTCTGGAAGCCCTCCGGAGAGTCGTATGGCCCGGAGATATAGGTCACCATCTTGAGGAACTCGTCGACCTGGGCCTTGGACTTCTCGGTCGGGGTCTTGAAGTTCGGCTTGATTCTCGTCTTCAATTCCTCGTCCGTCAGCTTCGACCGAGCATACCCAATGATCCGGGTGCTGCTGGACAACAGGCCTTCTCTGAACAGTCCAAACAGGGCCGGAAACGTTTTTTTCTTGGCGAGGTCGCCAGAAGCGCCAAACACAACAATCACTGTGTCCTCTTTAAACTCGACGGTAGAAGACATGACAGAAAAACACAAGTCAGTATACTATTCGCCACAAACGACTTTTCGCAGGTTTTTTAAATGAGCAAGCGGTCCCTTTGAGCTGTGCACCGCCACGCGAAATATATTTTGGCCCCGCACCGCCACATGTATACTCCGGAACAGAGTAGTCCTGGGGTTCTCCGCCTCGGGGATACTCGGAGTTGTGGCGCAGTAGAGCGGTATCTCCAACCGGCCAGCCCGCGATTACAAATCTGCTTCGATAGTACATAAGTCTACCAGCGAGACCCCAGGGCGATCGACGTCGGGTCCGTCGGCTTCTCCACAGCCCTGAACTGTGTCCGCGTCGCGCGCTCGTCGCTCAGCCCAAACTCCTGCTCAAACGTGCCAACCCACTCGCGCACCCTACCGGCGAGAACTCCGGCCACCGAGATGCTGGTGTAGAGGTGTCTCACCCGCTCGACCCAGTCTTTGGGCGAGATTTCTGCCGGCCCGCTGATCTGCCCGCCGCCGTTGATGCACCCGCCGGGACACGCCATCACCTCCACGAGGTCGCACTTGTGCACCTCCGGGCCCGTCTCCTGTCTCTCGCCCGCGTCCTGACCCGCGCGCGCGCGTCGTCTCGCCGCGAGTCCGCCGCTCACTCTGGTGCTACCATTTTTGAGCTTGCGCACCAGATTCTGGATATTCTTGAATCCGTTCACCACGCCCGCCGTGGCTATTGTCTCCGGCCCGCGCACGAGCCGGAGCTCGTATATGTCCGGGTTTCTCCCGTGTATCGTCCTGATCTCTGTGTTTTCGTGCATTTTTTGCAAATGCAATAAATATTGGAGCGCATACCCTCCCGACGACGAGCCCTCGCAGTTGAGCCACCCGGCCGCCGCCTCGGGCCACTCCCGTGGCGCGTACTGCTCGTAGATGTGCGCGATCGGAGTCGCGTCGTGCTCGACTTCTTGGATGATCTTGTCGATATTAATGTTCTCGTCCTGTAGCAGCTGAATGAGCTCTCTCGGCGTGATCACACAGTCCACGTCCGGCGCCTCCTCAGGCGTCTCGTGCTCCGGCCGCGCGGCCTCCAGCTTCTTGTCGAAACACGGCATGATCGACAGATGGTACACCTGGTCCAGCGAGCAATTATACTGTCGACCGATCAGTCTTTTGAAAATGCAGCCGGTGATCTGCTGCGGCGACTTCACCGTGCTGAGTTTTCCCAAAATGTGCGGGTGTGTCTTCTCGGCGTAGAGCACCCAGCCAGGACAGATCGACGTGAGCACGGGACCCTGCACGTCCTTCTGCTTGCGCTCAAGTATATCGCGTGCCAGCGTATCGGTTGCTATTATACGGCCCAACCCGGTGCCTACCACGCTGACAAATCCCAGATGGTTCACAAACAGGTGGATCAGCATCTTGTCGACCTGCTCGATCGTCAGCTTCAGCGCCGCCGCCAGAGACGCCCTCGACTGATGACTAATGCTCATGACAAACTTTTTGTTGTGCCGGTCTTGTTTGAGCGCGTTAATGAGCTCCTTGTGCGAGTGCTGCGCCACGAGCACTTCCTCGGCCGACGTGATGCAGCCAGAGCACGCGAGACAGTCGGCGAGCGATATCTGCGCCTCCTGGAGCCGCGAGCTCGACCCGTCGATTTCGACCTCGAGGGCGTTGCCCTGCGCGTCGATCTGGATATCGACCGGCCCGCGCCCGTCTGCCTTCTTGGCGGTCGACGACTCCACCGGCTTCACACACGCCACTCCGGGCGTGATGAAGTCGTTCAGATCATCAGCAGATAGGATGGCACTCATACCGAATATTCTTTTTTTTTATTGATTTATTTCTTATTTTTGCCTATCTAGGACGTGCACATTTTTTTTGGCAGAATTTTGGCAGCTCACGGTCCAACCACATCCCAGTGATATGTAATGGACCAAATCACTGCTCGCTCGGGGTCTCGCGGTTGGACTCGAGATCGCTGAAGTCGTGCAGCTCGAACTCGTCTGTCGGCTGTGGCTGGATCGCATCGTAGTGGTTCTGGTCGTAGATGGTGTATCCAACGAGTCGCAAGTACAGCTCCAGAATGCCCAGGAACCACAGCTCTACCAGGCACGCAGCGCTGGTGAGCACCAGCACGTACGACGAGTGGTCGGCGCCCATGTCCATCACGAGCTTCAGCTGCTCCTCGTTGGCGCCCATGAACGTTATTCCCGCCAACACCAGCGAAAATGGTGGCAGGTACTGGAAAGACATAATCTTGCCCGACTGGTGGCACCGCTGGTCGTGGAGCAGGAACGTGATCTCCCAGATGCGCGCAAACCCGCCCAGCATCAGCACCCAGCCGAAAAAAGCGTGCACCTTGGTGGAGATCTCCATGTGCTGGGCGTGCTGCGACATGGCGTACGCGGTGAACATGAGAGTGAGCGCGGGCATCGGGTTGCGGCGGTTATTGCGGGACAGCCAGATCCCGAGCATTCCGCACGCCCAGAAGATGATGCCCATGCTGGTGTGCTGGTAGTCTCCGTGGGACCAGGGCTCCCAGGGCCTGTGCTCTGTGAAGGTGTTGATGATTCCCCAGACGGTGATCATGATGGAGTCGTAGAACTCCTGCGAGTGTTTCTGGCCGTCGCCGTGGCGCAGCCACGGCACCACGAGCACCATGCTGAGCAGGAACCCGTACCCGATGAACGCCGTGCCCATGATCCCGTGCGCGTTGCACTGCCCGGTGTGCAGGCCGTAGCAGAACCCGAGCGCAGACACGACGGCCATGCCGCTTTTGAGGAACCCGCACAGCACCAGCAGCACAGAAAACACCTTGTACACGACGCGGGCGACTTTCGGGCCGGCAAGGCCGATTTTGTCCGCGAAGAGCGACGAGCCCGTGGCCACGCTGCCCGCGAGAAGCGTGAGACAGTAGAAAAACGCCAGGAACCACGCTGTTCCGCGGCTCGTCACGTTCTCCTCGCCGCTGGGGTCCGGAAACCGCAGGACCAGCGCCTCGAGGGCGGCGTAGACGGCACACAGCGCCTGGACCGCGACGCCAGGCGCGAGGCGGCCCGCGAGCACGAAAACAGCGCCGAACGACGGCACAACAACGAGCACCAGCACCGATATCAGCCAGTGGAAAATCAGCGTCTTGTTGACGTTCTGTGCCACGGCGGCAAGGTACGACGTGTCTGCGTCGGCGCCTTCCTCAAACCCGGCACGGGCCGGGCAAACAAGCGTGGCTAGCACGGCTAGCAAGAGCGCACATTTCATGGTCTGGAGATTTTTTTGATCGCAAGAAAATAAATATTTCGTCGCGAAACGCCGTCGGCGACGCGCGTCGCTCAGCCCTTGCCGAGCTTGAACCCAAACACCCGCTTCCTCCTGTCCTGTTTGTCGGGCTTCTCCTTCTCCGGCGCCGCGTCGCCGTTCGTCTCGCTCTCCGCCGCCACCTCCGGCACGGACTCTCTGTGGTACGCGCTGGTGTCGAGCTCCTCGTTCTCCGAGGTAGCCAGGCCGTTGTACAGCAGGCGGTCGAGAAACTCGTCCTCGTTCTCGACCTCGCGGTAGAACAGCAGGTACGCCGTCGCGAGGCCCGGCCCGTCGCCAAAAAAGCGGTACACGAAGTTCTCGTCCACGCACTCGACCGTCTCGTCGTCGAAAAGAAGCCACCCAAACCGGTCGGTCTTCACGATCGCGACGTAATGGCCGTGCGACGGGCCGCCGCCGATGTGCACCACGACCGCGTACAGCTCGTACATCTTGTCGGCGTAGGCAGAGCCCTCTGTCGTGTTGAAGATGCGCAGCGTTTTCGTGTACTCGACGCGGTAGAAGAGCTTGACGTTTCTGCCCAGCTCCTCGGCGTACTTGAACCGTTTCAGGTGCAGCGCGAGGATCTTGGGCAGCTTCTTCAGCTTTATGGTTTTGGCGGCCTCCTGCAGCGAGTGGCACGACTCGCAGTAGAACTTGTTGGACTCGGTGAGCATCTCGCTCTGCGAGAACATTTTTAGGCAGTGCGTTATCGACGTGTTTGGTTGCAGGTCGATGGAAAGGTCGAGAAACAGCTCGTCGCGGGTGGAAACCGTCTCGCACGAGAGACACTTCGTCTCGCTCGTGAGCAGACCCTCGAAAAGACGGTGGATATCCGTTTCCGTGCCGACAGCGTTGCAGTAATTGTCTAGAGCCTCGATCACGTTGTTGACGAGGAAATTTAAAAATTCGTGCGCGTCCTGGTGCATCGAGCTGCGGAACATCTCGTTCTCCTTCTTCACCACCTCCACCAGCTGCTGCGCAGAGACAATCCCCACTTTCGACACGTTCTCGGTGACGCACTCGAAAACGTCCTTGAGAGCGGTGAATATCGTCTCCGACATGCCGTACTGGTCTGCGTACGAGTGGTCCAGGTTGATGATCGGCCCGCGCACCAGCGCCTGCCGTTTGCGCTGCTCGCTGGTGGCGGCGCGGTTGTCTGTGACGCCCACGACGGTGATATTTTTCTGCTGGTTCAGCGAATAGTTGATGTCGAGGTTGGCGTACTCCGGGTATTTTGCAACGAGCAGATTCTGTAGCTCTGGGTTGTTGAGGTCGGTTTTCGGGTCCTTGTCGGCGCTCCCCGCTGTGGACGGAGCCGACTGGTTCTGGCCGGGCTTGAACAGACTGCGGACCTTGGAATTCTGCGGAGTTGTCGATCCACTAGATCCCGGCGTCGAGGCGGCCACAGAGCCGTTTGTGGACGGCGTGGGGGCCAGCGAGGAAAGAAACGCGTGCGGTTTGTGGCCGGGGACTCGAAGTTTCCGCTTGCGTGGGTGTGCTGCATCGCGTTCGGGGAACGCCAAGATCTGGTGGCGGAACGAGGTCGTGTAGTAGAGCGTCTGCAGGATGGAGGCAATGTAGCACGTGTACCCAAAGTTCTCCATGCCAAACACCTTGTCGGAGCCGTCGCCGTAGGGCATGTTGGGATGGGCAGGGTCCACAACGGCGTACTCGAGCGCGGGATCGAGCGGGTCTTCGGGCGCGGGCGCGCTCTCAACGTGGGTGTAGTCTGCCTTCCAGGACTCCGAATCGGTCTCGCTCGGCGGCGGCGCCGTGTCCCGCTTGGACTTGTCTGCCTTCCATTTCTTGAACATGGTGAAAATGGAAAGAAAATCGGAGGTGTGGGGTGTTGTACAAGCGTGGGGCATACCTGTTTTTTACGTGGGGGGACGAAGAGAGAAAAGAGAGAAAAATAAAGAAGAGGAGGGACGCGCAGAGGGGCAAAGCGGACACAAACTCTGGACAGGCAAGCTTCTTCTGGCCCCCTGAGGAAGGCCACATTTTTCTTTTTTATTGATACTCATTTAATAACGCGGATACCTGAGCGTTTAGCTCAGCACAGAAATTGACCTGATCCACCTCTGACCGAGTTTCGATCGACTCCTGATTGACTCCATCGACTTTTGATCGACTTGTGGGCCCGGATCGGTCTATATAAGGCCCAAAAAATTGCTCCTCTTTTTACCCTTTTTTCTTAGCGGTAACGATTTCGCGATGAGCCCTGAGCAGACAAACAGCCCCGATGCCTGCAACAAGAACGCCTCCACGCACACATCCCCGCTGAGCATGCAGCCCCCCTCATACCCGCACTCCAGCCCAGGATACACCGCCAGCAGCTCCAAGGAAAGCCTGCAAAACTCGTTTGTCAGTGCGCAGCAGACGCTGGGATCGGGCTCAGGCACGGGGCCTCTACCGCCGTCTGCCGAGATCGACAGCCACGCGCACATCCGCGACGTTTTTGCGTCGCTGTCTGTGTCGAGCGAGCCAGAGGCGCCACAGAAGGCAGAGCACAAAACGCCAGCCAAATTGGCGAAAACCCCTTCAATCCCCGAAACGCCCCTGGGCCTGAGAAAAGAGGACTCAGAAACGTTCTCAGAAAGGTCGATACCCAGTCATCTGAGCTTCACCCCCAAAGCCGAGATTTTCACGCAGAATCACATCATGTCACCCATAATGCATCTTTCCAGTGTCACAGACTCGCATGAGTTTTTGCAGCACACGCTGGGGCCCAGCTCGGTCTCGCTGGTGTCCACAGAGAAAGTGCTGGAGCTGTACGGGCGCAACGCAAAAAAGATACGAGACCCCGAGGTGCAGTTTTCGTACGCCCAAATCCTGGTGCGCAACGGTCTCACGATAAAGCCCGCCGATGCCGCGGAAACGAAAAAACGGAAAGAGTATTTGCTGGAGGCCCACGATCTGCTGAAAAGAAGCTCGCGTGGTGGGTGCGTCGACGCACAGTACTTTCTGGGAGACTCTTATGCAGTGGGAATGTTTGGCAAGGCCGACGACTCAAAAGCCCTCAGCTACTTTGAAGCAGCCGGAAAGGCCCGACATGCAGAGGGGGCGTATAGGACCGCTGTGTGCTACCGTAAGGGTTGGGGCTGCTCCCCAGATTCCCGGAAAGTGGTCAAGTTTCTCGAAATCGCCGCATTGAACAATCACCCGGTGGCCATGATGGAGTATGGAATCTATTGTTTCAAAGGCCTCATGGGACTTCCCGATGACATAATCACAAAGAGACAAGGCATCAGCTGGTTGAAACGAGCTACCGAGGTAGCTTCCGAGCTGTCGTGTGGCGCGCCGTATGAGCTGGGTATGATTTTCCTCAATGGGTTCAGAGACATCGTGATCCAGGACACCAAGTACGCCATCAAGCTATTTTTCCACGCGGCGTCCCTAGGACATGTGAAGTCAGCCTCTCTGCTTGGCAAACTATACGAGGTGGGCAAGCTTGTAGAGCCGAACGCCGATTTATCGATACACTTTTACAACATGGCAGCGAGCAGTGGGGATGTGGACGGCATGATGGGGTTATGCTCGTGGTACTTTGTTGGTAGCGACAATTTGAAGCGGGACTACGATGAGGCATTTGCATGGGCTCTGCGTGCAGCTGGGTGTGGAATGGTGAAGGCGATGCTTTTGTTGCAGCGTTTTTATGAGCTGGGAATTGGATGCGAAAAAGACTTGACAAAGGCTAAGCACTGGGGGGACCTGGCGAACCGTAGCGCTGGCATGAACAGCGAACGCAAAAGAAGGACATTCGAATAAAAAGATCGGTTTGACAACTCAGAGGACTATTGTATATCATGTATCCGTGGCATACTCTGTGTGTGCCTCTGCGGCTGCATTGCCTTGCATGGACATATGTAGCATGGATGTTGCGAAAAAAAAAAAATTGTACAGCAGCTGGATCAGTGTTGTAAGACCGCATACGAAGATAAGCTGCCGCCTTGCGGAGGCTGCGCCAGAACACGATGTATCGCATCCAGAGTGTGCAAGTAGAAATAAATTACAGATCTGAATTCATCCTGCATAGATTGGCCTCTTTTTTCGTGCGGTTCCCGTATCCTATTTATAAGCGATGATTTCTTCCCTCTTTATTGAACCTCCTTGTTGAATACCTATTCTTTAGTTGCCTCCTCATAGGCATTCATGCATCACTGCATCTTTTCCGTCATTACACTTTACGCTACTGACTTTTGAATTGCATTTTGAAAGTGCGCTTTCGTAGACGTGGGACAATGCTAATGTCTGAAGAAAAACATATTCCCACTTGGCAGTTACCATATGAACAGCATAGCTTCTCAGTGCACCATTACCAGCAGCAGCAAGACTCTAACTTCCTGGACCCGGCCGGCTACTTTGTTCCCTATGCTAATGGCTTCCCGCAACAGACGCAATACTCATCGTACTCATCATTTGCCCCCTTTCAAATAGGTCATGTTCAACAATTGAACGCAAACCCACTCGCACAGGTACAGACTCACTACTCGTACCAATCTCCGAACTACCAGAGACAACAGTTCACACCCGACTCGTCCTTCAGCGACAAACCAAGCAGCGCGGCCGATCTAATATTCGACATCAAGAAGGAGGAGACGGAAGCTTCGCATGCACAGCCCCATCAGTACCAGCAGCCGGCCATCATGGGAATAGGGTGGCCGCTCCCCCAATTCCAGCTGGAAGACCGCTCCAATTCTCTGTTGAAACGCTCCAAATCGCTTTCGTTCGAAGACACACCGACTGCATTTAAAGCGCGTGACCAAAGACGTTCTCTACCGAAAAATGTGTTGCTGGACACCGAGGAGTCGGTGTTGTCGCAGGTCGAACAGTTGCAAAAAGATTCATCGCTGTGGGAGCTGTTGAACTCGGTTCCGAAAAAAGGAAGCTCGTATAAGTGCAGCCACTGCACCGAGAAGTTCACCACGGTGGAAAGCTTTGTTCTCCATTTGGAAAAGTACAAGCTTGTGAGATCCAACAAGTGTCCGGTGAAAGACTGTGTCCGTACCGAATCATAGGCCTCCCCAGGAAGCCCGAGTTAAGACGTCATTGTTTGTCGCAACACTCAGAGACACTGGAAAATTTACTGAGACTCAAGTTCCAGGAGGGCATCGAGCTTGACGTCCGGACATTGTCGAAGCCGAAAATCAACGAGACCGAGGTCGATCCCAAGAAAAAGAAGCCGAACGTGTGTCCGAGGGAAGGATGCGGCAAGAAGTTCAGAAGGAAAGATTCTCTACAAAGGCATGAGCGACTGGTGCATGAGAACCAAAACAGCAGGTTTAATCAACGTCTGCGTATGCAGAAGACGATTCTAGGAGATGATCTAGATGGCTGAGTCTTTAATATTTAATGTTCATTCCGACTTCCGTGGATTTTATTTGTTTGTCCAGAGTGGTCAAAATGGGTCCTATACATTGCTACACCTTGTCAAAATTTCAATCAGTCTCAACAATGCATCATTTATGCAACATAAGTACATGTACAGATCGAAATAATTGAGCACACGGGGGGTATTGTTGATGAACAAGGCAGTTCATTATTGGTAGAAGGCACGACTGTATCAGAGACCAGACAAAGAATCGAATGGTACATTCTGGCTTTCGGGGGCAGATACAAGTAGTTGAATAGGAAAATACTGCCAAAATCGGATGTCAATAAAGGTTCCGACGGTCGGAGTAGTTACCATTACGGGCCAGAAAGCGAAGACCGAGATTTGCATGCTCTGTATCACAAACACATGATTACATTTTCATGTCCGTGATCGGACGATGTGTCAAACTTGACGGCTGAGCGGCTAGAGCAGTAAGAACGAAACGAGGCGAGAACTCTATTGGATGCCACCATCATCGCCAGCCGCGGCAGCTAGCATCAGGTGCCATGGGGATCCCTCTCGAACTGAAGGCTCGCTCTCACTCAGGCCCGCAGGTTTTTTCGAGTGCATATCGTGTTTGACGCACTGCTCACCACAAAATAATCATCAGGCACGACGCACCTCGGTAACTGCGAAGGAATAGCGCTCCTGCACATATTCTGCATTTACCGCCTAGAAAAGCCGCTCGAAATTATTTTCTTTTGTTGGTGAATATTCTATAGCCAAAAAACACGAAAAGATCCCCTTTGTGATTGGACCCGGCCGTGGATACGAAGTGCCAGAAAAACTTTATTTTCCACCTGTACGTGTATCGACTGCGTTAGCCTTCATGACAGTGCGTCAAACAGGATTGTTAAACAGGTAGGACACAGACTCTCCATTGTGAAGGCGTCTGATGGCCTCGGCCAGCGTCGGGCTTATGTCAATGATTTCCAGCTTTCCGCATGCTTCTGCCATGTTGGACAGCGGCATTGAGTTCGTACAGACGATCTTCTCCAGCGAGCCTTGGCTGATTCTCGCCAGGGCCTGACCACTAAAGATGCCGTGTGTCACTATGGCAATGACAGATCTGGCCCCCCTTTCGAGCAGCAGATCTGATGCCTTGCACAACGTGCCGCATGTGTCGGCCATGTCGTCAACCAAAACACACACTTTGCCCTTCACGTCTCCCACAAGCACCATGCGGCTCACCTCGTTGGCCTTCGCCCGCTCCTTGTGAATCAATGCAAACGGCGTGTCCAGCTTGTCAGCCAATGACGCAACTCTCTTTGCCCCACCGGCATCGGGCGAAACCATTATTATGTCTGCAGTCCCGAGCTTCAGTTTGACGTATTTGAGCACCTCGGGTTCCGCATATAAATTGTCGACAGGAATGTTGAAAAAACCTTGGATCTGCGACGCATGCAGGTCCATCGTAATAACGTGATGACAGCCAGCAGTTACCAGCAGGTTCGCCACCAGCTTCGCCGATATGGCCACCCTGCTTTTGTCTTTCCTGTCTTGTCTCGCGTAGGGGAAATTCGGAACGACTGCGGTGATTCTCCGAGCCGACGCCGCCTTGCACGCGTGGATCATAAAGAGGAGCTCCATTAGATGGTCGTTCAGTTTCTCCGGGCCTCCACATCCGGTCTGGATGATGTAAACGTCTTCATCCCGGATACTTTCCTTCACCAGCACCGCACTCTCCTGGTTCGTGAAATCGATCGCGTGGATGTCTGCGATTTGCAAGTTCAGGTAGCCTGCTATCTGCTCTGCGAACTTTGGATGCGAGTTGCCCGCGATAATTTTGATCGAGTTAGGGGGCTTTTGAAGTGACATGTATTTAATTAATTTTAATTAAATAATTTCCTTCTTTATGGCATCCAAACAGGCATACAAGCGACTGACAAAAGAATATAAGCAGATCCAGGAAAACCCGCCGCCGTACATTCTGTGCAGACCAAGCGAGGAAAACATCCTGGAGTGGCACTACGTGATCACGGGGCCTCCCGGCACTCCTTACGAAAACGGACAGTATCATGGCTTGGTGATCTTTCCCTCCGACTATCCGTTCCGCCCGCCAGCAATCAAGATGCTCACGCCGTCCGGTAGGTTCCAGGTCAACACCCGAATCTGTCTCAGCATGAGCGATTTCCACGAGGATACGTGGAACCCGTCGTGGTCCGTGGCGACAATAGTAACGGGGCTGCTGTCGTTCATGACGAGCGAGGAACAGACTACAGGAAGCGTGGTCACGTCGGAGCGAACGAGGCGACAATTGGCATTAAAATCGAGAGAATACAACCTGGCAGACCCGCGGTTTGTCGAGATCTTTGCGGACCTGGCCCAGGAAAACCGTACATACAAGGAGCCGGCGCCTGCAACGCCCGAGCAGGCCAAGCCGGCGATCCTGGACCCGGAGGACCAGATTAGGGCAAAACAGATCAGAGCCCAGAGCGAACAAAGCGGTCACGGCGAAAATGGATGGGGGGTATATGTGCTGTTGGCGGTGGTGCTTGGCATTGCGATCAAGATGGCCAGCAGCACACCGAGATAGCTCGAGACACTAGGTGTCGACGTACTCCGCCAGGTCCTCCTCGTCAAAGATGATCTTGACCATGAGCGAACAGGACGGACACACAGCGATGTCCTCGCCGTCGAGCATGTCGTCGAGACCGATCTGGAAACGGTCGCCGCAGGGACAGGGGTATGTGAAGATCCGCTGTGTAGGGTCGAACACGAAGTCCTCTATTTCGATCTGGTCGTAGACTGTAATAGTTTCGGACATGATTATGTAAAGCAGAAAATGTTTCAAACTAGGCGGTGTAAGCGAAACTCTTGAGAAAAACTTCTTTTGTCCACGTGACTTCGCGCCGGGCTGGCTTGCTAGCTGGTGTCTAGTATTTTAAAAATTCTCATCCATTTTTTTATTTTTCACTAACCAACATGGGTATTTCCAGGGATTCTCGTCACAAGAGAGCTGCTACCGGTGCTAAAAGAGCCCAGTTCAGAAAGAAGAGAAAGTTTGAGTTGGGAAGACAAGGCGCCAACACCAAGATCGGAACCAAGAGAATCCACGCCGTCAGAACCAGAGGTGGAAATGTCAAGTACAGAGCTTTGAGAATCGAGACGGGTAACTTCTCGTGGGCCTCTGAGGGCATCTCTAGAAAGACCAGAGTGTCCGGTGTGGTGTACCACCCATCCAACAACGAATTGGTGAGAACCAACACATTGACCAAGTCTGCTATCGTCCAAATCGACGCTACTCCTTTCAAGCAATATTTCGAGCAACATTACGGTGTTACCCTTGGAAAGAAGACCAAGGCTGCTGAGGAAGAAGTCAAGAAGAGCAACAAGTTGCAGAGAAAGCTTGCTGCCCGTGCTGGTGACGCCAAGATCGAGCCTGCTGTTTCTTCCCAGTTCGGATCTGGTAAGCTGTACGCTTGCATTTCGTCCAGACCAGGCCAATCTGGAAGATGTGACGGTTACATTTTGGAGGGTGAGGAGTTGGCTTTCTACCTCAGAAGACTGACTGCTAAGAAATAAGCGACCAGTATGATAAATAATTGAATTTAGTCAAGAAATTATAGTAGGACAGATAGCCGAATGCAAGCTGGGCCATTGCGGTCTCGTTCGGCCGGCCAGAATGCAAGCCTCTTCACTAGGGGTTCCTGCCGTCCACCTCGCGCTCTACGTCAATCTACTCTGCTTCTCAACTAGCTTGTATTACTATAAAACACGTTCTAATGGTTAGCATCCCTCAGTAAAGGCAATATGTTTCCTCCTCAAACGTCGGTACAGGTCTGTGAGTTTATCATCAGCGAGATACTTACAATGGTCCAGCGAAGAGAATACTATACTTTTATTTTTCACCTTGAATTTTTCACCGTTTTTTTTTTTCACCTGTGAAGTGCCGATGTGTGCTGCCATTATTAAACACGGGCAGATACCTCACTCTTTCAGCTTGGCTTTCTTCTCGCCCTTCAGCTTGGCCTTTCTCTCGCGGTTCAGCTTGGCCGTGTTGCCGGCCTCGGTATCCAAAAAGAAGTCCCACATCCGGAACGACGAGGCGTAGTTGCCGATGAAATGGTGGTGGTGCTCGTCGTGATGGTCTGCTCCGGCCCAGATTGGCAGGAAGTGGTGCAGCGACCACGGGAACTCGTAACCGGAGTGGGCGTCCACAGCCTGGTACAGTCGAAGCGTGATCCAGATACAGATCGTGAACAAGTGGAGGTTTCTGGTGAAGTAGCACCACACGATCGGGATGCCCACGGTGCCGAAGCCAAGCAGCATCACCTCGATCGGGTGGGCGTACTCTGCGGCAAGTCCGAACGGAGCGGCGTACCGGTGATGCTGCTTGTGGATGTACTTGTAGAACGAGCCGTAGTGCAGTCCTCTGTGGAACCAGTAATGCCAAGCGTCCTCGAGCAAAAAGAAAATGGCCACCTGCAGGGCTATGGTCTTGAGCGAAGGGAAGGGCACCTCGTAGCTGATTCCGATCTTCTCACACACCGGGTGGAAAAACCAGATCGGAAACGCCTCGACCATGAAATGCGAAATCAGGACAGACTTGAGACACTCCCATTGCTCTCTGTTGGAAGGCAGCTTGGCGTCCTGGATCTTGTATTTTCTGAAGTACGGGATGCGGTCTATTATGAACCAGGGTAGCGAGCGGCCAAAGTACATCAGCTCGTGCAAACAGAAAAACAGCAGTCCGGTGGCAAAGATGTCGTTTCCCAGATATGTGTAGTACGCGGCCCAGAGCTGCTCCAGAGAGTTGAGGCCCTCGACCTTGCGGACTTCCTGGTACGTCTGGAAGAACGTTTCCTTGGCGGCAATGTGAATCGCGGTGTCGGCAAAGACTCTGGCTGGTTAGTTTGCTGTGCTTTTGTACTTACTTAGAACTCATTAGGCGTGTTTAAGTTTTTTGAGATACACATCTCCTAAAATATATATGCAGGTCGTGCGCTTCGGTTTTTGTGTTTTTCAAAATACGATATAAACGAGCCGGTGCAGAGGCGCACACGTCTCTCTCTCTTGCTGCTACATCACACTCCTCGCGTTGCCGTCTTTCACTCCCAGCACCCGCTCCTTGCGCGCTGGCAGCACGTTCTCCTTGTCGTCGTTCCACGAGCGTTTCAGCGGCGCTTTGTCTCCGCCCAGTGCCTCTTCAAGCTTTTCCAGCCTCGTAGCCAGGTCGTCGTTCACCGCAGCCACTGCGCTGCTCAGCTGGCCGCACCGCGCAATCGCCTCGGAGATCTGTGTCTCCTGCATCTTAGACTCGTCCTCCAGACCCGCACAGCCGGCCAGCGACTGCTCCAGCTCCGCATTCAAGTCCCGTAAAACACCGCTGCACCGCGCCTGAAGCTCGTGCAGCCCGCGCACGCGCAATGCCACCGTCGAGCCGAATCTCGTCTCTAGCTCCCGCACACACGCCTCCAGGCGCCCCAGGTTCTCGCACAGCTTGCGCGAGACGTCGTCGACCTGCTCCAGCCGCACGTCGTCCCACGCCACAAACTCGTCCCGGAACCGCGCCAGCGTCTTCTCCCACTCGGCTACGTGCCACCCGTCCAGCCGCTGCCGCAGCGTGCCGGACTGCGCGGCAACACAGGTCTCGTCGTCGGCCAGTCTGCTGTCGACCTGCGCCAAAACGTCTGGCCGATCTCGGTGCATCTGCTCCACTGCCTCGAGCACCCCGGTCACGTGCTCCTCCACGCCGGCCAGCTCTGCCTTCTGTCTGCCAGCCTGCTGCTCGACGGTTTGCCTCACCAGCCTCACAAGCTCTGCGCTCTCCTGGTCCAGCACCAGCCGCCGCTGCGCCAACGTCTCCTCCACATACTTTCTCAGCTCCGATTGCTCGCGGACAATCTGATCGTCTCTCTGGCGCAGCTCCTCCCTTAAACACGTCACCAGCTCGCGGTCCGCAGCCAGCCGCTCCAGAAACAGCCCGAACGCCGCCGCAACGTCGCGCTCAACAGCCCCCAACAGCCTCTGCACACCGCCGTCGAGAACACCCACACGCGTCCCAAACTCGTCACGTGACTCGACACACCGTGCGCGCAGCTGCCCCACCGACGACGAGTTCAGCCGCGCCATCTCTGCCGCCACGGCCGCGAGATCGCCCCTGATCGCATCCCACAGCGCGCCCAGCTCGCCCGACGTCGCCGCAGCAGCGCCCGCCAGCGACCCGTCCAGCTGCTGCGCAAACGCGGTCACGTGACCCCTCGTCTCCTGCCAGCGGAGCTGGTTGGCGTCCAGCGCGCGCTCGAGCCGGCCACGGTGGCCCTGGTGCACGTGGAGCTGGTCCGCGAGCGCTGTCGCGTCGGCGCTGGTCTTTGTGTAAGCTCTGAGCGTGTCCTGGAGCTGCCTCGTCTCTGCCACCGCCTGCGCCAGCCGGCCCTCGGCGCGCTGTCTCTGTGCTTCGAGCTCGAGCTTTGCGGCCTGCTCGTGCTCCAGCTGCGTCTCCAGCGCGTCGATGCGCTCGCGCGCGCGCTCGAACCGGTCCTGCTGGCCGCCCACGCGCGCCTCGAGCTCCTCGACGCGGATCCGCCGGCTCTCGCTCTCGCGGCACAGCTGCTCGTAGCTGGCCTCGTCCAGATACACGCCGTTCTGCGTGCGCGCGGCGTTCAGGTCCCTGGTGAGCCGCTCGATCTCGTCCATGTACTCGCTGATCAGCGTCTTCTTGTTGACGACTTCGTTGACCTGCGGCCTGTTGCGGATGCTTTTCGCCGTGTGCGCGTACTCCAGCGTGCTCAGCGTCTCCTCCAGCGACGTCTTCGCCGGCGACAGCGTCGCGATGATGCTCGTGCAGGTGCGCCCGCCGAGCGAGTCCTGCAACAGCCGTGTCAGCTTCGACTCGCGGTACGGGATGTGCGGCGAGTTGGCCACGAGCGCGTTGATCACGCGCCCCAGCGTCAGCAGCGACTGGTTGATCATGCCGGCCTCCTTGGCGCGCTGGTTCGTCGCGCCGGACCGCGAGATGTTCTCGGACCCGCCCAGGTCCACCAGGTTCAGCTTGCCCACCTTGACAAACTCCTCGCCGCCCATCTTGTGCGAGTCCTGCGTGCGCATGTGCACCGTGATGGAAAACACCGCGTGCGACCGCGACGAGAGGTCGTTGCACCGCGTGCTCGCCACCTTGCGCCGCTCAGACCCCTGCGCTGCAAGCCGCAGCCCTTCCGCCGCCGTCCGGATGTACACCTCGTGGATCCCGTGCACCAGCACGCTCTTTTTGCCGGCCTCGTCAAATATCTTGAGCGGGCGCGACTCGTCGCCCAGCAGGTCCCTGATGTTCTCGTTGTACAGCTCAATAAACGACACCTTCACAGAGTAGTCCGGCACGCTCCGCAGCAGCTCGAAAAGCTTGTGCACAGCGCGCGGGATGATGCCCGCGTCTGTGGGCAGCCTGCTGTGGTCGGCGCCCAGATTGCCCACCATCGTGTGCGTCTTGCCCGTGCCGGTCTGTCCGTACGCAAACACGGTGCAATTGTAGCCCGCCAGGATCTGCGCAAGCATCGGCTCGGCCACCGTCTCGAAAATCGACTCCTGGTCGCTCTCTGCGCCAAATACACGGTCGAACGCGTACGTGCGCTGGTGGGCGCCCGAACACACCGCGATCTGCTCGCGCGACGGCACAGACACCACGACGCCCGCGTTCTCGGCCACCTCGCGCTCGTTGCGCGCCCGGCACCGCACATACACTTTGATGTTGGAAAGCATAACAGTAAATAATAGGGTGGAAAAAAAAAGTTATTTTCTCTAGCTCGCTCCTCGTCCCTGTAAACGTAGCCGTTGTGCTGGAAGTTGCCGAGAGCCCAGTAAAAATGCGCCGCTGCGCAGCGGTAGCTGTGCTGTGCGTTGCCGCGTGCTCGCTGGCCGCAATCTCAGTGCCAGATCTGGCAGCCAGATCTGCTCTCTGTTTTTTCTGAAATAAAATATTTAGAATTTCCATGCACCGCTTGCTCACCAGCACGCTTGCCAGCCTTGCCGGCACGGCAGCAGCGTTTTCACAGCAGGAAATGCGCCTCGCCATCAACGACGACATGCAGTACAACGTGGCGCAGTGGGAACGCTTTGTGATCGACAACGAAGACGACGAGCTGGTGCAGATGTTCGTTGCGTACGAGGACAAAAACGTGCTCAAAGCCAACCAGCTCAGCTCCGCATACGCCGCATACTCGTACGTGTTCACCAAAGTGCCCTTCGCCGGCCGCCTCTCCCAGGAGGCCGCCTTCATCCACACAAACACAAACTCCAACTCCAAAGTGCAGGACCTGAGCGCTTACGTAAGCATCATCACGAAGGACCACTCGACGCAGGAGCTGGTGTACACGGACGGCGTGACGCCCGACGCGACGTTTTTGACGGTTGCGTCGGCGGGCAGCGGCTACGACGCCAGGTCTGTCGCGTCGGACGTGTGGCAGGCCTACAGCACGTACTATACGGAGTATTCAGACTTCAGCGGGTTCTATGCAGCCATGAGCAACAGTTTCACTGCTGCGTCGTCGACGGCGGTGTCGACGGCCGCAGACAGCGGCACCACGGGCGCGGCGGCCCGGCTTGCGGGCGTCGGGCCCCGTTTCGGGCTGGGCCTGGTTTTCCTGGCCCTCATATAGCCAGCGTTGATTCGCTTCCCTTGGCCATCAAACCAATATTGATGCCCAGCAGCACCAGGATCACAAGCGCGAGGTAGGTGTCTGTGAGGCCGGAGCTGATAACTTCTGTTTTCTCGGCCCTGTAGCTGTACACGGAGCGCAGATAGTTGAAGAGGGCGAGCATGAGGGTGGTGAGGCTGAGACACGCAAATATGAGGCCCATGGCGCGGCCGAACGAGTCGTCTGTGCGGAAACACACCGCCATCGCGGACACAGACAGCACGGAGCAGAACTTGATCCAGCTGAGCGTCGTGCGCTCGGCCATGAGGATGTCGCGGATTTCTGACGTGCGGTTCTTGACATGTAACGAGAGCAGGTTGGTCATAGGTTGAATGTATTTCTTTTGTCACGGCTGTGCTACGATTTTATTTTAATTTTTTATTAAATTTTTTAGATATTTTTTTTTACTGAACTATTCATGTCTAATTACACCCAGCTCACCCCTCAGACTGCGCAGCCGCAGGCCACCGTCCTGTGCTGCAACTGTGGTGTGCCGATGGACGGGTCCACGGGGCTCGTCATGTGCTACGACTGCATCAAGCTGAACGTGGACATCACTGCGGGAATCCCTAGAGAGGCAAACATCTCCTTTTGTCGTAACTGCGAGCGGTTTTTGCAGCCGCCACAGCAGTGGATGCGGGCCGAGCTCGAGAGCAGAGAACTGCTCGCGATCTGTTTGCGCAGACTGAAAGGTCTGAACAAGGTGAGACTCATAGATGCCTCGTTTATCTGGACAGAGCCGCATTCGAGAAGAATCCGCATCAAGCTGACCGTCCAGGGCGAGGCGCTGACCAACACGATCGTCCAGCAGAGTTTCGAGGTCGAATACGTCGTCGTGGCGATGCAGTGTCCCGACTGCGCCAAGTCGTATACCGCCAACACCTGGCGTGCTGCCGTCCAGATCAGACAGAAAGTGCAGCACAAGAGAACGTTTCTGTACCTGGAGCAGCTGATTTTGAAACACAACGCACACATGGACACGATCTCCATCAAAGAGTCGAAAGACGGACTGGACTTCTACTACTCGCAGCGGAACCATGCCGCCAAGATGATCGATTTCCTGAATAGCGTGGTGCCGATCAAGTCGAAGAAAAGTGAGGAGCTGATCAGCCAGGATATTCACTCCGGCACGTCGCAGTACAAGTTCACGTTTTCTGTCGAGATTGTGCCGATTTGTAAGGACGATCTCGTGGTGCTGCCCAAGAAGCTGGCCAAGTCCATGGGAGACATGGCTCGGCTGGTGCTGTGCTCCAAGGTGAGCAACATGGTGCAATTTGTTGACCCCGTTTCGCTGCAGACCGGCGACCTGTTGGCACAGGTGTTCTGGCGCACACCGTTTGTGGCTCTTGCAGACGTCACCCAGATGGTGGAGTTCATTGTGCTCGACGTGGAGCCGACGGGCCAGCGCAACGGGAAATGGCTTCTGGCCGACATCACGGTGGCCCGTGCCAGCGACATGGGCTCAAATGACCAGGAGTACTATGTGCGGTCGCATTTGGGCGGAATTCTGCACCCTGGCGACTCTGCTCTGGGCTACTTCCTCACCAACTCGAACTTCAACAACGAGCTGTTCGACGAGCTCAACACAGACACGATTCCGGACGTGGTGCTGGTGAAGAAACACTACGTGCGCTCGAATAAGCGGATGAAGCACAGAAACTGGAAGCTCAAGAGAATGGCCAACGAGCACAAAGACCTGGTGGCTGACGAGATCGTCGACTCGAGACAGGCCAGACAGGAGGCAGAGAAGGCAGAGAGGGACTACGAGCTGTTCCTGCAGGAGCTGGAGGAGGACCAGGAGCTCAGAAAGACTGTCAACCTGTACAGAGCCGAGAACAAGCCTGTTGAGGAGGACGACATGGAGGAGGAGGACGATGCTCCTCAGATCGACATTGACGAGCTGTTGGACGAATTGGACGAGATGAACCTTGGTTGATATATATACGAGTCAAAACACGTTTATTTTCTCACTGTTTGGTAGCCACCACCAGCTGCTGGATAGCCTGTGGACTGGCACCCACAAACTGGCCGTCCTTCACGCCGTCTTTGAAGGTGATGAACGTCGGCATGGCGCTGATTCCGTACTCCATCGCGACGTCCTGGGCGTTGTCCACATCAACTTTGAAAAACTTGACGTCCTTGTGGGTTTCGGACAGCTTCTCCACCACTGGGGAGATGGTTTTGCATGGAGCGCACCATGAGGCGTAGAAGTCGACGAACGCGGCCTTCTGAGAGAGCACGTTCTCCTTGAACTCGGCCAATGAATTGACCTCGACAACCTGTCTGGCAGCTCTTGAGCCGGAAAACGCCCGAATTCCCTGGCGGGACAGTGTGGTTCTCAATGGTCTGGAAAACATGATAAAAATATTTTAAATACTATCTGTATATATTCTTATATTATTTATTTGTATTATTAATTTCTATTTCTCCTATGGAAGTCAAATACATAAATACCCAATCGTTCGTCGACTCGTCCTTTTTCGTCAAGCTCTCGCAATTGAAGCTGGACGTTCTGAAACTCGACCAGTCCTCGCGCCTGGTATACGGATACTACAACTACAAAAGGCTAGCCCCCGGACAGGCTCCAGCGATTAATCTAAACGATATCAGTTTTGCCTCTGACCAGGAACTCGAGTCCCAGCTGCCGGCGCGTTCTGCGTTCATCGTCAGCGGTGAAATTACCAACGTCAACACACTGGAAGAGTTTAAATCGCAGAGCAAGCTGGAGTTTCTCACACGGGTTGGGGGCAAACTAATTGATTCTATCAAAAATAAAGCCGCGCTACAGGATCCGCGTTTGCTGGCCCAGTTTGCCGTTTTCTCGTTTGCAGACCTCAAAAAGTACAAGTTTTACTACTGGTTCGCGTTCCCTGCTCTGCACTCCGAATGGCAGATCACGTCTGAGGGGCCCTTGAATGGAGATGTGCCCGATTTGCAATTTTCGCTCGTCAGCGACGGCAAGCCCGTTCCTCTCACCCAATTGCACACCATTCCAACAGACTCGCTTTTGCACGTCGCATTTGTTGACACCTCTGCCGTGCCAGACGCCTATTCTTACGTGCTGCGCAATTTCCTGACCATGCTTGCCATGTATGGCTACCGCGACGTGGTGGTGGATGTTCATCGCGACAACCGGTCTCTTTCTCGCCAAATAAGCCTGAAACTGCAGTCGCAGGTCGATAGTCCGAAAATATCAGGCTGGGAGCGCACGTCGCAAGGGAAGCTGGGCCCGAAACTGGCAGATCTCGGTGCTTTGATCGACCCTTCGCAGCTGGCCGACCAGGCAATCGACCTCAATCTCAAACTCATGAAATGGCGGATCGTCCCTACGCTCGATTTGGACCGAATCAAGTCGACCAGGTGTCTTCTACTTGGATCAGGGACACTAGGGTCATACATTGGCCGCGCGTTGTTGGCGTGGGGAGTGCGCAAGATTACTTTTGTTGACAACGGGAAAGTGTCCTTTAGCAATCCTGTTCGACAACCGCTCTTCGAATTTATCGACTGCATAGATGGAGGCAAGCCCAAGGCCGAAACCGCAGCAGAAAACATGAAGCGTATATTTCCTCTCGTCGATGCGCAAGGTTTCACATTGGAGGTGCCTATGGCAGGGCACCCAATTACCGACGAGACAAAGCAAAAACAGGATTTCGACAAGCTGGAGGAGCTTGTGCAAACCCACGATGTGATATTCCTACTGATGGACTCGCGCGAAACCAGATGGCTGCCTACAGTCATGGGAAACGTGTACAGCAAGCTAGTGATAAATGCTGCTTTGGGATTCGAGAGCTATTTGGTGATGCGGCACGGGTGTATTAATTCATCAATATCTCCGGAGCAACAACAAGAGTCGCGACTGGGCTGTTACTTCTGCAACGACGTGTACGCTCCTTCCGACTCCACCACAGACAGAACGCTGGATCAAATGTGCACGGTGACTCGGCCGGGAGTCGCCCTGATGGCAGCATCATTGGCTGTGGAGCTGATGGTTTCTGTCTTGCAGCATCCGGACAGACAGTATGCACCCCATTCGGCCCAGGACTCGTGCACCGTTCTGGGATCGCTCCCGCACCAGTTGCGCGGATTTTTGCACAATTTCGAGATGCTCAAGCTAAGTGCCAAAAATTTCAGATACTGCTCGGCGTGCTCCGTGTCTGTGGTGCAAGAGTTCAAATCACGTGGCTGGGAGTTTGTGCAACTGGCACTGGAAAATCCGAAATACCTGGAGCAGCTTACCGGGCTCACAAACGTGCACCAACAGGCTGAGGAGGCAGCGATCAACTTCGACATATCGGACAGCGAGGGCGAGTTCGATTAGGACATAAGCATGCTGACGGCCCAGTCGACGCTCAAAGTGCGCAGGTCAGTGTATGTTTGGCCGTTTCCAACAAACAGAATAGGAATGCCCGTGGCATAGACCAAGTTGACCATGGACCCGATCAGATCGCCGACTGTGTCACATTTGGACACAATGAAAAAATCGAGGTGTCTATTCGAGCCAAACGCCTTGTTGAAATTCTGCGCCTGCAGAACGGAGTCAGTGCCCACGAGAGCCTCGCCAACCATGATGATTTTGTCTGGGTTTGCGGCCTTGGCAAACGACGCCAGAGGAGCCATCAGCTGTGTGTCGTTGTGTCTTCTTCCAGCCGTGTCGAGCAGAACGATGTCGAAGTTATTCTGCTTGGCGTATTTGATGGCTCCCGTGGCGATCTTGGCAACCAGGTCTGCTCCTCCGTATCCGCCCTCGAACAGCTCGATCTGTTTCTGATCAGGAGACAGTTTCGTGAGGTTGTTGACGTGGGTGCGCAATTGCTCCACAGCACCGGATCTGAAGGTATCGCACGCAGTGATCAGGACACGATAGTTATTCTGCAATAGCCAGTACGCGAGCTTGGACAGATTGGTGGATTTTCCAACACCGTTGACTCCAACCACAGAAATTACGTACGGGAGGTTGTCGCTGGCCTTTTTGGCCTGAATCTCCTTCAGCAAGTCTATGGAGTTGTTTGGCGTTAGCAGCTTGATCAGCTGCTTTTCCAGGCTTTTCTTGGCGGTGTCTTGCACGGAGGTGAAATTTGCTGTTGTCGAGCCAACGAGTTCTTTTTCGATTTCCGAGATGAGAGAGTTGGCCACATCTGGAGCCACGTTTTTCTTGATTAAATGAGTGGATAATGCCGACTTGACCTTTTTGATGTCCTCCTTTGTTATCTTCTTTCCTCCGATGATGTTCCTGAGGAAGCCCAACGGCTGGGACGAGGGTTCTGTAGCCTTTGCTTTCGGTGTGATGGACAAGATCTTATCCATTTCTTGCGACAGATCGCTGACCAGGAACTCTCCTGTCTTGGTTTTGGAGCCAAAATGGGCTTTGTCACCCACCAGCTGATTGAGATTAGCAGATCCGTTATTTTGGGCGGACGAGTCTGTAGAAAAGTCCAGATCCGAGCTTTCTTCGTTTTCCTCGTAAAATGTTCCGTCAGGGTTCCATTTTCTGGACTTTTTGTTCCCCTTCACTTTCTTCTTGTCCTCCTTGAGCTCCGGCTTTGGCTCTTCCTTGACCTCTTCCTTCTTCTCCTCTAGCGTTTTGAGATTAAGCTCGAAAAACTGCTCGAATTTGGCATGGTCCGAATTCAAGTACAAGGTTTTGATTTTTCGAAGGAAAACAAACGGTGATTTGAGGGCCAGCACAGAAACGTGGATCATCACAAAAACCAGCTTTGTGTGTTGTTGGTTGACAGAGAGATACTCGACACTGTACTTGTCCACATGATAGCTACCCACGGTGGTTCCCTCCTCGTCCTGGACCTCCTGGGCGTCGTCCTTCTCTGCCTGCTGGAAAGTCTTCAAGTTGCGCTCTGAAACGAGAACATCGTCGATGAATGCGTTCACTACATTGGAAAGGTTCTTTCCGGGCTGGTAGTTGAACTCGACTTGGCCCGTTGGTCTGAAAATTAGAAACTGGTCAATCATGGGAACACAAGATTAGTTGGAAAAAGATATGGAAAAATCATATCAGGTTTAATTAGTGCGGAAAATTAAAAAAATAAAAAAATAATTCACATACAAAAAATATTTCAAAGTACTGAAAAATATCTTTAATGTCTGATTTCGCATCTCTGGGACTACCGAGATGGCTCGTGGAGAGTCTGCAGGCGATGAAGATTACCAGGCCAACAAACATCCAGGCCGCATGTATCCCCGAAATCCTCAAGGGCCGCGACTGCATTGGAGGAGCCAAGACCGGTTCGGGTAAAACCATAGCATTTGGAGCGCCGATGCTGGCCAAATGGTCGCAGGACCCGAGTGGAATTTTTGGCGTGGTGCTCACGCCCACGAGAGAGCTAGCTATGCAAATAGCAGACCAATTTGCTGCCCTGGGAGCTACAGTGAATTTGAAAGTGCGACTAATTATTGGAGGAGAGTCTATGACAGACCAGGTTGCAATGATCAAGGAAAATCCGCATTTCATCATCGCCACGCCTGGACGGCTCGCGCACATCATCATGGAGAATGAGGACGAATGTCGCGGTTTAAGACGTGTGAAATATCTGGTTCTGGACGAGGCAGATCGACTGCTGACCGATTCGTTCACCGACCATCTGCAGACGTGTTTCGAGGCGCTTCCGAACCCCAACAAACGTCAGACGCTACTGTTCACCGCCACAGTGACAGACTCGGTGCGTGCTTTGAAGGACAGACCTGTTGCTCCCGGGAAACAGCCCGTGTTTCTGCACGAGCTGGACAATGTCGACACCGTCAAGATTCCCAGCACTCTTCGGCTTCTGTATGTTCTGGCGCCCGTGGTGGTGAAAGAGAGCATGCTGCATAACATATTGACCAACGAGGACTACAAAGAAAGCACAGTCATTGTATTTGTGAACCGTTCCGAGACGGCAGAGATTTTGCGCCGTCTGCTTCGCCACTTGGAGGTCACCACCACGTCGCTGCACTCTGAAATGCCCCAATCAGAAAGAACAAACTCGCTGCACAGGTTCCGCGCCGGCGCTGCGCGTGTGCTGGTGGCGACAGACCTGGCTTCCAGAGGTCTGGACATCCCAAGCGTGGAGCTGGTTATAAATTTTGATATTCCTCGAGACCCAGACGATTACGTCCACCGAGTCGGTAGAACGGCGCGTGCAGGCCGCAAGGGTGACGCGATCTCGATGGTGACGCCCAACGACCTGAGCCGGATCCTGGCGATCGAGGACCGTGTAGGCGTCAAGATGGAGGAGCTGGCGCTCAGCGACAACAAGGTGATCAAACACAGTCTCAAGGCGGTGTCGAAGGCTAAGATCGAAGCCCGCATGGACATGGAGCGCGAGGGCTTTGGCGAAAGAAGAAAGCGCAGAAAGGAACGGGACGGAAAGACGAAGCGTAGGAAATAGAGATTTAATTAGAATTGTCACATTTGCAACCAGTACTTTTTTTTCATAACCGTATAGCATATCTAGCAAGACATATAAATAACGAGTCTATTTCTTCTTCTTCTGTCTCTCAATATGCGCACGCAGAACCTTCTGCCTGTCCCGTAAACTCAACTTCTGCTTTCCCTGCACAGCCTTCTTGTGGATCATCATCACAAAGTTCTTCTTTCTCTGTTTCTCTCTGTTCGTGGTGGAGTGCGGAGCGTCTCTCTTGCCCTTCCGAGAACCAAACTTGTCCCTGTCCTCGCGGCCCTCCTTCACCTGCTCCAGCCGCTCCTCCTTTGTCTGTTTGTACTTGACCCGTCCAACCAGCGACGAGTGGTCCACCGAGTCCTCGTTCTTGTACTTCTCGCCCATGATCTTTTCCACGCCGGCCACCTGGTTCAGCTCCTTCAGCTTGGCAAAGTCGGCAGGAGTCAACACCTGCGTCAGCGTCTGCTGGATAGCTTTCTGGCGCTCGTCGTCGTCTTCGACCTTCTGTTTTTTGCTTGGCTTCTCACTCTCGTCATCCGACAGCTCCAGATCAGAATCCTCGTCCTGCACCTTCTTCTTGCTCTTTTTCATGTACTTCAGGTACTTTTTCTTGATGCCCTTGCGCTCGAGCTTCTCCTCGTCGTCGTCGGAGATCTCGATCTCTTCACCGTCCTTCACGTCCACCCAGTCACCCTCAATGTCGTCAGCGAGATCCTCCTCCTCAGACTCTGGAAGCGTCCAGTCCTCGGCACTCTCCTTGCCCAAGGTGCCCTGCTCCATCTTCCACTTGGCCAGAAGCTCCAGTCCAGGAATCCCTTGCACGATATTGGTCTCCACACCGAACTGCGGCAGACCCTTGCCCCCGTCGTGGATAATTTCCATGGTGGCAGATTTTCCCCTGTCTTTTTTAGAGAGCATTTCCGGAGCCACCTCTCTGTAAAGCGAGATCAGCGACCGAGCAGCCTGAACCACGTTCTTCGCCTTGGACGATTTGTACTCGGTCAAGTCCTGCAGCAGCGTTTCGTCGATTCCGGCAGGGTTTCTTGCCAGAATCTCGCGGATCGTGTTGATTCCTGCAGCTGCAACCTCAGAGGCAACACCCTCGGAAACGAACTCGTCTGCGATTTTTCGCACCACCATGTTGATGGTCTCTGGAGGAACGAGATCGTGCGAAGCCTGTGCGGACGCCGCCATGATCTGAGTCACGTTGCGCTGTTTGGGAGTCAGGTATTTCAAGAAAAACGAGTAGATTCCCAACACGGTCAGCTTGTGAGTACCAACGAGACGCGAAACCAGATTCATGATGGCGATTTTCTGGTCGAGATCGAACTTGTTGGAGTTCTTGCTGGCCAAATGCTGCTCGTATAGGTCCTCTGCGAATTGCTGTGGGTCTCTCAAAAGATGGATGGCAGAGAAATTCAGATACGTGGTGTTGCCCTTGGACGATTTCTTCTTGACTTGCTTCAGAGCCTGTTCCAGCTTCTTTCCTCTCTTCGACGACTTCTTGTTCACCTGCATCTGGTGGCGAATAGCGTTTGGGTCCAGCTCCTCGTCGTCTGACTCCGCCTCCAGCATCTCCTCTCGTTCCTTGTCTGCTCCCAGAAAGAAACGGATACCCGATATCACGACCTTGGTGTCCGGGTGCAGCGATGCCTGCGTCATGATCTCGACGGTCCGCGAGTCGTCCCACACGCCTCTTCGCCACAGCTCCCGGGTCAGTTTCGTGGCCCACAGTCCGTTCCCGTCCTTCTGCTCCAGCAGGTTAAACAGCAACGCCTGGGTCGACCTGTTGAGTTTCTGGTTCTTGACTCCGGTGTTGCACGACTTCAGCAGCGACACCAGAGAGCTGTATATCTGGTGTCTGAGCTGCTTGGCATGCAGCCCGTTGTTGCCCTCGATTTTAGGCCCGTACGCGCTCAAAAGCGGGAAAATGGTCTGGATCAAATACTCGGCACTGATAACGTCCTTGTTACGCAACATAACCAGACACTGGATGATCTTCTCCCGCAGGTCTGGCGTCAGATCGCGATGGTTATTGGTCAGTATCGTCTTCAGATCGTCTGGAAAATGCTCTGTCTCCTTTGGATAGCACGAACACACGGCAGACATGAACCCGATCAGCTCTGCAAACTCCTCTCCGTCATGGGACGAAGGAGACAGCAGGAATATGTCTCGCATGGACTCGTAGTGCGCGTACTGCTGCAAAAACTCCTCATAGTACGATTCAGGGTCTCTTTTAACGAGGTTCTGAAGCAGCGCGATGTTGGTCGGCAGAATGGCGGCTCTCTTTCTCTTCACCATGGGATACTGTGATAAAATAAATTTTTGTGAAATTTTTTTATCAGGCGGTGTACCGTGGGGCAGGAGCGATCAGGTACCGTTGGATTTGGTAGTCGTTGAGTGCTCAAGAACCGAGCGGCGAGCATGAGTGACACGCAAAGAGGATATGTCGTTTAACTAAACAAGCAAGAAGCGCTTTCACAACGGTTCTATGGGGGTTTCATACAAGCACCAGGACAACAAGAAAAACGCTCCCGTGCCCAGCCTGATTTAACCTCCCTCTAGCCTAGTATGCAATATCTACACCCGTCCCTTACCGTGCATACCTAGCCTAAAAAATGGAGCGTCCCGTAACTGCTCTTCATGCTACCAGCTACCGTTTTTAAATGCGCTATTACGTAAACACACAGTTAAATATTCGCGTGCACCGTTTTGTTTATTATTATGTCTTTTGACACGCTCAGACTCTCATCCACACCGCACTTGGTGGGCCGCTGTTTAAGATACCCACCGACGTTTGCGAACTCTGGCGGTCTGCCCAGGCCCAAACGGTTCCCCGTGGACCAGATGCAGAGTTTCCGCGACCAGGAGGCTGCTGTTTTCCAGGACCTCTTGTTTGTTTTGATCGGGCTTGAAGGATTTTATATACGGTATGCGGACTCATTCAGCATCGACGACAGCCCGCTGCAGCGTCTAATTGGTCCGGATTTCTCAATCAACAAGCACCTCGACTCGGGACTCAAGGATATTGCCAAAAGGATCAGCCGTCTGGGGAAGTACTACGTGAGTCTGGTGTCGTTTGTGGAGCAGTACGACGATCTGGAGTACGGCACCGTTGTCCAGGCTCTATGTTATGAAATCAGAGAGGTTCTGCGTGTGTATGAGTCGATCTTGGTCCAGATTGAGCACGAGTTTCACCACAACGCAAATTATTCTGTCACGCTGCTGGAGCAAGATCTGACCGTCAATACGACGCTCCAGTTAACCCATTTGTATGAGCTGGTGATACAGATTGTGCAGGAGAACGAGAACCGCAAAGACTCGTCCAACATGAACAAGATGCGGTTTGAGAGCATGCTGAAATCTCTCAAGGACGATCATTACACGGGAACTTTGGACGGAGTCACGTCGGACCCCACTAACAGCAAGGTTGTCAAGGGCGGTTTGGTTTTGAGCTTCATTCAGTCGGGAATCGACAAACACAAGGGAGACGCCGCGTCTTACCAGTTCATGATGGACCTATTCAACAAGGTATCTGTTGGCTACGTATTTATGCTCAATTGGTGGCTTGAAACAGGCACCATCGAAGACCCTTATGAAGAGTTCTTGATTCACCAAAACCTCGAAGGATCTCGTGTAAGCGAGGATTACTGGGCGGACAAGTTTACGATTCGAAGCGAGGGACTGCTGAGGCAGTTCTATCCTCCTAATGTGCAGAAAAAGGTCATCCTTACCGGCAAGTATCTGAACGTGCTAAAAGAGTGCGGCGTCGATGTCGACAATTTGGGCTCCATCGAGCATATCAGGACTCTACAGGACAACGATCTATTTATTCGGCTAGATGAAGCTTACACCAGAGCTAACAAGCTGATCATTGACTTACTGTTCAATGGATACCACATTCGGGAATTTTTGGAAAGCCTGAACAAGTACTTTCTACTCACGAATAACAGCAGCTTCAATGATTTCATCACCGACAGTCTTTCCGAATTGCGCAAGTCAAAAGAACACGCTTCTATCAACACGCTCACCAAATTGTATCTTTCTAGCTATCATAAAGACGACATGATAGACGATCATCCGAGCGCCAAGAGCCGACGCCTGATCTTTAATCTCGCGACCCTGTCGCTCACTAAATATACGCTGCTGGACGAGCTGGTGATGATCTTGAGCGCTAAGACCACCAACTCCGAGAAAGTTTTTGCTTCATCCGACTTGAACTCGCTCAAAAATCTTCTCAACTCCACGCTCGAAGCCAATGAAAACAACGCTAAGACGAGCGTCCTGACAAATACCAAAATTGATCAATACGCCGTGTTCAGCTTCTGTCTCGACCTCGAAGTGCCCTTCCCGCTGAACTTGATCATCACCAAGTCGCAAATGGTCGAGTACCAGTTCATCTTTCGTAATCTCTCTTACCTCAAATTTGTGGAAAAGTGTTTAGAGATATCGTGGCGGGAAATCACGCACCAACGGTTCTGGAAGTGGCAGTTCCGCGACGAGAGGTTGCGCCGGTGGATCAAGAGGGCCAGAGTGGTCCATGCCAAAATGCGGACGTTTGTGAACCTGTGTTTATTCTACTTGAACTACGACGTCATGCACGCTAATTGGAAGAAAGTTGAATCCGTTCTGGAGAGCTTGAAGACCGACTCGAGTGTCGAGCTTGAAACGGTGTTTTCCTCCATCAAGTCGTTTTTGAGCACCATTTTGTCCGAGTCGATGTTGACCAAAATCAGGCTGGCACAGATTGTGAACCAGCTTTTCGCAATCATTGTTCTGTATCATAATTTTGTGATGGCCCTGAGAAAAACACTGATTTTGATGGACGAAGATCTTTTCACCGAAAATCAATCAAAGCTGTCACCAGGAACCACCTTTGTTCCCGAAAAGAATAACACCCGAATGAGACGTTTGATAGCAGGGCTCAAAAATTACGAAGAGAAATACTACTCCAAAATGAGCGACATGATGGATGCACTGAAGTACTACGGTGAAATAGATTCTCCGTCGTTATTACGTCTATATGAGGAGCTGGCACTGTCTTTCAACATGGAGGTTTACTAAGGATCCACTTTTCCAGAACACTCGGCCATCATTTCCAGCACTGTCTCGATGTTTTCCTTGCGCATTGCACAACATGGAACAATCTTCCAATGGCGTTGCTCCACAAACTCTTTGAGCTTCAAAAAGTGGCTTTCGGCTCCGTCCAGATCCGCTTTTGTAGCCACGATCAGCACGTTTTTGTTTTCCATTCGTTGAGGTCCCATTTCCTGAAGCAAGACCTCCAAGTCTTCCACAGGATTTGCGCTGCCTAAAGATATCACGAACACCAAACCACCCGATCTCTCCACGTGTCGCAAAAACGTCAGACCCATGCCCCTATTCTCACTGGCACCCTTGACCACCCCAGGAATATCAGCCACTGTGAAAGGCGGCTGATCAATTCGCAGCTGTATCGTTCCGATTGTAGGTTGCAGCGTGGTGAACTCCCAGTGGCCCACGCGTGGCCGAGCGTTGGAAATGGCGCGCAATAGGGTGGACTTGCCCGCGTTTGGCAATCCAACCAGTCCAAGATCCGCCAATAGCTTGAGCTCAAAGATGAAATTCTGCTCCAAGCCTGAGCGGCCAATTTTTGCAAACCGCGGATTGCGGACGTTGGACGTCAAAAAATGCATGTTTCCCATTCCTCCCCGACCGCCTTTTAGAATGAGGACCGGCTCTTTGGTGGGTTCTGCGAAATCAATGCCTTGAATAGGAAACACGTCCTCCATGAGCTCGTGGCGTCTTTGGTCTTCATCGTAAAGTTTGACACGCTCATTGAGGTCCACGAAAAAGTCGCGCTCCATGTGGTATTGTTCGTCTTTCTCCTTGAACATCCATCCCTTGCCCGGCTCATAGCTGTCTCTGAAAAACTGGATATTTCTCGGCACTCTATCGCGTCTGGAACCAGCGCTTGCCTTCACATGGAAAACCTGGTTGCTGTCTGAATCTCTCAGTGAGCGAATCTCCTTGGGATCGGCACACCACATCATGGTTGTCCCAACAGGAACCTGTATATACACGTTTTCGCCTCGTTTCCCGTCCAGTTGACCACTTTGACCGCTTCCACCGTTTCCTGCGACATATTTGGCCTTGACGCTATGCAATGAACTCAATCCCTCGACTGCGGAAACATATATGCTGCCACCGTCTCCACCATCGCCTCCGTCAGGCGGCCCCACGGCAATGCCTGTGTCTCTGAAAAAGGAAACCGCACCGTTTCCACCTTTGCCCGATCTCACCTTGACGACCTTCAAATCTGAAAAGGATTGCGAAGAGTCGGCTTTGGGACGTTTGTTGGACGGCAGTCTCGAAAACGGCGACGATGCCACGAAATACTCGGATGCGGGCACAGAAAGCGTAAAGAACGAGGTTCCTGGCTGGCTATGCGGAATTGCTCTTTTCACCACCTTGACGTGTTTGCCCCCGGGGAGTCTCAATTCAAAGTACTCTGGGTTCGAATCTGACTCGAGCTCTGAAGCTTCTCGTATCTCGTAAGTTGATTTGGGCAGTTCTGTATGGCTTAAAGATTTTGGTGTTATTGGAGACCTGGCCAGTTTCTTGAGCCAGGCAGCATTTTCTTCCAGTGTAGGCGCGTTGTCGGGCACTTTGATAGCTCGCAATCGCAGAGATCGGGAAAAATATCGAATCTGTCTGGCGAACATGAAAGATAAATATTTTCTCTACTTGATTTTTAGTATTATTTTTTTTGATTACAGTATTTTTCACAAATAAATGCTAATTGAATTAGTTCTACTCCTTTCTATTTCCTAAGATACTCCTCATAGCCAACAGACCCCAGCCGTTCAGCCTTTACCAGCACCTCATCTTCCATCTCGCTCATGTATTTGGCCATCTTGTTGAAATACACTGGGTCGAACGAGCCAAGGATACGCACAGCCAGGAGCGCAGCGTTGGTGGCATTGTTGATGGCCACAGTCGCCACAGGCACTCCTCTTGGCATCTGGACTATTGAATACAGCGAGTCGACTCCGTCAAGAGTCGATCCCTTGACAGGAACACCAATGACTGGCAGTGGAGTCATGGCAGCAACCATTCCTGGCAGATGGGCAGCTCCACCGGCGCCAGCGATGATGCACCGAATTCCCCTCTCTGGGGCTTCGGCAGCATACTTGACCATTCGCTGAGGCGTTCTGTGGGCGGACACAATGGTAACCTCGAAAGGAACGCCAAAAGACTTCAAAATATTGCAACCAAGGGACATCACAGGCAGATCCGAGTCCGAGCCCATTATCACGCCGACTAGCGGCTTGATGCTGGTTCCTGCAACCGGTTTGTTGCTTTCTGGTTCTTCCAACGTTTTAGTTTTGCCCTCGATGTACTCTAGTCGACGGATGCAGTCATCCATTGACTGCGAGACAATGTTGATGTGGCCCAGTTTACGACCCGCTCTGTTGGACTTTCCGTACAGATAGACAGACGCGTGCGGAGTTTCAAGCGCTCTCTGGCACTTTTGCAACCACTCTTCAGGATCAGGGCTGCCCAGCACGTTTAGCATGATAGCATGGGTAGATGGCGTGGAGAGAGAAGTAAAGTTCTTTGGCAGCGGCAGACTGCAAACGGCACGGATATGTGCCTCAAACTGGCTTGTCACACACGCATCGATGGTGTAGTGTCCAGAGTTGTGTGGTCTGGGAGCAATCTCGTTGATCAACAGCTCGTCATTTGGTAGCAGGAACATTTCGACACCAAAAATGCCGGCTCCCGTGAACACAGACACAGCCTTTTCCGCCAAGAGTTGCGCGCGCTTCTGTATGGTGTCATTGACACGGGCAGGCGCAAACACCGTGTGACAGATATTGTTTTTGTGAATCGTCTCTACGGTAGGATAGGCATGGACGTCTCCGCCAAGGCCCCTCACCACCATCACTGCCAACTCCTTGGTGAAAGGAGCCCATTTCTCAGCATACAGCGGTCTGTCCCTCAAAGCTTCCAATGCCTCTGGGATCTTGGAAACGTCTTCAACAACAAAGTTACCCCTGCCGTCATAGGCCATCGTTCTGGACTTCAGCATGTACGGATATCCATACTTTTGTCCCACAGATTGCAAGGCCTCGGCAGTGCCCTCAACGGCAGTGGACTCGGCAACGGCGATCTGGTTCTTGATCAGATGCTCTTTCTGCAAGTACTTGTCTTTGATAAGAGCAATGGTCTCAGGAGACGGATAGATCTTGACGGACGTTTGGTCCTGCACTTTCTTCAGGGCCTCAACGTCAACATGCTCAATCTCGACGGTCAGCACGTCACACTTCTCGGCGAGCTTACGAATCGCCGCCTCATCGTTGAAGGAGCCGTCGATGTGTTCTGCACTGGAATTGATCTGCTTGGCCGGCGAATCCGCGCCGTTCTCAAGAATAACTGTCTTGATGTTGAGCCGGCTTGCTGCCTCAACCATCATGCGGCCGAGCTGGCCGCCGCCCAATATACCAACGACCTTCGAGTCCATGTAAATTAAACTAAATTGAATTATTTTATTTTTTTGACTTGGATATTATTATCTATGAAAAAGTGCCGATTACGTAACACAGGGGCTGGGAGCACTAACGCACCACCATTTCGCCGTCCTCAAAGTAGTACTTGTAGTTGGTGAGCAGTTCCGAGCAGATCTCCTTTGCGCCGTCAAAAGGAGTGAGATTGGGAGCCATCAACACGCTCAGCGCGCCAATACTCATCTTGTTGAGATCCTTGTGTTTGAGCACCTGCTGGAAGTATCTGAACAGCACGTATAGGACGTCGAAGTTCAAGATTGGCAGTTTTTGCAATGTTTCCTTCACCTTTGGCACGGACGCCTCGTGGTCGGCCGCCAGCGTGAGCGACATGAGTTCCTTGGCTTCTTCCTCAGGGATCACCGTCACTTTCAGCGTTCGCAGATATCTCTTGAAGAGAGTTGCAATAGAGTGCACGTCAGGAGGCGACGGCAGCGTTGAGAAGTCGCAGTCGTTTTTCTCGTTGAAGATCTCCTGGATTTTGTTGACTTCCGACATCATTCCGTTCAGACGGAAAATACCCTCGCTGTACACGGCATTTTTTTCCTCGAGGTATGACAGCGAACGGTAGACGACAGAAGGAACGGATTTGCCGTATATTTTGAAGTCTGGAGCTCTGTTGAAGGACTCTTGCAACGTTGAGCCAAAGTACTTGGAAACCGGCTCGAATTTCTGGAACGAGGTGTCGCCCGGCGGCAGCAGCGGTGTCTGAACGGCTCCGAGCGACACCAGCGTTCCGGAGTAGGGCATGGCCTTGAACTCGAGCACGTCGGAGGAGGCGTTAGCGGCCGGGATTGTGGACTCGCGCGAGCGTTTGAGGTTGAACCATTTATTTTCAGACACAGCCGGCGATGGTAGCACGGGCTCGTGCTGTGTTGGCGTGGACGCCACGGAGACAGGGTAGTCGACGGCTGTTGTGTTGGACGGCGACGACGCGACGGAAAGCTGGTCGCCCTCGTACGACTGGTACTCGGCAATGGCGCGGCACCAGTCCTCTGCGTCTGGCACGGACTCGCAGTAGAGCACGTGATGCTTCACGGAACGCAGCGACTTGCGTTTTTTGCGCGAGATGGTGATGATCTGGTGTTCGCGCGACACCAGCACGTCGTTCACGTGCAGCGTGTCTGCAGATTTGGTAGCAAAGTCGGTGATGCTCAGATAGTGCTCGATGGAGTCGAGACTGAGGATGGCGAGACGGAAAACCTTTTTCAAGTTTTTGGAGCCGACTTCCACGACGGTGGCCTCGCGTTTCGACATGTCGTGTGCCTCGTCGGGCGTGAAAAAGTCCCGGAAAAGTTTCCACACGTTGGACCCGCGCTGGGTGCGCATCACGCGGCACAGCTCCGAGACGTACATCTTGACGATGGATTTCTGTGTGTCCCAGACCAGAGGGTCGATCTTGAGGAACGCCGACTTGTCGGGCAGCATCGGCAGATGTGTGAGGCCGAAGTAGCGCAGATCGTGGTCCAGAGTCAGGAGTTTGGAGTATGGCTGGCGAACCAGGTACAACGGGACCAGCTCGCCCGGTCTTTCGTTCGAGTTCACCATGAACGACACCATGAAGTCCTCTCGTTTTTCCAGAACGGCCTGCGGGTCAACACAAGACTCCACGGTGATCACGGTGGAGTCGAACGAGGAAGAAATATAATCGTACTGAGAAGAGTCGGACGGCTGCTGCTGGTGAGAGAAAGTCGGGTTCGGCGCTCTTTTCGGCGAGGGAGTCTTCAAAATGGACTGGCGATCCGGCGACAGGTTGAGCGACCGCAGCGGCGAAACCGTGGATATGGAGGCAAAATCTTTCAACGGCGAGAAATCTTTCATCGGAGAGAACTGGTTTCTAGCAGGCGATAGCACGCTCGCCAACGCGTCTCTTTCCGGCGTCTGCGCGACCTGCTGCGGCGCAATTGGCTCTGGCTTGGTTCCTGGCCTCAGTTCGGGCCTTGTTTCGTGCTTCAACTGGGGCTTTTCTGCCATTGGCACCGTTTTCGCTTTAGGTTCCACCTTGTGCCCCACTTCCTCGTCCTTTTCTTCTCTCTTTGGAGTTCCCAGCAGCTCGTACGCAGGCCGTTTTAGCGAATTGTTGCTGCTGCCGCTGTTGCTGAACACAAACTCGTCCACAACGGGCGTGTGCGTCTCTGACACCACCGGCTTCTGTCTTCTGGGAGAGCCCTTGCGCGGAGAAGAGCCCAGCGTCATGTCCTTCAGAAGCTCCTCGGCGGCCGCGCTGCGCGCAGGCGAGTCGCGCATCGCGACGCGGCGCTCGCTGCGCTCGGGAACGTCGATGTCGGCGTCGTCCAGCGGGTTTATCACCTTGTCCAGGACCTCCTGCTGCTTAACAGGCGAGTCCCAGGGGTTGATTGCGCTCTCGCGCTTGTCGACACGTTCCCGTGTCAAGGTTTCCAAATGGATAATACGAGCCTTCTGCGAGGCCACCAGTCGTCGTAACTCCAACAGCTCGTCGTTCAGTGTTTCTTTATCGCCCTGCAATTGGTCAATCTGGCTGCGAAGACGGCCATTTTCCTCCTGGAGCGTCTTGTAAAACCCTCCGTCGCGAGAATCCGAGTCCAAGCTCTCCTGGCTCTCGAGCTTGGCCCCACCGGAAGCTATTTGTTCCAGAGAATCCATCACAGAAGAAAGAGATTTGGAGCTCGCAGGACTCGCCAAATTCTCAGCCATGTAATATGTGCTATGGTGAAATCACAAGGGCTGTTTTGGCGCAGAATAATTACCACACACAATACACTTCCAGTAAATATTAGGATCCTATTTGGTAAATTAGCTGAATTACAGTTTCACCTGCGGAAATTGGAAAAAAAAAAAGCTTACGCGTCACACGTCGGTCCGCCGCCGTACTAATAATATTAATAGATATTCAAATCAATCCTCAGCTTTTTTGATGAAATCAGGCAAAGCGTTCGCCTTATCGTTGCTCTCCAAAGACACATACTCCTCCCAAAGCTTGACCAGCTGCTTCTTCTCGTTGTTCTCGACCTCCAGCCGTCTCTTGAAACTCTCCACCTCGCCGCGTAGCTGCTCGTTCTCCTTGTTCAGCTTCTTGAGCTTGTTCATCCATTTCATCTCGTAGCCCTTCTTCAAAATCGCAACCTTCTGCTCATGTTTGGCAGAATACTGCAAATATAGGTCCTGGGCCAGCTTCTCCAGCTGCTGTTCGAGGTTCTTGTCGTGCTCCTGGATCTTGGTGTTGGCCTCCGCAAGCTGGCTCTCTAGCGTGGTCACTTTCTGTTTCATTGTCGAGGCCTCCGTCTTGGCTTCCACTAGCTTCTCGTTCTTAGCTTCCAGATTGGCGTTTAGATCGTTGATCTGCGCCTCTGTGCTGCCTCGCAGCGCAGTCAGCTCTTCCCGCAGCTTTTCCAGCAGCTCCTCGGTGTTCTGGTCCGCGCGGCTGCTCAATTGCTGGCTCAACTCCTCATTCTCGGCCTTAAGACGTTTGATCTCGTCGCGACGGTGTCCCATGACCTCTTTCAAACTAGTGTTCTCATCAACAAGTGAAGTCTCCCTCTCCTGCAGACACTCGATCTCCGAGCGCACAGCACTCAGCTCGTTCTCCAGTGCAATGATTTTATCCACGCCAGACCTCAACTCGTCCTGGTATGCGTTGAGTTTCTCGGTAGCTTGGCTCAAGTCAAGTTCAAGACCCTCGATCTTGACCGCTTGCTCGTCAAGCTTGTCACGCAACTCGCTCGCATCCTTTGTCTTTGAATCAAGCTCCTTGGCAAGATCTTCAGTCTTTTTCAGGGCAGACTCGGAATTGCTCGACACGTCCTTTAGTTGGTTTTCTAGCGACTCTTTCTCTTTGGTCAGTTGCTCAATCTCGTTCAATCTCAGCTCCAGAGTAGACGACAGCTCTATCTTTTCGTTGGACAACACGGCTTTCTCCTCCTTCAGGCTGGTCACTGATGTCTCTAAATCCGAAATGCGCGCAGTCTTGTCTGCTAGCTCAGACTCAAAGTTTTTCGCCGTTCCCATCAGTTGACTGTAGATTGTTTTCAGCTTTTCGAGTTTGGACTCGTAGAACCTGACTCGAGACTCCAATTGGCTGATTTTGGCATTGGAAGACTGGATCGACTGCTTGTATGATTGAAGCTCCGCAGTAAGCTCCGCCTTCTCGTTCAACAGATGTTTCTTTTCCCCGGACTCGGATTCCAGTTGCGCAGATACAGATGCTAATGCACTTTCTGTAGAAACAAGCTTCTCTGATTGGGCTGCCACCTCCCCTCTCAATGCGTCAATACTGCTCTGCATGGAAGACTTGATCTGTTCTAGTTGAGAGTTCGTAAACACCGGTCTTTCCTCTGCTTCGTCGCCACCAACAAGCTCAAAGTCCTCGATCTCGTCTTCCTGATCAATCATGGCGCTGAAGACGTCCAGGGCAGAGATTTTCTGTGAAAGCTTGACGGGCGACATTCTCTCGTCCTGCTCGCCCTCAGAGTCCGAGATGTCTGCGTGGTGGTCCAGCGACGAGTCTGCCGCAATCGCCGAAATGTCGTTGATCTGTGTACCCCTGTGCCTGAGTCCCTTGATCACCTCTGTTTCGCCGTCTATCTTGTCCTCCAGCAGCTGTCCGTGGCTCACGTTGGCGAGGGGGCTGTTCTGCGGGTCGAGCACAGGGTTCTCAGTCGAGGCGTTGTGCAAGTCGATATCCGAATCGTTCATCAGCCGACTATGGTGTTCTCTGTGGGGGGTCACGCGCTTCTGGGAGCCCGGTCTCAGCGGAGTCTGGAATGACTCGTCTCCCAAATGCACCTTTTTCGCGTCCGAGACAAGTAGTGGAGTGTCCATGTGTCTTTTGTAGCCCATTCTATTTTGGTGAGACCCCACCGGCGAGGACTGCACCTCGACCGCGTCCGACTCCACGTCCAGCATCTCAATCTTATCGATGTCGGTGGCGCTACTGTCGTCGTTTTCCTTCTCTGCCGTGCTCAGGGCCTTCGTCAGATCGTGTTTTCCCAGCGCAATTGGAACTAGTTTACTGTTGAGGGGCTTTTTGATACAGGTCAAAGGCACCCTGGCAGGGGAAACTGCGAGGGACTGCGTTTTCTGGGGCGACAGCGAGCGCCGTCTGAAGCTGGGCTTTCTGATTTCGTGCTTGTACGTGAGACCGTGTTCAATCCGCTTGAGCGCGGTCTTGGCCCCGCTGGGGCTGTTTTCGCTGAGCTTTGCCATATCAAAGTATAAACAAAAAAACGCGTACAAAAAATTACTTAAACGGTGGCACACACTTAAAAAAAAACCTTACCCGGCCACTAGATTTAAACATTACAAATATTTCTTGCCTTTAAGGATTTCAATTGTACACCACCATGTCCAACAAGGAATGTGTAAGTATAAGCCTGTTTTCGATTCTAACATCAGTCTGAGCTGTACGAGCGTATCATTGAAGATGTGATTGCCGAATCTCGACAGGACTTCGAGGACGGGGGCATCGACGAGCAAACATTGTTGGACCTCAAACGGATATGGAGAGACAAATTGTCGAAAACAGGGGTTGCGTCTTTCAGCTGGGACCTGAAGAGACAACAGTACGACGAGAGCAGTAATATGCTGGGACTGGGCGACGACCAGATCAGCTCCCAGACGTACCAGGAGCAGTTCAATCCTACGGGCAGCGACGCAAATTCGGGTCTACACATTCAGGGACTACACCTGCCGCAGTCGGATCTTGCGCTGCCGACGAACTCGATGAAGCAGGAGGACGATCTCGGGGGAATGAACATCGCGCTTCCTGGCGGAGGCAGAATAGGACAGTCGGACGGAACGGTGACGTTTACTGTTGAGGGAAAGCAGGCGGAGGAGCTTGCCAGGAGGCTCCGTCGGACACAGACGGACGGACAGACAGATCTGGGCGAGGACGGCAACGAGCTGGGATCCGATTTGGGCGTGGACTCGGACGAAATCAACTCGGACCTGGACGACCCCGACGACGACGAGATCAATTCGGCAGACGATAACGAGGACCAGGAGTATAACATCATGCTATGTTTGTACGATAGGGTGCAGCGCGTGAAGAACAAGTGGAAGTGCAACCTGAAGGACGGGATCGCCAACATCGACGGACGCGACTACGCCTTCCAAAAGGCGACGGGAGAAAGCGAGTGGTAGCCAAATGTATTCGGCCGTGATTGTATATTATGATAGATGGATGACGTGAAAAAATAGCGAAAATGAAAAAACTATTTTAATTTATTCATGTTACAACCTCGAATCCGGTATTTCAGCGCTCTGAGAGTGCTGCGCAGCAAGAGTCCGCGTGTGCCGCAGGCGGGAAATCAAGTGGAGCAGCCTGCCGACGCCAAAGAAAGCCCTCTCTCGCCTGCAGAGCTTGAGGCAATCAACAACATACAGTCCTCGCTGTACCGGCCCAGCGACCCGTTTCTCGAACCGTCCAAGGCCGACCTGATCCAGCAGAAAATCGATGCCATCTCACAGAAACTAGAGCGACAGAAACAGCTTGAGCAGGCCAAGTACCAGAAGCTCGTGGAGGAGCAGGAGCAGGCCCTGCGTCCGACGCTGAGCGACTACAAACGGCCCATCACCTCGTTTCTGCTTCTGGGGTCCGGCGTGTATCTGTTGCTCCAGTACGCATGGACGTATCTGGAGGGAGAAGAGCACATCATCGCCATGGAGCAGAAGACCCGAGAATACGAAAAAGAGATCCAGACGCTGCTGGATCAACAGGTTCCAAAGAAGAAATGGTTTTGGAACTAGAACGCCTCTGTATTTACGCATTAATACTTACAATCTATCCGAAAAAGTTGTACGACTTGCCCGTCTCCTTGGCAGCAGCGTCCAGGACAGACTTGGCGGCAGAAGCGTCGGCGCCGTTCAGCTTGCCTGCGACATCCGCCAGAGATACGTCGCTCAGAGCCTCCAACAAAGTCTCGATGTCTGCGTCGATGAGAGTGGCCTTGTCCTCGGCTCCAAAGTAGCCGTTGTCCTTGGCAGCAGCCCTGATGGCACGCTTGTTCTTCTTCTTGGCGCTCTTAGCGGCCTCCTTGGCCTTCTTTGCGTTCTCTTTCTCGAGCTTGGCTTTGGCCTCTGCTTCCGCCTTGGCCTTAGCCTCGGCCTCGGCCTTCAGACGGGCCTCCTCGGCAGCCTTTCTAGCACCGGCCTCTCTCTCCCATTTCTTTCTGGCCTTCTCGGCCTTTTCCTCCTCCTTGAACTTTTTAATTCTTGGGTCCTCAGAGTTGGCTCTCTTCACGAGGTCGGCCAATCTCTTGTTATCCTCGACCTTTCTCTTCTTTCTGGCGTTGTTGTTCTTCTTCTCGATGTAACGCTTGTGGTCTCTGTTGGCAGTGTCGTCCGGAACGTCCTCGTCAAGGAACTCAAACGTTCTCCACGAGTCAAAGTTGGCCCAGAACTTGTAGAAGGCCTCAACCTCCTCCTTGCTGGACTCCATGGTTCCCAGAGAAGGAACAGGCTGCTTGTTGGAGAATCTGGCCTCCGACTCAAAGACAGGCGTCCAGGCCTCAAAGAAGTCGTACTTCTCCTTTGGCGATGGAGGCTCGACGTCGGCATTGAAGTCAACAGAGTCGTACTGTCTTCTTTTGATAGGATCCAACAGGGTTTCGTAGGCCTTCTGGATAATCTTGAAGAATCCGTCCTGGTCCAGTCCGCCGGCAGCTCCCTTTTTGTCCGGATGGTGCTTCAAGACCTGCTTACGGTGGGCCCTTCTAATCTGGTCCTCGGTGGCTCTGTATCTGAGCTTCGACAGACCCATAACAGCATAAAGATCGGCAGTCTTCCAGTCTCTTGGGTCGTGCTCAAGCAGGTCCTCGCTCTGCTCCTCGTCGAACTCGTCGTCGTCGTTGGACTCTTCCACAGACTTGACGTTCTTGGAGGCCTCAAGTTTCTCGTACTCGGACCAGGTGTGGCCTCGCAGGGTTCTGGTGGCATGGGCAAGGAAGTACTTGCCGACAGGCTCAACAGGACGCTTGACAGGAGCGCTGTAGTTGGAATGGGCTTTGAAATCGCCGGAAAAGCTAGCAGGAACGGCAGGAAGCGACATGCTTTAGTATGGAAACTGAAAAAAAAAAATTAGGAAAATTATTTTCCGTGCTCCCTAACCATGACATCGTCTTCTGACCTCCAGCAACAGGACCTTGTTGTGTTTGAAGACCGCTCGATTCTGCCGAAATCAGACCCGGATCACAACTACTGCACACTGGTGCTTTATAAGGCCTCCACCCGGCCCACATGGCTCAACGTCGCACTCGTGGAAAATTCGCTTTTTGGCACCTGCTACGTCAACAAGACGCCCATTTCTGACCGCTCGACTGCGCCAGTCGTGTTTGCGTCGCTTAGCGTCGATGAAGCAACATACCGCAAACAATTGGCACGGCTGAAGGGCGATCTGGCTGGCTTCAAATACGTTGACCTCTTCAACAGCTACCAGGACTGGTACACCAAGATCTCGCTGGAGGTGGACCGACAGAGCAAACTGGACAAGCCAAACGTGTTCATCGAGAACCCCGAATTTTTGCTGTTCCTCACAGACATTACAGTGGACAAGCTGCTGGCCCAGTTGCGGAAACTAAACACGAAATGCAATCTATATTTGATAAGCTCGAGCGACGAGAGTTTGATGGAATATTCCGATTCCCCAGACGACCTGGCCACCGTTCACGCTACTTTTTTGACCAAACTTGCACACAGAACATCTTTGATCTTATCTCTTCGTCCGTTGCGCACAGGAAGGGCGGAAGACGTGACTGGAGAGCTGACGATCGGCAGAGGCCTGATCGGCTCGCCTAAGAAGATTGTCGAACGTGAATATCTTTATCTGATCAACAAGGAAGGGACCGTGAAACTCTTTTATAGGTAGCCTACTTGCTTCTGTATATATTGTAATAATCGTCCAGGGCAAACTCAATAGCGCAACGGGTCTCCAATAACGGATATAGGGGCCAAACGGACCGTTCTCCAACTTGGATCCAGTAGGGAATATTCTTCTGGTACTCGTTGATGTCGAAAATACGGCTGAAATCCTTGATAAGAGTTCTGAGCTCTGGGACGATTGTGATCTCGCTGTTTTCAAACCGGGGCGTTTTCTCGTCCACGGCCAGCCATCTAAGGAAACCCAGGAGCAGTCCGAATTTCTCCAAAGCTTCCACTCTATGTCTGAACTCCAGACTTATCAGGTTTTTGATGTGGTTGGTCAGTTGCCAGGACGTTGGCGAGTGTTTGAGGTCGTTGCCGATGAGCGGCGCAAGATACGGTCTGGCCAAAGAAACAACAAAGTGATTGACGTTGAATAGTTCTGTGAGTCTGGTGTAGGGTGAGATTGGTTTGAACGACTTCGTGTTGATCGAGCTGGTGTAGTGTGGCGACAGATACTCGCAATGTCGTTTTAGAAACGTCAAGGTTTTGATCTCGTTGTCTGCGGTCTTGTATTTGAGCTGGACATCCTCGTCCAGGACGCCATTCCCGATGGAACAGCAAATCGCGCTCTTGATTGTGACGTTGGGCGTGGAAACATAGTTTAGAAGCGACGGCACGCAGCTCTCTGTTGGATGGATGAGAATGTTGAGAATTCTGTTAGTCTTCAAATACGCCTCTTCAAAGGTCAGGTCTCCGACCTTGGACTCCACATACTTGATGAACAGCAGCATGTCTTGGCTGTATCCGCGTTTGATGACAGAGCCGATTACATGGTGGCTGTTTCCGTCGACTTTATCCTCTGGGAGTAGCTTGACTAGATTATTGAGGTTGTCCTCCACTTCAGTGTCGTCCAGACAGCATATCAATGCGCCGACCAGGGCGCCGATCGCAGAGCCAGCAATTATTCTGGGCAGCAAATTCTTGAAGTATAGTGCCTTGATGACTCCCAAGTGACAGAGCCCAAAGAGAGAGCCTCCTTGTAATATCAGAGCCGTGACCCCTATAGTCTGTCGCGAGTCGTGGAAAAAATCCAGTTTCATCTGGTTGAAATAGCTCTGCTCCATGGTCTGGTCGCGCAACTGCCACTCGTCTATAAACTGGAAGCATTTTAGCACCTCTTCAATGTAGTCTTCAATCAGGATCTTGGTGCCAATGTACGACTTGTTGTACAGCTGTTTGTTTGAGATCCCGCCAAAGTTCCTCAGCACGCTCGAGCGCAAAATCCCCATCACCTTGAGCGGGTCTTTATATATCCTAGCAAGACGGAGATCGTGCAGACGCTCGTTTATGAGTCTGTAGTCGTACTTTTTGGAGATGAAGTTCTGTCGCCAGACGTCGTAGCCGTTCAGCCGGTCGATCTCCGACGTGATCATCTCCCATTCGTGGAAATCCGTGCACGTTTGCAGGGACCGTTTTAGGTCGCGGATTGGCGAGTCTCTTACGAGTTTGATGAGCCGTTTGACCCAGAAAAACACCACATCGATCACCAGCGTCAGCACTTTCCAGAGTGCCGGCGGCGTGTTGTTGATGACGAGCGAAATAACGTATAACGTGGCCATCGAAAGGCCCTTGCTATTCCTCTTCATGGATAAGCGAACTAAAATTAAAATTGGGGAAATTTAATAAATGACATTGGCTCTGAGGGGGTGGATATATAATTAGCTGGAGTGACCCCAGCACTAGCCGCCTAGAACGACGTTTCCCCAGGATCATCGGCGCCCCACATGGAGACTGTGCCGCCCGCTACGCCAGCAGACCGACTCTGATTACATAAACCCAGACTACTTCACGGCTGTGAAAATATATATATTTTTCCCCTATTATTTTCTCTTTTTCGCCACCATGGATATCATTTTGGGCATCAGAGTCAAGGACTCGGTCATTGTCGCCACATCAAAAGCGTTCACGAGAGGAATCTCGGTCCTCAAAGACACAGACGACAAGACAAGAGTGCTCAACCAGTACAACCTGCTGGCATTCACCGGAGAGTCGGGAGACACGACACAGTTCGCAGACTACATCCAGGCCAACATCCAGCTGTTCACGATGAGAGAAAACACAGAACTCAATTCCAAGGCGATCGCGTCCTTTGTCAGACAGCAATTGGCCACCTCGATCAGATCCAGAACGCCCTACCAGGTGCAGGTCCTGTTGGGAGGACTCCACAACGGCTCCGAGCCATTTCTGTCGTTGATCGATTATTTGGGTACTCGGGTGGACTTGCCGTACTGTGCCCACGGATATGCTGCCTTCTACACGATGTCGCTGCTCGACCACCACTACAGACCGGATATGGCTCTCGACGAAGGCCTAAAATTGCTCAAACTGTGCCACCAGGAGCTCGTGAAGAGAATGCCTATCGAATTCAAAGGCCTGTACGTGAAAGTGATCGACAAGGACGGCATCAGAGATATAGATTTTTCCTAATAAAATTACTAGTCGTTCCATTACATACACCTATAAACACCCGGTTCCTCCCCCATCATATTATCAACGTCTTGACCTCCTCGTTCGAAACTGGAGGTTCTGCGTGGATAGTGCTCACCGGCTGGTTATTCTCATCAAGAACAACGGTCTCGTACAGCATGATTGTGCTCGTGGTCTCCTGCTCAGCTTCTCTTTCGGCCTTTTCGCGGGCCTGGAACTCGACGTTGGCCTTGGCACGCAATATGGCCAAATACGATTCTCCGTCGTTAACCAAAGTACCCAGCGTTCTGTTGAGCTCGTTCAGCAACTTGGTCACGCGTTCCAACTTTGGAGTGGAGCTCAGAAGCAGGTCTCTGGTCTGGATTAGTTCCTGCTTCAGTTCTTTGTAGTTCTTCCACTCTTTCCAGTCGTCTCCGTTCTTCACAATCTCTGTGGAGTAGGCGTTGAGCGTAGACTCGCTGAACTCTTCAAGGGTCTCCAAGATGGACGTCCTCACACGCAGCACCTCGTCGGAGAACTCTTGCTCGTATTTCCTGAAATCCTCAGTGATCTCCACACCCTTTTGTGTCAGCGACTCGGAAAGACGCTTAAGAAGATCGCGCATGTCCTGACGAGTAACGTACTTGTCCGTGTCGTGGTTGATGTCGTGGATCATGACGTGTGCCTCATCGTAGTTGCGGTTGACCAGCTCGCCCAACTCCTGCAGCTTAGGTCTTAACTGGTTGTAGATCTTGTTATAAGCACTCTCGTCGACCTGGGCCACCTGTGACTCAAAGTCATTCAACGCGTCCTGCGTTACCCCCTTTAACATCCTGTTGTACTTGGTAAGTGTGGGCTCGGCCTCGCTGAGAGTTTCCGAGACGTCGTCTGTCTTGTCGGTCTCGGCAGCCTGCTTCGACAGTTTCTTGAAGAACTCGACGTCCTCATACGTTGGGATCTTGAACTTGGCATTCAGAAGCTTGTTGAATTCGTCTTTTAGAAACTGCTTCTTGTGCTCCGTCCGCCAATACTCCTCGGTCGTCTTTCTGATCTTCGAGTCTCGCTGGAAAGCATCGAGATACTCGTAGGTTTTGCTGTAAAAGTACCCCAATGCGTCCACCAGCAAAACAACCAATCTTTTGGTATTCACGTAGAACCAGGAATTCCTGAATGCTTCCACATGCGGCTCTAGCTTGTTCAACCGTAAAGTAAAGTAGAGTTTCACCAATTGTGGCCTCACGTAGAGGTTATATCTAAGATACAATGCCAGCTTCAACTTCGTTCCCTGGATATAGAGCATTGTCTTCACCTGGTGAAAAATGGAGACAGTACGGGGGATGATTTTTGTTAAAACCACCAGCTTGGCCTTTGTGGTTAGCTCGAGAGATTTCAACCTAGCATATTCCCCCACTTCTGCACCTTTGGCTCTGACATAAAGCAGGGCGTGTCTTGTCACCTCCTGCGTCTTGGCCGTCGCCTTATCAAAAAACTCGCTTAATTTCGTCTTAACAACGCCACCATACTTGTCAACATGTGGCTTTGCAAACTTCGTGTAGACCTTTGCACTTTGGTCGTAGCCAGATTGCACAATTGGTTTCACTGGGGACTTGGCGTACAAGTTATTCAGCGGGGTGAACACTCTGGCGTCCGCAGCTTCAATCACTGGACCGCAGTATGGCTCCACAAACCTATAGTACTTGTGGCTGTAAAGACAGAGGGCATCGTTGGATTGTGAAGCGTCCAATTGATAGGACTGTGTAAGGGGGCACTTGACAGTTATGTGGGTGATAACATATAGTAGGACACCAATGACAAGCAAGAGCCTGCTTTTAGGAGATAAGAGTGCCATATTGGAGATCCTGGCAGGTTATAACAAAATGGGCTTGCCGAATTCAATAACAAACTTGTTGATGGCGACTCGTTCCAAAATATTTTATTTTACTTTTCTTGCAATAAACAAGTTTTTTTTTTTTGAGCTGGATTGCGCACGATGCATAGAAAAAACACACAAACACACCCGTACACCACAAACTTTATCAGTACCTCGGTGGCCGGTTGTAGGGCGTTCTAGGGGGCCTATGACCGTACGGTCTCGGAGCCCTCCCGCCACGGCCTCGGTAACCATAATTGCCACGCCCATAAGACGCAGGAGGCGGATACAGCATCTTGGGAGCAGGATCCTGCTGCTCCACGTGTTTGTGCTTATGTGCTATCTGGCGGCCCCCAAGCCCACCTCCTAGTCTCCTGGGTTTCCAGTTTTTCACCACGCGACCTCTTTCGATGTCCACAACCACTGCACGGTTTTTTATCACCATTCTATTACCTTTCTGGAACGCCAGTTTGGCGTCAGACTCTGATTTGTACAGGATAAAAGCGTACCCTCGACTTTTTCCGGTGTTGGTGTCTCTCACGACTCGAATCTGGTCGATTTCGCCAAACTGTGCGAATTTTTCGCGCAGCTCTATCTCATTAATTGTGTAATCCAGTCTTCCGACAAAAACGGTTTTGTACGGGTCTCCGGCGATATTGGTGTCTGTTTCTGGGTTCCATTTTAGAAGGGCCCGCTGGAGCGCCTCCTTGTTTTGCTGCGACTTCAGTTTTGCCCTAGTTTCTCGACTCACAAACTCGTTTTTGTAATCTTTGTATTCTTCGACATGGTCCTTCAAAGAGGACAGGAACTGCGCAATTCCGTCCACTTTGGGAGTCCGACGTTTCTCTATAGGAACATCTGCCGGGGGGAGGTACTGGAGAGGCACTTTGGGAGTAAACAGGTCCACTATCAGTGGAGTGTACTTATTATCCGACATACGGCAAAAAGAGACGATAGATTAAAAGCGAAGGTCGATCGACCAAAAAAAATTATAAAAAAAATTTATGGGAAAAAAATTTATTATCTTGATTAAACATGGCTGGAACCCAAAAGAAGAATGCCAAAGGGCGGCTGGATAGATACTACCACCTGGCGAAGGAAAAAGGGTATCGTGCGCGTTCCTCTTTCAAGCTTCTCCAAATCAACCAGAAATATGGCCATTTCCTAGAAAAATCTAAGGTCGTGATAGATCTTTGTGCGGCACCAGGATCCTGGTGTCAGGTCGCAGCGCAGCTTTGTCCTGTGAACTCTCTCATCGTGGGAGTAGACATTGTGCCCATCAAGCCGATCCCAAACTGTATCACGTTTCAAAGCGACATCACGACGGAAGACTGCAAGTCCAAGCTCCGGGGTCATCTCAAGACGTGGAAAGCAGACACCGTGTTGCACGACGGTGCGCCCAACGTGGGTCTGAACTGGGTGCAGGACGCTTATACCCAATCGCACTTGACGCTGCAGGCTTTGAAGCTTGCTGTTGAGCATCTGACAGCCGGCGGAACGTTTGTCACCAAGGTTTTCCGTTCGAGAGACTACAACAACCTGGTTTGGGTTTTCCGCCAGCTCTTCGACAAAGTCGAGGCCACCAAGCCGCCTGCGTCGCGTAACGTGTCTGCGGAGATTTTCGTTGTTTGCAAGGGTTTCAAGGCGCCCAAGAAACTGGACCCTCGGTTGCTGGATCCTAAAGAGGTTTTCGAGGAGCTGCCAGAGGGTCCCGTCAACAACGAGGCCAAGGTCTTCAACCCGGAGGTCAAGAAAAGAAAGAGAGATGGTTACGAAGAGGGCGACTACACTCTTTTCCATCCGATGGCTCTTCTGGATTGGGTGCGACAGGAAGAAGACGTGATCAACACCCTAGGAAGTGTGAGCAAGTTCGAGATTGACGAGAATAGCGACGAGTGGAAGCTTCTGCGTCGGATGAAGGACACCACTCCGGAATTTTTGGAGTGCTGCAAGGACCTCAAAGTGCTGGGCAAGAAGGATTTCCGTATGCTGATCAAATGGCGGAAGCATGCTCGTTTGGTGCTGGATTTGGACACTGAGAAGGAGGAAAAAGAGATAGAGGTCGAGGAGCTGACCGAGGAGCAGAAAATCGACCAGGAGATCGAGGAAATGAAGGAGAAGATCCGTCTCAAGCAGAAGAGAGAGAAAAGACGCAAAAATGAGGCCCGGCAGCAGGAGATCCAGAGAATGCAGATGAACATGTTGACAGACATGCAAATCGGTATTGACGCGGGCCAGATCGGGTCGGAAAGTCTGTTCAACCTGAAGCTGGCGGAGAAGACCGGACAGCTGAACGAGCTGGCCCGCGGCAAGAAGAGTATGGTGTTCACGGGCGAGGACCTGATCCGCGACAACGACATTGTTGTGGATGAGCACCAAGCTGTGGAGTCTGGCGACGAGCTCGACAACCTTGAGGACCAGCTCAATTCGATGTATCAGCAGCAAAAAGAGGCGAAGATGGAGCGGGACGCGAAACTGAGAGCCAAGGCTGCGCGTGGCGGCGACGACGAGGAATGGGAAGGAATCGAGGACAGGCAGAGTGAGGTCGAATCGGACGAGGCCGTGGAGGAAAGCGAGAGCGAGAGCGACATCGACAGCGACGACGACGAGGCGATCAACAAGCTGATAGCCACGATCGAGAAGAAAAAGAAGGGCGCACTGAGCAAGACTGCCAGCACATTCTTTGGCGACTCTATTTTCGAGGGCGTCGAGGAGGTGGGAGCAGGCAAGGAGAAGCCGGTGCAGGAGTCTGCAAAGCAGGCAGTTTCTGAGCAGTCTGAAAGCGAAAGCGAAAGCGAGAGCGAGAGCGAAGTTTCCGAGTCAGGGTCTGAGGCCGAGAATGAGGCCGAGAGTGAGACGGAGCCCGACTTTGAGCTGGTTTCCGGGTCCGGCGATAATCTGCCTCACAAACAAGAGGTCGATCTGGCCACTGTGGAGGCGATGACACTTGCCCAGCAGCTTGCTCTGGGCCAGAGATCGAAGAAAGACCTGATCGACGACGGGTTCAACAAGTACTCGTTCCGCGAGAAGGAAGGACTGCCGGACTGGTTCCTGGAGGATGAAGAGAAACACAGTAAGATCAACAGACCAATCACCAAGGAGGCCGCGTTGGCCCTGAAGGAGAAGATGAAGCAGCTGAACGCCAGACCGATCAAGAAGGTGATGGAGGCTGTTGGCAGGAAGAAGCTGAGGGCCATCAAGCGACTCGAGAAGATCAGGAAGAAGAGCGATCTGATTGCCGAGGACGACTCGAAGAGCGAGCTCGACAAGGCCAAGGAGATCCAGGCTCTTGCAGCGAAGCTGGGCAAGAAGAAGAAGACCAAGCCGAAGGTCACGGTGGTGGTTGCCAGAGGCACTCACAAGGGCCTGTCTGGGCGTCCGAAGGGCGTCAAGGGCAAGTATAAGATGGTTGACGGTGTGATGAAGAACGAGATGCGTGCATTGAAGAGAATTGAGAAGAAGCGGAAGAAGGGTAAGAAATAGTGTGAGTTAATTGAAAAATGGGGATCAGCAATAAATAAGTGTAATAAAACAAAATAAATAAAATAAAGTAAAATAAAATAAAATAAAATAAATAAATATATACATCGTGTAATGAATCACCGCACCACGCTGTTTGTGTACAGCAACGAAAAGGCGGTTTTTGACGCACTAGGCGGCAAAGACAAGGTCGTTGTTCCGGCGTCGAAGGCGTCGCCGCTCGCCAGGGAAGACCGCATCGAGATAGACGTCTCCCTGCTGAAACCAGAGTACCGCGACATTCTGGGCAGGCTGCAGCTGCTCAACGTCCAGCTGGGCAGGAAACGCAACGAGGAACCGCAGTTTACGATCTTCAGCGACCACGAGAGCCAGCCGGCAGGGGTGCGTATCGACGTTGCTCCGCAAACAGCCCGCACCATGGCCCAGTACGAGAAATTGTCGCGGCTGGCTGTGGAGATGGTTCTGCAGCTGATCCGTGTGGACACGAAAACCACGCCCTACTTTTTCGAGGAATGGTACCGGGCGTATGTTTTCGAAGAGCCAGATCTGGAAGTGTCCGCCTTGAGCATATGGAACACGCTGGTTGGGGAAGCGTTACCGCTATCTTTGGCGGAACTACAACAGGCGGCGTCTCTGGAGCTTATTCTTGATGGAGACAAGCTGCGATTCCTGTTTTACTGGCCTTTGGTTGACCGCCGACTGGAGTTCGCCAGAGACACGCGGGAGATCGGCGTGTTCTATCTGGACTCTCTGCCGGGCGACTACGACCTGAGCATCAGCGGGGTGCGTGTTCGCGGCGACTCCAAGTTTGTGCCGACGTCGCTGTATGTAAACTCGTTCCACACGCAGCTTCCGGGCGTTTCCGCCGAACACGTCTTTGTGGAGCCTACAGGGTTGCATCCAAGGTACAAGGTGAGAGTTTCAGGCGAGAACGAGGCTCCAAGATCGACGTGTCGCCTGATTTTTGACTTGGACATTCCGTCGACGTATATTGTCGACAGGTACCAGTTGGCGTGGGATGATGACATTTTCAGGAACGTGTCGGTTTTCGGCAGCAGCGACTTGGAATTGCCAAGCTATAAAGTTTCTGAAGGCTGCTCGCTGCGTGTGGAATTGGCCCCCGACGCGCGCGAGTTCGAGATACCGCTGCATCTGCGGTACGGCGAGCCATTGCGCGGTGTAAAACCGGTCGGGCTGGCTGCGGGAGATCTCTATTGGGACTGTGAGACCGATCCCGAGACAGACTCCCTAATCCGAGGCAGCTTCATGCACGAAAATCGAATATTGGAACGCACACACTGGCAGATGTTCCATGTTGGCAGCCAGGGCCCAAACTACCTGGAGGCTTTGCTGCCCGTGGGGGACGTGCGCGAGAGCCGTGTGGTGGAGGGCGGCACGCTGGCGCTGGTGTCTGTTTTCGCCGTATGGCTTGCCAAACTGTTTTGGCAGATTTGATTGATGATGGCTCTAGAAATCTTCCAACAATAGCAAAGCGCAGCGTGTGGCTTTGCGGTTTCAATGGCTGCGAAAAATATTTCTAAAATTGTCTGCTGAAATTTGAGAGGAGTCAGAACTCTGCTGAAATTACTACAATCCACTCAGCACCATGCAGGGCCGTCCTATGGAGCAAGGCATTGGTCTACGGCGGCGAGAGTCGGTCTCCTCGATGAGCTCGACGCGCAGCGTGCGGTCCATGACCACGCCGCGCGAGCTGAGCACCGATTCGTTACTGGTGATAGAGGACCGGTTTGTTCGCAAGCCGCGCGTCCAGAGAATGCGCCGGCCCGACCTGAGACCGCAGCCCCAGCTCTCCACGCGCGTGTCCTACCCTCCGCCCTCTGCTGGCCGCTCCATGTACTACTTTCCGAACGGCGAGGTTTTCAGGCCACGGATGCAACCACGGCCCAAATCGACCAAACACAGTTCCCTGCCAAACATGGCCAGCACGCCCGCCAACCAGCGGCAGCCGCCGTCTCTAGCGCCCGCGGGCCCTGTCCAGGAGTGCCGTCCGGCCGCCGAGACGCAGCAAATACCTCATATATCCAATCAGCCCACGGGGTCGAGTGCGTCGTCAGCCTCGCCGTCGTCGTCGGTGGGCCACAGCACGCCGGCGTCGTCCATCACGTGCAGCGAGGAGGACGAGGACGACAAGAAAGGGCTGAAGCGGATGCTTAGCAAGCTGCTCGGGAAGGATAAGAAGCTCAACAAAAAAGCCGAGCCGCTCGCGTCTAAAAATAGCCTGAGCAGCGAAAGCTCGTTGGAGTGTCTGTCGCTGTCGACCGGGCTGAGCGACGACAGCAGCAGCTTCACCGCGGGCGACGACCGGCCCCTGGACGGCGGCGACCTGGACTCGGAGCTCGACTACATCTCGTCGATCATTGGGATCGGCGAAACTTCGTTTTTCGACGACCTGGGCCAGGACACGCTCATCAAGCGCGAGTCGCTGAGGATGAAGTCGCTGGAGAAACAGAAGTCGCTGAGCAGGAAGAACACGCTGGACTCGCAGGCGACGATCGACGCGAAAAAGCACGTTGCGAAGCGTCGCACTTTTGGCAACGGCGAGTTCGAGGTGGTCACCACCAACAGCGCCAAGGAGCCGGGCCAGTCCTGTGCCGTGGCGCGGTCCGCGCTGAGCTCGCGGTCGGCGAGCCCGCAGCGCGTGTCGTTCTCCGACAAGATCTATCTTAATGAGACGTTTTCTGCCGATCATTACGTGCGGTTCAATAGAGGCCTCAAGCACACCTATTCGCAACTGGCAAGAAACCCTGCGCAGATCAAGGAGATCCGGGCCGAGCTGAATTACTACAAATCCCACGAAATGGCCGTTCACGAACAGTCTAGAGAGTATACGCATTATTTCCGAACTGCATAGTATATTAACCCCAGTTTAGTCAGGAGCCCCTGTAGGTGGAGTAGCCGTAGTTGCTGAGCAGCAGCGGCACATGGTAGTGGTTGTCTGGCGGGTTAGGCACCTCGAACGTGATATCGATGAAGGGGAAGAACGTCTTTCCGTCGCGCTTCAGAAAGTAGTTTTTCGTGTGGAAGCGGATCTGGTACACGCCTGGCGCCAGACTGGTCCACTGGTTGTTTTCGAAGCCGACACTCTTGAGCAGTTGGCTGTCTGGCCCGGCTGGCACCCATTCGGCCACTCGGCCGTCCGAGTTAGTACGGGCGGTCGCAAAGTGCACGAAAGAGTCCCTCAGAACGCGGATGTCGCACTCCACGCTCGCCGCCGGCTGGCCCAGCGTGGTGTCCAAAATGTGGCAGGTGATTGGGGGCATTGGAGAAATTCAGTTGATTTAATTTAATAATGATATTTTTCAATATTTAATTTTGAATGGAGGCCTTTCGTTTGCCGCGCAGGCCGCGACCCGCGCCGCCGGCGACTTCTGACGGCGGCCCGACGCGCGACAATCACGACGACGGGGTCCTGTTTGTGTGTAAGGGCGTGAAATACTACTCTCCCGCCCTCTTCTATGCGGCTCCAGCCATTACAAAGGCGCCGTTTCCCATGCTGATATGCGACGTGCTGAAATTGCGCGATTGCAGACGAGTCTACAAGAACGGGGGCTACACTCCGGCGAGCCAAAACATACTGATGTTTGGCAACCACCCCGTGCAGAAGATAATGGTTCAGGGAAAAGTGGTTGGAGAGCGGTGGCACGAGATGTCGCAAGACAAATTTTTCATGTTTCTGGAGATCTCCGACGGGACAGCCGAAAGCGCTCTCACGGTCCGGATCCAGAGCCAGCTGTACCACCAGCGGCTGATCGGGTTTGAGAAGAACAACAACCTGCTGGTACAGGTGCGAGGTGTGGCCAATGTCTACAACGACCAGGTCGAGATCCACGCCGACTGGCTCGACGTGGTGGGCGACAAGCGTGACATGGGCGTGGAGATGGACTGGTGGGACAGGGCGCTGGGCATGAAGGCCGAGGTTCTGCAGGATCCATGGGATCTTCGAGGGCAAGTGGACGAGGCGAAAAAGAAGCTCGAGAGTTTATCGGAAGAGTGCGAAGAGGAACGGCGAGCGGCAAAGGAGCAGCTGAAGCGCGAGGAGGCTTTTGAACTGCAGCGGGTTTCGGAGAGCGAGCGTGCTAAAGAGGAACACACGACAGCGGCAGATACGGCTGTTGACGGCCAGGTAGCAGACTCTGCGGAGCAAGATTCGGACGGGTCGGGCTATGCGACGGCTACAGAGATCGAGGACGACGAGTCGAGTGATGTTTACGAAGGCATGCGGGAGGAGGAAGCCGAGCAGGAGGAGGTTATAGAGGAAGAAGCGGCGGTTATAGGGCAAGAGATGGCAGTTCTAGAGGAAGAGACGAGGACCAGTGGGGAAGAGATGGAGGAGACAAATGTGGATTCGAGCGCAGTCGCGGAGGCGGAACAGCCTGTGGTGAAAAGACGAAAAAAGTCTGAGAAAGTGCCAGGCAAAACACCAGAAGCACCAGAAGAAGCAAAAGCACCAAAAACGGTAGACATGCAGAAGACGGAAGAACAGACGAGTGCTGGTATCCAGTTCCTGCTGCCGCCGCCCGCGTTCGTGGGAACACGGGTTTCTGTCTCGCTGCTCAGTCGTTTCGAAGACGACCACGATGCCGTGGAAAGAGAGATCCTGCGGTTCTGTTTGCAGACAGACAGCAGCAAGTTCAGTCTGGATCGACTGATGTCGGACCGATCAGTGACTCTCGCCGTGTACGAGGCAATTCTTCGGACGAGAGCAGAGCAGAGCTCGGAGCCACTTGACAGCGAGCTTGACCAGCACTCGTTCAAGCTTATTTTCCATTCCGCGCGGAAGTCGCTGTGCCACACAAAGCTCGTCAAACTCACCAAGTCGTCAAACATAGAGACCGCTGGCCTGAAAAATGTCCAGGAGTACCTCTCGAACCTGGTCGACCATGTCATGCACCAGACGAAGATAGCTGTTCGGGAGCTGAAAGACGGCTCAGACAACGTCGGCGAATTTTGCCAGAACATGGTGCAGTTCTACCACACACGGCTGGGGCGGCTTGTGCTGACGTCAAGGTCTATGATCAGCAAAGTGCAGGACAAGTTTTCGGCGACCATCACAGCCCCCGTGATTCGCCAGATTATGGCGCACACGATCGGTTCTGCCGAGACAGACCACTCAATTGAGCTTGGAGACGGGCTGCAGGTGAATTTCACGTGGTATTATCTTGTCAAACACTGTCATTACATGTATCTTCCCGAAATCGTACATAGTGGAAAATAGCTTTTTTTATATTTTTTTTTTGTACACGTTATGAGAAGACGGGGGTCCAGTGTTTCCGACAACAAGGGACGGCGATCGCGAGCGGGCTCGATCACGTCGACGACCTCGGCCGGCACGGCGACGATCGACTCGATCGTTCTGGAAGAGCTGAAGCCAAGGGCCAGAAGCAGGTCGTTGGGCGAGCTCACCCAGGTGAACGTTGAAGTGTCTAAGCCTGTGATGTACCCCTTTTCCGAGAGGGAAAGAGAGACCTTATGGAGCCAGTACACGCAGGACTACACAAGCGACTGTATAATCAGCGTTGACGACCAATGCACGATAGACGAGGCCACGAGCCAAGAGGTGCTGGAGTTCCAAAACTATCTGCGCTACAACTACGAGGAAAATAAGCAGTTTCTGAAGGAAACAAACGCGATAATCCAGGATCTGAACAAGCTGCTGGTTATCGGAGACCAGGTCACGTTGCAAACCGTGGATTTCCAGAAGAAGTCGACACAGCTGATTGTGGAAATCGAGCAGCTCAACAGACTGCACGAGGACATTTCCGGCAACCTGACGCTCTTTGAGTCGCTCGACCCGATTGTGCAGACCCTCAACACCAGCAGCAGCGGGTCGATCGTCGCGAAAGACAGTTTCCGCCACGATATCCTCGAGGAGCTGGACCGGTGTCTTATTTTTGTGCACGATCCAAAACACTCCACTTTCAAGGAGATTGGCATCTACAAGCATAGATTCAAACAGTGCATGATCAGGGCTCTCACGCTGGTGAAAAACTACATCACCACGGCGCTCCGCGAGCTCGAAGCGGAACTGCAGCTGAAAATCACAGAGAAAAAGAAGGAGCAGGGAACGATCTCTGCCAGCATCTCCGTCATGGTGGACGCGTTTGTGTATATCCAGTTTGAGGAGGACGCTGCCAAGTACACCGGGCTGTTTGAGGAGCTGTACACACGGGCAGTCAAAACGCAGGACCAGGAGTACCTGGGGCTGCTAAATGACTGCTACAACCAATACTTTAGATCCCGTTCCAATTTGCTCAGCTCCATCGTCCAGCAACATGTCTCAGCACAGGACACTTCCAAAGACTGCATACAACTGGCCCAGAGCAACATCTCGTACTTTATCAAGCTGATGGAGCGCGAGTACGACATATTCAAAAGGCTTTTTTTCCTGCCTCCGCAGAAATGCAACAACGACGTGGATAACTCCACCAGCATACTGTCGTTGTCGAAATGGTTTGAGGAGCTGCTGGATCCGCTGTACTATTTGCTGAGAAACAAGATTATTCGCGAAAAGAGCATTTTAGAGCTCTGCGAGCTCATCTCGATTTTACAGAACTACTACGACGTGGAGGAGTTCGACGCCGGCGACCAGGCAGAAGAGTCGGATATGTACCACCACGACGCGCCGTTGCAGGAGAAGATCCAGCTGGGCGAGCTGTTCCGGCCGATCTTGGAAGACGCACAGACAAGACTCGTGTTCAGAGTGCAGGTGTACGTGGACCAGTACATTGTGAGCTATAAAAAAACAGGCAGAGAGCTGACGATCGGGCATCGCCGCAAAAACGGCGTCGCCGACCCCATTGCCGAGGAGCCCCTGCCGCAACCAGACGGAGAGCTGCGCGGCGACAGCATTTTCTCGCTGGACAACACTGCGCTGGCGCCCCAAAACCTCGAGTTTGTGTATCCGCCTATCGTCAACGCCGTCCAGCTGTTGATGAAGATCTACCAGCTGCTGAACCCAAGCGTGTTTGACGATCTTGCCAATGCGGTTGTCCATTTGTCGATATTGTCGTTGCACACGAATTTCGGCAACGTCCCTGGTATTGAGTCCAAACTGTACGAGATTAAAAACCTCATGTTTTTGCGAGAGTACATCTCCACGTTCGAGATAGAACACGCGCGCCGCGAAACAAACTTGGACTTCAGCGGGATCAAAAAGATGTTCAGCAGGTTCATACGCGGCGACAATACCAAACAGACCATCGACACGAATTTCTCGGCCGCGAATGCTGCCAACCCTGAGCGGAACCGGTTTATGAACTTGTTGCTGGGATCGGTTCCGCGGGTGGTGAACGACTACGTGGACTGTCGGTACGAGATTCAGATGGCGCTCAGAAACGCCGTGCACGAGTTCATCGACGAGTCGGCCAAGCCGTTCACCAAACCACTGGAGCTCTATCCGCAGCAGTCTTTGCGAACCGTCATGGAAAAGTTTATGCGGACGCTGAAAAACGAGCTGCCCCGTCTCAAACCACGCATTGTGGCGTACTTGCACGACGACAAGATCTTGAGCTTTCTGCTGGACGGAATTCAGGAGACCGTGATGAAGGCGTACGAGCAGTTCTATTCCAGGGCAGAGACCGAGAAATCTCAGGATATCGAGCATCTCGTGGACGTGGACGTGGTGATCTCGATATGGGCGGACCAGATCAGCGAGATGATTTCGCTGGATGACCCAGAACTCGACCTGGACGTGTACTCTGACGACGAACAGCTTATGAGCGAAAACGGAGACGTCAGCAACCTGAACCTCAATTCGCTAAGATAATGTATTTATAGCATGATGGCACTCATTGTCCGTCTTCTTCGAAGGGATTGTAGGCGTTTTTTGAAAGGATCTTGTTGAGCTCCTGTTTGATGTAGACAATTTTTGACGGGTCCACGAGCAGATGGGTATCGTCCAGCTCTTCAATGACAATGTCTCGCGAGTCCGAGTCGATCTTGACTATGAGGGCTTTGATCGACGGGTCGCTGCTGTTAGTATGCGAGTGTCGCCACTTACCATTGAATAAGCGTTCCTTTCACTGCACGGGGCATGAAATGATAAGTAAAATGAATAAAAAAATATAAATAAATTAAATAAATTAAATAAAATAAATAAAAATTATGGGGTCCTCTTTCAACGACGAGATAGTGGACACGTCTGCCGAAATTGGCAGCATTAAATCCACGAGTCACAGCACAGAAACTCCGAATGGCACCGAGACCCACTCAATTGATTCTCAGGACCCCTCTGATGCCAGAAGCACAGAATCCCTAGAGCCTCCTAGGCTCAAGTACTCTCGTCTAAACAAACTGCCCGCCCGCTTCTTCACCAAAGACGCCGTCAGCTGCTGCTATTTCCACGAAAAAGTGTTTATTTTTGCAACACACTCCGGCTTTGTCCACCTGGCCCGACCAGACTTCACACCACTGCGCACCATGAAGACCCAGAGAAGCTCCATCTTGTCGCTGCACAGCGACGGCGAGTACTTTGCTGCCGGGTCGATCGACGGAACGGTGGTAATCGGGTCGGTTGCGGACGACAAGGACATCATAGCCTACGACTTCAAGCGGCCCATACACGCCGTGGCACTGGACAAGAACTACAAAACAAGTAAACTCTTTATTTCTGGCGGGACCAGCGGAAATGTGGTGTTTTCGTCGCGCAATTGGCTGGGCCAAAGACAGGACACCGTGGTAGACGGGGGCAGCGGGGCAATCACACTGATACAAACGATAAACGACCTTGTCATCTGGACAAACGACTCTGGCATCACGGTAGCCCATATTCCTACAAAGACCGTCATTTTCCACGAGACGCTGCCCAAAAACTTTCCCAGGCCAGAGATGTTCTGGCCGCGCTTCCACCAGACGGACCCCGACCGGTTTCTGATTGGCTGGGTCAACCATGTGTGGTCGTTCAAGATTTCTGTCTCGAACTCTGGCTCCAGCATTATTTCGTCTGCTGCGTCGAGTTTTCGGTCGATCGACAAAAAAGTAGCTTTGGAGCACCATGTTATCCTGGAGGACACGCTGATTGCGGGCATTTCTGTGTTCAACGACGATCTGCTGATCTTGAGCTACGTGCCAGACAACGAGCCTCCGGAGCTGAAACTTGTTCACCAGCTGACGTTTGAGGAAATTTCCGTGGACCAGGTGGCCATGAACAGACGCACTAATCTCGGTCTAAACGACTACCATCTTTACCAGCACGGGTCGCAGTGGTTTCTGGTTTCTGCCGACGATTGCGTTGTTGTCCAGCCGTACGGACTTCACGACCAGCTGACGTGGTACACTGCGCGCGGAGAGTACCTGGAGGCATGGAAGATCAGCGAGATGTGGCTGGCCAGAGACGAGCGGCTGGACATAGCGGAGCGACACATGGAGAAGCTAGTTGGTGGGGACAAATGGCCGGAGGCAGCCGAGTTTCTAAGCGAGATGCTGGCTCTTGCTGGAGACGAGGAGCCGGAGTACGTTCAGCGGGTTGCAAGTTGTTGGAATAACTGGATTGAGCGGTTTTCAGAGACAGGCCACCGAGACCTGCTGGTGGACCGTGTTCCGCGTGTTCCTGTCGGGGACTACCTGGTGTGCTCCAGGCACTATAATTCGATTTTGGAGCAGCTTCTGGAGCAGCAGGAGTTTTCGAAAGTGCTGTCGCTCGTTGGAAAATGGGACCACGGTCTCTTTGACGTGGAGACGCTGCGAGACCGTTTGGTGGAGGAGCTCGAGGAGACCGGCGAGCAGGAGGCCTCTGTGCGTCGGGTGATAGTCGATCTGAGTGTCGAGCTGGACGAGATGGAAAAATGCGTCGACCATTTGATTTGGCTCAAGGATCCAGGAATCATGCTCTTTGTGGACGAGCACCATTTGCTGCTGACGAATCTGGACAAACTGCCGGCCATTGTGACGCTGAGCGCGGCCGGGAAGCCGCTGACGGCGGAAACCCTGGCCACGACGGTTGCAATTCTGGTCGAAAACAGCCACGAGATCCTGCCGCGGCAGATCGTCGACACTCTGGACGCTGCCGGGCTCGACTACGTGAGTTTCCTGTACTTGGACGCGCTCGCGGCGAACGACAAGCTGCTTGTCAAGGACTTTGAGGACGAGATGGTGAAACTGTACGCGTCGTTCAACAGAGACCACCTGCAGCAGTTTCTGAGCCGCCATTACAGCTACTCTGTGGAAAAAGCGATTTCCGTGTGCGAGGAGCAAAAGTGCGTCTCGGAGCTGGTTTATTTGCTGAGCAAGGTGGGCGAGAACAGGAAAGCGCTCAAGCTGATTGTGGACGAGCTGCGCGACCCGGAAAAGGCGATTTTGTTTGTGAGCGAGAGCGACGACAGAGAGCTGTGGGACTTTCTGCTGGACTACTCGATGGACCGGCCGGCGTTCATCCAGACGCTCGTGGTGGCTGCGAGCGACCTGATCGACCCGATACCTGTGATCTCGCGGATCCCGCGCGGCGTCGAGATCACGGGGCTGCGCCAGGCGTTGGTGCAGATCTGCGGCAACATCCAGATGGACCGCCTGGTGCACGGGCTGATAGCGCGGCTGATAGCGGCCGAGTCCATGGAGCTCACCGGCCGGTACATGAGTCTGCGCGCGCAGGGCACGGTTTTCGAGCTGGACCGCGTGCCGGCCGAGACGCTGGTGTGCCGCAACGGGCTGCTGGCCACCGAGGAGCAGTTTCTGGGGCACCGCTGGAAAGGCTCTGCGGCGTCGGTGGCAGAGAAGATAAACCACGTTGCGTACATCCGGAGACACATTGGGCGCTAAGAGAATTCGGGGCAGGATTATATATTAATGCGGGCGGAACGCAGGCTAAAACTTGTGATGGATTTCGAAGCTGTTCTTACTCTCAAGACGCCCGGCGACGATCTGAGCGACCCGGGCCTGTTTAGACCGCGGTCACTGAAGCACAGACGGCCCGACAAGGAGCCGGCGGCCGACAACGCTGTGTTTTTCTCGAAATCCGACACTTTCAAGTCGTTTTCTGTGAACGACCCGATGGACAACTATTTCAGCCTGGCGGAGCGCAAAAACGACAACTTCTTCACGAGCAACGACGACTCGTTCACCGAGCAGTCGATCACGCCGACAAAGCACCCCGTGATGTCGCGGTTCGGCACCACGACACGGGTCCCGAGCCTCAGGTACGACCTGGCGCCTCCGCGGTTTCCCGGCCTGGACACGCCGTTCCCGCCGGTGGCGAGAAACACGCGCGCCTCGTCGTTTGCCGTGCAGTCGTTCCCGTTCATGGAACGAGTGCCTCTGCGGCCGCCCTTGCAACCGCCGGTGCCGGCGGCAGACTCGCCGCGTCCGGCGTCCAAACAGGGGCTGTCTGCTCCACTTGAGAGCAGCAAGAGCGTCCGACACCGGCGCAAGAGCGTGTCGCTGTTCCTGACCCAGCTGTTTGACAAGTTCTCGCAGAAAAAAGACGAGGCTCCCAAGAGCGCGCGGTCGATCAAGTCGGTCAAGAGCTACAATTTCCTCAACCAGAGCGCGGACATTTACAACGAGATCATCGACGACTACAACGACGCGTCGAACCTCGAGCGCGGCCGGTCGATGGTCAGAAGACCCGCGAAGGACAGGAGCGTGTCTGTGTCGGGCCGCGCGAGACGAGACGTGTCGTTTGGGTCGGAGCTGCGGTCGTTCGAGCACAGCTGCTACAGACCGGACAAGGAGCTGCTGCCGACGGCGACGATCTTCGACGAGGCGACGAGCACGCCGTTTTTCAAGGACATGGCCGAGCAGGACGACGCGGCGAGCTCTGTGAACACCAAGACGACGACTCTGCGCCGGCTGCGGGCCGACCTGGACCGGTGGTGGAGGCGCAAGACGATGAGCCGGTCGCGCAGAAGAGAGACCCTGGAGCTGGCAGCGGGGGTCCAGCCGGGCACCGCGGAGCTCGTGTTCGAGGCCACGAGCACGCCGCTCAAGGACAAGGAGCAGCAGGAGGTGCTAATGACGCGGGACAAGTTTGGCCGCGTGGTGCGCAACGTGATAGAGACGCGGATCCTCGTGGTGGAGAACGAGCCCAACATGGACGAGATGCTGAAGCAGGGCAGCTCTGCGCCGGAGTGGCTGAAGGCAGACCTGCTGAACTTGGTGCAGAACGGCAACCTGCGGATCTTCAAGGAAAAGAGCGGCCGCAACTTCATCACGGTGGAGGTCACAGAGCTTCCTGAGCTTTAGCGGGTGCAGGCGTTTATTCCGTACATAGAGTATCTAGAGCGTGATAATGGGAAGATTCATCTTCTGAAGACACCGGCCACGAGTCCGCCCACGTTTCCAAAGAAGCCGCTTGCGACAGAGCCGGCAACGTTGCTGGCGATGTTGTTGGCCTTTCCGAACTTATCGCATTTAGTGTATGCGAGCGCGTTGATGGAGGTGAGCGCCATGGCCAGGCCCACAAGGGTGAGCGAAAGAAACTGGAGCTTGAGCATTGCCACGATTCCCAGAACCAGCCAGAGCACAGGACACAAGTAGAGGAAGAGCCAGAACACCTTGGAGTCTATGGGGTTGATGTATCTGTTCGGGTCGGCTGTCTCGAACACCCAGACGGACTGGCCGAGATCGTTGGCCTCGTTCCACCACCGCAGACCCACCATCAGCCGGCCAGAGATGTTTTTGACGTTCCAGAAGTCGGCGGCCAGAAGAAGCATGGTGATGATGAAGTTGAGGATGTAATTGGAAGTGAACAGCAGGCCAAAGAGGTATACCAGGAGCGGGGCTATTCTGAAGAGGAGGAAGAACAGCAGCGCGACGGGATGCGACGACTCAGAGAGCCGCTGGTACAGTGTTCTGTCGGACATTTTGGCGCAACTAGAGAAAAATAATTAGCGAAAAATAAATAAATAACTACAGGCAATATTTAGTTTTATTTATGGGCAGGCACCTAGTTCTCCTCGGTGATGCCCAGCTCGGCGGCTTTCTGTTCGAGCCGGCGTCTCTTTTCTGCCTTGGCGGCGTTCATGCGTGCGAGCTCGGCCTGGATTTCGTACGGCTCCTTCGGGATCTTGTTGAGAGTGTCTGGGTCCGGCCAGAAGCCCGGAACGTTGAACTTCTTGTCTGTGTCGATACCCACGTAGTACATGATGGAGATTGGCGTGAGCAGGTAGAACGTGAACTGGCGTTAGTGCGGGGCGGGGGGCTGACGTACCTTTGCCAGCTCGAATTGCGAGCGGGACATGTTGAACTTGAGCCTGTTGAACATGATAAAAGAAATAATTATCAGAAATTATTTTAGCCCTTTTAATTTTTTAGCCATTTTTTACAAATTTTTGTCCTATTATTGGCTCATGTCCAAAAAGCAGAAGCTGAGCCCGATGAAGATTTGCACCCACTCAGGAACGTTCCATGCCGACGAGTCGCTCGCCGTGTATATGCTGCGCACTTTGACCCAGTTCAAAGACTCCGAGCTTGTGCGATCGAGAAAACAAGAGGACTGGGACGCCAGCGACATTGTTGTCGACGTGGGCGGCCGGTACGACGGCAAAAAGTACTTTGACCACCACCAGCGGGAGTTCACCGATGTGTTTGCACCGGGGTTCAGGACCAAGCTGTCGTCTGCCGGCCTTGTGTACAAGCATTTTGGAAAACAGATCATTAGAGAAAATTTGGAGCTCGAGGAGGACAAGGATATAGATTTCCTGTACGACCGGGTGTACAGGGACTTCATCGAGGCCGTGGACGCCAACGACAACGGGATCAACAAGTACGAGAACCAGGACGATCTGAAACCGCTGTTCAAGGACAGAAACTTCCAGCTATCCGCGCTGGTGGCCAATCTGAATCCGTCGTGGATCACAGACCCTACCGACGCAGACTACGACAGAGCTTTCGAGAAGGCCAGCGAGATCATGGGCTTTGCGTTCATGAACTACCTGGAGTACATGGGCAAGTCGTTCATGCCGGCCAAGCAGTACGTGGAAAAGGCCATTGGAAGCAGGTTCGAGGCCGATCCCAGCGGCAAGATCATCATCATGGACCGTTTCGTGCCGTGGAAAGAGCATCTGTACAACGTGGAGAAGGAGCTGGGCATTGAGGGCCAGATCCAGTACGTTTTGTTTGCAGACACGTCCGGTGCCTGGCGGATTGCGTGTGTGCCGGTGAGTGCGTCGTCGTTCGACTCGCGCAGAAAGCTGCCGGAGCCGTGGCGCGGCGTGCGGGACGACGCCCTGAGCGAGCTGACGGGCGTGCCCGGCTGCATTTTTGTGCACGCGGCGGGCTTTATTGGCGGGGCCAAGTCCAAGGACGCGGTGCTGCAGCTGGCCAAGAAGGCCATTTAATTTTTTTATTTTTTATTTTCTTACATAATGTGTATTTTGAAAGATAATTTTCCAGCACATTACTGATCCGTAACTGATGAAGAAGCTTTTGTCGCGGAAAGACAAGCGCCGCAGCGTGGCTTCGCCGCCCTCACTTAGCTCGGCCGGCTCGGACACGCTTGCGGACGCGCACGAGCCGCGTCTCAACGACGACCGGTCCGACTCGACGCTGGATCTCAGCAGCAGATCCGGCCCAAGGACGGTCTCGCTGGAGGCCACCAAACGCAACCTTCTCAAGGGCCTGTCGACCAAACGGTCGACGGCGTCGCTGGCGCCAAGCGGCGTGCAGAACCTCATCGACCCCAGCTGGGACAGCGAGATGCTCAAGGTCGGCTGGCTCAACAAGCTCGCCGACGCAGACGACGCCGACGACGCGCGCCTGTGCCGCGCAGAGGTGAAGGGCTCGATGCTGTTGGTGTACCGGCCGCCGGCAGAGCTGAGCGACGTGAAGTGCATCGACCTGGAGAAGAAGAGCAGCGCGCGCGCGGCCGACGACGTCGCTCCCCAGCGCAGCGTGGTGTCAGGCGTGGACGAGGAGCAGGCGTTTTCCGAGGAGCGCGGCCGGTCCCAGAAGGGCGTGCCGCAGATCAATTTGCCGAGCGACTTTGCCGGGTCGCAGCTGAGCATCGCCACGTCGCTGACGTCGCTCAACGTGAAGCTGGACTACGCGTCGGTCACGTACCCGCACCCAGATCTGAGGCTTGAGGACGAGACGGGCGAGATCGTCGACGGCACCGTGGAGGCGCTGTGCCACGCGGTGATATTCAATCCCAACAGCACGCTCAGCAAGCAGCTGGTGCAAATCCTGCCGCTGGTGGAAAACGTGGCCACCGCTCTTCAATATTTCCATAAATATAGCGAGCTGATGGAACAGACAGAAAAAAATAGCTCCAACAAATACCTGATGGACCACAACAACAGGATGGTCGTTTGGGCCAGCAGACTGTACCTGGTGGTCGACACGATCCGCGAGAGTTTTCCGGGGCTGCTGCTCGACGAGGAGGTGCTCAAGGGCATCTGGAACCTGCTGGTGTGCGTGGACAGGTACAGGGACTGCGACAGCCTGAAGATCGCCATCCACCAGCAACAGCAGCAGCTGGCGAAGCTGCTGCCTGCGGGAACGGGCCAATTGAGCGACCTGGGCGCAGACGTTTTTCTGGAGACCCGGCTGGACGTGCTGGCCGCCGAGATCCACGCACTGCACCTGCGGTACGCGGCTGTGTGGGGCCCCGGCAACGACCCGTCGCTGCTCTACGAGACCGCGATGGACCACCACGCGCACTGGCGCGCCAACCCGCTGATCTTCACGCTCCCAGACAACCTGCACTACCTCGCGAGACTGCTGTGCCACCACCTGTTCGACGACCCGCACGTGACCACCCCCACGCAACGCGCGCAAGTGTTGGGGAAGTGGGTGCAGCTCGGGTCGACGCTGAGCAGCATGGGCGACATGGTCGGGTGGCTGGCGATCGCGACCGTGGTGTGCTCGATGCCCGTGCTGCGGCTCGCGCGCACCTGGGACCACGTCTTGCCCGAGTACGTCCAGCTCGTGAGCTCGAACTGGGCGCCCGTGGTGTTTGAGCTGGACCGGCGCTCGATCGTGAGCTCTGCGAGCCACCGTGCATCGTACCACGTGCTGGCGCCGCAGGGCATCGGCCGCAGCTACGCCCGGGAGAACGTGGTGCCTTATTTTGGCGACCTGCTCGTGAGAAAGGCGCCGTGCGCGTTGCGCGACCACGAGCGCCATGTTGCGCGTGTGCGCGCGTCGTTCGCCAAGTGGGAGCAGTTTCTTGCCGGCGTGCAGAACGAGCCTGGTCTGCGCAGAAAGCACGCGCACGTCGGGTCGTTGGACGCGGGCGTCGCTAGCCGGCTCGCCAAGGTGCTGCAGTGCCACGTTCGCGGGCTGCCGCTCTCGTTGCCCGCGCTGATGGAGCAGTCGTTGCGCGTGGAGCCCGCGCACGCAGGCCAGTTCCACCGGCTGCACGACACGTCGCGCAGCCCGCTGTTTCTGGGCTCGTACGCCGCGCTGCTGTTCCCCGAGGTGCTCGAGCGGGACCGCATCTTTGACCGCAGCTCGCTGCTCGGCGCAATTGGCGGCGGCGACACCGCGCAGCCCGCGCCGAGCAGCACGCTCGCCGCGGCCGACGACGACGACCTGAAAAAAATTAGCCGCAACCAGTTCGTCAAGACCGTGCGCGACGTGTTCAACGTCGACTCGCACGACTTCCACGTCGGCGACACCATTGTGTTCAAGACGAACGACACGCGCGGCGTCCAGAAGAAATCGCGGCCGCCCAGCACGCTGCTCGGCGAGAGTGCAAGCGTGAAACGCTACAGCAGCTACTCGTCCAACAGTTTCAGCCTGGATGAGTATTTCAACACGTACCAGGCGTACGTGGAGGGCCGCGAGAAGGAGACGGAGAAGGTGGGCGCGGAAATCCTGACCAAGGCAGCGACGCTGGACCGGCTGCTGGACCTGCTGGTTTTGACATACTCCACGTTTGGCGCGCGGATCGCGGAGGAGGACATCAAACGCTTTGTCGGGAGCACGCCTGCCGACCGTGTGGAGCTCAAGATGAACAACGGCGTGTTTACAATGACGTTTTTCGCCGTGTACCGCGGGTTCTGCTCCACCACGACGCTGCTGCAGGGACTGAAAAAAAGATTTATCGGGGCCAGGGCGGCGGCGCGGTCGCTTGCCGAGGGCAGCGAGCCCGATTGGGACGCGACATTCTCGGGCAAGTACGCGGAGACCAACTGGCGCTACGTGGGGCAGATCCAGCTCGGCGTGCTTGAAACACTACAAATACTTGTCGAGAACTGCTACCACCATTTTACAGACAACCTGGAAAACAAAACCATTTTCGACTCGCTGCTGCGCCACATCGACAACGAGATGATCGTCCAGTGGACCAAGGTGCTGCTGTGGATGGAGGCCGACGAGTCGCTGGACGAAGAGTACCTGCAGCAGGCGCGCGAGCTGTACGGCTCGCTCACGGCGACGTACAAAAAGATGCGGAAAACGTATGTACGCAAATCGTACCGGCCGGTTCTGAACCGCCGGGTGCCGGCATTCACCACAGAGCTGACGATCGTGCCCGCCGACCGGCTGCTGCCGCGCTCGAAGGACGTTGCTACCGTCGAAAAGTTCGTGCTCGACCTCGACGCGACGATCGGCGCGCTATACGGACGATCGACGCTCGACGACTGGATCGCCGCGTTCGAGATCCTGGAGACACACGCGTGCGCGGGCCCGCTCAGCCTGTCGCAGTACGACGCGCAGCCGGCAGACGCGCCCGACGCAGAGCTCGCCGTCGCAAACGTCTACTGCTGGCTCGCGACGGTGAAGGACGCCAGCGGCGAGTACGTGGTGAATAAGTTCCCTGCCCCCGTGCGAAGCCTGTTTGAGTTCTATTTCCGGCTCAAAACGTACTTTGCCGCGCAGATTCTCGACCCAAACCTCGCCGAGTCGGAGAGACTCGACAGAATGCGCGTGTCGGCGCTGATGCTCGGAAAGACGCGCTCGGGCGAGGCTTTGCGCGTGCCGGGCATGCTCGAAAGCTGTCTTACAGACGTGATTCTGTCGCCCGAGTCACGCAGATACGCCGACTGCTGGCGCAAGCTCGCCAAGACCGACACGCTGGACTCTTTGGAGCAGCTGATCCCGCAAACCTCCACGGTAAAAGTGCTGCCCTGCCCCGGCTGGCTTGCGGAGCGCATGCTGGAGATTGCGTGCTTCATTCCTAACAAGGCGGTGGAAAACACCAACCTGATCAACTTCGACAAGCGCAGGTTCGCGTACAACTGTGTCTCCAACATTCTGGACCTCGTGCCGCACACCACAGACTTGCCCCAGAACACGCCGTTTGCGTTCCTGTTCTCGTGCAGTTGCGCGCAGCCGGCGCCGCACGAGTTGCCCGAGGCGGGCAACACCGTTTTCGGGCGCCATCTTCAACAGCAGCGGCAGCTGCTGCTGATCGAGACGGCGCGCCGACGGCTACTGATTCGGCAGCTGCAGAAATGGACTGCTCCCCAGGAACCTTATAGAGACTACCGGCGCGAGAGCGTGCGCGTGTCGCGCAGCATCCCGATGCGGCCAGCGGGCAGCAGTGGTAGTTCCATGTTCAAGCTCGGCGGGCTGCTCAAGAACCGTGCGTTCAGCATCAGCATGGGCCACGGCGAGCGCGTCGTGGGCGTCGACGACCTTGGCGTGGCGGACGATTTCGTGGACCCCAAGCAGCGTGCTGTGATTGCGGTCAACTTGCGCGACTACACCATTTTCCCCGTCTACCAGACGCCCTGCTCGTTCAAACTGAGCAGTGCTGCTCAGGAACTGATTTTCCAGGCGGTGTCAGAGGCCGAGAAGGACGACTGGCTGTACCAGATCAACTTTGCGCGCAAGCACTGGTACTGGTCGCGCACGGTCAACAAGTACACGCACCATAACTTTGTGTTCGGCGTGCCGTTGGACTACGTGTGCGAGCGCGAGGGCCGGCAGATGCCGGCGATAATCGAGAAAATGATGAGCGAGATCGAGTTCCGAGGCCTGGAAGAGACGGGGCTGTATCGGAAATCTGCGTCTGTGAGCGTGCTGAACGAAATCCGCGACGTGATTAATCTCCACGGCGACCTCAACATGGAGGACCAGCTGGTTTTCGATGTGCATAACCTGACGGGAGTTATAAAGATGTTCTTCAGAGAGCTGCCGGAACCGCTGATTTTGGACACTATCATCCCCGAGTTTGACAAGATCAAGCAGCTGGCGCAGTCGGAGGAGCGGTTTGAGCAATACAAGCTGATTTTCGACAAGCTGCCGGCGCCGAACAGGACGTTGCTGGCGCGGTTTGTGAAGCACCTGAAGATGGTGGACGAGTATAACCAGCATAACAAGATGCCGGCGTCGAACCTTGCCAAAGTTATGGGTGGGTTATTTATCGAAGGGTGTCGCCCAGAAAACAACAAATACTTCGGCCTCATGACGTTTGTGTGCGAGGACCTCATTATCCACTACGACCAGGTCTGGACATAATTCATAGACATTCATTAATTCATTACACATTTAAAGTCAACCCGCACCGTAGGGTCCTCGGAGTTGGCCTCCACGTCGAGCATCGCGCGCCAGTGCTGCCGCTGCTTGTACTCGTCCTCGCCGAAACCGTGGTCGGTATCGTCCACATAGTGCCACTTGTACACCGACGACGTGCCGTACTGGTTGAATTCCTGGCCTTCGCCAGCCTTGCTGAAGTTATAGTCGATACCGCTCATTTTCTTGATTTCCGGTATCAGGTGCTTCTGCAGGTGATGCTGCAGCTGTCTCCTGAATTTCTTGTTCAGAGAGTTCATGTGCGGCTTGATGTTCTCTTCGTTGGAATGTATCTCGGACACGATGAACGGAGGCAGGTACTTGAGATGCACGTTCAGGTTATCGAATTCGTTGTCATAACTCTCGCCCATGATGTAGTTCTCAAACTCCTCGAGCGAGTCAAAATTCATCTCGTGCGACGTGCGCACCTTAGGGGCAGCTTCCAGATGCTCTAAATGTATTGGTTCGGTGTGCTGTGTTTGTCTTTGTTTTTTGGCCATTGTGTTCTATGATTATAGCCAAGCCCGCCAGCCAGCCTTATATACCCCAGCCCATCCCGCAAAATCACGCCAACAGTGACCTCCCATCACGCGGCTGACATAAGCACACATGAAAATCACCAGGCGCGCACTTTTGGAAATTCGCTGATCTGATAGGAATTCTCCGATTTTATACGTCCTCCATGGTGGTCATACAAACGGTCAGCAACAGGGACGTCGTCGTCAGGGCCAAACCCGTGACGGTCGAGGGGTTCCAAAAGTACGGCGGCTTGCTGGCCTGCGACCTGCAGCTGGCCAATGCCCCGCAGAGCTCGGCAAACCAGGGCACAGCCATCAAGCTCATGAAAATGGCGCCCGTCGTCAACAACTACGCGGCCGCGCCCAGCCACAAACCAGCCACAGCCAACTGGAACATCTTCCGCTCGTCGCCGCCAAAACACCTGCTTGCACAGGTGGACGGCGTCACGAAATACACCGCCAAGGTGCTCGAGCGACACCCGTACACCACACAGACGTTTGTCCCGATGGGGCGGTCACGTGACGACAATCACGCGTACCTGGTGATTGTGGCCCCCGACAAGGACGGTTTGCCGGACTACGAGAGGACCGAGGCGTTCATTTTCAAGGGCGACCAGTCGGTTACTTACGGGGTCGGCACGTGGCACGCGCCGATGGTGGTCCTGGGAGACACGTATCTAGATTTTGCCGTGCTGGTCCACGAGAACGGTGTCGAGCACGAGGACTGTGAGGAGGTGGTGTATAGGGGCATGACAATAGAATTGCATTAGGTGTCTACTCGTCTGTATCCATTCTGTCGGACTGCTCCGTTGGTTCTGCTGGCTGTTCTGCTGGCTGTTCTGCTTGTTCCTGTGACTGCTGCTCTTGCTGTGGTTCGTCTCTATTTCTAGCGTTCGACAGGCTGTCCAGACGGTCGAGCCACTGCTGCACGTCGTCATCGTCGTAGATCGTGAACTGCTCGTCCTTGCCGACGACGGCGACCGTGGTGTTCAGCGAGTTCAGCTCCTTGTCCTGCGACAGCGTGTCTCTGAGGGCCGTCAACGCATACTCTATCAGCTGTTCCTTGGTGGCGTCTGCAAATTCCTCGTATTTCCTTTCCAGGAACGTTCTGGCGGCCTGGGACCTCGCGCCAATGGCCGCCCCCACGTACTCCAGCACGCTGCCCGACGGCTGGAACTCGTACAGATGGGCGCCGTTCTCGTCGACGCCGGCCACAAGCAGCCCCACACCGTACGGACGGCCGCCCGCAGACTGTGTGTTGTCCTGTGCCTTGTCTGCGATCGAGTAGACCGCCTTGGCCACGTTCAGCGGCCGGTTGAACACCATTTTCGACGACATCGCCTGCTGTCTCAGAAAATTTGAGAGCACGCGCGCGTCGGGCGCCAGGCCGGCCAGTGCAATGCCCATGTGGTTGTCGATTTTGATGATTTTCTTCTGGTACGAGCCCAGTTCCTCAGCGTTCCGCTTCAGGGCCACCAGGACCACATGGTTCTTGGACGTGATCCCCACGGCTGCAGAGCCCTGCTTGATGGCCTCCAAGGCGTATTCTATCTGGAAAATCCGCCCGGTCGGCGAAAACGTCGTTGCGTCGTTGTCGTAGTTGTTGCGGAACTGCAAAAGTTAGCTGAACAGCGAATTGCCGGTACTTACCATTGTGCAAGGTTGGATCTTAGTTTTGCCACTTATTTTTTTTCAACCTACTCCGGTGCACGGATGTAAACGCATTTTATTTTAACACTCTCATCCATGCCGATAAAGCTCAACCCTCTCACCAAGATCATCGGGCTGTCGTCCGTGCTGGCCGTCGGGTTTCTGCTGGTGGTGCTGGCCGGCGCGCTGTACGGCAATTGGTTACCTGTTCTGGACGCTTTCGTGTTTGCCATTGCGCACATCCCGATTTTGATCACAAGGTACTACGCCTCCGAGTACGACTCGTACCTGGACGACGCGGAGCTGGGCGCCACGGGCGACGTGGTGGACTTCGGCCGCTTTCTCTCGAGCTTCCTGCTGGTCACCGGGATAGCGTTCCCGGTGATTCTGTACCACTGCCACATACTGACGCATATCGCCACGCAGTTCACCATCTACGGCGGCCTGCTGATCTACGGCGTCGTGGTGACCTTCACGAGCTACTTCGACGGCGTCGAGACCGACGCTCTGGAGTTCTAGTGGCGGCTTCGAATTTCCCAAACAGGAAATTGGCGCTCTTCTCGGGCTCGGCAGTGCATATAATATTTAGATTGTTACTATCTCGTCTGGCACCATGTTTTGTACTTTTGACCGCACTCTGTCTGCCGTGGACAAGAAGAGCCTGAGGTCGGCGCTTCCCCAGGCGCAGGCTGCTCTCTCCGGCCCGGAAGCCGGCCCGGAAGCTGGCCCGGCAACCGGCCCCCGCTCCGTGCCTCTGATCAGCAGCCGATCGTTTGTGGGCCTGAGCTCGCGGTCGAAAAACGGGTGTGTGAACTGCCGCAAGAAGAAGAAGAAGTGCGACGAGGTGTACCCCGTGTGCGGCTTGTGCGCGCGCAGAAACACGCCGTGTGTCAGGAGAGACACCAAGAAATCGAAGACGGCCGCGAAACAGGCTACAAAAAGGCCCAAAGACCAGGATCTGCCTCCGCCAGCTCCCCTGTTTGACCCCAATGACCCGCTGGACAACATGCTCCGCGATCTCATCCACAGCCAGGGCGAGCCCCACGCGCTGCTCGACACCAGCGAGGACGAGTTTGCGCCGATGGACGAGTCGCAGATTGTCGAGAACCAGAACCTGTCCGACTCCGAGCTCGTCAAACTGCTCCACCGCAAGGACACCCGGAAATTCCTCAAGCCCACGGTTTTCCAGCTGTTCACCAGTAAGCTTTCTCCAGCCATAACTGTTCCGTCCAACGTTCTCACACAGTCGCTGGACGAAACCGGGCGCCTGTTTCTGGACCACTACATATCGTTCATAACCGAGGAAATCACCATCTGCCACTCGCAGGAGTCCAACTTCTTCTTCAGCTACATTCTGAGACTCGCGGCGCAGGACTCGGCGGTGCTCAACGGCATTGTTGCGTGGGGAGGCATGTTTCTTCTCGGCTCCCAGAACGAGGAGGCCCGCGGGTACTTTGCCAAGTCTCTGGCGCTGGCGCAGACCCGTCGCCAGCAGATCGCTGCCCAGCCGACACTCAGAGACTTCATGGCGCTCGCAACGTGTTTCCTGGTGCTTGTGGGCGCCGAGATCTCGACGGGCGACATCAAATTCTGGTACCATATTTTTCTCCAGCTGCGCGACGCTTTTTCGGAGTACGGCGGGCTGCGCAGGTTTTTCGAGGACACCAAACACGCGAACGAGGGAAAATGGATCATCTCGAATTACTTCTTCCACGACGTGAATGCCACCAGGACGGTGTTGTCCGGCACGCACGAGGACATCAACACGTACCGGGAGATTTTCCAAGGGCACAAAATCCTCGAGACGGACGAGTACGGCCTGGACCCGTTCCAGGGCTCTGCCGCCGAGCTGTTCGTGATTTACGGGGAGATCAACGACAAACGAAAAGAGCTCAAGGACCTGGAGATGCGGATCCGCGTGCTCGAATTATCTGGCGACGAGTCTGCTGCCAAGAAGACCGTGCTGCTGAACCAGGAAAAGCATGACTTCTGTCTGGCCGCGTTCGAGGAGCTGGAGTCCCGCGTTCTCCAGTCCAGACCCTCGTTCAAACAGCTGGAGCCGATCAGCAACAACCGCGACCTGCTGGCGCTGCATCTCACCTGGTTCGAGCTGCACCAGATCACGATGCGGCTGTACCTGCGCATGGTGGTGAAAAAAACCGACTTCCGCGACCCCGAGATGGTGGCTCTGCGCGAGCACGCCGACAGACTGCTGGACATCGTGATCGGCACACGGATGCAGTCGATTCTGTGTCTCACGCTCATGATCGCCGGCGTGGTGCACTGCGACGAAGCGTCGCGCGCAGACATCGCGGCCAAGTACGAGCGGCTCGTGCGCTCGTTCGAGGTGAAGAACGTGCAGAACTGCTGGCTCGTGGTGCAGAGGTGTTGGGAGATTGAGGACGATCTGCTGCGACGCGGCGAGCCGTGCTACGTTGACTGGTGCGATGTGGTGGAGGACTTTGGGTGGGAGTTCTGTCTGTGCTGAATGCGCTGTATTTCCGTAGCACTATTTAACTTATTCGTCCTCGGCGTGGACGTTGCGGGCCTCCTGCATCAGCTCGTACAGCTGGACCACCTGTTCGTCGCTCATCTTGCTGAGGGCGTCCGACGTGAGCTTGTACTTGCGCCAGTCGTCTTCTGTGTTCTTCGCGACGGCCTGGAGATAGTCCTGCCATGCCGTGAGGAAGCCCACGATCTGCAGCGGGTCCTCCACGTTGGCGTGTGCTCTGAACTCGGCCCGGACATAGTTGTCCCCCAGGTGTCTTGCGTCGGGCGGCAGTTTGCGGTGCGAGCGCAGAATTGCGCGGTAGAGCGTGAGCGGCGGGAGCAGGGGCCGCGTGTCTCTGGCGGGTCTGCGGGGACGGACCAGGCGGGGAATTGTGGGTCTCATGGGAATTGTGATTTATTTATTTTATTTGTTTTATTTTATTTTATTTTATTTCATTTATTTTATTTTTCATGCTAGTTCTCGAGAGAGTCAAAGACCTACGCGTTTTGCGCTACGTGCTCAGCCACAACCATTCCGCATGGGGCGGCCAGCTGGACGTGGAGGAGTACATTGAGCGGGAGCGGCTGAATTACACCCACCGGTTCTGCGATCTCTGGCGATCCGAGCCCGTGGTCAATGGGACGTACTATTGGGTATTCAGAGATACCGCGCTGCCGAGCGAGAATTTCGAGGATATCGTGTGTGCTTGCGAGTTTGTGGTGCGCGACTCGTACTATTTCGACAAATCGCTCCACCGGTGCAAATGTGCGGCCATTGGGTCCGTCTACACTCTAGAACAGCACAGAAAAAAGGGGTATGCTACGGAAATGATGGAGCAGCTGGTGGAAAAAATGAAAGAGCTGTTTCGTGGGGAGTACGATTTCTCGTTTTTGTACAGCGAGGTGGGCGAGTACTACTCGCGGTTTGGGTTCCGGAGCCACCACGTTCCGGTGGCTTTGCTGGAGACGGGCAAAAAAACGAAGATTGAATACTCGTACGTGACGGAAGAGAACCTGCCGAAATTCATCGACCAGTACGACGCGAAAGTTCGCCAAATGGCGCAGGCGACGCCTACGTCGGTGGCTGTGAAGCCGTCGGTGCAGAACATCGAATGGTTTCAGAACAGATCGATCCATCTGGCAAAGCTCCAGAAAAGAGAGTTTGACGGCAATAGATTTGGCATACATATCGGGAGCGCTTTTGCACTGTGGTATTACGAGTTCGGCGATGATCAGGTGACTCTGATCATGCTCGACGCAGAGACGCCGGACCAGACACGCAAGTTGCTCGAGTGCTGCATGGCGGAATGCTGTGCAGTGAAAAAAATCAAGATATGGCACGACGAGTTGGTGTATCATGCGGGAGAAAAAGATGAGGCAGCCTTGGGGCTGGTGACGGAGTTGGGAGGAAGCGTCGGACACACAAACGAGTCGCTCTCTGCGCTGAGCATGCTGCATTCCTCCAGCCAGCCAGCGTGGGTTGCGAATGGAAAGTGGGCTTGGTATTAGTTCCATGTATGAAAACAATGCAAGTATGCTGATGCGAGTGGGTGCAATTACTGGATCTTGAGACTGCTCATGAGTAGGCTGTGGTGGAGCTCGGGGTTGTAGTCGTGTTTGTACGGAACATCGAATTCCATGAGGTTTGTGATCGGAGTGGTGTGCACGCTCGACGGAGTCGATTCCGAGCAGACTGGTGTGGCGGGACTGTGCACGAGAGATGGCAGATCAGGCGCGTACGAGAGTTTGACATCGCTGGAAACACCCTTCTCGAGGTCCTCGGTGTGTTGTTTTTTGAGCAGCACGGGCTTCAGAGCCCTCTTTTTCCAGGAGGAGACCACCTTATATATGCCAAATAGACAGGCTCCGACCAGCGTTAGCAAGAGAATATCCAGCACAACCTCCATAATTCCATGAATGCCAGTGCCATGGATGCTGTGCTGGTCGACAAGGTAGTAATTAAATAGTCCCAGCCCAATTTCATGGACCGGCCTGAAGCCGGCCTCATGGGCTTCCGGAGGGATCACAAGATACCTGTTCTTGAGATCTTGATATAGGTGTTCGCGAAGAAGCACTGTGTCGTATCCTGGTGGAGGAACAGCCATGGGTCGTTGAAAAGAAAAAGAAGGTATTAATAGTAGGCAACAGGGATTTTTCCAGCTTTTTTTCGCTTTCAAAAATTCCTGCTAGGATATGCCACAAAATAAGATGCATGTAAGTAATCTATGCATATCGAAAGAACAAATGTAACCTATAATAATTTAGAGTTTGTAAGCATGGTGAGTGTGCCTGGACAGAGAGGTTTACGAAAGGGCATCTGTTGTGAGCTCAGGTGGAAGCTGCGCAGTGCCACTAGGTCGGACACCCTGGTTCCTGGCCAATATTTACAAATTGTAGAAAAGGAACAGGTGAGATTCGGCTACCAAATTCGGAAAAGACCAAATAATTAACCTTTGTTGATTTTTCGGCCCATCTTTAAATAGCGATTACATCACCGACGCGTCGATCGCCGTTTTGTTTTTTCTCTCAATTAGGGATTACTCCAAAAAAAGCGATCTAATAATATTACTCACTGTTGTGCACACTGGACTCCAGGCTGGCCATCCTCGTCCTCGTCGTTATCGTCGTCGTAGCTTCTGTTCTTACGCTGGCCGTGCTTGATAGGATCCACGTCAGTCAGGACACACGAGTCGTCGACAACGGCATTCTTTGGAATGTTGAGAGCTGGTCTTGGTGGCAGAATCTTGGCCAGTGCTTCGAGCTGCTCCTCGGTAGCAAAGCCCTTAGGTGGGAAGATGACCTCAAAGTTCACAAACAGGTTTCCGTAGCCCCCGTGTCTTGGAATAGGCATACCCTTCTCCTCGATGACCTTCACCGAGCCTGGCGAGATCACTTCGCCAGGAATGATGTCGACCTTGAGGTACTCTCCGCTCAAATGCTTGATGGCGAAGGCGCCTCCTGCCAAAGCGGTCAGAAGATCGATCTTGGCGTCGTAGAACAGGTCGTGGCCCTGTCTTCTGAAGGTATCATGTTTCTTTTCGTCGATCACGAAAATAACGTCACCAGGAATGATGTCTGGAAGTTGGTCTCCCTCGCCAGAGAACACCACTCTTTGGCCAGCTTGCATACCAGGGTCGATATGAACCTCCAAGATCTTTCTCTCGTTACTGACCTTCTTACCTTTACAGGTCTGACATCTGTCCTTTGGCGAAATAATGTCTCCCTCACCCTGACAGACGTCACAGGTGGTTTGGAATCTCTGGATCATAGGTCCCATTTGTCTGGTAACGAACTTCATACCAGTACCGTCACACGAGGAACACTTTTTCACGTCCTTACCTCCTTTACCCTTACAGCTGGAACATAGCACGGTCTTGTTCAAAGCCAGCTTTGTAGTCTTACCCTTGTACAGTTCTTCCAAAGTGCAAGAAATGGTGTGTCTGATGTCCTTTCCTCTCTGAGGGCCGGTAGGACCACGCTGGCCGAACCCGCCAAACCCGCCAAAGAACTGCGAGAAAATGTCTGCTCCGTTCATGCCTCCTGCTCCTCCGCCGCTGAGGCCTTCTTCTCCATACTGATCGTACAAATCTCTTTTTTCCGGATCACTGAGAATCTCATAGGCGGCAGAAATCTCCTTGAACTTCTCGGCTGCCTCTGGGGAAGGATTTTTGTCTGGGTGGTGCTTCAAGGCTCCCAAACGATAAGCTTTTTTCAGCTGGGCGTCGGTGGCGTCAGGGGACACACCCAAAATATCGTATAGCTTAGTATCTTTGACCATGTCTGATTCCTTTTGATCTGTGGCAAATCTATAGATTGCGGCTCTCGACTAGACTGCTGGCGCTGTATACGGCACTCCTAGTGATGTCAGTGGAAAATTTGCCCTTTAATAGGAAAAATCTAATATTCAGAGAATCCTAGACAAAATTTAAAAAATTTGAATTTTCTCGCATCGAGTCGTGTTTACGCGAACTTTTTTCTGGAAAAATCCAGGCTTGGTAGCAGGTTTATCTTCGCGTTACCACCGCCGCTTGGGGATCCCGTGTTGTAGCTGTTTTCGGTGGCAGTGGCGGCGGGTTGGGAGCTGAAGTGGCCGCCGGTGCGGGCCGTTGCAGATGGTCAGGACGTTGCTGTTGCTGTTGCTGTTGCTCTTGAATAGCCAGTAGTTTTCGAACGCGGGTGTGGACAATCGCTGCGTTTCGCGTAGAGCAGCCGTTCATCCATGCAAAGAAAGAGCCAATCAGGGGCGGCAATGAGATGAGCAGATCAAACAATATATTGGCCTGCATTTTTGAGTACGTAGCGGGATCGATATCGAACGCCTGGCTAGCCATGTGGATCAGCCGGGCGTGTATGGCATACATCAGCAGCGGGCCAATTCCCGGAAGCATCACCAGAATGGGCCCCAAGCCTATTCCACAGTCTATTGGATAGCATCCAAGGAAACACTTGTCGTCGATCCATGCTCTTCGTTGTATTCGTTTCCATGCCTTTTTCTGCTCCTTTGGTGCGTTTTTCGGGAGCTTGAGTTTGCGCGTCGAGCCGTCCGGCAGCGTCTCGACAAACGGGTCTTTGGTCTTGATTTTGTCCCCGGCCAGGTCGTTCCACTTGTCCACCAGGTCGTCGTAAAACGGGATCGACTCGAGCTGGTCTTGGATTGACTGCAGAGTATTCTCTATCGCTGACATCGACGGGTGTGTCGTAGAGTGTCTATCTCCAAATTACAATTGTGCAATTCTGTCCCGTCGGAACCGCACCTGGTTTGATTTTGCTACTTAAATGAAAAACACAGCCTGGATTTAATTTATTTAACAAATGTCGAAACCTCTCGTGGAGACGCGGATCTGGATAGACGGGTGTTTTGATTTTGCACATCATGGTACGTGGACAGCTTTTCTGACTAACTTCAGGCCATGCGGGCGCAATGCTGCAAGCTAGACAGCACGGGACCGAACTTTACGTGGGTGTCCATTCGGACGAGGATATTTTGGAAAATAAAGGACCCGTGGTGATGACGCTGGATGAGCGCCTTGCCGCGGTGGACGGCTGTCGGTGGGCCACAAAGTCCGTTCCGGGAGCCCCCTACGTGACCGATCCTGCCGTCATGGACTTCTACGGGTGCAAATACGTAGTCCATGGCGACGATATCACGACAGATGCCAATGGAGAGGACTGCTATAAAGTCGTCAAGGAGCTGGGTCGGTTTATCGTGGTGAAACGCACACCCAACATCTCCACCACAGACCTCGTGGGCCGGATGCTGCTGTACTCGAAGAACCACCATCTGCGGCCTATTCTGGCCAAGGACTGGCAAGACTACGCTGCTGGACAGCCATCGCACCCTCTTCTTCAGCCCGACGCGGCCAAGCGCTACAAAGACTACGCCACATGCGAGGACGGCAAGAACCCCGGTGTGGCCGTTTTTGCGTATGTCAAGGACACCGGCGAGGTCCACGAGCTGGTGAAGCCCAGCGCAGACAGATTCAAGTCGGCCAAAATATACTATATCGACGGTGGCTTTGATCTGTTCAATCCAGGACATATCGTTGCTTTGAAGAAGCTCAAGGAGCGAGCAACGGCCGACGGCGCGGTTGTTCTTGTGGGAGTCAACGACGACGAGGACGTCAACAAGCACAAGGGCATCAATTATCCGATCATGAATTTATTTGAAAGATCTCTGTGTGTGCTGCAAAGCAAGTACATTGACGGGATTGTTCTTGGTGCTCCTTACAGTCCGACGAAGAAGTACATTCTGGAGTTTCCTGTGCCTGTGGTGAAGGTTTTCCACGGTCCTACCTCCGAGGACGCGGACCCCTACTCCGAGATGAAAGAGCTCGGCATCTACGAGAACCTCGGTAGTCACGAGTACGACAACATCTCGACAGAGGACATCGCGAGCCGTGTTCTGAAAAACAAAGAGGCGTACGAGGAAAGACAGCGGCGTAAGGGGTGGAAAAGCGAGCACGAGAGACAGCTTGAGCAGCAGGAAAAAAAGCTAGATAAATAAATGTATTTGTCGATAAAAATATTTTTCAGTATATGGGGAAGAGAAAACACGGCGGAGGAGGCCAGGCGAAGCGATTTAAAAGCGGCGTGCTCATCGAGCCGGGCCAGATTGGCATCTATGCCTCGTGCAACAGACACAAAGAGGGAGCTGCTGCCAAAGAGCTGAAACAGCTGCTCAACGACAGATGGAAGGAGTATTTTCCGGTGGAGGAAGAAATTAATGAGGAGAATGGAAGGGAGGAGGAGTCTGTCGAAGACGCGATCAAGCGAGAAATTGACGAGATGAACAAGCAAAACCAAGACGCAAAAAATAAGGAGATCGTCAAGGAGATGAACATTAGTTGTGACTCGCTGATCTTCATCAAGACCAGAAGGCCAATTGTGCCCTCCAAATTCGTGACGCAAGTGTGCTGCGAGCTGTTTGACTCCAAGGCAAAGAACACACGCTTTTTGCAGAAACTGACGCCGATCGACGTCTCGTGCAATGCGACAGAGACGGAGTTTCGCAAGCTGGCTGAAAAAGTCTTTCAGGGCCATTTCGACAACGAAGAATCGTACTCTTTGAACCTGATCAAGCGAAATTTCAGCATCATTGACAGAGACACGTTCACCTCGATTGTGGCTGAGCTTCTGCCGGGCCATCGACTCAATTACCGCGCGCCAGACAAGATGATCAACATTTTCTGCTTCAAGAACAACATAGGCATGAGCGTGGTGAATTTCCAAGACTACGACAGACTGTGCAAGTTCAACTTGCAGCAGATTTTTGACCGAGTAAACGGACTGGACGGGAAGGACCTAAAGGACGGGGCAGAGCAGGAGACAGGGGCCGAGTGAATGCTGTCACACCTCGCACCAACAGAGCATTTAAGAAAAATATAGGCCCTATAATGTTTTTTGTGAAAATTTTTATGAGAAAATGGAGGACCATTCGACAGCGGTGATTATTTGCATTGACCAATTGTTCCGCCTGAAGGCCGAACGCCACTGTTGACAATCGCATCTCGTTAAGTTTCAGCCTTGTATGAGCTACGAGTGGTCTGTCGTTTACTCATAACGATTTTCGCCGTCCTGTGATGATTAACCGACCGGGCGGACATACCAGTACCTGGCAGCCACATTTATGTAAAAACGCTCCTCGTGTACAATTTTGGGGCGCCGGCTGTGGGGGAACTGCTGAGAGGTCGCAGATATCTGACGGACAGCGTGGCTGGAGACCGGTTTACCGAACCGATGTCTAACCACGCACCATTCTCGATTCTATGATGAGGAAGATATTCACACTGTAAGAGGGCCTCGGCTCGGTGAACGCAAACAATATACTGATTTAATGACTCTGATGAATCGAGAATTTAGTACATTACATAACGATATTCATTATCTATGCTTTGGTCATACCTTCGTGATGGTTCTTGTGCGAGGCAGGCTTTGTTTGGAGCCCGATGTACTGCTGATAGTGTACGGAAATCACCTCTTCTCGTAATTCCTGGATCTCGTCCCTGTATCGGAAGAGCTCGAAGTCGTCCAGAAACGTGCACGTGGACGTGGCCGTGTCGAGCCTCCGTCGCTTGGAGGACTCCGCAGCTGGCGGAGGCTGCTGTCTGCTTTTGCCCGCGGAATGGGCTTTTTTGAGCCACACGTTGAGGTCGGAGTCGAGCTCGTTCCCCAACGATTTGCGGGTGTCGAAGAGCTGGACTCTAAAGTTGAAGATCTGCTCTAGGTCCTTGATGCTGGTGCTGAAGGGGTCGTAGCGCGAGTAGTGGCGAAAACTAGACTCCATCATGGTCGGTAGGTTGCTGAGACGAAACACAAATGAAACAAACAAACAAGTTTCGCTCGCCCGTCAAACATACTTATTTCGGAATTTCTCATCGGCACTCTCCTAGATAAGATAACAACAATTGTGGCCACTGCGCTATCTCAGGATTTTTTTTTGCTGTGGCGGTGCGCGCTAATTTTAACACAGAGCCGTGAATCGCGACGGGTTTTTTTCTCTTTTCCGGCTTATCACTATCTTGATTGCTCGGCTTCACTATCGCTCGAATTGGAAATCGTCTCGCTATCGCCGTCCAGTTCCAGCCCGATGCCAGAGCCGTGCATTCGCGTCTCCATGTCGCTGGTTTTGCGCGCTGCAGCAATCGTTTCTCTCCCCACTATATTATGCGACTCTGTCTTGCGGTTGTACTTCTCCAGTCCGCTCACGAAATCCACGAGCAGATGGATGGACAAAATCTCAAAAAACAAGTTCACCTGCACCATCCATCTGGGGTCGCGTGCCACCAGCGCCGACCCCATGAGCTGCATCCCCGTGTTGAACCAGTAGCAAAAAAAGGTGGTCACCAAAAGCCCCAGGTTCTCAAACTTGAACCGTCTGTCCACACGTAGCAGCCAAAACATCATTACCAGCACCCAAATGTACAAACAGACGAGCGACGTGAACACCAGTACCGTGACATTGACCCAGTAGCGGACGTAGTGGTTCTTCTTAGTCGTTGAGAAATAGTGTAGCGACGTGAAAACCACCACCAGCACCATGAACACCGCGTTCACAACGTTGGCGGCCACTAGACACCTGTACATCTTGTTGCCGCTCTTGGCGGTTCTTGTTCTGAACTCTGACACCAGCCGGTCGCACAGCGAGTACCACGATATGTATGTGAACGCTCGCAGAATGCACACGGGCACCGTATAGTAGAGTTTGTTGAAGAGTCGCTCGATAACCATTATCCGGTCCTGGAAACAGCCGTCAAATTCCTCCCTCATCAAGCATGTAAAGCGAACAAGGATGATTGTGGAAAAGACGGCAAGAAGCGTAGTGGTCAGTTGCAGATGCAGAGGACGTTTTTCTGTAGCGATCGACTGGACCAGAAATAAAAGCCAGAACCCCACGGTCACTGTGCAGAGCACGAAACTGATGACTATCACCGAATCGTGAAAATCGTCTCTTGTCAGCGGTAGAACGGTGTCGATGATGGTCGCCTGATACGACGACAGATACTCGTTCAGAGCGGTCCAGTCGGAGGCGTTGGTGAAAAAAAGCGAAGGGTACGCATTGTCGACGACAGTGCCGTCGCTCAGGTTGAAACTCCCCGGCTCCAGCTGGAACACTGAGAAATTCCCCTGGAATATGTGTGCTAAATCCATGGAAAGAAAATAAATTAAATAAAATTATTTCTAGCCGTACAGCTAAGCTCGAAGTTCACTCTATTATATTATTTAGGTGGCACTTTTTTCCCGCGACCGGCCCGACCGCGAGTACTTCCTGCCCTCCTTTGGGGCCGGCTTGTTCTCCAGCTCGCGCAGATCGATATTGACCACGTACGACCTTTTTGGTCTCCTGTAGTCGTCGTCGTATCGCTCTGCGTCTGACTCGCCCATCTTGAGATCGAGCTCCTCGATAGGAAGAGAAACGCGGAACTCTGCCGTCTCCTGGAAGTTTCGTGTGCCGCGGCCCTTGCTGGTGATCATTTTGCTTTGTAGTTCACGCACAAACATAAAGTTGTTGACTCCCCGACGGTGGAAAGTCGACGAGAATCCTTCTGGGTATGTGGAGATTTCCTGTCTTTTTGCTGTGCTGGACGAGCCGCCGAGGTCGCCCTGTGGCGACGAGCTGGGGCAGTCGAAGAACAGCAGCATTTTCGAGTCCCTGCCCGTGGACTCGTTTGAGAATCTGTGCGATTTGTACGGTAGCTTCTGCTCGTTGAACAGCTTGGCCACGATTTTGAACCGAATAAATAGGTCGTTTTCGGGCTGGATCTTGGACGATTTCGCGTTTGTGTCCTTGATCAGATGCGTGATCTCGCCATAGTCCTTGAAAGCCTGGTGAATTAGCGCAAGACATTGCGAATGTGGCGTGTCGAAGGGAAGCGAGGCAACATAGACCATGTACTGTGTAGGTTGCCTGGTGATGATTGTCTTGATGTATTTGATGACTTTCGAATGTGAGTCCTGTTTGTTGAATGTCTGTTTTGGAAACCGCGGAGGCAGCGACACCTCCTCGGCGATGGATGAAATCAGAGCGTCCTCGTCAATTCTGCGGACGACCAGCTCTGTGGCCGGCTCGTCTTTGCCGAGTGTTTTTAGCTTTTTGATATCATTTGATGAGGTCTGGAGCGTCCCCAAGGAAAAGCCGTCGAAAAGCTGGTCCACGTAGCTGGAGTTCCTGCTGGCACTCAGAGGCGTTGTTCCCCCTAGTGGGGTGGCCATGCTTGAGACCGGCCCGTACAGGGACCCGCCAGACGTTTTTGCGTTTTCCGGAGCAAATAGGCTCAGTGTGAGCGGCGAGGCAGGGAACCCGGTAGAGTGCGATCTCCGCTCCCCTAGGACGGCTCCGTTCGAGTCTTTGCGGGACTCCACCGCGGGACTCGGGAAAAACCGCGACATGCGGTGCGACAAGGGCGTGTCGTCGAGAGAGCCTGTACTGGCCCAAAATCCTGGGGAAACCAGTGACCCTGTGGACTGTGAGAGCGGATCCCACTGCTGCGAAGAGCCGTTGAGCGATAGCTGGCGTGGCTCGGGCGGATTGAGGCCCAGCAGTTCTGGCGAGTTGACGGCGGTGGATATTTCGTTGCTGAGGTCGTTCCACAGGTTATTATTAGAATCTTCCGGGATAGAGTGGCCATACTGCAGCGGCGACGTGGCGTAGTCGTCGGCTCGGTGGTCTTTTCGGGCGCCCTCAGACAGCGTGCGGGCCTCGTGTGGGATGGTTTTGGGCGACTGTCGCTGCGAGACGGAACTATTCCACACGTTCGAGCCGGCAGGACTCGTGTTTGCAGACCAGATGCTGGATGCGGTGGCGGACTGTCTGGTCAGACTGAGTCCGTGGAACGATTTGTCGAGCCCATTGGGTTTTGCGCTGCCCACAAGGTCCATCGAGGAGCCGCTTTCTGAGGAGGAAGGACGAGCCGAGTAGTTTGTGGTGGGTGATGCCATTGACTGGGCGGAGGGGAGGTGTTTGAACGAGCTGCTCACCGACTCAGACTTGAACTTCGATCTCAGGGGACTGGGGTCGTCAGCTTCCAGATTCAGCTGCTGGAGAGCCGGATCGTAGTCCATCACAAAACTAAGTACTGTTTAATTATTTTCTCCAGAGTCATACCCAAGAAGATTCCGCGCACCCGTGCACCTGTTCTTGTGCCGAAGGGGGGAAGGGCTAGAAGAGAGGAAAAAAAAAAAAAGAACATTAATAAATTACATCAGCAACACGAGTCCAAGCTCTTGCTCTTATTTTTTTGTTTAGGTAAGACGAAAGACAGAGCGACCCAGACGCCCATCCTGCCGCAGAGAATCGCTAGCGTGTGCACACCCCGCCGAAACGTAAGTATTCCGTGCCCCAGAGATCCGTTGGACGCCCGGCTTGTTTGTGTTGGCTCGCAAAGTTTGCAGCGCACCGACAAGCCTGGTGGAGCTTATGCAACGATCACGTAATACCGGGCCCCAGGACACTAACCTCCAGCAATGACCGACAACGCCAACAACCTGGGCAGTATCGACCCTTCGTTCCAGAAGATCATCAAGACGCAGTCGTCCGACGGGCAATTCGAGGACGAGGTGGCGGCTGCGGCCGCCGCAATTGCGGTCAACAATAGAGGTCCAGCGCCCGACGCCGGCCAGAAACAGGCCCAGGCCCAGTACCATGCGCAGTACCAGCCCAGCAGCGGCAAGTCTGGCGCCAACAGCGGGCTGCCACCTCCTCCGACGTCTGCGTCGCCGCCTGTGCACAGCGGGTCTCCCGAGTCGGGCTCGCCGGGCCAGGACGAAAACGGCCGGCCTTCGTACCACGGCAAGCCGCTGAACCAGTCTAAGCGGGCTGCGCAGAACAGGGCCGCGCAAAAGGCGTTCAGACAGCGCAGAAAAGACCACATCGAGGAGCTCGAGAAGAAGCTTGAGCAGCACAGAGACTGCCAGCAGGAGCTGGAGAGTCTGCGCCAGGAAAACATCCGGCTCAAGGAGTACATTCTGTCGCTGCAGAGCAAGATCATCAGCACGGGCGACGCGACAATTGCCAACCCGCCTCTGGGGCTGTTTGGCAACAGCACGTCGTCGAACTCATGAAGGGTGATCTCTATGTTGTTTTAGTGTAGTATAATGGTATTTGTTTTAGCGTAACGGTACTTCTTTACGGTGTCAGAACGGCCGAGGTGAGAATCACCCCGGGAAACCCTACAAACAGTGTACTTGCGCTAGCGTGCTGTCTGCTGGATTTCGCTTCATTCTGGTTGATCTTTGCACAGAGACACATTCCCTCGGCACGTGGAGCTCCAAGGAAACTCAAGTTTGTGCGGATTTCCAACAAATACCCACCGTCTACTGACGCTAGGCATGTGATGGAAATAATTTGAGATTAAAATTTTCGGCTGGTAATTTATCCTTGTATCTCCTTGCTTTTGCCATTGTACAGGAATGAGACTTTTCGGTGGCCACAAATCACGTTCCAACAGCTCGCCGCCGGCCCCCACGCAGTCCGACTCGTCGGGCGAGCAGACAGACGACGCTGCGCGGCCCAGTCGTGAGAGCTCTGCGAGCCCTCGGCCTAAAGTCTTTGCTATGACCCAGGTTGCGCGACGCACATCGTCGCCGATCCGGATCTTCAGGAAGGGCGTGACGAAGGCCGTGGACGAAAACTCGCTCTCCGCGTCTGCGTGCAAGGCGATCGGCGCCACCACGCGGTCCGTGGAACTGATCTCGGAATCGATCTCAGACAAATGGAAGAGATCTGTCGACGCACTTTTGTCCCCCACGTTACCGAGTGCCCCCACTTTCAAGACCGAGGACGAGGACTCCACGAGCACGAATTCCGAGATTGCGGGCGACTACGACGACGACGAGTTCGACCTCGGCCACGAGCCAAAGCCCCTCGTAGCCGAGGAGCCGAGTGCCCCGCCCATGAAACGGTTTTCGCGAGCCCACAGCGACGTTGAGTCGTCCATCATCGGAGGTGAGCCCGCAGAGCATATTGAGCCCGACGAGGGCAGCCGCGAGACCGCCGTGGAGGAAGCGAGTCCGACACGCAAGGTGTTCTCCTTCTCTCTGCCGTTTGGCTCCAACGGCCCCCACAAATCGGGCCGTCTGTCCTCGATCCGGTCGGTTCTGAGCCCCACGCGAACAATCTTCGATCCCGACGACAAGGAGCTGCAACGCATCGAGATCCGCCAGAAGCTGGCGCGACAGGAATCAATCTCGACGGTCGAGGAGGCCGTTTTGTTCGGGGACGTCACAAAGCTCCAAGACAACAAGATCGACGCACTCTTCAAGTCACTCAAGCCCACGGTCAAGCTGCCCCCAAACCACGAACTGCCCGACTATTTGCGCATTTTCCAGGAACTGGAAGGAGACGTCATCATCTTGGGCGGCTACCGGGGCAGCATACTGCGAGACGCCCTTACCAAGCGACGCGCGTGGATCCCTGTGCTCAAGGCGGGATTTAACATCAAAAAAATAGACCTGCTGCTGGGCCCGAAAGACGAGGATGAGCTGCACACGGAGGAAAAAATATACGCGGACGGAATTCTGTCGCACATCGGGCCCGTCGACATCTGCAAAAAGCTCATGGCCACGCTAGACGCAAACCCAAAAGTCCGCGTGCACAATTTCGGCTACGACTGGCGGCTCTCGCTCGACATCCCGGCAGAAAAGCTGTACGCTTTGCTCGAGGACATCAAAAACCGGACGGGCAAGCCGGCGCTCATTGTTGCGCACTCGATGGGCGGCCTTGTGTCGCACTCGGCCATGCAGAAAGACCCGTCGCTGGTCCGGGGAATAGTGTATGTTGGCACGCCTGCGCCGTGCTCGAATATCATGGGGCCGCTGCGGTTTGCAGACCATATTCTGCTCTGCAAAGACCTGCTTACGTCAGAGGTGAACTTCATGATGCGCTCGTCGTTTGTGTTTATTCCGCGCAACGGCGAGCTGTTCAAGGACAAAAACACGGGCGAGCTGTACAATATCGATTTTTTCGACCCAAAAAACTGGATCGAGTACAACCTGAGCCCGATCGTGAGCTCTATCCGGCTAGCGCAGGAGGCAGGCAAGCCCGTGCCGCCGCACGTGAAGCAGCAGTCGCGGTTTGCGATCTCTTTCGACGAGGCCTACGACTACCTGTGTCGCACGCTCAAACGCACCTCTGAATTCCTCGATTCTCTTGAGTACGACGAGTCGCGCGAGTATCCGCCGATGGCCGTTGTCTACGGCAACGCCGTGCCGTCTGTACGGTACTCGCTTGTCGACGGCGTCGACGAAATCAAAATGGGCCACTACTACCATTTTTTCTACGGCCCTGGGGACGGAGTCACCAACCAGAAATGGGTGTTCCCGGAGAACAGAGGCTACCCGCTGGTCGGCAAGTTCAACTCCACGCTGGGCCATGTGGCCCTGCTGACCGACCTAGACTGTATCGGCAAGGCTATGCTGGCCATAGTCCGCGCCGAGCAGAAATAACGAATATTTGCACCATGTATATTATGTATCAACAGTCTGCTTCTTCTGCGTACTTGACCACTAGCCACAGACTGCAGCTGCAGCACTGTATTATGAGCTCGTACTGGCCGTCTTCCTGAACGGTCCCCTGGTCAAGATCGGCCTCGTGGAGCTCGAAGCCGCCAGGGTAGGTGCACCGCGGACAGCTCTTGGTCCAGCGCAGCTCGTGGTCGTTGTCTATTATTTCAAAGTCGTCCAGCGAGTATGTTTCAAGGCCGTCGCCGGTCGCTACGCCCAGCTTGGAGAGCTCTTCCTGCCGCAGGGCGTCGTACTCCTGGCGTTTTATAGGATCGACCAGCACCCGATAAGCGTCTGTGATTCTGGCTATCTCGTCGCCCTGAGTCTGCGTCCCGGTCTTGTCCGGGTGTGAGGAAAGCAGCTTGCGACGGTACGCCTCCTTGATCTGCGCCACGGACGCCGTCGTCGCCACCCCCAGAACCGTGTAGTGAGACTCCATGGTGTCCAGGCTGTGCACTGAAAAAATTAACTTAATTTATTTGATTTAATTTTTTTTTCGTAAATTTTTAGCATGGATTCTTATGTCGAGCTGGACGTCAAGACGGTGGGCGACGTGGCCGACTCCGTCGTGGTGAGCTCATGCGTGAACGGTGTCGAGCTACCTGAGGACGTGTCCTTCGACCTGTACAAACACAAGGACGCCTATCTGGTCCACGGAGAGTCCGAGAACTTGGAGTACAAGGGAGAAAGCATAGGTGACGACCAGACTTACTACGTGGGAGTGTTTGATCCGCAGAAAAAAACGGTCGAGCTACTCAGGGCGCCATTGTTGTCGACACGCGTCACGTCAAAGAGAAAGCTGTCGATCCCCAAAATCAGACAGCTCGATGTCCAGCGGAACGTGCAGAGAAACGCTTTGGGCGAGGCCTTTGGTACAAAGAAGGCCAAGAAGGCCATTCTGGACCTCGAGAAGAACAAGATCGACGCGTCGAAGCTGGAGACCGAGCAGTCAGATATCATCGACTCGATCAAGGTCAACACCTCGATGCTGCCGTCCAAGAGCGAGATGCTGGACGATCTCAACGAGCACAGGGTCATTCCGCAATTCGACGTCGACGCAACCTCTGTGGACGACATCTATCCGCTCGAAAATATCATCTCCAAGAGAGAGCTGGCCAGCATCAGAGTCGACAGTCTGCAGAACGACAGCATCAAGGCCAAGGACAAACTGGACCTGCTACCATACTCCAACTCGCGCTATCTGCTAAGAAAGCTTTCCTCCATCTCCAAAGACACTCCCGACCGCAAACTCAAGCTGCAGATGCTGTATTATGTCTCGCTTCTGATGGGACTGTACGCCAATCGTCGCGTCCATGCCAAGGACCAGCTTCTCGAGTCGCTCAACCAGCCGCCCGTGGTGCTTGTGGACTACGTGCTGAAAAATTTCAGCATTTTGAAAAAAAATAATCGGAATTATTTGATCGACCCCAAGTGCGAGGACAAGATCCTGTGCTATTTGTTGGCGCTGATCCTCAAGCTGGACGAGTACCAGGTGGAGGTCTCGCCTCTGGCGCAAGAGCTGTCGCTTAAGCCGTCAAGACTGACGTCGTTGTTCCGCTCGCTCGGCTGCGTCATCAAGAACGCGACGGCTGCGCAATGCGAGGCATTTGGCGTGCCGAAGACGGCAGCCAACAACTACAAAATCGCCACGCTCAGGGTGCCGTTCAAGGCCCCGGAGCTTGCGAGACGTGGGGGAGCTAGAAGATAGGTGGAGCTGCCCACTAAATTTAGGACAAAAATGTAACTTATACATGAGTAAGCCAGAAGAATGTACAGTCAGTTAGTTTAATTATGTCTTGCCATGTATTGAATACAATGAATACATTTGCCTCATTATCGTAGCAACATTAGTGCGAGCCGGTTCTGAGCCGGTCTCTGATGGAAAACACACACATTATCCAGGCCATGAGCAGCGAAACCACGCCCACACTCACGTTCATCGTGAACATTGGGGTCAGACCTCTGTACTCAAGCGCCATAATGACCGGGTCCGTGCTCTCCATAAAGACAAGGCCGCCACACAGCAGACAGAAAGACGTGAGCAGCTCTGTGAACGGTCTGGATGGCCGGAACGACTGGCTCTTTGGGAAGAAGATCATTAGCAGGAAGGTCACCAAGCGGACCACAGACCCGTACGTCAGAAGCGATCCCCACTGCACATGGACGCTCGTGGACAGCTCGGAGGCCTGCTGGTGCTGCGACATCAGCAAACCGGTCCAGAAGATCGTGAACGCTGGGAACGGATTAGGACTGAATCCTGGGGTCACGTGAGCAGGACGGTAGCCCTGGACCTCGAAATCTGAGCCGACCTGGGAGTAGAACTTGTCCAGCCGCCAGTCGGCGAGTTTCAGCTCGGCCACCACGCCGCACAGGCCGGCGCCGATGTACAGGAACGCGATCGACACGTGCTGGAGATCTTTGGCCGTCCATGGACCGCCCGGAGCAGCCAGATGCTCGAGAAAGATGTTGGTGGAGCCGTAAAACAGTATAAGCGAGCTTTCCACCATCTCCATTGTGATCATGCCGTTCTTGGGCTGGATCTTGTACCAGAACGACGTAGGCTTCTCAAAAGGCAGGATATACGACCTGTTCCAGGCCCAGCCGAGCTTGGTCCAGCCGCCGCAGTATCTGGCGAGCGAGAGGATTCCGAGACTGAAGAAAACGCCGCCTTTTATGAAGTGAGCCAGCAGGTTAAACACGTGACCACCCATTCCGATGCAGCTGAGCACAGCGATGCCCGTTGGGGCGTAAATTAAGAAGTAGCACAGCATGCCGTAATTAAGGACGTGGAAATTAAACGTCGAGGCCAGTCCGAAGACAGACACAAGTTTGGCGACGGGGGCCAGCTGGAACAGTCTTGTGAGCACAAAGTCGGGTTTCTGCGTCGGAACAGGCACCGAGTGGTGGCTGGTAGGCGTGGACGAGCCGTGGTCCTCGAGATCGAACGAGTCGGCGCTCAGACGGTGCAGACGGTCGTCCGAGTCGTAGAGCGTGCTCGACGGCGACGCAAACCCGTTGAGCTCGCTCATCTGGATGTCTTTACCGGGCAATGGCGCGTGCGTGGCTGGCGAAGGGCCCTCAAGCCAGTTTTTGGCTGTGTAGACGAACGAGCTGAACAGATGGAGAATGACAAGGAAAAACAGGCCGGTGCTCATTTTCGAGTACGCGTTGTTTGGGTACAGGTCCGGGGCGTTGCTGATGAAGAGCGAGTAGCTAAAGAGCGAGGCGATCACCATGGCAGACTGCACGGTCAGCGATGGCAGGAACCATTTCGAGTTGACGTTGCGCAGAACAAGCACAAGCGGGTACACCAGGATGTAGGCGGCGTAGACAAGCCCCAGATGGACGTACAATTGCGACTTGTACGGGGACTTGACGGTGAAGTAGGACGTGGTGTTGTAGGCTTCCCAGAACAGTCTCTCTGCTGGAGTCAGTTCTGTCTCGAGGATAGGCACACCGTGCATGTGGTGGGCCTCGTGTGCGACGGGGACCACCGTGCTGAGGTTCAAGGGGGCAGAAAGCGTGGAGGTGGCGTGGCTGTGGGCTTCCATGTCCATGGCCAGGACGCTGTGGCAGGCCGCAGCGGCCACAAACAGTTTAATCCAAAAGGTGTTCATGGAGGAGTGGGAGGTTGGAAGAAAGAATAGGAAAACAAGAGGTTTAAATTGCATGGGTACATATCAAAATCGGCCCACCAGATGCTTGTAGCCCGAAGCCCACTAAAAAAATTCGGATTCAAATAAATCGGTTCGGAACGCAGCTGGAAGCGCGAAACTTCGGTTTCTGGAGCGCGAGATGGCCAGCATCACGCTCCACAAGTCTGTGTGCCCGAACAGAGCTCGTGGGACCCCCCGGAAGCTATCGTAGCACCGGGAACTTTCCTGAGCCCAGATTCTTTCTAGGACGTGTACCACCCAGATGCTGTTGCCAAACGGCAAGGAAGGGAACTTGAGAGATTGCTGATTGTGGGCCCTGGCGGTGCGGAAAGTTGCTAGGTGGGGGAAGTGGTGCTGCTGAGCCACTTCCGTTTGATCCTACCGCGACAGCAAGTCTCTGGGGCCAGATATCAGCTCCCAACGACGCTCCCTCTGGCACTTTGACAGGTGTAGAAGCTTCCCGAATTTTTCTAGTCATTAGACCTGCATTAAATCCGGCCAAAACGCTTAGAGAACAAACGGCTCGGTAGAAAATGGGAGCCAGTATTACCTCATGCGGATTACGAGCGTGGTTTTTTCTCATCGATTAGTCATCGCAACGCACCCCTGCACGCGCAACCCTGTAGCACATCTCTACCCCAGAAACACCGCTTTTTCCATTTGTTGCCATACTGCCATGCCACGAGGAATCCTGAAAAACGCGCCCCACGACGCCGAGTACCGCGCCGACGAGCCCGGCACGCTCAGCCCGGACGCGACCGAGTTCGACCGCAAGAAAGTGATCGAGAACACGCGCCTCAATTCCAAGCTGTTCAGAGACTCGTCCTCCAAGGGCGACCTGATCCGGTCCAAGATTCAGGAGCAGAAAGAGCGTCTGCACCACGCGGGCAGCCTGGAGCACCTCAAGTGGGACGAGAAGAACATTCTGATCAACGAGCTGGAGAAAAGCGCAACGATGAAGATAGACGAGCCCAAGACTCCGTACGAGGGGGGGTTCGACCCAAATAACGACTACTACCGCTCGGACAACGAGGAGGACGAGATGGAGGCGCTCGATCTGGGCGAGGGCGTCGACGACGGCGCGCCGGTGTACAGCGAAAATAGAATCGAGGTGGTGGAGCAGCCCGAGGAGAAGCCTGGGTCGGAGCCTGGGTCGGGCGACGAGAACAAGGAGCTGTCGCCCGAGGAAAAACACAGGATGTTCGAGGAGAGACGCAAACAGCACTACCATCTGAAAGCGAACCCTTTGAAAGAGCCGATCCAGGTCAGCGACGAGGAGGAATAATAATATTAATATGCACTAGCCTCTTTTGATGGAAAGAATAGTATGTGTGTCGATTTTTGCGCTAAAACAGAGCTTTTCCAAGCGCAGCAGCTCGTTCTCGAGCGCCTCGAAATCGTCGGACTCGTACGCCTGCTGCTCCAGCTCCCGCAGCCGCTGGCCGTACGTCTTGCGCCACCGACAGTACTCGCCGTACGTGGTGAAAAATCGCTCGCCCAGCTCGTCGCTCGAGCGCAGCTGGGTCTTGCGGTCCACACAGAACCACTCGCCCGCCCGCGTCCACACAGACAGTCCTTGCAGGCGCTCACAAAGACGGCACTCGGCGATGGTGGGCATGTTTTTCGCGGTCAGCTTCTGCTCCACGGGCTCAATGGGAAATAGCAGTTTTTGTATGGTGTCCGGAAGCCACCTCCCAAGATAGAAGTGGCTCAGAAAAATGCCAAAGTTGGACACATGGTGCTCGTTGTCGTGGTTGGTGGCCACCTTCGGGAAGTGGTGGTAGAAGAAACTGTTTTTGTCGGGGATTTCGTCGAGCTTCCAGAAATCCTTGAACGACTCGTTATGGCGGTCGAAACACCGGTGCAGCTTGAAGTTGGCCATCTGCAGATACCTCTGCACGCCTTCTGCCTCCAGAACGGGCGCAGACGCATTCAACGACTCGAGGTCGTCTTTCTGTAACGATAAGTCATCAAACATGAGTCTGACTTTTTTTATCGGATACAACTTGGTAGATCCGTCATCGGAGGTGCGACAGCGTACGTGGGCACGTGATTATGCTGCACGTGGTGTTGCGGCCGGATGAGGGGAGGGGAGGGCGGTTTGGAGCCCTGTGCATGGTTTCGTATTTCGCGCGGGTGGCCAACGAGTGGTCCCTTGCGTGTGACATGTGTCACGTGATCTGTATTCTTTTCTATCGCGGCGATTGCTAATGGCGGAGAAGAGATAGTACGCGGCGGGCTTTTGGCAGAATTAGGCAGACGTGCGGTGGAGGTGTTTGGACGCAGACTGATTTATTTTCCAGATTACATGACCGGCGTTTGGATTCACACAATAGTGAACGCGGTCTTGGAATTGCATGACCAAGATAAATTCAGAATAGGAATTTTGCCCAGACCGTCGCCCTTCCCTTGGCGAGCCAGCGCGAGATCTCGAAGACCCTGTAAGACCCTTTTTTATTGACGGAAAAATCACAACGCTTGGTGTGGGGTAACAGAACCCTGGACAGTAATCTGGAGTAACCTGATTAGCCAGCCGTGAGGGGCGTGCTTGCACTATGCAAAGCGGTCATGCGGGGATGTACCCGAAATTATCCATCTTTGTCGGGATCTTGCGTGGGTGCTGCATATCTATTGTTTGCATTCCCTTGTTTCGGCGAGAAGAATACGTATTTTTCAGTGGGGTAGCACGGCACCTGGGTCATTCGCGAGGAGACAGAACACGTATAAATACACCACCACTGGCCTCTCCAGCTCTACTACTGCTCAGCAATGTCTGAATCCATCCGCTCAGACACAAACTCGAAAATCGAGGCCGTCAACGACTCAAAACGCTGGTGGTCCTCCAAATTCTCCCTCAACAAGGACGACGCCCCTCCGCAAATATACAACAGAACCCTGTATCTCTCTATCTTTGTGTTTGGAATTCTTGGCTGCGCCAGGGGTTACGACGAGGGCAATATCGCCGGAACCGTTGCCCAGACCGCGTTCATCAAGGAGTTTGGGCTCAAGGACCCGACCAAGACGGCGTCTGAGCTGGCCAACCTCAAGTCCAACATCACGTCGATGGTCCAGCTGGGCTCGATCGGCGGCTCCATTGTGTCCATCTACGCTGCCGAGGCGCTGGGCAGAATCAGAACGTTGCAAGTGGGCTGCTTTGTGTGGGCCATGGCCGCCATCATCCAGATCACGAGCCACTCCATTGGCCAGCTGTATGCTGGCCGGCTGATCGAGGGCTTCTGCATCGGCACGACCGTCGTGTGCGGGCCCTGCTACATCTCCGAGTGCGCGCCAAAGGCGATCAGAGGAACGTGCAACAACATCTTTGCCGGGGCGGTGTATTTCGGTATCATGACGGCGTATTTCGCCAACTACGGCACCGCGCTGCACCAGACCGGCCGCAACCAGTGGATCTACCCTACGTCGCTGAAAATCGTGCTTGCCGGGTCCATCCTCATTCTCTCGATGTTCTTCTGCATCGAGTCGCCCAGATGGCTCATCAAGAAGGGCAACATGGAGCAGGCCCTCATCAACTTCAGCAAGCTCAGACACCTCGAGCCAGACCACCCGTACATTCTGTCGGAGATCGCCGACATCAACGAGCAGCTGCAGGTCGAGCGCGAGGCGATCCGCGGCACGTCGCTCTGGACCAACGTCAAGTCGCTCGTCACCGTGAAAAGCATCCGCATCAGAATGGCGCTGTGCATCATGATCCAGATCCTGGGCCAGTGGAGCGGCTCGAACGCCATCACGATCTACGCTCCCGAGCTGTTCGCCATGGTGGGCAAGTCCAAGCAGACAGACAGAATGATGATGACGGCGTTCCTCGGCGTGGTCAAGTTCACGTCGGCCTACCTCAGTGCGTTCTTCCTGATCGACTTCATCGGCAGAAAAAAATCGCTCTACGCAGGCATCACGATCCAGCTCATCTCGTCGCTCTACTTTGCCATCTACATGACGATCGTGCCGCAGGCCGCCGAGGACGACGTGGTGCTCACTGCGTCGCAGGTGCGCGCCGGCAAGGGCGCGCTCGCCTCGATCTACTTCAACGGAATCGGCTGGACCATGGGCTGGAACTCGGTGCAGTACCTGTTCAACTCCGAGGTGCTGCCGCTGCGCGTGAGGTCGCTCGGAACTGCCGTCGTGATGGCGTTCCACTTTGCCAACCAGTACGGCAACTCCAAGGCCGTGCCCTCGATGCTGCTCGCCATGACCAACTACGGAGCGTTCTACTTTTTCGCCGGCGTGTGTCTGATTGGCCTCATTTTCGGCTGGTACTTCCTGCCAGAGGTCACGGGCAGATCGCTCGAGAGCATGGAGGAGCTGTTTGCCCTGCCGTGGTACCTGATCGGCAGACGCGGCGCACAGCTGGCCCCAGACCACTCCGAGGTCAACCGGATCCACTTCAACCCTACGGGCCACGGCAACGCGCACGCGGGCGACATCGACATCGTGATGAAGGAGCAGACCGAGAACGTCGAGTACGCCGACGACAAGGTCGCCGACAGGGAGCTCGAGGAGGTGAAATGAGTGGATATTTATTTTATGTAAGAAAAAAATTATTTATTTATTTATTTTATCGTGAACATGCCCAACAACGTGTCCCAGGAGCTTTTGTCCGTGGACTACGACACGTACTCCTCGGATCTGTCTCCGCTGGAGATCGACACGCTCAAACAGTACCAGAACCTCGCGCTCAACCTGCTGCAGCTGAAAAACGACATCGTCACCCTCAACAAGGAGGTCGACTCCACCTCGGACGGACTGTCGCGCGGGGCGCTCACAAAGGACAGTCTTCTGGAGGAGCTGCGCGAGCTCGAGACGAAGATCTCGGTGATCTCCACGCTGTTCAAGTCCAGCGTCTACCAGGTGGTGGTGAACAACTCTGGCGATCTCGCGCAAAACAACGAGCTCACTACATCCATCCAGGACGACACCATCTAGCTTTCTGTCTATGTATTTTTACACGTCGAAAATCACGATTTTCCCGTCGTTGCCGCACGAGCTGAACCGTAGCACGCCGTGGCCGTCCGTCTGGAACGGCCTGAGCACGTTGATCGTGTTCTGGTGCACCGTCAGCAGCTCCCCGCTGTTGGCGTCGCTCGAGCCCTTGAGGTCCAGCTGTCTGAACAGGTTCAGCGCAGACTGGCTCTCGTGGCTCGTTTTCGTCTTGGTGGCCGGGTCGTCGATCGCGTACGTGTGCTGCCAGCCGCTGCTGTCTCCTTCAAACACGATCGGGTGGCAGTTGTGGCCTGCGGCAATGACCTTGGACGGCGACGCAAAAATCAGCGTTCGGAACGGCAGGTACGACGTTTTGGCCGTGACAACGCCCGCAACCTCCTGCTCCCCAGGCCCAGGGTACACAAAGTACACCGCCGAGTCGTTGCCGACGGCCGCGACGAACGAGTAGCTCGGGTCGAACTTGACGTCGTGCACCCACGAGCCCACGTTGTAGTCCAGACACAGCGTCTGGAACGGCAGTCTCTCGCCCCACACAGTGGCCGGCGGCTTGGTGTCGACGCCCTTGATGTACGTGGAGAACACCCGCACATGGCCGTCGGTCGACCCGCACGCCAGCAGCACGCTGTTCTCGTGCCAGTCGAGCGACAACACCGTCGACTTGAGCGGTCTCTTGATGTGTTTCGAGATCCACCAGTCGTTCTCGACCTCAAAGTAGCACACGGCAATCACCCTCGCGGACGAGCCGACGGCAAACTTGGACCCGCAGGGGCTCCATTTCACAGACGTGGCCGCTCTGTTGATACGCAGCAGAACCAGCGTCGGCTTGTACTCGCCGCCCGCAGTGGGCTCCCAAACAAGCGCGTTTCTGTCCTGCGAGCACGTGACGATCTTGCCGTCCTTGCTGATGTCCACCGCGGTGACGGTTTTGTCGTGGTGCTGGAGAACAGCCAGCAGCTTGGGCTTACCGGCAGCAGACAGGTCGTAGATCTCGACGTTGTTCTGGCGCGTGATGGCGACGCTCTTGCGGTCCTGCGAGAAGCAGTGGTCGTAGATCGGGTCTTTGGAGAGGTTTAGTTGGATAAATTGACTCATTCAGGAGGAGCTCTCTACTGAGGTTGAGGTGGCGAAAATGTAAAAAAATAATTATATTTATTTAGCTGGTAGCAGTCAACCAATTAACAGCAACAGATCATTGCGGGCGTTTTCTTTTCCCTCCCTCATACGTAGCGACGCCGAGTAGAAGGCCGAGTACGAATACCAGACTCGGCCATTGGCCGACAAACACTGACAGCACGGCCGGACCGGGACAGAACCCGCTCAAGCCCCAGCCGACGCCAAACAGACAGCTGCCCGCCACCAGAGGGGCGTCGATCTGGCGTGCGGTGGGCAGTTGGAACGAGGTCTCCAGCACAGGCCGCGCAAGCCGTTTTTGCAGCCTCAACCCGGCAAACGCAACGGTCACGGCTCCTCCCAGCACAAACACCAGCGACGGGTTCCAGTCGCCGGCGAGGTCCAGAAACGCGCGCACGGTGGCGGGGTTGGCCATTCCGCTAAGAAGGAGGCCCACGCTGAACGCCAGGCCGCATACGAAGGCTGCAGCGTTTCTGAGCGACATGAAGATTGGTTGTATTGCCCGAAATGTAGCAATTCGGTAGATAAATTTGGAGATCAGCATATAGAGAGTGGACATTGGCATAGACAAAATTCGCATCTTAGCGTGTAACGACACGGGTCGCTATAACATTAGAGGCCCTATCTACAGGTAACTATGTGCCAGGGTGGCCGTTACTATGCCGCCACCTAGGAAACACCCCACGGCCACCATCGACCGCGGAGACAGCCGTGCAAGACCCATCACCCCGTGTCCGCTCGTGCAACCGCTGCCCAGACGCGTGCCGTAGCCAACAAGAAACCCCGCCGGCAGCAGCACGTACCACGGCGTGCTCAGCGACAGCTCGGGCCAGTCTCCGGTGGCGTGGCTCCAAACAACGGGCCCGGCAGCCAGGCCGGCCAGAAACGCAGCGTCCGGCCAGATGTTCCGCCCAGAAACGACGCGGCCGATCATGCCGCTGATTCCAGCAACACGGCCCAGCAGAAACAGATACGCGGTGCACGCGAGTCCGATCACCGCGCCGCCCGCCAAACTGTACCAGTACTCGCTCTTCATGGTAGAAATATGCTGAAATAATTATTTTGGCCCGTGTACGGGTGAGATCTGGTCTATGTCGTGAGTGTCTTCGATCTTGATCTCGGGCGAGGACTGTGTCTGCTCCTCGTTTGCACCGGACTCCTGCTCCTTAGCATTTTTGAGAGGTTCTCGCAGCGGTTCCTTCCACCGCTCGACCATGTCGTTGTACAGCACAGAGCTCAGCTCTGCCTTGGCGATGTCCTTGCGGAACTGCGGGCTTTTTAGCATGCTGAGCACATGCAGACAGTTTGGGTACACCAACTGTTTCGCGTACTCGGGCCGTCGCCAGTACTCCAGGTACTCAAGATAGTTGAGGAACTTGTCGTCCTCCAGGAACCCTGTCTGGGCCAAATACGTGAGATACTGCATATTGGCAAGCGACTGCACAAACTGACACGTTAGCAATCAACAACGGGCACATACCTCCAGCTCGATCTCCCATCTCGTGGGCAGGTCCTCGTCGGCGACCTCAGCCATATGAAATGTTATTAGTTTATTTTACTTTGTTTTATTTATTTTATTTTATTCCATTTTATTTTATTTTATTTTTACTTTACTATTACTTCGCCTTTCATGTCCCAGCCCGCCCGCCAAAGCCACCTCGTCGGTCGACATCTGCAACTTCTGGACGCCAAGCTGAACGCCGTGGCCAGAGCGGCGAAATTGAGCAAGTTCCAGGTCCTCATCGCCTTGCTGTACCCGATACTGATACTACTCGGCCAACTGGTCTGGCTTGCTTCTCCCCGGGAAACGACGAACAACTACTTCACCTCGAAAAGAAACATCTTCAACGTCCTTTTCGTCAAGAAGGGGTGGCTCTGGACGTCTACTGTGTACATTCTGCTGCTGCTCAGAGTGCCCAGCACGTCGCGCTATTTTAGTGCGGACTCGCTGGCTGGCTCCCTCAAACAGTTTGCATGCGTGACTCTCTGCTGGTTCTTCTATTCGCAGTGGTTTTTTGGCCTGCCTATCATGGACAAGATCTTCATTCTGACTGGCGGCTCGTGCGATAATATTCCGCAGGCACGGGCCACCGACCCGCAGAAATTCAGACTCATGGACTCCTCCAGCCTTGATCTCTATTATTCCAGCTCGCTGACCTCGTCGCAGTGCCGAGCCATCAAGGGCCGGTGGACAGGCGGCCACGACCCGTCCGGACACATGTTCATTCTGTCTCTGAGCTCTATGTTTCTGATTCTCGAGTGTGCGCGGTTCTACACGCTTGACGACCTGGCCACCGAGATACGCAACTTCAACAGCGAATGGCGTGTGTTTTCGCGCACTAGGGACGCCGCAAGCCTCCGCCGCTTGCTCAAGGACTACCCGCTGGTGTTCATCTCGCTTCTGCTGTGGCTCTGGTTCTGGATGATTTTTGTCACCTCTGTCCATTTCCACACCCTGCTAGAAAACATAGCAGGTCTCGTCTTCAGCTACCTGAGCATCTATGCGTCGATCCGACTGTTCAGATAGGCAGCGTGGACTTGCCCACCCGCCATGCGCTGATCGGAAGACCCTGGAGATGGACCACCGTTTTTCTGATCCATCCATAGTACAATACCAATCCAATAATTATGCACAGCAGATTAGTGTTGTAGTAGCCGTCCGCAATGGTGTTGCACACGCCGCCGTGGCCCAGACAGTCGCTCTTGGCCGACGAGCCGTAGCAGTTGAAGTACGGAGCCTCCTCGAACGGATTCGTGGCCATCGGCGTGGCAGGCATGCATCTGGCCGTGGTGAGCTTGTCGATCAGACTGAGCACAATAATCTTCGGCCACTGGCCGCCCAAGTTCGAGAGCGTGTTCAGCGTGGTCATGTACGTGCCGCCAATCAGTGGATCGGCAATCTGCGTGTGGAAAGCGCAGATCGACACAAACTGGATCGTCGACATGAACGAGCTCAGCAGGTGCTGGAAAATCACAAACAGGAAGTACGCCGAGGTCACATGGCCGTCCTTGGGGAAGCACCACACCAGCACCTGTCCCAACGCAGCTGCGGCGATGCGGCCCAGGTAAGCGTACATCCACGGTTTCAGAGGCTCGTCTCCCGTAGACCATCTGGCGGAGTAGTAGCCAAAGACAATCTCCAGTGGGAAGTCGATTAGCACGGTGATGGCCAGGTCCTCGCGCGAAAAGCCCTTGTCTAGCAATTTCAGGTTGGTCGCTCCCTCGTTGGCCTGGAAAGCGATTTTCGACACGAGATGCACCAAGATGAAGAGCTTGACGTTTTTCAGCTTGACGACGTTCCACATCTTGTGGTAGACGCCGAAAAGCGTGTTCCTGCCCGCCGGCTCGTTGTACGCGGTGTGCGCCTGCACCACGTTGGCCCTAGACTGCTCGTCTCTCTGCAGCTCCTCAAGCTCTATATCCTTGGAGGAGGCCAGTTTGCGGCGCGAAAGCGGGTCTTCAGGCACAAAAACGAGAATGACCACCGTCACGGCCAGATACATCCATCCCCAGAACCACATGTACTGCCCGAGCGTCAGAAAGCTGTCTGAGGTCGGCGTTTTTCTGAGGTACGAGTTAGCAAAGTCTGCAGAGTTGAATGCGAGGAAAACGGTGAAACTGAGGAAATAGCCCGTGTTGAGGCCGATCGTCTGCGCCGTGGACGCGTAGCTCAGCGCGTCCTTGGACAAAATCGTGAGGGCCCAGCCGTCCACGGCGATGTCCTGCGTCGCGCAGAGCAGGATGAGGAAGAAAAAGGTGTATGTGAGGGTGTAGAGGTTTTTCTGCATGTTGCGCATGAGGGAGTCGATCACTGTTCCCAGGAACAGCAGCGTGAGTCCGGAGATCGTCTGGACGGGGACGATCCACGAGCGTCTGCGGCCGAGTCTTTTCAGGTAGCACGAGTCGACAATGGGCGACCACAGCAGTTTCAGCGAGTACGGGTACGACGCCAGCGAGAAGAAGCCAACCTGCGTGTAGCTCAATTGCGCCGATTTCAGCAGAAACGGCACCGACCCAAACGCCAGCCCTATGGGCACACCCTGGATCAGGTACAGCAGCACCAGGAGGAAGAACCGCGGCCGGTCCTGGCGAGGCAGGTTTTTCTGTGCTGTGCTGGACTTTTGTCGCGTGTTCTCGTAGGGCGTCGGTCTGTCGGCCGCCGCCGCGTGCGCGTCCCCATGGACGCGCGGGGAGGTGGAGTTCGAATCGTCGTGTCGCTTCAGCGAGTTGGAAAAGATGGGCAACACGTCGGGCGATTCACTCATGAAAGAAAAAAAAGTAGTAAATAAATACTAATAAATAAATAATACATCTAGCCGTAGCTATTTATTTGCAATAAAAGCCTGCACCTGCCTGCGCACCTCCTGCGTCTTCACAATCACCACCACCACGCCGTCCGAGCCAACGTCGTACTTGATGTTTCCCTCGTTCGGGTACGCGACCTGCTCGTCGAACCTGTCGAACCACTCGTTCATCTTCTCCATCGAGTCGATCCCCGCGAGCACGTACTCCTGCATCTCTGTAGCGTTGATGCTCCCGTCTGTGTTTCTGTCGCCGTCCTCGGTGAGCAGCACCACCTTAAAATCGAATCCTAAAGACATAGAAAAACTTTTTTTTTACGCGTATGTCTCAGGAAATAACACCGGCACTCAACAGCCTGGAGGAGGTGGTCACGTCGCCGTCGCGGCCGCACCAGAAAGACCGCGAGACGGCCATCCGCGCAGAGCTCGAGAAACTGCAAAAGATCAACGGCGCCATAGAGCAGAGCCGCATCTCCATCCAGGAGTCTACAAACTACATAAAGCGAATCAAAGAGAGCACCGTGAAGGCCAACGAGCTGATCCATATCTGGAGCAAAATCCTGTCGCAAAATAAACACACCGCGGAGTTGCTGGCCGACCCGCAGAACGTGTGGCAGGGAGCCAGCCACGAGGACGAGAAAGTGCAGGACAAAATGGCAGAGTACGAGGAGCTGGCCGCGCGGTACGAGCAGCTCGTGGAGGAGAAGAAGAGCGACGAAAAGCGCAGAGCGCGAAGAAAATAGTGCTGTGTATTATAAACGTTTAGACCGATTATTTCGTGATCTTGCAGATCAGGTCGCCCGCGTCGACGCTGTCGTTCTCGTGCACAGTCACCTCGCCAACCTTTCCGGAAACAGGCGAGCTGATCACCATCTCCATCTTCATCGCACTCAGAACACACACAGGGTCGCCCTTCTTGACCTCGACGCCCGGATGGACACGCACCTCGATGACCACACCGGCCATAGGAGCCCCCACCTCGTTCGGGTTGTGCGCGTCGGCCTTAGGACGCGTGATCGTCTCCACGGCGGCAAGCTTGTCCTCGACAGTGACCTTTCTCATCTCACCGTTGAACTCAAAGTACACCTCTCTGGTGCCCGTTTGCGGCGATAGGTCGCCGATGGCCATCACCTTGATCACAAAGGTCTTACCCTGCTCGATCTCCACAGAGATCTCTTCGTTCAGCTTAGGAGGAGCAAGGAAGAACCGCGTAGGCAGCACAGAAAGGTCGCCGTACTTCTCCTGGGTCTTCTTGAAAGACTCGAACACCTTTGGATACATGTTGTACGAGGCGACGTCGCACTCGGTGATGGAGTTGCCGAACCGCGACTGCAGCTCCTCCCTGATTTTCTTGAGGTCGAACGGCTCGAGCTCCAGGCCAGGCCTGCGGGTCAGCTTGCGTCTCTTTCCGGCAAGAATGTTCGTTCTCAAAGGCTCTGGGAAACCGCCGTATGGCGTGCCCATCAGACCCTCAAAGAAGTCCAGCACAGAGTCTGGGAAGTCCAGCTCAGAAGCGAGTCTCTCCACGTCCTTAGGAGAAAGCTTGTTGGAAACCATGAATTGGGCCAGATCACCAACAACCTTCGAAGTCGGAGTGACCTTGACGATATCGCCCAAAAGCATGTTGGCCTCCTCGTACGCTCTTTTGGTTTCGAGCCACTGCTCGCCCAGACCGACTTGCTGGGCCTGGAACAACAGGTTTGTCAACTGGCCTCCAGGAATCTCGTGGTTGTACACCTCTGGGTCTGGACCCTTCAGGTCGGCCTCGAAGCACGAGTACAGCAGTCTCATCTCGGACCAGTACGCGTCGATCTCCCTGGCGTTCTGCTCGGTCACACCCGTGTTGATCTCGTTGTCCAAAGCGGCAATGAAGGCGCTCATGGAAGGCTGGGAAGTCAGGCCCGACATCGAGTTGACAGCACAGTCGACCACGTCGGCACCAGCAAGAGCACAAGCAACGTAGGTGATCACACCGGTACCGGCCGAGTCGTGGGTGTGGACGTGGATAGGAACAGAAGGATACTTCTTTCTGATGCTGCTGATCAGCAGCTTGGCCGCGGCAGGCTTCAAAGTACCGGCCATGTCCTTGATTCCAAGCAGATGGGTGCCCATCTCCATGATCTTGTCGACGGTCTCCAGGTAGTACTTGAGGTTGTACTTCTTGCCTGGCTTGAGCATGTCTCCGGAGTAGCAGACGGTGGCCTCGACCACACCGCCGGCCTTCTTGACGGCGTCGACACCGACCTTCAGCTGCTCCAGGTCGTTCAGAGCGTCAAACACTCTGAAAATGTCCACTCCGGCCTCCTTGGCCTGCTTCACAAAGTGGTCAATGGCGTTGTCAGGCAGCGACGAGTATGCCACACCGTTGGCTCCTCTCAGAAGCATCTGGAAGGGGATGTTTGGCACGGCCTTTCTCAGCTTTCTCAATCTGTCCCATGGGTCCTCGTGTAAGAAACGCATAGCAACGTCGAAAGTGGCACCTCCCCAACATTCCAGGGCAAAGGCGTATCTGAAGGCATGCGCCGTGGCCGGAGCAATGTTCAACAAGTCTATGGTTCTAACTCTGGTTGCCAAAAGCGATTGGTGAGCGTCTCTCCAAGTAGTGTCCATGATCAAGCAACCATCGAAGGCTCTAATTTGGTTGGCAAATTGCTCAGGACCGTAGTCCAGTAGGTATTGTCTGAAAGAGTCTGGAGGAGCAGTTCTCTTGGTGTCGATCTCCCAGCCGTTGATGTCGTGGATCACAGGGATGTCTGCGTCTCTCGTCAGCTTTGGCAGGCCGATCTGGCCCTTGATCGACGATCCGTTGACACAGAGGTCGGCAAGGTACGAGAGCAGCTTCTGAGCTCTGTTCTTGGACTGCACCATCTCGAACAACGAAGGAGTGTCGTCGATGAACGTGGTCCAACAGTCACCAGAAACAAACGTTGGATGGGTCAAGAGAGCCAGCAGGAAAGGAATGTTGGTCTTGACACCTCTGATTCTGAACTCAACCAAGGCTCTGATCATCTTTCTTCTGGCAATCTCGTAGTTCGAGCCAGACGTAGAGCACTTGACCAGCATGGAGTCGTAGTGCGGAGAAATGATGGCGCCTGCGAATCCGTTACCACCGTCCAATCTCACGCCGTTACCACCCGACGATCTGTACACCTCGATTTTTCCAGTGTCTGGCTGGAAGTTCTTGGCCGGGTCCTCGGTGGTGATTCTGCACTGAATGGCAAAGCCCCTGGTGGTGATTTTGTCCTGCAGCAGGCCCAGTTGCTGCAACGAAGCCCCGGCAGCGATCTGGATCTGAGCAGCCACAATGTCGACTCCGGTGACCTCCTCGGTAATGGTGTGCTCAACCTGGATTCTAGGGTTGATCTCGATGAAGTAGTGTCTGTTCTGGTTGTCAACAAGGAACTCTGCGGTACCGGCGTTTCTGTAGTTGGCGGTCTTGGCCAGCTTCACAGCGTCGGTCAGAATGGCGTCTCTGACCTCAACAGGAAGAGTCTTGGCAGGAGCAATCTCAACCACCTTCTGGTGTCTTCTCTGAACAGAACAGTCTCTTTCAAAGAGGTGGATGACGTTGCCGTAGTTGTCAGCCAGCAGTTGCACCTCAATGTGCTTTGGCTTGTCCAAAAACCGCTCGATGAAACAGGTGCCGTTGCCGAAAGAGGTTTTGGCCTCGGAAGTGGCTCTGTGGAAAGCGTCTGCAATGTTCTCGCCCTCACGAACCACTCTCATACCACGTCCACCTCCACCAAATGCAGCCTTGATGATCACCGGGTAGCCATACTTGTCCACAAACTCCTGGGCCTGCTCGACGCTGTCAATAGGGCCGTCTGTTCCAGGGACCACTGGAACGTTACACTTGCCGGCCAGGTGCCTGGCACTGACCTTGTCTCCGACGGCGTCGATCACGTTGTGGGGCGGGCCAATCCAAATCATGCCACTGTCCTCGACTTTTCTGGCAAATTCCGAGTTCTCAGACAAAAAGCCGTAACCGGGATGAATCATCGAGACGTCATGTTCAAGGGCGATGTTGATAATCTCGTCGATCTGCAAGTACGCCTGGACCGGAGAGTACTGGCCCCTGGCTCCAATGACGTAGGCCTCGTCGGCCTTCAATCTGTGCATCGACAGTCTGTCCTCGTGGGAGTAGATTGCGACTGTCTGCATCGAGAGCTCGTGGGCCGATCTGAAGATTCTGATGGGAATCTCGCCTCTGTTGGCGACCAGGATCTTGTTTGCATTGGAAAGAATCTCGGAGTTCTTCCGCAATCTGTGCAGCGACGAATAGTCTTCGACCTGGGCCATGGAAATTGCTGTAAAAGATGATTAGGAAAAAAGGGAATTTGATGCCAATAAAAATGTTTGCAGTAGTAAATGGGGGCAGGTGACGTGCCGCCAATTACGGGGGGGCAGCGATTTTTTTTTAGTCATGAGTAAAAAAATTTACAGAGAAAATTAGGCACGGAGTGAACTCCGTATTGTTTCTTGCACCTAAACAATAGAATTTCGATGACTCCGACCCTTTGCAGTAGTCACCTTGTGTTTTTTTCCATTCTAGACAGCCAATTGAACGTGCTCCTCGTTGATAAGGGACCGGTATGGTTCCAGTGCGTTTGCAACAGTGACGTTGACGAATTTTTCGGTTTGCTGTGGAGCACGACCAACAAAAGTGGACGGGTCGAGTAATCTGTCCAGTTGCGACCAAATAGGCTTGAAGTAGTCTGTGCTCTTAATTCTCTCGATCAGGTCGTTGTCGCCTCCCTCCTGCTTGACCACCGCGGACGCCTGGTGCGACAGCACGCGTATCTCCTCGTGGCACTCCTGCCGCGAGGCACCCTGCTCCACCATCGCCATGATGATGTTCTCGGTCGCCATGAACGGCAGCTCTGCCTTGATACGGCGCTCGATCACCTTAGGGTACACCACGAGGCCGGAAGTGATATTCAGCAGCGTCGAAAGCAAAATGTCGGCCGTCAGAAAAGCCTCTGGAATGGAGATTCTTCTGATGGCAGAGTCGTCCAGCGTTCTCTCAAACCACTGCACGGACGCCGTCTGGAACGCGTCCTGGTACAAGGAGCCCAAGTGACGCGACAGCGAGCACACACGCTCGCATCTCATCGGGTTCCGTTTGTACGCCATGGCGGACGACCCGATCTGGCTTTTTTCGAACGGCTCTTCCATCTCCTTGAGGTTAGCCAGCAGTCTAATATCGGTGGCCATCTTGTGGCACGAGGCGCCCAAAGACGACAGCGGGTGCAAAGCGTCGATGTCGATTTTACGCGAGTAGGTCTGCCCCGTGCAAGGGTACGCGTACTCGAACCCTAGTAGCTCCACCACCTTTTCGTCCAGAGCCTCGACCTTGTCGTGGTCTCCGTGGAAAAGAGACAGGAAAGAGGCCTGGGTGCCGGTGGTTCCCTTGACGCCACGCAGTCCGATGTCGTCTCTGGCCCGCTGCATGTTTCTGAGGTCCCAGAGCAGTTCCTGGAGCCACAGAGTTGCTCTTTTTCCAACTGTCGTCAGCTGGGCAGGCTGGAAATGGGTCCAGCCAAGCACCGGCAGGTCCTTGTACTCCAGAGCGAACTTGGCCAGTCTGCTGATAACGTTCACAAGCTTGGGGATCAGAACGTCGTACGCGTCTCTGAGGAAAATCAGGTCCGCGTTGTCTGTAACGTAGCACGAGGTGGCTCCCAAATGGATGATTCCGGCGGCGGCAGGACACGTTTCGCCGAAAACGTGGACATGGGCCATCACGTCGTGTCTGACAATGGCCTCCTCCTTTTTGGCGGCCTCGATCTCCTCGTCGGTGATCTCCAGGTGCTTGGACATCTGCTCGATAGCTTCGTCGGTGACGACAGAAAGACCGAGCGATTTCTCGGCAATTGCAAGGTTGTACCACAGCTTTCTCCACGTGGAGAACCTGTTGCGCAGAGAGAAGATCTGCGACATCTCCTTGGACGCATACCGCGACGACAGCGGGGTGGCATAGGTGTCGTTGGACATGGTGGAAAAATAAAATTAATTAAATTAATTTGACTCTGCATATAAAGCATTTTGGCCTGAGCGAAAAATGTGGGGGACGAGGTGGGGTGCTAGGAGGGGAGACTACCAGATAGAGCTAAGAGAGAAGGGACGCAACTGTTGTCAAAAATCAGGCCACAAGGCTGAGTCCTTCCTTTCCGCTTTAGGTGCGACGGGATATTTGGAGGGACAATTTTAATTGCTCAAGAATAGTAACTTAATGAACGATAGTTAAATAGCGATAAAATTTAAAACCCAAACTCCACCAATACTATTCTGATATAGTGAAACCTCCCATACTCCGCCAAGAGCTCCGTAGGCCAAAAAGTTCACTAGGTCACCCGGTCCAGCGCTCGCGCAGAATCTCATGACAAATGGAAGCCGCTGCAACCATGCCCTGGCCAATGACAAAAGCCAGTGCTCTCATCCGCGTAGTGTTGTCGCCGGACGCAAAAACGCCCTCCACGTTCGTCTTCTGCTGAGGACTCACTTTGACAAGTCCCAGCTCGTCCAATTCGACGCCCAGCTTGACAAGGATCTCCTTATTGTTGATGGTCGAAGGTGGGGCTAGGTAGAGCACATCGAGCTCGATCGCGCTGCCGTTGTCAAGATTGGCCCTGTACAGTCGTCTGTCCTCGCTGCTTCGCGGCTCTACATTGACGATGTTTCCCTGGTATAAAGCAATATTTTTCTGTTGCATGGCCGATACAAAAGCTGCCCCCAAAGAGCCGTAAACATCGTCTGGACAGATCACAACGAGCTCGCGACTCCAGTTGTACAGCGTGGGGAGCATGGTTTTGAGAAATGCTGCATTTGAATAGTAAACGCCCGTCTTGCCATTCCTAAACTCTGTTCCATGGCAGAAAGGACAGTGGAAAATGTAGTTTCCCCAGAATTTGTCAACGTTCGCAATTGGGATCTTACCAATGTTGTCGTCCACTCCAGAAGCAAACAAAACGCGCCGAGCCACAAACGAGGCGGTAGTGTCATCTTCAAGAGAGTCTATGTCGACCTTAAATGAGTATTTATCTGGCTCCCCAGAAATATCCTTGCACACGTTCCTCACCATGCCCTCCACCAACTGGATGGTGGGATACTTCTTCAGCTGGCTTTTGGCCTTGGCTATAATCTGGCCTGGTGACGACCCGTCGTGCGTAAGAAGGTTATGAGACTCTCTGGCAAACCGGTTGCAAGGGTTGCCAGAATCCACACACAGGACGCTAAGGTAAGCCCTGCCAAAGGTCAAACAGGCTTGCAAGCCCGATGCTGATCCGCCAACGACAACCACGTCGTACTGTGCCATTGAGAAAATCAATCAGGAGTAGGATTGTCGATGTCCAAAACGCACGAGACAGCGCCATTTATAGTATCATCTTGACGCTTTTGGACCGATATTTCACCGTAATCTGACCACCATGGCTAAATTTTTGCTAAAAATGAGTGGGAGGTGCCAGTCGTTAATCAAAGACAGCCACCAAGAATCTAACGAGGTGCTCCTATGGTTGTTTTCGTGGATGTCCCTACTGGTAGCGACCAAGTCTAGCTGCTGCGGAGCTTTGTAAGGCAGAAACGGCCCTCTAGTGCGATTTTAGCCTGTGGCTGTCGACAGAGCGATGTTTATACAGTTTGATGTGGCCCAATGGCTGCAGTTTCCTCAACTCTGCTGGTCTCACCAGATGCTACCACGCATTCTCCGTGCTGGCTTGTCGTAGGTGCACAGTGCCTATCCATCCCAAAGACCTGTCAATTGCAAAATACCGGTTACTTGTCTGAGTTCTATCTCCCGCCTCGCTCCGCTCTGCTCTAAAAGCCACCGTATCACCAATCCGCCATTCTAGTTCACTGCCAAACGAAGCTGCCAAGCACCAAAAATCCAGGCAAAATACTACACCCCAGACCAATATTGTACCTGCCTCAAATTTCAGTTGTTATTGCTAACACCATGTCTTCCCAATCGCTGCCCAACGGCACGGCCAGGCCTGAGATGCCGCTCTCCAGCAAGAAGAACAGGAAACTGCGCAAAAAGGCCACCCAGCCACAGCCAATTCTCAAATACGCCTGGCTGGCTGGACATGTCAGCACGTTGCTTTTCGGGTTCATCTACCTCAGCTACTACGTCGTCCGCAAGTCGCACAAGTCGTGGGTGGCCTTCGCCGGCTACAGACTTGCGTGGGTGGGTGTCTGGATCAGCTACAGCGTGGCCATCACCTCCCACTTCAACAGGAAAGCGCTTCCGTCCTATTTCACCCTCATGACCACAGAAAACTTCCAGTACCTCGTTCTGTCGGTGCACTGGTTTTTCGGATGGTCGTCTTTCTTCAAGCTGCTGCCATATCTGTTGATTGCGACGCTACAGCTGTCCAGCCACTTCCAAATCAAGCCATTGCTCAAACTGGAGCCGGTGCTCAAAAAGACCATCGTCTACAACGAATTGTTCCTGTTCGTGCTGCTCGCATTCGATACACTGCGTATGAGAGGAAACTCCGGTTTTGGTCTCGTCAGCTACGCCATGTTCTACTGGCTCAGACTGCTGCACAGCGAAGACAACAGATTCTTTGTCTACTCGGTGATCAGCAAACTGGACACCTTCATGTCGAAGCAGAAAAACCCAAAAATCGTGGAGGCCTGGGGCGAGGTCAAGAAATTCCTGAGTGTCCGGCAGAGCAAGTTCGAGTCCCAGTACTTGGCCGTATAACTACGCGTAACTACATACAATGAGACAGAAGACATTCGTCAGAAACTTGAGCTTTGGTAAACTGTGTTGTCTTCAGACTTGTTCAGAAGCAGAACTGAAGTAGTATTCATCATAGAATGCCCGGGGCTGTCTCATTGAGGTGTTCTCCTGAACACGCCAACCAAACCTGGAGGTCAGTACTGTTTCAGATGGTGATGCATGTTTTCACGGCTCATTGAATCGGAGATTATTCGCCTACGAATTGTTCTGGGGAACGATCATCATCAGTACTTACAGTAAAATTTTGTGGTAAAATTTTTCGCGTGCGAATTTATGTGCAACTATTTGAAAACTGCGACGCCGTGAAAACAACAGGACAATGGCCACCAGCAAGAATGCGTCGCAACTGAACACCGCGGGAGCACCGCTCGCCCCGACTTGGGGTTCTACTAGTCGCAATCTCTGAGATCGTACTACAAAGTCTCTGCATCATGTATTATACTAATCTACTCAGCCGTAGCACGGGTGTAGATGTATTGCTTGGAGTGCTTGAGCACTGGCTTGATCACACCATCCTCCTCAAGCTGTCTGAGAGCAACTCTGGCAATGGATCCACCGATCTTCAGTCTGTCGACCAAGATCGAAACAGACACAAATCTGTAAGTTGGCACCTCCTTCATGATTCTGTCGTACTTCTCCTGGTCCAACACAACAAGGTGCTGGGCCTTATCCTTAACCTTTCCCTTGGACCACTTCTTCTTGGACTTCTTACCACCAGCAAGAGCGGCAGCGGCCTTGGCTGCCTTGGATTGTTGAACTTTTGGAGGCATCTAGCGTGTTAGCGGCGAGCGTCGATAATCCACCTACCTTGTGTTATATGTTGGCTATCCAAATAATTTAGACGGTTTTGAAAATTTTAACCTGGCTTAGATAAGCAGAAATGTTCAGCCCGCGTGCAAGTCAGGTGACAGACACTATTGCCCTGAATCCCGTCCCCGGCCAGATCGTACACCTCCCTACACCAGCCCGTTCTGCTTCAAACTTGTTTCGCAGTCGAAACTAGTACCCTACTTAAAACGCGCTAGAGCCCCGTGTTTGTGTACAGGTCAACCGGATCGTGTTTTGTGGAATCACCATGGCTAAAAGAAGCAAATCCCAGCTCACGGCAGACGCAGCTCTTGCCGAAGAGTACGACAGCGACGAGGACGTTTTCGAGGGAGCCAAGCGTGCTTCTGCGGACGTGATGGCCTCGCGGCCCATTGCCAAGCTGAAGCCGCGGCTCAAGGCTGCGAACGGCTCCAAGCCAGAGCCCAAAATTGGCGGAGCTTTTGGGTTTCTCGGGGCCTCCGCCACGGAACAATCTAGTCAACCAGCCAATACGTTTGCATTTTCAAAGTCTACAGAGGAGGTCGTCAGCGACCAGCCTACACAGTTAAAGTCCCTGAACGCTCTCTTTTTGGAGGCCGTCAACAACGCCATTCAAAAGAACCCCATTGCAGACCTACGCCCTATTTTGTCCAAGTATAGCGAGTATTACGACAAGGTGGTGAATAATAAAATTGCCGTGAAAAAGGCCGAGGTGCCAAAGGTCGAGGTGAAGGTTGGCGAGGTGAAAAACCCCCAGTTCAAGTTTGGCGACAGCAAGCCTGCAGAGTCTGAGGAAGAAGAGGAAAAGCCGGTGGAAATAAAAGGACCAGCGTTCAAGCTGGACACGCTGCCAAAATCGAAGAACTACGGGTTCAAGTTCGGCCAGGCTCCGCCTCCGGACTCGGACTCGGACGACGACGTCAAAATAGAGGGCCCAAAGTTCCAGCTCGCGGGCGGCACACAGATCAAGGATGATGTGTTCAAGCTGCCAAAGAAGGAGGAGCAGAAGGAGGAGCAGAAGGAGGACAAGCCAGCATTCTCGTTTGGTCAGAAAGACACTAAAGAGGCTCCTAAGTTTTCGTTTGGCCAGACATCCGCACCGGCTTTCTCGTTTGGAAGCCAGCCCGAGCCGGCTGAAAAGCAGGAAAAGCCAGAACCAGCAGAGAAACCAGCGGAAAAACCAGCATTCTCGTTTGCCGACAAGCCAGCGTTCTCATTCAACATGCCAAAGGAGAACAAAGAGGAACAGAAGCCTGAGCAAAAGGTGGAGCAGAATTCAGAGCAGAAGCCAGAACAAAAACCGGCGTTCACGTTTGGCTCTTCTTCCGCCTTCTCCTTCACAAAACCCTCCGAAACCAAGCCAGCGGACTCTGAGCCGGCCAAGCCGGCGTTCTCATTCTCCGCCCCTTCGAATGGGTTCAACTTCTCGTCCCAGCCCGCACAAAAGCCTGCCGCGTCCAACCCGTTCAACTTCGCATCCGCGTCGCAGGACACCGCTCCTGCGGCCTCGACGTTCAACTTCAACTTTTCTGCACCAAAGCCAGAGGAAAACAAGGACACCGCAGCCAACGACGAGGAGGAGGTGCAGAACGAGGACGTCAAGGGCGACTTTGCCGTTGTCAAGCTGACACAGAAGGTGGAGACGAAAACCGGCGAGGAGAACGAGACAGTATTGTACACGAAAAAATCCAAGGTGCTCAAGTTCGACGCGGCCGACAAGGCGGACCCGTACAAGTCGATCGGGCTGGGCGAGCTGAAGGTGCTCAAGAACACAGAGACGGGCAAGTCGCGGATCCTGGTGCGGTCCGAGGGCAGCATGAACGTGCTGCTCAACGTGGCCATTCTGAAGGACGTCAAGTACGAGCTGATCGGGAAGGGCAACTCCATGCGGATCCCAACGTTCTCGCCCGACGGCAAGCTCGAGACGTATATCGCGCGCGTCAAGACGGCCGACGACGGCAAGAACCTGCTCGAAAAAGTGCAGAGCTGCCAGTGACGTTTTGTAGAATATGTACGTATATTACATAATATAGGAAGGTGTCATTGCGGTACGCTCTGGCGGCGCAGCACCGTGCGGACGTCCGTGATGAACTCTATAGCGTCCCCGACGTCCAGATACCTGTATGCATAATTTTCGGACCTGTTTAGGTGCGCCAGACACTCGTGGCCTAGCACGTTGCAGATCTCTTCTTTGGAGCCCAATAATTTATACTGAATTTTGCGGATCAGCGCGAGCAGCACGCGCAGCGGGAACGTGTCGCCCTCGAAGATGTATATGTCGACGAGCCGGCTGCACACGTCCATGTTGAGGCATTTCGAGAAGAGACTGGGCACGGTGTTGGCGATGACTGTGTGTGGTTGCAAGCCGACGGCTTTGAAGTGTGCGTGGATGGCAGGGCTCGTTTTCGCGAGAAACTTGTCGAACTGGCCCGCAATGTCCTCCAGGTACTCGCTGTTCGTGTCCACGAGCAGCCGGAAGATGAGTTTTTTCGACACTAGATTCACAAACATGCGCAGTGTCAATTTTTCGTCGCGCAAATTGTAGTATAGCACGCAAATAAGATTCACCAGGTGCGTGAGCTGGATCTGCTGGAACTGCCGGCTCGCAGACTCGCGCTGGTGCAGGTTGAACGCGAGCATCACTTTGAGAATCGAGTCGAACGCGTGTCCATACTGGAATATCAGCAGGTTGGGGAACGCCTGCTGGATCAGGTCGGAGTAGTCCTGGACGCTCTTGATCAGCTGGATGTTTCTGCTGTTCTGCGCGGCAAACTCCTTCGGATCGGGCCGCAGAACCTTCAGATCGCACGCCTTGTTGATGATGTCGTCTGCCTCGTTTAGGTATCGCACTATCTGGCAGTCGGTGAGCTCTGTCCTGCCCATCTGCCTAATCCACACGTTGACGCGCAGGTCCGCCGGCACGCCGCGCCACCACAGCTCCCGGGTCTCGGCCGAGCACACGAGGGTGTCGTAGTCGCGCAGCACGGCGCGCCACGCGGCACGGTCTTTTTCCGTCTGTTTGGCCTGCTCCTCGAGCTGTCTCTTTCTCTCGGCCAATTTTTTCTGTTCCTGGTCGATCTGCGTCTGCAGCAGCTGCTGGTAGTCTCTGGTGTGTTTGGACACCTCGCGCGGGTCCTTTGGCGGCAGATTCGTCTGTCTCGTCACCGTCAGGTAGCCCAGCTTCTCCTTGGACGTGGCGGGCGCAGAAAGGTGCTTGTAGCTGTTGAGCATCGCGATGCGCTCGAGCGACTCGTTCACGAGCGGGTCCTCGCTCAAAGTGAGCATGCGCGCGTCGTCACTGAACTTTGAGTCGTCCTCCAGCAGACTCAGCTCCGATGAGTCGGAGGACGCACTGAAGATTGACGACGCGCGCGTCTTGGGCGAGCCAAAGCTCGAAAAGCTCGACACAGAGCCGTACTTCCGCAGCGGCCGCAGCGGCGACGGCCGGTACGCCTGCTCGCGCTGCGCCAGCGACCGGAGCGGCCGTGTGTACGGCACGTTGTACACTATAAGGTCGTCGGGCAGCTCGTCGTCGGACAGAAAGTCGGTGGTGTCGAGCACAGAGGACCGCTTCATCATCTCGGCGGCCATCGTGCGCTTCTTGTGGCTCAATCGGAGCCGCTGGGACGGCGTGATCAGCACGGCCTCTTGCGAGCTGCTCTCTGCGGTGCCGGGGCCCAGGACGGCCCGCTTTCGCGGCAAGGAGCGCGCCGTGCTGGACCGCGACACAGATCCGTCCAACGGCACGTCCTCAAAGGACTCTTGGATCACCTCCAGGAGCGACGGAAGAAACATGGAGGCAGCAAGAGGTGAAATTCGTGGAATTATACGATGCCGTGATTTCTTTACCTCCTTCCGAAAACGGAAACTACTAAATATAACCGGGCGGTGCAGCAGAAGCGTGTCGCAGAGACGTGTCTGAGAATGTAGGGGCTTGGCTGTGCGCAAGGAACAATGCCATTGTTGGCTGGCCAGACCGTCTACGGGGAGACTGCTTGCTGTATGTACACGTTAGTCATTATTTATCGTCTTTGTTCAGGATCTTCCTGAACGCATTGCTCAGGAAGGACTCGATCCGCCTGAGGTTCGACGGATGCTCGCAGTTCGCACCCGCCGACGACTCCCTGTCGACGCTCTCCAGCGGCTTCCAGCTCGGGTCCATTCTGTTCGCCGTGTTGTCGCCGAACGCGTCCGCCAGGGCCTCCAGCAGCGCCGTCTGCGTAGCGTTCTGCGGTTTCAGCGGAACAACGTTCAGCACCACCCGCAGGTCGCCTCTTCTGTTGCCCGCGTACGGAACACCGCGTTCAGGAATCGTGATCACCTTGCCGTGCTCCGACCCAGCAGGGATCTTGATCTTCACCTTCTGGCCCTCCAGTGTTGGTATCTCCACGGTTCCTCCCAGAGCCGCCGTCGTCATTGCAATCTTGCAGTTGTAAACCACGTTCACGCCGTCCCTCACAAACTCTGGGTCTGGAGCGACCTTGATTCTGATAATCAGGTCACCGTTGCTCAAAACAGTGCCCTTCGACGTCGTAGTATGAGGAGCGTTGCCGGCGCCGCTCACACGGATCCTCGACCCGTCCTTGATACCCTTTGGCAGGTTCACCTCTGTCTGTCTGTGCTGGTCCACAACTCCCTCGCCGTGACAGCTCGAACATGCGTCCGAGGGGTTAATAAATACTCCGCTGCCTCCACAGGCCTTGCACGTGGACGCCATCTGGAAGCCTGCTTGCAACTGGTACACCTGCGAGCCTGTTCCGTCACAGCTTCTGCACGTGCTCTTCTTGCGGTTCCGCTTCAGGCCCGAGCCGGAACAGGCGTCGCACTGACACACCGCTCTGTAGTCGATCGAGGCACGGGTTCCGAAAATGGCCTCGCGGAACGAAATCGTCTTCAACACCTCCACATCCTCTCCCTGGAAATGCTGGACCCCACGTTGTCTGCCCCCACCCATGCCTCCAAACAAATCCTCGAAATTGAACCCAAACCCTTCAAATGGATTGCCACCTTGGAACCCGCCCTGGAAACCGGCAAATGGGTTGCCGCCGTGCGCTCCGCCAAAACCGCTGGCCCCGCCGCCAGCATTTGGATCAAACGCCGCGGCTCCAAACTGGTCGTACTGCTGTTTTTTCTGCGGATCGCTCAGTATGTCATATGCCTCTTGCAACTGGTGGAACTTCTTTTCTGCACCTTCCTCCTTGTTGACATCCGGATGGTACTTCTTTGCAAGCTTGTAGTATGCCTTTTTGATGTCCGAGGCAGAGGCGCTCTGACTGACTCCCAACGTCTTGTACGGATCCTCCAGCTGTGTGGGCCTGCTACTGTGGAATTCTCTGCACGCACCTCTTATCCCGTGGAAAACAAGCGGCCCGGCGTATCTCATGGGCCGCGATTGCGCATTCCAGATTAGCCGACGAGGCAGCAATCTGACTCTTAAAACGCTCTTCATAGATTAATCAATGCTATTCTGCTATAAGTGCTTATTATTTTTTTGATATATTTTTTTTCACCTAAAAGTACATGGGTGTCCGGGTTACATAACCAGACGCTTCTAGAAAAATCACGACTCGAACGCCTGGGCCACCAGGTCCTTGAGCTCGTTGGTGGCATCCTCAGGGTTGTCAGCACGCGACGTCGACGAGCCTTTTTGGGTGCCCTTTGCGCGCTCGGCGTTCGCCCCAAATAGGTTGTTGATAATGTCCTCGTAGCTGGGGTCGCCTGCTTCCTCGCGCTTTTTCGCTCCAGCTTCTGGCTGCGGTATTCTGGTAGCCGTGGTCTGGATGTTTGCGTGCCGGGTGCCAGCTTTTGGTCTTTCGACCTTCGTTGCCGTCCTGTTCGAGTCGTGCGAGTAGTTTCTATCTGGCTCGCCTGTGACTTTCACCAAATAGTCAGGAAGCTCCAGTCCGTTCTTCAAATAGTACATCTTCCAGTTTCTGGCCTTATCTTTGAGTTGCAACGTCGTTCTGTTCTTCAGAGCCTCGCTGATAGACCCACCCGGCCCGTACAGCTCCAGAATGGCCGTCCATTGCGTTCCCTTGAGCTTGAGCCCGTCCCTCAGTGCCTCTTCTTCTTCCTGGCTCCAGACCCGTCTGAAAGTCGTTGGTCTGTTTTGGCGGTAGCTTCTGGCTTTCTTGGTCTTCTGCTCGGGCTCAGACGTGTTCTCGCTAGACTCCTTGTTGTCGCCGTCAAATTGGCGTTTTCTCCCGGCAGAGTCTGTGCTGAGTCGCAATCTCGTGAGCTCCTTTGTGATCTTTCCCTTAGGTCCCCATATTAGGAAGCCCACATTTTTGGACACATAGTCAAGAAGATCGTTCAGAAACTTGATCCACTCGTACTTCTCCATGAGAGAGTCGTCCTCCTTCATGTTCATGAGATTATCCTTCCTAGAGTCGCATCTGGCCAGAAAGTCCAGCTCTGCCGGCGTGAAAAGCGTCGAGTTGCGCACAATGGTGTGTTTCGAGGTGTCGAAGTCGGGCTGCTTGCGTTTCAGTAGAATCTCATCAAGATTATCGGGGAACAGATCCTTGAGGATTTCCTCCTTGGAACGATCGCCCAGCTCGATGGCAGAGATGAAAGCCTGGGTTTTCAGCTCAAGGAATAAAATAGCGTGCGATTTGAGAAACTTGGTCTGGTTGTTCGGAGCTCTGCTGCTCTGCGCGAAGGGATACGACGAGCTTAATAGTGTAGACTGCAAGGTGTTGTCCTGCTTGAGATTAGACAGCGATCGCGTAGGGTCCAGGTTTTGTGGCGGACAGAACACGTCGAGAAACGCCTCGTTCAGGAAGAAAAATCCCAGGTCGATCAGTCCCAGCGTCGCGAGAAGAAACGTCGCGAGATTCACCTTCCGCAACGTACCTTCTATCGTGTCTTCCTTGCCGCGGAAAAACTCGGGAGCAGCCTCGCCGTACTTCCACAGGCCAAACGTGACGTTTTCCACCGTGAAAAACGGACTTTCCTCGGAGTTGTACACCCGTTTTGTGGTCTCAAACAGCTCGATCAGATTTCCAAACGCAATGCCCGCAAAAGACTCGCGATTGGAAACCAGTTCCATGATCTTTTGGTACGGCCCTTGGGAAATGATCCGTAATATCTGCGTCGCCAAGTTGTCCAACACTGGCAAAGTGTTGATCAGTAGCTGGATGTTGAAAGAGAGATTAGATGGGGCGGTGAACGTCAGCGGAAGAGCAGCCAGCTGGGCATGAACAACGTCGACGGGGGCCGTCTGGGTCTGCTGGTTCTGGACAAGCTCTCTGTAAGCCCTCAAAGCTGGGGACTCTGTGGTTTCTCGCACCAGCTCCGAATTGTTAGGAATGGACAGGCCTTTGAAATTTGTGGTTTCCCCAGACAACATTGACAAGGTAGGGTCCAGGTTGCGGTCGTCCGGTTTGTTCTCTTTATTATCTGCTGTGGTTTCGGAATGCGATTTAGGCTGTGTTTCCTCTGGCTGTTGTATTTCCTTCTCGCTGTTTATATCCTCCGACTTGGTGCTGTCTTTGTCGTCTTTGTGCTCTTCCTGGTCGCCAATAATTTTTTGGAAGTGTATATTCAGCTCCTCGTCGTTGAGCTGCTCGATGTTATCAAATCTGAACCCGGGAAGCTGGGAGGTGAGCAGCTCCAGCTGTTGCTGGTCTATGTGTTCGTGGTCGAGCTCCTTGGTGATCTGCGGGTCTATCACGGGCGACTTCGGCTCTGCGGACGGCTCTGTGCCCGATGTCTGCTTATCTGGCGCCATTTTCGTTGCGTTACAAACAAACAACAAGCAATAAACAATGAATAAAACTGTTTAAAATTTTATCAATACATCTCTACATTTGCAAGAAATAAAAATCTTAAAAAAAAATTGCAAGATATTCACTGCCAGCCGGTTTACGGTTGTTACGCGTAATTACACTTCTGAAAAGGGATAATTAATTTGTTACGGACGTGTAAGAAAAAAATCTATTCCCTTGTTTCTTCTCATGTCTTTTGAACGGGCAGATATTTATAGCACCTCGGTGCTGCCTGGTGAAACTGCCAGTGACGACCAGTTTAGCGAGGTCATCAAGGCGTTCAAACGGTTTATTCTCGAGTTTAGAGTCGACAACCAGTTCATCTACAGAGATCAGCTCAGAGAAAATATCCTTGTTAAACAGTACCAGCTCACGGTCCACAATGAGCATCTAATTAGCTACAATGACGAACTCAACAAGAAACTGATGGACGACCCGTCGGAAATGGTCCCCTTGTTCGAAAGGGCGATCACCGAAATCGCAAGAAGGATAATCTTCATCTCCCACGAGGAAACCCCCGCCAGTTTCCCCACCTGCCAGCTGATTCTGCTCTCCAACGACAACAAGCTCTCGATCAGGAACCTGGACTCCGAACACATCTCGAAAATCGTCAAGATCTCCGGAATCGTCATCTCGGCGTCCACCCTTCACTCCAAAGCCACCGACGTCACTTTGATGTGTCGCTCGTGCAGACACACGATGAAAATGAAGGTGGGCTCCTCGTTCGGCGCCATACAGACGCCCAAGTCGTGTCAGAGCGCTCAGCAACCTAATGGAGAGAGAAATCAGTGTCCTCCTGACCCCTACATCATTGTCCACGACAAGTCCGTGTTCATCGACCAACAGGTGCTCAAGCTCCAGGAGACAACCGACATGGTGCCGATCGGAGAGATGCCTAGACACATCTTGCTGAGCGTGGACAGAAACCTGTGCAATCGGGTCATTCCAGGCACGCGTTGCGACGTGGTTGGAATCTACTCAATCTATCAGGCCAAGGTCCGTAACGGGCCTTCTGCCAACAACGTCGCCATCAGAAACCCGTACATGAACGTTTTGGGCATCCAGACGGACCGCGACGCCGAGACCGGTGGTCTCAACTCTGTGTTCTCTGAGGAGGAGGAGGAAGAGTTTCTGTCGCTGGCACGGTCGGAAAACCTGTACGAGCGGTTCTCGAACTCTATTGCGCCGTCGATTTACGGCAACGCCGACATCAAGAAGGCCATTGTGTGTCTGCTGATGGGTGGATCGAAGAAGATCCTGCCGGACGGCATGCGTCTCAGAGGAGACATCAACGTGTTGCTGCTGGGAGACCCCGGCACGGCCAAGTCGCAGCTGCTCAAGTTTGTCGAGAAAGTGTCGCCGATCTCGCTGTACACGTCCGGTAAAGGATCGTCTGCGGCTGGTCTGACAGCGTCAGTGCAGCGGGACCCAACAACGAGAGACTTTTATCTGGAAGGAGGAGCGATGGTGCTTGCGGACGGAGGTGTGGTGTGCATCGACGAGTTCGACAAGATGCGCGACGAGGACCGTGTGGCGATCCACGAGGCCATGGAGCAGCAGACGATTTCGATTGCCAAGGCGGGCATCACGACGGTGCTGAACTCGAGGACGTCGGTGCTGGCGGCGGCGAACCCGATATTTGGCCGCTACGACGACATGAAGTCGCCCGGTGAGAACATCGATTTCCAAACGACCATTCTATCGCGTTTCGACATGATCTTCATCGTCAAGGACGAGCACAACCAGCAGCGCGACGAGGCCATTGCGCATCACGTGATGAACATCCACACGAACGGCGGGTCTGCCGAGATGCAGGTCGAGGGCGAGATCCCGCTGGACAAGATGAAGCGGTACATCCAGTACTGCAAGGTGAAGTGTGCGCCGCGGCTGTCGTACGAGGCGAGCGAGATGCTGTCGTCGCACTTTGTCGGGATCCGGAAAGAGGTGAAAAACAAGGAGTCGCACTCGACCGAGCGGTCGTCGATCCCGATCACCATCCGGCAGCTCGAGGCCATTATCCGGATCACCGAGGCGCTGGCCAAGCTGGAGCTGGCGCCTGTCGCTACAGAGAGACACGTCGAGGAGGCGATCCGGCTGTTCAACGCGTCCACGATGGACGCCGTCCACGAGGGCAACTCCGACAACGCGCAGATCACGTCGGAGATCCACAAGATCGAGAGCGAGATCAAGCGCAGACTCCCGCTTGGCTGGTCCACGTCGTACGCGACGCTCAGAAGACAGTTTGTTGAGAAGGGCAGCTACTCGCTGGCCGCGCTAGAAAAGGCTCTGAGCATTCTGGAGCGCAAGGAGACCATCCAGCTGCGACACCAGCGGTCCAACGTGTTTAGATGCGGTGTATAGCTAGCTATATCAGACTACGACATGGAACCCGGAACGGCCCTTGGCCAGCCCGTCCTGGACGATCTGCGCGATCTCGTGCGGGTCGCGCGTGATCTGCGTCAGCACCTCGTGGCCGTGCTCCGTCACCACCACGTCGTCCTCAATGCGCACTCCCCCGATGTACATGTACTTGTCCACTGCTTCCCGGCAAATATATTTGCTGGTGTCTGGGTTTTTCAGAGCAGGTTCCATGAGTAACGGCGAGAAGTAGATCCCCGGCTCGTTCGTCACCACCATGCCCGGTTCTAGCTTTCTGCGCAGTCGCAGATACCGCAGCATTGGGTCTGGGTCGTTGTAGTTCGGGTTGCCGCCCACGTCGTGGGTGTCCATGCCCAGAAGATGGCCCAGTCCGTGCGGGAAGAAGCTGGCAGACACGCCGGACCGGAAGATGTCCTCCTCGTTGCCCGTGAACAGGCCGAGCTTGAGGAAGTTCCTGATCAGTACTCTGTGCGCCAGCAGCTGCAAATCGTCCCAATGAGTACCTGGCTTGATTTCCTTCATGCATTCGTTCTGCATCTCCAGCACGGCATTGTAGATCTCCAGATGCTCTTTGGTCCAGACTCCGCTGATCGGGAAGCATCTGGTCACGTCGGAAGCATAGCACTCCCACTCGGCCCCGGCGTCAATCAGAACGCTGTCCTTCCCGGCAAGACCCTGGTTGTTTTTCACGTAGTGCAACGTGCCGCACGATGGGCCGGAGCAGCAGATCGGATCGTACGCCTGGAATTTGGAGCCCTGGCGGATCGAGTGGTAGACAAACTCGGCGTGGATGTGGCCCTCGTTGCTCTCTATCGGCAGGGCCGACATGACGGCGAGATGCGAGTTGTCGGTAATTTTGGCGGCCTTGCGCATGAGCTCGAGCTCGAACGAGTCCTTAATCAGCCGGGCCTCGTCCAGCGCATGGAAGAAGTCCTTGTCGCCGGCAGTGACGTATTTGGCAAACTGCTTGTCTGCGTACTCCTCCGTGTCGGTGGTGAGGATTTCAGTTTCGTTGGCCAGTAGATCTTGCAACACTGTGTCCACGACGGCTGCATAGAGAACCTCGTCGACATCGAACTTCTTGATGGCTTCTTCGGGAAAAAGAGGTAGACCGCTCCACATTATGTCGTCGGCGTCGACGTCTGGCAGGAACAGGGTCAATTTGTCGGTGGAAACGTTGTACAGAACAAAACAGCCACTGATTTGGTTCACACCGGTAAGATAGTGGAAGTATCTGTTTTGTCTCAAAGGAGCAGTCTGGTCGCAGTAAGGATACAGCTTCAATGAGGCGCCCGCGATGAAAAACGCGGTGTTGGCATTGCGCTTGTTGTTCAAAAAGTGGTCTCTCACTTTTCTGGCGTGCGCTTTCGCTGGGTACATGATAAGAAATAAATAAAGTCAATTTTTAAATTTTTGTTTAATTTAAATGTCTAAGCGAAAAAGACAAGATAGTTCTGGTGAATATCCAGAGCAAAAGAAAATCTCGACTCGAGACGAATCGCTGTATTTGGACACCGTCAACAGAAAAATACTTGATTTCGACTACGAGAAGGTCTGTTGCGTCTCGCTGTCCAGCACAAATATCTATGGCTGTCTGGTTTGCAACAAATACTTCAGAGGCCGGTCAATGGACTCGGAGTGCTTTCTGCACTCAATAAACGACGACCACCACGTTTTTGTCAATTTCGATACACTCACGTTCCATATCCTGCCGGAGAACTACAAATTGGACGAGCAGGCAGCTTCTTCTTTGGACGACATTCGACGCCAAATTAACCCGACATATAAGGACCTCAAAGACGTCTATCACGACAAATCGCTCAAAAGGGATCTTGCTGGCCGAGAGTACCGTCCTGGGTTTGTTGGATTTAGCAATTTCGGGGCTAACGACTACTCGAACGTGATTTTGCAAGCCCTGGCACACGTTCCTCCCTTGAGAGATTATCTGCTGCTGTATCCAGAAAAACTTCACAAAACCAAGCTGGTGGGCAAGCTTTCCCTATTGATGAGGAAGATGTACTCTCCAAACCTGTTCAAGTCCCACCTTTCCGCTCACGAACTAATGCAATACGTATCCTCGTTGACCAATAAGAGATTTTCTCTGCACCACGAGAGCGAGCCCAAGGACTTTCTCATGTGGCTGTTCAACAACATGCACAAAGAACTGGTTTCAGAGCTTCAAAATAATCTAGTATCGTCGATATTACAGGGAAAAGTGGAGCTTCCATCTGAAAAGTCCAAGTTTTGGATGCTCACATTGACATTGCCGCCAGTGACTCTGTTCAAAGATGGCGCCAAGCTGGAGATCCCGCAGGTGGCGATTGAAGACCTGTTCGCGGCGAAAAGGTACAAAATAGCCAGAGCACCGCAGTTTCTGACTCTCTATATCAAGAGAAAAGACGATACACAGAAAATCGCAGGCGTAAACGGATCCAACATCAATCCAACGGTGGTGAAATTTAATCCGTCGCAACTAAAAGTCGACACCCATACCTACAAACTCATAGCGAACGTGGTGTATAGCAGCGGCCAAAGCGAAAATTACAGCCTGGAGAGCGAGAACCAGGCTCACTACAAAATACAGGTTCTCGATGAGGTGCGCAACGAATGGCTCGAGATCGATGACCTCAAGGTCAGACTCATTGAAAAAGACCTCCTGTTTCTCAACCAGACGTATTTGCAAATTTGGCAAAAGATAGCATAGACCGAATGCATTAGATGGCCAATCTATTAACGTTTCCTGTAATGATGGAGACGGTGTTTTCCTCGATGAGCGCCTCTGCCGTTTCGCCCAGATGCTTCTTTGGATCCTGCTTACCCACGTAACGGGTCTTGAGCTGTTCCTCGGTCAGCTCTTTCTCCTCCACCACCCTCTCGACGTACTGCTTGGCGATCTTGACCATCTTCTTCGATGCCTCGAGGTTGTTGCACTGCTTCTCGTTGTAGTCGTGGAGCTTGAGTCCCGCAGTCCACTCCTTCTTGTGCAGATTCAGCAGCATGTCTGTTTCTTTGGAAGTCTTTCTGTAGTCGATGTTGAGCGAGTAGTAGTTTCTGTTAAGACCGTGTATCAATGCCTGGATGGTTGGCTTATTGAGCAGACCCACGTTCGAGGTGGTCTGTCTAGGCTCCTGTCCGAGCATCAAAGTCTGCGACGAGATCGATCTAAATGCGTCTATCACCACCTTGCCCTTCACCGACTGGATAGGATCTATCACGACCGCGACGGAACGAGGGTTCAGTTGTTCGAAAGATTGCTGTGTGTTGACATCAACGGACGAGAGCCAGCACCCAAAACCAGGATGCGAGTGGTACCATCCCACCACCATCTGATCTCTGCCGGTTTGTTTGAGCATGTCCATCATCTTGGTCTGGAAAACATCGTCCACAGCCTCCACAGACACACCTGTACCAGACTGGGGCATGGCGAACACGTCGACCACGTGGATGGTGAAGTCGTCGATGAAGTCGCCGAGCATCAAGCCCATCACCTCCATCGGCACACCAGCACGGCCGTGCTTCAGCATTTTCAGCAGAGCAAGCGACGAGATGTACACGGTCTCGGCGTTGTCGATCGCCGGCTGGTCACCCTGCTGAGCACCTCCGAGCCCGCCCATTCTGGATCCCAATAACGATTGCAGTCTGTCCATGTTGTATTTTAGGTTTTTATTTTCTTTGCCACTGTATTAAATAAATTGAACAAGACCCGCGGCTGCGATTGACAGAAATATTCAAATATTAAATGCTAAATCATTATTAGCATTTTGAGGGTGCACTGGATGCCTTTGCCATATTGAAATGACCGACCCTTTGCTCGACCCTTCGTCCGACGACGACTCGTCTCTTCTTCTCCACGAAAATATCGACCAACCGCTCACCACCAAGGCAGAGGTGTTTGGCTGGTGTCTCTATTCCTGGGCTGCCGAGCCGTTTATTGTCAGCGTCGTGGGCACCTACGTGCCGCTGCTGCTCGAGCAGATTGCAAGAGACAACGGCGTGAAACTTATCGACAAAATCACTCCCTGCAACCAGCCCCACGACCCTACAATCCCGATCCCCTCGCCCCCCAAGGACGGAGACTTCCTCAACAGCACACTAACCAACGCCTCGCAGAATGACTCCTGCGTGCTGCCCCTGCTCGGTGGCCGCTTTTACATTGACACCTCCTCCTACGCGCTATATACGTTCTCAATCTCGGTCCTTGTCCAGACCGTTCTTGTGATATCCATGTCTGGAGCTGCTGATCGAGGGTCCCACAGAAAGTCGATGCTTGTGGGGTTCGGAGTTACTGGGGGCATCGTCACCATGTGTTACTGGCTGGTCAACGATAGGAACTACTATATGGCGTCGCTGCTGGCGATTCTGGCCAACAGCGCGTTCGGAGGAGTCAATGTCTGTGGAAACTCGTTTCTGTCGCTCTTGGTGAACAACCATCCCTCGGTTCGACAGATTAACCTGTCCAAATCCTCAAAGCTCGCAAGAATGGGCGAAATTTCATCCAAAATTAGCGGAATCTGCGCTGCCTCCGGCTATGTTTCGGCTCTTCTGATGCAAATCATCACCATGCTTGTCATTCTCCATGTCAGAAGCAATCCAAACATAGACTCGCTCATCTACCCTCTAAAGCTCGTTATCGGCTTGGTAGGACTGTGGTGGTTTGCATTCCAGCTGCCCATACAGATCCTGCTGAAACCACGGCTTTCTAAGGAATTGCACGTCTCAATTGAGCCTCCCGACCCATCGGAACCAGGTTACTCCATTAACAGCATAAAATACAAACTACTCGTGGTCGGGGCATATATTTTGCATGGTTACAGAACCCTCTTGTCTGCTGCCAGAGCGGCGTCGCAACTAAAAGACATCATGGCGTTTCTGTTGGGCTGGTTCATCATCTCCGACTCACTCACGACAATTAACTCAACGGCTATTTTGTTTGCCAAGTCAGATTTGCAAATGACAACGGTGCAGCTGTCTCAAATTGGCGTCCTCACAATGGTTTCCGCCATTGCTGGGTCCGTGCTGCTCCCAAACGTGATCCAACCGTACTTCAAGCTCGGGCTCAAACAGACCATGATTCTCATCATTGTATGGGCATCCATAATCCCGCTGTACGGGATTCTGGGCTTTTTTATTCATTCATTGGGTCTCCATCACGCCGTGGAAATGTACGTGTTGGCTATCTGGTACGGCTTCTCTCTCGGAGGCGTCGCAACGATCTCAAGAAGTTTGTACTCGATGCTGATTCCACCAGGCCAGGAGTCTGTGTTTTTCGCGCTGTTTAGCATCACAGATAAAGGCTCTTCTGTTGTTGGGCCGTTCTTGGTGGGCCTCATCATTGACAAAACACACGACATTCGCAAATGTTTCTGGTTGTTGTTTCTGTTGCTGGTCGCTGCCGTGCCTGTCTTCTGGTACGGAATCGATGTTGATCGTGGGATCAACGAAGCCACCGTTTTGGAACACGAACAAGATGAATAGACTCTTAAATGCCCCAGATGTTCACGACCCCGTCGTCGCCACAGCTGGCCCATTCGTAGTCGTCATTGTCGGTTGGTTTCCAGTCGATGCAGTTGATGAGGGACTTGTGCCCCTTCAAACACTCTATGAGGTTTCCAAACTTTTTATTCCAGATGTAAATCAGACCGTCCTCGCTACCACTAAGAACAAGGTTCTTATCTGTAACGCAGCCCCTGATTATGTAGTCCGACTGCTGGAGTCCGTAGTATTTGTTCACGAGATACGGTCTGGACGTCTTGGAGATGTTCCAGAGCTGTAGCTCGTCTGCCTTCACGTTTATCAGGCAGTGGTCTGGGTCGTCAGGCGAAACGGTTATGGAGGTCAGTTGTTTCTCGATATTGATGATACTAGAAAGTTCGTAGCTGGATGAAGTGATATCGTAAATCATCAGTTGGCATGAGTGCGTCACAACAAGCAACTTTTCGTCGTTGACTAGAGCTAGGTCTTCTATTCGGTGCGAGATCTTGAAATCATATACCAGCTCCTTGTCCAAGTTGAAGATGCACAGCTTTTTGTCCGGTGAGCCAATGATGAACTGGTCACTGTACTTGAAGAATTCCACTGACCGAATCCTGACATTTGAGTTGAATAAGTCCTGGTCGGAGATGGTGGCAATGCAGCTACCCGATTCAAGATCCCACACCTTGACGGTCTGGTCGAAAGAAGAGGTGATGAGCTTGGAGTCATCGTGAGACCACGACAGGTAAATGATCGTATTGTCGTGACCAACGAGGTGCTTGTGCAATCGGTAGGTTTGTGTGTCGTAGATAGCAATGGTTTTATCGACCGAAGCACTGGCCAAATATTTCCCCGTGTTGGAGTATTTGACAAACCAGCACTCGTTTTCGTGGTGCTCGAGACGAACCTTCAGAGTTTTTGGGAACTTGTCCTTCATGTATGTATTTGCGTCTCTTAGCAAGGTTAGAGGCTGGGAGGAGGTGGTCGTAGGAATGTAGTAAGGATCGTTGAGCTGCTGGTAGGCCAAGGCCTGTTTCAGCAGCTGTGCTAGTCTATTTGGCGGTACAACTTTATCCGAGGGGAGCAACGCTAACACCTGGTTGACTAGGCTCTCTCTCGAAGCACGAATGTCTCCTCCAATTTGCCATCCCAGCTCTTCGAGTAGAGCCTTAGTGCTGGAGTCAACAAGCTCAATTTGGTCGCCAAAACTGACAAGCAAGGAGCTTAGTTTTTTGCTCAAGCTTTCCACCTTTTCATCGTCAGGATAGTCTGCTGTCAGCGTTCTGAGAGTTCGCAATGCCCGGTTGTTATTTCTGAGGAGGATCAAACTTTCTAGAAACAGCGTCTTTCTGATCAGCACACGGACATCTCGTTGAATTTTCGCCAATTGCGAGTCATCCCCCACAAGCTGGGCTAAATTGTTGTTTATCAATTCTAAAGAACTTGCCCCCTCTAGGTCTACTTTGGTGTCACGTAAAAAATCGCTAAACTCTCTAAGATGGCTGTCTGTGACTTGGAGGCCTGTGGTCTGGCTCAGGTGGTCGGCAATGTCCTTGAACGGCCCTCCCAAGTCTGTAAAATATTGTATAATCAATAGCAATAGCTGATCGTTCTTGATAGAGCTCATTTCCGGGGCTAAACCCGGTATGGCGGCAGAGAGGAGCGAGTGAATCCCTGTATGGTTATTTGCCGATGAACTGTCGGAATCTGCCGCAATCGAGCCTTTTCTTTTCGGGGACATGGTAGCGACGTGAGACAAAGAACCCAGCTCGAATCTTATCTTGAGGCCCACTAAATAATCCCTATAAATTTAGAGCGAGCCGGGTAATGGGGAGAGACCTTAGTAAGTTTTGACGGGCTTGTCTCTTTTTTTTTTTTCTTTGCCTTCCCCGTACTTACTTGCCCTCACGTGTCTTGTTTTACCACGCAACAAATATTTTTGACACGTATATTTTTGTCACGTATAAAGACAATTAGACTATTTTTTTGTTCGGAGTCATTATGAAGTTGTTTAATGTCTCGATCCTGACCTCTGTTTTGGCCATGATGGCTGTGGCCAGAGGCGACGCCGACGAAGCCGCCATTGCGTCTCCAGATTCCGCTGTTGTGAAGCTGACAGCGGAGAGCTTCGAGTCGTTTATCAAGGAGAACCCGCTCGTTCTGGCTGAGTTCTTTGCACCATGGTGTGGCCACTGCAAGCGTCTCGGACCAGAGTTTAGCGCCGCTGCCGACAAGCTTGTCGAGAAAGACATCAAACTCGCCCAGATCGATTGCACCCAGGAGAGAGACCTATGTGCGGACTATGGTATCCGTGGATATCCATCTCTCAAAGTCTTCAGAGGCAACAACTCGCCATCCGACTATCAGGGCCAAAGAGAACAGGATGCAATTGTCAGCTACATGATCAAGCAAGCCCTGCCTCCAGTGTCTTTGCTTGAGGACACGGCTGATCTGCTGGATGCACTGGCTGAACTGAGCGAACCTATGATCTTGCAAGTGCTGCCACCTGACTCGAAGTCTTCTGGCAACGAGACGTTCCATTCGTTGGCCAACCGCCTCAGAGACGAGTTCAGGTTTGTGTCGACCTCCAACCCTGAGTATGTTGAGAAATACGTCAAGGAAAAGTCCACTCCAACCTACGTTGTTTTCAGACCGGGTGAGAAGACTGAGGACGCTTCTGTTCTCACCAACAAGACTATAGACGAAGAGGGATTAGAGAAATTCATTAGTGTTGAGACCAAGCCCCTCTTCGGCGAAGTCACCGGCGCCACGTTCCAGTCCTACATGGACTCCAAAATTCCTTTAGCATACTTTTTCTATGAAGAGGAGTCCCAGAAGGCTGCTGTCGCAGACGAAATCACTAAGCTGGCCAAGAAATATAGAGGAGAGATCAATTTCGCCGGACTCGAGGCCAAGAAATACGGATTGCACGCTAAAAACCTCAACATGCAAGAAAAGTTCCCACTGTTTGCCATTCACGATCTGCAAGGAGACCTCAAGTACGGCATTTCCCAGGACAAGGACCTGGACTTCTCTGAGATTCCTAAATTCGTTGAAAACTTCAAGAAGGGCAAGCTGGAGCCAATTGTCAAGAGCGAGCCTATTCCAGAGACTCAAGAGGAGGCTGTCTACCACTTGGTCGGCTACGAGCACGACAAAATCGTTAATCAAGAGAAGGACGTTCTGGTCGAGTACTATGCTCCATGGTGCGGTCATTGCAAGAGACTTGCCCCTACCTATGAGGAGCTGGCTGCTATCTACAAGAACGACACCGCTGCCAGTGCCAAGGTTTTGATTGCCAAGATTGACCATACTGCCAACGACGTTTCAGGCGTTGAGATCACTGGATACCCTACCATTTTCCTTTATCCAGCTGACGGTTCAGGACCAGTCAATTACGAAGGACAGAGAACTTTGGAGTCCCTGGCTTCTTTCATTCAAGAGAAGGGTACCTTTGGTGTTGACGGTTTGGCCATCAGAGACGCTAAGAGCGCAGGAGCTGATAAGCCAGAGTCGGACGCTAAGGACAGCACTCACGACGAGTTGTAATGAGTTTGTGAAGAAATGTGTGTTTAATAAAAGTTTATCCATTAATGGTCTCGCTGGCTGCTTTACTTAATCTATTCATGATCGCAAGGCCCTCGCCAGTCTCTTCCACGCCTTCAATCAGTATGTAGTCGTATTCTTCGGCGTCCAGGGCTCTCAAAGCAGAAAACAAATTGCGCTGGATCTCGTCGCCCGAATTTCCAAGGGTTCCGTCGTAGGAAATTAGAGGGCTGATATCATTTGCTGGGGCAAAGCGACGGGTCTTGAGCAGAGCGATCTTTTTATTTTGCAAATTATTCTTTTCCAGGTATGCTTTAACTTTCTTCCTTCCGTCCGCGCAATTATTGAACAACACCACCTTTGCGGTCGGCGAGTAGTGACGGTATTTCATGCCCGGTGTCCGCACAGGCTCTAATTTTCCTGCCGTTTTTTTTGCAACCACAATATTCTGCCACCGGGGCCCGCCTGCCTGTTTTATTTGCTCCAGCGAGATTCCGCCGGGTCTGAGGAGCATTGGCGGGTCGCACAGGCCGTCGACAACCGTACTTTCAAGCCCAACATCGCACGGCCCGCCGTCCAGAATAAGCGGAATGCGTCCCTTGAGATCATGGTAAACGTGCGCGGCTGTCGTTGGAGAAGGCCTTGTCGACGCATTTGCCGACGGAGCAGCAAGCGGGAGATCAGAGATATGAATTAGGGCACGCGCAACCGGGTTTTGGGGCATTCTGACGGCGAACGTGGGCTGTCCAGACGTAACGAGCTGTGATATTGGCGAGTCATGGACGTTTTCAGGCATTGGCAGCAGGATAGTGAGCGGGCCGGGCCAGAATTTCTGAATTAAAGGAGCATATATCTCGGGAATCTCCTGTCCTGGGACCATGAGTTTCCGTTTGAGCTGGTCAATCGACGAGACGTGCGAGATTAGAGGATTGTCTGCCGGCCTGTTCTTGGCGGCGTATATGGACTTGACGGATTCGGAGCTCAGGCTCGAGGCCCCAAGTCCGTAGACCGTCTCGGAAGGGAACCCGACGGCGTGGTGGGTGTTCTGCAGAATGTTTGCGGCATACTCTAAATTTTGCTTTGTCTCTGGATCGGTGATAGTCAGGGTTGTCCCTGCGGCGTCGAAGCAGATGGACTTTGGCTTCACCGGCAGGATTTTCGTTTCAAGGGACGATGTCATGTTTGGTAAGAAGGAAAAGTGGCGCCGGAACTTGGCTGGCCTTAGTGTAATCAATCTCCAAATAATGATTAATGAAAAATATATTTCTTTTATTTCTTATTTTATATTTATTTTTTATTTACTACATGTTTGGATTCGCCAAAAAAATAGTGTCGACTCTGGAAACCCAGGCAACCAGTTATCTCAGTGTCGGATCAGACGCCGGCCCCGAGAACTCCATGGGCCTGCGCGTGCTGGCCGTCGACAAAAACTCGCTGGGTGAAAAGTACGGGTTCGAAAGCTGGTTCGACTTCATCATGGCCATCAATGGGTACCCGGTGGTGTCGTTTTTGCAAAGCGGTGAGTCGCACGACTCCAATCCCTACGCGCGCCAGGAACCGACCTCGGACTATACGCGGCTGCTGGAGTTTTTGGCGTACGAGGTGAACACGAACAAGTCTGATCTCGTGTTCCGTGTGTGGAGCGCAAAAGGAGCGGTGGAAAGAGACGTCACAATCCCAAATAGCGAGTTTACGGCAGACAGCAACGAGCAGCTCGATGACATCAGCATATCGCCCGCAAAACAGAACAGGAACGTTGTGCAGAACTCGGCATTCAAGCGGCTCCAGGTGACGTTGCAATTGACACCCCTGAGCACGGCCGGATACGTGTGGCACGTGATGCGCGTGCATCCGAACTCGCCTGCGTACCACGCGGGAATCATGCCGGACGAGTACATTATAAACTGCGAGGGCGGACTGCTGGCTACAGGGGGTGAGGATCTGCTGGGCAGAGTGATCCAGTCCATATACAACAAGTGGCAGCAGAGCGCTACGTCCGGCGCAGCGCCGTGCTCGGTCGTGCTGTACGTTTACAACCACGACTACGACGCCGTGAGGCCCGTGACGGTGTATCCGAACGATACGTGGGGCGGTCGTGGGCTTCTGGGATGCGATATTGGATACGGCTTGCTCCACAAAATCCCCGAAGTGGTGGGGAAATACCAGAAGGACGACGACGACTCCGATGTCGACCTGACTCCCGGGGGCGTGATGTTCAGTGCACAGCCAGAGGCGCCCGATGTGCCTGCGCAATCAGAAAACGTGTTGCAGCCGGCCGTTCGTGCTCCGTCGTTTGCAGACACGCCTGCCGAGCCGGCTGCGAGAAGAAAGAAACCGTCCAAGTACGCTGCGCCGAAAAGCGACCTCACGAGCTATTTCGAGGAGGAGACGGCCAAGTCGAAGCTCATCGACGGCGAGAGCAAGACCGGCCACGGCGCTGTTCCTGCTCCTCCGAAAATTACCAAGGAGCAGAGCTAGCCTTGTTTCTTCCATTCGAGCCACTCGTCGCGCAGCGTTCGGTAGGCGTTTTTGGAGTGAAACGAGTCTTTGATGAATAGAGACTGACAGATTTGCAGGTCGAGCACCCACTTGACCACCCCGAGGTCTCGTAGCAGTGCCACAACCAGAAAACACAGGCTTCCGAGAACTTGGCCCAAAAGCGTGCCCACCCATATTTGTGCCAGGTTATGGTACTCGAAATACAGTCTCGAGTAGCAGACGAGGACCTGGGCGGCGACAAGAAGCAAAAAGAGGCCTCTTTTCGTTGACTTTTCCACCGGAGTCGGCCACTGCAAAAACATGCGTAGCGACATGTATGTGACGAAGAAAGCAATGAACTGGGCGTGCGACGACGGCATTCCGTAAACGAGCCCGCCGTCTTTTTTAAAGATCTGGCCTTTTATCGGCCTCTCGAGCTTGACCAGCTTCTTGAGTGTGCAGCTGATCACATCGTTCAGCACTTGTCCCACTGCGATGAGACAGCACTCGACCTCGCGCGTCACAACAAACCAGGAGAAGAGAAACACGAGGATCAGAACGGGGAGAAGTGAAAATAGCGCCACCACAAGGCTGAAAATGTTGGACTCGTCGTATAGAATGTAGGTGTGGTCAAAGGGAACGAGGGGGTTCATAAATAAATGAACAAAATGAATCGGAAAATAAAATAAGAAAATGAAATAAAATAAAATTAAAAAAAAACCCCATGGAGCTAAAAGTCTATTTGGAGGAGCTCAAGAAAGGTCCTGCGAATATGCTGGAGCTGCTGGGCTACCTTGGTGAATACCACAAAGACGCCGAACGGCTGCAAATAGCATCAACACTGGTCAATCACACTCTCAGCGTGTACAAGCTAGCAGACGAAGACGTGCGACGGGTGATCTGCGATCTTCTGTGTTGCAGAGTTGGTTTGGGCCAGTTGGTGTTGCAGTGCAAACGGAGATTGGACGAAAATGCTGCACAGGCACTGGCAGATACAGTCAGTGCGCCCAGGTTTCAACGGATCTTGACAAACGTCCAGCATAGCGAGCTGTCAGAACTGCGGTCTTTGCTGACTGTTCGGGTGTATGAGGAGCTCAATAGGGCGGCCACAGAGCTACACAGTGACGAGTTGAGGGAAGCAGCCGACAGATACCCGAAACGTCTTTTAGACCTGGCACTTTCTTCGAGCGTTGCTGACTGGAGGTTTGTGAACGGTTGTTTGAGGATGCACGCAGTGGATCCTTTTGAGAAGAGCGTATACACCCGTTTGGTGGCCAAATTCAGCGAGAGGAACGACATGGCGTTTTTGAAGCAGCTTTTAGGGCTTATAGAGTCTGCTATCCAGGACGCCAACGTTGCCGGCTACAAGAAACTATTTGGGGAGCTCGAGGTCCGCGACTGGGCCACGGCGGTCTCGTTTGTGGTAAACTCGCCGCTGGAGCTACAGAAGATTGTTGCCGGTCGTTTGCAGGCGGACGAAGCACTTGTTCTAAGGTACATTTCCCTGTTTTCATTGAAATCGTATATTCAGCAGACGTCGTTCAGCGAGCACGAGCGTCTGACCCGACTTTTGCTGCTGCTGCTGCTTAAGCTGGACGACACACAGATAAAAGATATCTCAACGCACGGCGAGTTTCTCAACGCCATCAGCAACCATTTGGAGTCGAACTCGCCTAAACTGAGGTTTTTTGGGATGGCGGTGGGCGATTTAGTTTACGAGCGACTAAATAAAAAGCCAATGTTCGACATCGAGGAGCACAATCGGCAAAGAGAAAAATTCATGAACGAGATCACTAAACCAATTCCCGACTGCACGCTGGACGAGGCATTCTCCATCATCCGAAGGAAAGAACAAACCATACAGAGACAACACACAGAGACAAAAATTATCAAGCCTGCTCCCGTTGTCATCGACGAAGACCCCGAGGATTCCGACGACGAGACGGTTCCGCGCAATCGCACCGTTCCAACGCCTGTCTACCTCAAAGAGGTGATCTCGTACTTACAGACAGACTCCCAGAAAGACCAGCTTGCGTACGAAAAACACGAAATTCTGTACAAAGTGCTTGCTCCTCTGGTTCGCACCAAAGCCAACAGCCAGGAGCTCCATTTCTACAGCGAGGCGCTGCTGGACTTGGTGCTGGGCCTCTCAAAATCGTACAAGCTCGCCGACTTCGAGTCGTGGCGACTGTCGTGCTGCATCGCCATATGTGTCGGCGATTTTGAGCAGGCGGCCGCGTTCCTCATCAAGAGCTTTTTTTCCGGAGACATTTCGCTCAACAGACGAATATTGATCTTGAGCTGTTTGAGTCTGAGCGCAAGAGAAAAAGCAGGGCTCAGCGACGAGTATGTTGCTGGTAAAGAGACGGTGCCGGGTCTGGGACCACAGCGGCTGCCAGAAAATATACACAGACAATTTATTCAGTACGACGAGCAGCAGAAACCAGAGCTCAAAAGCATCACCGAGCAGATGGACACGCTGGAGCTGACGGGCACGGTGACACGGATCTCGTCGCGACTGACGAAGAAAAAGCCGGCCAAAACCAAAGACACGCGGTTCATCAACAACGAGCTGCCAAAAATGTATTTCCTGCTGGTCTCGACGTGGCAGTACGTGAACTCAAAGACAGGCTCTGGGTTTGTGATCGGCCACTTTTCGCCGATCCTCAACTCGCACTTTCTCAGAACGCTGGCTTTGGTACTAGACTGCGCGATTCCGTCCTCGATCCAGGTGCTGGACATGGTGCGGGAGCTGGTCCTGATTTTGACGGAGCACATGAAACAGCTTGTGGTGCAGTACGAGGAGATTGTTTTGGAGGCGGTGCTGGCCGGGCTGAGGACGGTCTTGCAATGCGACGGCAGCCTGCTCCGTCAGCTCGTTGGTCCTGAGCTAATTGCTATGCGGGACTACCTGGACATATTACTGGAAAATGGGGTTCTAAACGAATCAACCATACAAAACTGCGGCCATATAGTGTCAGAAATCAGCAGAATAGCATCTCCGTTCGCTTAGGATTTCTCAGAGTCCAAAGGATACGTTGTCGGGTCCCAGCCGCTGATATAGTTTTCCTCGAGGCCGTTGAGAGTCTCGAGGTCCTCTGGGGCCAGGTCGAAGCCGAACACGTCGAGGTTCGGGGCCAGCCGGGCCCTGGTGGCGGTCTTTGGCAGAGTGATGAAGCCTTGCTCGAGAGACCATCTGATGAGGATCTGCGCAGCGGTTTTGTTGTACTTCTCACCGATCTTCACCACCACAGGGTCGGCGACTTTCTGGCCTCTGGCCAACGGCGAATACGCCTCGACGGCGATATCATGCTCGCGGCAGAACCCGACCAGCTCCGGCCGTTGCAGCCACGGATGCAGCTCAAACTGGTTGATGGCGGGCCTCACCTTGAGGTCCGGGTACGCCAGAAGCTCCTTGAGATGCTTGATGCCATAGTTCGAGACGCCGATGTTCTTGACCGTGCCGGCCTCGTACGCCTCCTCCAGCGCCTTCCAGGACCCGTGTCTTCTCTCGCCGTCCGACTGTGGCGAGTGGATCAGAATCAGGTCAATGTACCCGATCTTCCTTGCCTTTTCGAGCGACCCTCTGATGGCGTTCTTCGTCTTCTCGTAGCCATGGAACGGGTCTCCGATTTTGGTGGTGTAGAAGATGTCCTCGCGCTTGCGCGACGGGTCCTCAGCGAGCCATTGGGAAATGCCCTCACAAACCTCTTCCTCGTTGTAGTAGAGGGCGGCCGAGTCGATGTGGCGGTAGCCGACGTTCAGTGCCTCGCGGACAAGCGAAACACACTGGTCAGCAGGTGTCTTGTAAACTCCGAGACCCACAGTGGGGATTCTGCGTCCCGTGTTGAGCAGGAAAGACTGTGCGGGGGCCATTGAAATATTATATTTTGCCAAGATGGAAAAAGTGATAAGACGCGTCTTGGCAACAGCGGTGTAAGGGTGTGACATAGAACAGTGTGCATACGGGAGCTGTCAGGGCGTGGAGCTTGGAGAAAATTTGAGCGACAGCTCCGCCCGCCCCCACAGCTGGCAGGCGTCTTTCTCCGGCGGGGATCTTAGGACCCTTAAGTCTCTTATAGTCCCGGAAAAGTCTCGTGAGGACTCGGGCATATTGCGGGGTAACGGAGGCAGGGGAGGTAATATACGGGCAGATCGCCCCACATCGACGCAGCGAGTGCACATGTAGTTAAGCTCGAGTGCGTCAGGCGACGTGTTGCATAGGTGGAGGGCTTGAGCGGGAGAAAAGTAGAGAGTAATTTCTTTGGAGCTACCTAGGCATTGGATTTATGGAATCTCCGACTGGACAGAGCACCTTGCCGATTACAGATCTTTGGGCAGGCCACTACCTCAGCAAGCGGCCCGCCTCCAAGCTCTGCACGTAGACGGACAAATTTTTCACCGTTGGTCACACTTTTGAGTCCGCCGCGACTCCGAGGCATACTTGCTGGGGAATGACAATAAGAAAGCGCGCTTCACAATCGCCGAAAAACAATCCCGGAGCCAAATCCGGATTTACCATGCAGCAGACTGTGGAGACAGCCCATTCAAATCTGCAACCCAAGCAGGCAACGAGTCATACCTCCTTGGCCGTCTGGGCAGATATATAGCCGGTGTCTCGCAAAATAGTTTTGCAACTTTTATTTCATAATGAGTGATCTGGAATCGCTCTCTGTCAAGGAAGACAACTACAAGGGACTGGCCGTGGACGAGGTGAAGCCTCTGGACCTGTCAGCACGGTCCATTGGCAACTATGCCAAGACAAGGTTCACCGACCTTGTGCCGTCCAAGGAAATGATGAAGGCCAACAAACACCTGCTGAACCCGCTGCCGGGTCTCAAGCTGATCCCTGCTAGACAGTGGGTCATGTTTTTGTCTGCGTTTTTGGCCTGGACCTGGGACGCGTACGACTTTTTCTGTGTTTCGTTGAACGCTTCCAATCTCGCCACGTACTTTGACAAGACCGTGAAACAGATTACGTGGGGGATCACGCTCGTGCTCATGCTGAGGTCCGTGGGGGGTATCGTGTTTGGCTACCTCGGCGACAGATACGGCAGAAAGTACCCGCTCTGCCTCAACATCTTCCTCATGGCCGCCATCCAGTTCGGCACCTACGGAGTCAGCACGTACGAGCAGTTCCTCGGCGTGAGAGCCATCTTCGGCATCATGCTGGGCGGAATCTACGGAAACGCCGCTGCCACCGCGCTCGACGACTGTCCCTCCGAGGCCAGAGGCTTCATTTCCGGACTTCTGCAGCAGGGCTACACGTTCGGCTACCTTCTGGCCGTCGTGTTCACCAGGGTGCTCGCAGACAACGTCGACATGGGCTGGAAGTCGCTGTTTCTGCTGGGTGGCTCTGTGTCGCTGTGTCTGTTCGCTTTCAGACTGTCGCTGCCAGACACCAAGGCGTTTGTGCGCCAGAGAGAAATCGAGCAGTACAACAGGGACTGCGGCATTCCGCAGCCAACGTTTTCGCAGAAGGCAGCCGGCGCCGTTAAGAACTACTGGGCCATGATCATCTATCTCGTGCTGCTCATGGCCGGCTTCAACTTCATGTCGCACGGCTCCCAGGACCTGTACCCAACGATGCTGACGAAGCTGTACAACTACTCGCAAGACAGGTCCACCGTGACGAACTGCGTGGCCAACATCGGCGCGTTTGTGGGCGGTATCATCGTCGGCCACTTCTCCAACTTCATCGGCAGACGTCTGTCGATCCTCATCTGCTGCGTCTGCGGCGCCGCTCTGCTGTACCCGTGGGCGTTCATCAAGGGCACTGGAATCAACGCCGGCGCCTTTTTCTTGCAATTCTGCGTCCAGGGAGCCTGGGGTGTCATTCCGATCCATCTGTCAGAGCTTGCTCCGCCAGACTTCCGTTCGTTCGTTGTCGGAGTCGCTTACCAGCTCGGCAACCTTGCGTCGTCGGCGTCGTCGACCATCGAGACGACGATGGGCGAGCACTTCCCGATCGACGGCGAGGACCCTTCGGAGGTGTTTGACTATGCTACCGTGATGGTTATTTTTGTCGGAGCCGTGTTTGCGTACGTGTTTCTGATCACGCTGGTCGGTCCGGAGAACAAGATGGTGTCGCTCACGCACAACATCGAGGAGGAGGAGCAGGAGGCCGGCCGCGAGAGCCAGGTTTGACTAAGTAGGCACGTGGATGTATTTGGTGATCTGGATCGTATTTTCGTATTTTCACTACTCTGCCGTTTTTGCCAGGATTTCCAGCGTGGTGCTGAGAAGAAATCGAAAAAGCCCTGGGGAGATGAGAAACTCGCGCTGCAGGTACACAAATTTGTGACCAAGTGCTGCAAACAGCATCTCGCAGCTGATCGTAGAATAGACCTGGGCAAGCACGGGCGGCCATGGGGCAACCTGAAGTTGCTGAGACGACATTGTACATTGCCGTTCAGTTGTCGCCTCACAAAGACTCCGGGTGGCATTGGAGTGGCTGACAGAAGGCAGTTGCTAAAAGACCAGCAATAATATATTTGGTTATGTTAAATTGCACCTTTGCGAAATACATGTCGTATTTGCAGTTTGATCCCCATGCAGCGCTGATTGGTGATGAGGTAGGACTTCTGCAAACGGTAGCTCGTCTGAGAATGGCACAATGCACAGACCTGAATGTTCAGAAAGTTTTCAGTGTAGGTCTAAATCCTCATGAAACAGTCCTTGCCCAGTCTGATCTGGTGCTTTGGACACGAGCCCCATACAGTTCTAATGCAAATGAAAGGCCCATCTGCCAGACTGAAGAGCAGCCTGTTTCTTCCTGTCAAAACAATCACAACCGGCTTTAGACGCACCGCAACGCAATCCTTGGCGACTTTCAATCTAGGATAAAATTCCAACCTGCTGTGATGCACACATCTCCCGCCGGTGGACGAGGCGCTATCTGACTGAAGCCGTCCTAAGCTACGGCTCAGACACTCGACGGCCTCCTGGAGACTCCACAAAATGCGTAAAGAGCGACTCCGGCACCATCTCGTGAAAATCGTCGTAGTGTCGAAACAGACTGAGAGACGAGTCGTACTGCGGGTATCCCGTGCACTCATCCTCCTTGCAAAACAGATCGTCCCACGTATCGTTCTTGTGGCTATCGGCAACATTGTTCAGAAGATGCGTAAGCAACATATGGTCGCACAATTCCTGCTGCGACGGAAACTTGTCGACGCATCCGTGCGGGCAAGTCAGCTCGTGGTGGCTGGCTCTGTGTCTGAGCAGCTGCTGCGACGTGACAAATCCCTTGTGGCAGATATTGCAACCCAGCGGCTTGGTGGTGGAGTGGGACCACTAATGGACCTCCAGATGCGATTGTCTGTAGAACGCCTTGCCGCAGTCAGGAACAGGACAGAGGAACGGTCTCATGTTTGCGTGTGTGCGCTGGTGCTGGCGCAGCAGACAGGGCCGCGTGTACGACTTGCCGCACTGTGGCTCCGTGCAAATGTACTTCTTGGGCCGGAGCCTTTCTTTGGTGGCCATGAAAAAAAAAAAAAAGATTAGCCCGATTAGAGCCTGATTAGAGCCCTGATTAGATCCCAATTACTAATTAATATAAATATGGCACAGATTGATTTTACAATTATTAGAGTATGTCCACCAGTGAGCACATCCACCGCACCACAGTCCAGGGCACAAGCGTCTACTACAGGGAAGCCGGCTCCGAGTCCAAACCTAAGCTGCTGCTGCTCCACGGCTACCCAACGTCGTCGTACATGTTCCGCAACCTGATTCCTCTGCTCTCGTCTTTTTTTCACGTCGTTGCCCCAGATCTTCCAGGATTCGGCTTTACAGAGCCGGCAGCAGACTATGTCTTTGATTTCGAGACACTCACAGAGACCGTTGGCCAGTTTGTGAAGAAACTTGGCTGGACGAAGTTCGCAATCTACGTTTTCGACTACGGCTCGCCAGTTGGGTTCCGTCTTGCACTTGAGAGCCCTTCTCAGATTACTGCAGTCATCTCGCAAAACGGCAACGCCTACGCCGAGGGAATTGACGACAGGTTTTGGGGGCCGCTCAAAAAGTACTGGGCAGCGGGAAAAAACGACCCCGAGCTGACGTCTGCGCTGAGAGCATATATTCAGGATAAGAGAAATGTCTGCTCTCAGTATTTTGATGGTGTTGTTGAGACGTCGGCGGTAGATCTCGCGCCGTCGACGCTGGACTGGGCCCTTCTTTCCAGAGATGGACAGACAGACATCCAGCTTGGCCTGTTCTTTGACTACCAGAATAATATTCGTCTGTATCCGCAGTTTCAGGAGTTTCTCAGACGCTCTGGCGTTCCTGTGCTGCTAGCCTGGGGAAAGAACGACGCCATTTTCAGCGTCGCCGGAGCAGAAGCTTTTCGAAGAGACGTGAAGCGGGAGAATTTGGCGATACGTTATTTTGATACGGGCCACTTTGCTCTTGAAACGCACGCAGAGGAGATTGCGAACGCTATCATCGGCTTTTTGGTTCCAAGGTTATGAGGACTAGTGCAAAACGATTAGTGACGTGAGATAGTGAAGTGAGATTAGTGACGTGAGATTAGTGACATGAGATGTGAAGTGAGATTAGTGATATGAGATTATTGATATGAAATTAGTGACGTGAGATTAATGCTCTGGCCTGTCGGTCAAATGTAGTGCCGAGAAAGCACGTTGTAAAAAAGTCTTATTGCACTGAGGGAAGAGAACAGCCGGTTGTTGTGGGCTGAACTGTTCTTTTAATAAACGGTGCTACGCAATACCAGTCCTCAAAGACTACCAGGAGAATGCAAGAGCCAGCTGCAGGCCCGGGCTCTTAAACTATGCGCCAGGATGCACATGACTGCCTGGCAGCAGTGTGCTCTTTGAGGTCCAGCTATATATATGCCAGCCTGATTAATTGCTCCCGTGTCCGATGATCACTGCAGGAGATAATTGCGGGTCTTGGTATGAGCCGATCAGCTTTTGACCAACGATCACAGACCCAATTGACTAGAATGGACTGCCGCCAAACACATGGCAGCAAGGACTGCATGATCCGTATTTCAGAAACTGCTTCAATAATCAAAGTCCTCCTGTAAGCTCTGTGCGGACGTTTTGTGACTGCCTTCCCTCCAGTGGTTAGCTTGGTTGAAACATCGGCAAAGGCAAGATTCTGCGCACCTTCCTAAAAAGCAAGAAGCTGGCTGCTCAGTATCGTCAATACCTGATACTCGGTGGGCAGACGTGGAGCTCATCAAACACCGCCCGGTTTTTTTATTCCTGCTACGCAAGACAGAGCTCGTTTGATGAACCGGAAACAGGCGCGATTTTAGCTAGACAGGCTTCAATTAAACTTCTCTATTTCTCATCGTCTGCAATTTGCCACTCTCAGCTTTCCCTGGGACCGTGTAACTACAATATTTTCAACCTAGTTACCATGCTACGCTGATTACCCCATTTCAAGTACTATCAGCTACATCTCATCCTCCAGCGGAGCAGGCTCCTTAACCCCCTTCTGCTCCACTATCAGCTTGTACTCCTCCGGACGTCTGTGGCGGGCAAAGTTGAAAGCCCTGTTTCTTGGCGGATAGCAGCTGTCGAGGTCTATCTCAGCCCAGACAAGCTCGTCACCATTGGTTTTCGACTTGGCAATAATCACGCCCTGGGGATCAACAATGGTCGATCCCGCAATCATGGAGTACTTGCCGTCATCGGCGCCCGTCCGCGCAGAACACAAAGAGTAGCAGCAGTTGTGGTACGAGTTGTACTGCAGACAGAGCTCGTTGTGGAAAGTAGCCATCGTCTCAGACGAGTCGGAGTTGACCATCTGCGACGGCTCTGCCACGTTGGAAACCGGCGTGTTGTAGCCGATACAGACGATCTCCGCTCCCTGGAGCCCCAGGATCTTCCACGACTCGGGCCATCTGCGGTCGTTACAGATCAGTTGCCCGATAATAGGCCCTCCATGGCCGGTCCCCGTTCCGGGCCATCTGAATGCTTTCCAGTTCAAGTTGCCCTCGAGAAAGTATCTCTTCTCGAGGTGCTGCCATGGAACATTCTCGAGCGGCTCCTTGTCCCCGGGCAAAAACATTTTCCGGTACTTGTTGATGTTATTTCCTGCCTGGTCGACAAAGACAGAGGTGTTGTAATGTTCGTCCTCGTCCGTCAGCTCTGCATAGCCGACACAAACGGCAATGCCATACTCCTTGGCCTTCTCGAAAAATGGCTTGAATGGGTCAAACTTGGTAACGTCGCCTTTCTGGTACCATTTGTCGAGTTCTGGGCCGAACGGAATGATATACCGAGGAAAGAAGGTGGTAAACGTGAGTTCCGGGAAGTTGACGAGCCTGACGCCTTTCTCGTGCGCCTCGTCCAGCAGGGCAATCATGCGCTGAGCCACATCCTCGTAGGGAGTATCAATGTCGATTCTGCCAACCTGGGCAGCTGCGACCTTTAGCAATCTAGTCATGGATGTGAGATCTCTATTTTCTTATCATATATATATCTCGTATGCATGCGCGGGCAAGGTGCAAAAAAAAAGTATTTAAGTTCGGGCAACTCTCAAACAACCATGCCTCCCGTTCAACGGCCCTACAGATCCAGAAGAGTGCGCCCGTGCGACAGGTGTCGCAAGCGCAAGTCGGGCTGTGTCATCGACGGAGAGCCGCCGTGCCAGCTCTGTGCCAAATTCAACCTCCGGTGTGAGTTCACAGATAAGGCACCGCCTGTAAATCGGCACAAACTGGCCCAGAAAAACGAAGTGGATGTAAGCCCCGTTGCGGAGCTGGAGCCTGTTGATCCAATGGCTGGTGTGACGTACACAGACGATGCTGACGTGCTGGAAAAAACGTTTGACCCCAAAACTCTCGAACGGAGAAACAGTCTTCACGCAGACCAGTTAATTCCTGATGCAGAAATTTGGAACGAGCTTTTTGGGCTGATCGTTGGCTCCAATCAGTACAGCAGCGTTGCTATAGCCTCTCCTGTCACCACGCGAGACGACGACGAACACTCCTCCATCGATGCTTTCAAAAAGTACCAGAACGTGTATCTTTATAAATCTGGCTACATTGACCCCGTAGTCCAGCATTTGTCCAAAAATCTCGAGAGTACCAAACCGAAAGAGTGCCATATGCGAAAGGTGGCCCACGCGGGAATTCCAGAGTACGTGCTCTTTTCGCGCAAACCAACAAACTACGACGTGCCCGGTATCAATTCGCTTATACAGCAGCTTTTCAGCCCGCACATTCCCAAGCTCATGGTGCTATTTCTCAAACACGTGAACTCGTATTTTCCCGTCTTCTCGCGTGGCCGCTTCAACACGTTTGCCAAGCAGGACACAAAGGTCTTCCCTTCTGCGCTCTTTGGCAGTCTTCTTGCCGTCACCGCCGATTGGTGGCACAGACATCCCGAGTTGAGCTTGATGGAGTGTCCAGCAGTGGAGTCTTTGGTTTCTGCTACCCGAGCTACTATACTTTCTGAGACGTCTAATCCGTGCTACGGAACTCTCCAATCCTGCCTGCTGCTGTCGCAGAAACTGACGCTTGAAAGTGTTGAGCTTGACGCGACCCAGGAATTATCTTTGCTAAGCGTTGCGTTCACTATTTGCCAATCTATGGGAATTAATGTAGAGTGTCGTCATTGGAACATTCCTGACTGGGAGAAGAGAGTCCGTCGACGGCTGTGGTGGACACTGTTTGTCCAGGAAAAATGGCTTAGTACATCTCTAGGACGGGCGAGTTTAATATCCAAAGAAGCATGGAACTTGTCGCTGGTTGACGGCGCTGACTTTGCGTTCTACCCAGACTCGTGGGGATCGCAAGAGCAACATGAATATGAAGTGCGCATCTTTAGCCTCGTCGTGAGTGTGACTATGGTGATTGACGGTTTGGGAGACCTAAATATTCCTCCTTTGATTCCAGCTTACGACAGAGCAAAAGCACTTCTACAGCGCATTGACACGCTGAGGAATGAGAACTCGGAGATATTTAACTTGGATCAGATTCTGTCCGGCGGCAGGAGTGCGGCAGCGCTGGTTGTTGCGACTCTAACGGCCAAAGTGCTAATCTACAGTGCTCTTCTCCGTTTGATGGAGACTGAATCAAGAGAGGACCAAGGTGGGAGACCCAGGATTGAGCAGGAATGTCTTGCACTTACATCGGAAGCTCTCGAAATCCTTGGAAGACTGAGACCGCACCATTTCGAGTCTTTCTGGTACTCCTGGTCGAGGTTCAATTTTGCAACCATCGCCAACTTTTTCCTTCTCGTATCGCGACTGTGTCCACCGAGCCAGTCTAAAGCTGTTGAGGCAAACATGGCAAAGCTCCGGTTCTTTTTCCAGAGCAGGTCCTTGGTGTTCCGGCATCTGAGCCTTGCCATGTGGATACTAAACGTACCTGAATACTGATTTCGCGCTATCTAATTAAGAGAAGATCCGCTTATGCGAGTTGCCCGATCGGCGATATAAAAAAAAAAAACCATCAGAACTAAAATCAATCATGACTCACCACAAGCCAAAGGTGCTGTACATACCCTCCGTTCAGAACATCCATGATGAAACCGCCTGGAGAACCTTGAACGAAAAATTTGAGGTCATTACCTACAACTGCGAATCAGAGGAAGAGTACATTGCCGAGGTGCGGAAGCCAGACGGGAAGTTCGCTGGTATAGAGGCCATCTGTCGCTCTTCCTGGCTGAAGGGCCAGCCGTACGTGCACCACTACCTATTCAGAGGCGAGCCGGTCAAGGCATTGCCCGACACGGTCAAGATTATTGTTCAGTCAGGACATGGCTACGACATAGTTGACGTCGACTACTTGACTAAAAAAGGCGTGCTTTTCTGCAACTCTCCAGACTGTTGCACCATCGCGACTGCAGATGTTGGGGTTGCCCTTGTTCTTCAGTCGTTTCGCTACCTTACGTACGCGGAACACTGTGTTCGGACCGGCAAATACTACGACTCTGCACCGCTAGCTCTGTGGGGTGAAAATCCGGCTGGAAAAACGCTGGGAATTATTGGACTCGGAAATATAGGGTTCCGTGTGGCAGTGGCTTGCAAGGCATTGGGGATGGAGGTGGCATACCATAACAGAACACCAAAACCGGAGTACGAGGAAAAAATAGAAAATCTGAGCTACTTTGAAAATCTGAACGACATGCTCGCCGTTACCGACTGTGTGTTTGTTGCTTGTCCACACACGTCCGCCACGCACCATTTGATAAACGGGGATAGATTCAAGCACATGAAGGATCGTGTTCGGCTGGTCAATATAGCCAGGGGACCGATAGTTGAGGAAGCAGCGGTTATCGATGCTCTTGAACGGGGCCAGCTCGTAGGAGCAGGTTTTGATGTTCACGAGTTTGAGCCTAAAATTCACCCAAAGCTCCTAGAAAACTATAAAGTGACACTGCTTCCGCATGTGGGGGTGACCTCAATCGACAGTTTTAAGGCATTCGAGAGAAAGTGCGTTGCCAATCTGGTTGAGTATTTCTACGGCAGTGGAAAGCCTGCGTCTGTTAACAAGGTCGGCAGTGAGCAGATTTGTAGAGGAGATATAAAGTGCTAGTATAGCTGAACAGTAAACAGAGATCTGGAAATCTAGTGCTGAGTCTGACAGCCCTACAAACTCTGTCGGGAGCTAAACTCTCTTAGGCATTTCGGAGCACGTGACGGTTGCTCCTCCGGATTAATCCACAGAAATGAATACTGAAGAAGCAAGTCAAAATCACCGTCGTTAGTATTCTGGGAGGATATGCGGTCAATGCTACGGTAAATGTGAAATCTGATCCCGATACTGAATATTGAAGATTGGTTACGGGCGTCATCAACAAGACTGAAATGACTGCCTTCCCTTGGTGGGCGTTGCTGCAGCTACTCCGTCAAAATCTGCTTTGCGGTGATATTTCGTGTACAGCCCTGAAGAGCTCAACCAAGCTATATCCAAAACATGGTGCTTCTTCAAGCCTGCAACAATCAATATGGGAAGTGAAATCTTTCTGGCTTATCAGAAAAATTGATAAAACGTTATCGCGCGTGATCTTGCCCGAAGGAAAAATTCCAGGTACATATAGTATTATTTCTAAGCACTAAATTACACAAATGTCTCGGAGATTCGAAGTTGAGGAAGTGCTTCAGCAGCTCACCGAAGCTCAAAAAATTGCTCTCACCGCAGGTACGTCATATCCCCCGAGTCCTAATTCCCAGGCGCCGACTACTGGCACACAACTGGTCTGCCACAGTTTGGAATTCCCAAAATCCGCACCTCGGACGGCCCGAATGGAATTCGTGGCCAGAACCATTTCAACAGCACCCCGACCGCATGCATCCCGTCAGGAACGGCCCTCGCGTCCACATGGGATGGCAATCTGCTGTTCCAAACGGGCGAATTGCTGGACAAAGAGGCCCGAGCTAAAGGTGTGCACGTGATCTTAGGCCCTACGGCCAACATCCAGCGGGCTCCTCTCGGCGGACGTGGCTTCGAGTCGTTTTCGGAAGATCCGTATCTATCGGGTATCCTGTCTGCTGCGTATATCAATGGATTTCAAAAAACAGGTCTTGCTGCCACCATGAAGCACTATGTCGGCAACGACCAGGAACACGAGCGATTCAGTTCGAACTCGGTGATTTCCCAGCGTGCCTTGCGTGAGATCTACCTCCGTCCGTTTGAAATTGCTATCAAGGAGTCCAAGCCCAAAGGTATCATGACAAGCTACAACCGAGTCAATGGAGTCCATGTGAGCGAGGATAGATATCTGCTCACAGAAATTCTCCAAAACCAGTGGGGCTATCAAGGCCTCATCATGTCAGACTGGACCGGTACCTACTCCACTACCGAAGCATTGCTGGCGGGTCTTGATCTGGAGATGCCCGGTCCGGGAATTTGGAGAGGAGCTAACCTAAGCAGGGCCTTAGTTGCAGGAAAAATCTCGAAAGACGTACTGGACGGCCGCGCTCGCAGGGTGTTGCAATTGGCTAACAGTGTCATAGATGCGGGCGTTGAGGACGATAAGACAGAGGAGCAACGCGATGTTCCTGAAACCAGAACGTTTCTGAGGAAATTGGCAGGCGAGGCCGTGGTGCTCTTGAAAAACGAGGATAGCGTGCTACCACTACAGAAGGAAAAAACCTTGGTCATTGGTCCAAACGCTATATACACTGCCTACTCTGGCGGCGGCTCCGCACTGGTGACCCCGTACTACACTGTTTCTCCATTGGACGCAATTAGCAAAGAGATTGGCCCAGAGAATGTAACATTTCAGATCGGGGCGTATTCTCACAGATACATGCCTTCTCTCGCTCGCTATTTGAAGCTAGACAATGGGAGCACCGGCGTGCGGTTTCAGATCTACAACGAGTCCTTTGAGGTTAAGGAGCGAGTCGCAGTTGATGACCTGACCCTGAGAGATATCAATTATTTCCGGATGAATGACTATGTCAATCCGAAATTAAAGTCAAGCACATTTTATTGTTGTCTCACGTCAAACTTCGTTTCCGAGTCAGACGGCCTATTTGACTTTGGTGTCAGTGTTTACGGGACTGCGCTGCTGTTTTTGGACGACGAGCTGATTATTGACAATTTGCACAACCAGAAAGCCGGAGAGTCGTTTTACGGAAGAGGAACAGTCGAGGTCCGGGGATCGTATTTTGTCAAAGCCGGGCAACGGTACAAGCTGCGTATTGAGTTTGGCTCGTCCCCAACGAGCATGCTGCACCAATCGAATCCTGTCTTTTTTGGAGCTGGAGGTCTGATGTTTGGTGGTGCTCCGCGGATAGATGACGAGCAGGAGATCCGGCAAGCAGCGGAGGCAGCTAGCCTGGCCTCACAGGTTGTTCTTGTCACGGGGCTAAACAAAGAATGGGAATCTGAGGGATCAGACAGGAAGAACATGAAACTTCCCGGCCACAACGACCGTCTGATAGAGTCTGTGCTGGACGCGAATCCAAACACAGTCGTGGTGATCCAGGCAGGAACGCCAGTCGAAATGCCCTGGAAAAGCAAAGCAAAGGCTCTGCTGTACACTTCTTACGGTGGAAACGAAACAGGCAGCGGAATTGCAGATGTTGTTTTTGGCAACATCAATCCTGCTGGAAAGCTGCCCCTGACCTTCCCCAAACGGTTGGAAGATTGTCCTGGGTATATAAATTTCGGGACAGAAAACGGCAGGGTCCTCTATGGCGAGGACGTCTATGTTGGCTACCGCTTTTATGACACACTGAATGTTCCTACGTTGTTTCCCTTTGGTTACGGGCTGAGCTACACCTCCTTTGCTCTGTCTGCTTTGAAGGTGGACTACGACGGCGTGCTGAAGGTGGAGGTCTCGGTGAAAAATACAGGCCACCGTGCGGGTGCCGAGGTTGTTCAGGTTTACATTCATCAGAACAGCCCGGCAATCAAAAGGCCATTTAAAGAGCTGAAAGGATTCAGCAAAATATTTTTGGAAGCAGGAAGTTCTAAGAAAGTGCGCATATCGATTGACGGCAAGTTCGCCACCTCGTACTGGAACGAAGCTCGCGATAAATGGATTATGGAGGCGGGAACGTACACAGTTCTCGTGGGAGCGTCGAGCGAGGGGGACTTCCTGGAGGAAGAGTTCACTGTTGCTCGGCCTTCTTTATGGCTTGATAAACTTGTATAGGATAGCTTACAAATAAGACTGGCCCCTTAATTCTCTTCCCGGCTTGGCCCACGTGAACAGTCCGCGCTTGGACGTTTTCAGCCCCATACGTACCAACCCAGATAGAATATTAACGGCACAGCACACTCCATCGACGACTTGCACATTGCGTCCTTCCAGTGCCTGTTCCACGGCAGAAGCCATATCTGCCATCCCAGCACATCCAAGAACAATACAGTCAGCATCCTGCTGCTCAACTAGCTGCTTTGCACAACTGGCCATCAACGAAAGAACTTCCGTTTTTGGTTTCGTCTCCAGCTCCTTGACCGTGAGCTTCGTCGACAAAAGACCTGCACAGAACTTTTCCAGGCCGTAGCCTTGGACGGCGTACTGGTGACGAATCTGTGACCGGTACCCGGTGCAGAGCACGCCAAACTTTCCACCGAGCATCCGAGCAGTGTAGAACGCAGCCTCCATTATTCCACAGCACGGAATATCGAACTCTTCTCGAATACAGTTGACCAGCGGATGGTCCGAAAAGCAGCCAACAACCACGGCATCGACCTGCGAGAAGAGAGGGTAGGCATCTCTGAGACACTCGGCTGCAGATATCACAGAGTCTAGGTGACTTTCGATCGTCACCGGGGCTTTACCAGCTGGCCCCGTATATCCATAGACTGTGGTGTCCGGCGGAAGACTGCTGGAAATCATCTTCAGACAAGACGCGGTCATCGAGGCAGTGGCGTTGGGATTGACAAAGAGAACCTTGATGGAGGTCCCGGAGCCCCCAACCGAGGGAAGATCTTCCAATTGTAGAGACATGAAAATTATCAAGATGCTCTGGCTATGCTTTTTATTTGATATGCAAGATCGGGCAACTTATCTGCGATAAAAAGGAGCTGGCTCGGCCAAATCGAAGACAGCATGTTTTCGTATCAAAGAGGGCAATTCGACCTGGTCATCCACAACGGGCTTGTGGTGGTGGGCTCCGATGTGATGCCACCGTCAACGTACATTGGTGTCAAAGGTGGCATCATCGAACAGATCTCAGCAACACCTCTCACGGGAAAAAAAATCATAGATGCCGAGGGAGGCTATATCATGCCCGGCGGCATCGACTCGCACGTCCACCTGTCCCAGAAGAACACCCCCGCTGGCGACACGTTTGAGTCAGGAACACGTTCTGCTCCGCCGGGAGGAACAACCACAGTGATTCCATTTGCGATCCAAAATTCCAAGGACGACTTCGACCTGGTTTCTGCCGTTGAAGAGTACCACACACAGGCTAAAAACAAGTCTTACTGCGACTATGGATTCCACGTGATTATCTCCAACCCCAGCGACGAGCTCCTCGGGACCCAGCTTCCCCTGCTGGCCCAGCAGCACGGAATCACTTCAGTCAAGGTGTACACGACGTATCCTCGATATCGTCTTTCCGACGAGCAGCTGCTCGATATTCTTCTGTCAAATCGTAAGCTGGGCATCACTACGATGATCCATGCGGAAAATGCCGATATCATTGACTTTATAGGCAAGAAGCTGGAGGAGAAGAAACTTACAGATCCGTTTTACCACTCCGTGAGCCGTCCGAAAGTAGCCGAGGACGAGGCCACTTATCGGGTGATTTCTTTGTCCAAGATGATCGACGTTCCAATTCTGATTGTGCACATGTCGTCTGAGACGGCCCTGGCGACCGTCAGAGAGGCGCAGAACAATCTGGTGCCCATATTTGCAGAGACTTGTCCGCAGTACCTATTTTTGACCGCCGACTACTTGAAACACCAGTGCTCGCACCATGTCCACAAAAATGACCCCTTTGAGGGGGCCAAGTACATTTGCTCGCCGCCATTGAGACAATCCCAAAGTGAGCTTGACGGAGTCTGGAAAGCCATTCAGAACGGAACGGTGACTGTGTTCAGCAGCGACCATGCCCCGACTATTTACGACCACCCGCTAGGGAAAAAAGCCGGGCTGGTCAACGGGATCCCCCACTACAAAAAGGTGCCGAACGGCCTGCCGGGCATTGAGACAAGGATGCCTCTGCTGTTTTGCAAAGGTGTTGAGACCGGCAAAATTACTGCACAACGGTACGTGGAGCTGTGCTGCTCCAACCCGGCAAAACTGTACGGCCTGGAGCAGAAGGGAACAATTGCTGTGGGCAAGGACGCAGACTTTGTTATCTGGTACCCAAAGGGTAAAATGACACCCTTCATCCTGTCCAACTCGATGCTCCACCACGGCATAGACTACTCGCCTTTTGAAGGAGTGGAATTTACCAACTGGCCACGATACACTATCTTGCGGGGTTCTGTGGTCTGGGATAGAGATAACGATGGCTTGTTGGCATCAAAAATTACAGGCCAGTATGTAAAGCGGGCAGCGTCCAGCATGGCCGGGTCCGTGGGCAAGCTGTCCTATATTTTCGAATAGCAGACGTATTTCTCAACCCGAAAAAACTTTCTTTATCTCCAATCTCTGATTTCCAGATTCGCGAAACTTTTTCATGCACGATAGGGCAACTTATCAAAGTCTCGGTGGACTTTTGGAAACTATAAAAATGAGCCTCAAATCGGTGAACTCTCATCAAAATGAACGTCCTCAAACGGTTTGACCATTTTGTGTCTGTGCGAGACGACACCGAGGATGACGATGACCTGCTCAGAGCCAACCCCGACCTGAAACCCACGCCTCCCCAGGAGAGAACGTGGAAGACGTACAACTACATCGTGGTCTGGTTCCAATCAGCGTTTGGAGTTAGCTCGTGGAACACAGGGTCGTCGCTCATGAAAGCTACGGGGCTTCCCTATAAACACGTTATTGGCGGTGCGATCATAACTGCCTTCTTCTGCTGTTTCCTGGTGGTGATTTCTGCCCGGTCGGGAGCCGACTACCATATCGGGTACCCTGCAGTTGCAAGGGCAGTCTTTGGCGTGCGGCTTGCCAGCTTCTTTGTGTTTGTGCGTATGTTTGTTGCTGCGTTGTGGTTTGGTGTCCAGACCTATTATGGCTCAAGATGTTTCGATATTGCTCTGCGCTGTGTGTTTGGCCATAAATGGACAGACATTCCTAATTATCTCCCCGACAGCGCTCAGATCACGACACGGCTGATGGTTGCGTTTCTGCTGTACTGGATTGTGCAGTTCCCATTGATGTTTCTGCATCCAAGACAGATCCGCTGGTTCTTCACCGTCAAGGGCATCATCATGCCTATTGCGGCCTTTGGTCTGTTCATCTTCTGTATGATCAAGGGAGGTGGTCCTGGAGACTACGATATTGGTGTCAGTGTGGAGAGAGTTACCACCACGGGAAACGAATGGATCCACATGATCAACTCTATCATCGGATCGGTGTCTGCAATGATCATCAACCAGCCAGACATAGCTCGGTACGCAAAGAAAAAACACAGTGCCATCTGGCCCCAATCGATTGGCTACATTCCGTCGACGCTTGCAATTTTGCTGATCGGCATGGCCTCAAATGCTTCCATCCGCAGAGCTTACGGAGAGTCGTACTGGAGCATGTGGGACCTGCTGTCTGCTATTCTTGAGAACGAGTGGGGCCCAGGCACGCGCTGTGCTGTGTTCTTGTGCTCTGTGTCGTTTGCTTTGGGTGCAGCGGGCACAAACATTTTTGGCAACTCTATTCCGTTTGCTGCTGACCTGTGCGGCCTGCTCCCAAAATACTTCACTATTGTCCGTGGCCAGATCTTCCTCGGGCTTCTGGCATGGGGAATGGTCCCATGGAAAATGATTAACTCTGCAGCCACGCTTGTCTCGTTTCTCGGGTCGTACTCCATATTCGTCGCTCCTTTGCTTGGGTGTCTGTTATCTGACTTTTACATTATCCGCAAGGGCAACATCCACGTTCCCTCGTTGTACACCAAAAACCCAAAGGGAATCTACTACTTCTACAAGGGATGCAACCTCTGGGCAGCAGCAGCGTGGCTCATTTCTCCGATCATCGCCATTCCTGGTCTTTACAGATCGTACCATCCGGAAGCGTTGACCCAGACAGCCTCGAACATTTTCTACGGTGGCTGGCTGTACACGTTTATCATTGGATTTGTGGCCTACACTGCTCTCGGGTTGATCTATAAGCCTAAGCTGTACCCTGATGAGTATAGCGAGACACCAAAAACATGGGAGTATCTGGTCGAGACCAACGGCTTTTTCGAGGACGACGAGCCGATCAACGGCGTGGGCTATCCTGGAACAGTCGTGGAAGTGGAGAAAGACTTTGCATCCGGAAGCTACGAGCACAAAAGCGACTTACAGGTGGTCATGAGTGCGAGATCCGTGGGTCAGATGTAGATCTGGTCCCGTGTAAGTTTAGTTCGCGGAAATTGATTTTATTACGAGTGGATTTTATTTTTATCGAGATTTAATTTTTGGCTGGAAATGTAGAATTGAGTAGTGATTACCTGAAACTATGACAAGCTTTTTGTTACACCATTCACTAGCAGAAGTGGATTATCAGCCAATTTCAAAACACCACCATCTCCCCCACGAAAATCACAGGACCAGTCTCTGCTCTTCCCACAGATAAGAGACTAGAATGTCGTTCTCCTTTCTCTATGCTACATCAATAACACTATCAAAATGTCAGTGCCATTCAATGCAATTATCTATATCACTTCAATGCAATCGTGTGAACGAGAGAAAACGCAGCATAGAGAGCCAGCATCCACCAGAACAAGGTGGCCACGCTGTGTGTATTTGTCCATGCCAGGACCCTTGCGCCTATCAATGGCGCCACAAAAGAAGCAAGACCACTTGCACTCATTGCCACTCCATTCAGGAACGACACACTTTCCGGCGGCGTAGCACGATGCAGAAGAATGAAGATATACGGAAAACATATGACTCCTCCAATTTCCTTCAGCAGCACGCTAAAGTATGACAAAACGGTGGAAACAAAAGTATTATCATCTTGCTCGCCAAATGCCGCAAGCGGTAGCACAAAATAGGATATCGTGAATACAGAGACTCCTAGACGGTATGCTCGCAATATGCCAAATTTTTGCTCCAATACAGGAGATAGGAAAAGGACCATTATGATCCCGACCAGTCCTCCCACGGACAGCATGGTTCCCACCTGTTTATATGACATGCCCAGACCGCCCTTCAGTCCAAGAGGGAAATGCAAGCTTTCAGGCTGGAAAGGAGCGGACAGAAAAACGGGGAGGAAATGTGAGTAAATCAGAATGTGCGACATCAAGAAGCACTGGCTGATTATGATATGGACGATCTTTGAGTTGAGTCCAAATTTGCTTTTGGGTTTTGCTGCTGGATCAGTTGCAAGCTCGGTTTCTGGTTCGGTTTCGGGCTCGCTAAGGAGACCGTCGTCGAGCTCTATCTCAAACGGATCCTCCTTTATCGTGTGTTCGCTGAAGCCCAGCTTGCTGCGGATGCTATTTCCCAAAGCGAGGCCAAAATCGGATCTATACCTTATTTGCTGGTGTGTTTCTTGCAAGAAAAGGAACGCTATAATGCAAACCAGCAAAATAAGAGCTGCTATCACAACATTGGCCCTGAAAAACGGACGATCGCCAAAATCGTCCGTGTTGCTGGGTATGGTGATGAGCTGAGAGCTCAAAAAAGGCCCAATCATGAACCCAAGATTGTAGAAAAGCGGCACAATTGAGAACGCCAGCGACTGGTGCCGCTTTTCGTGAGCAATTTCTCCGAGGATTGTCCGAATAGTCGATAGGGTGTTGTTCGTGACGGCAAAAACGACTCTTGAAATAAGCAGACCGATGAAGCTCGTGCTGTTTGCAACTATTAGCAACGAAACAGCCTGTCCGACCAAGCTAATGAGCAGAACGTTTTTCCGGCCCCAATAGTCTGCCTGGAAACCCCAGAAAAGGTTGAAGATGATATGGAAGAGACTTCCGGTTGCAGACAGATACGAGATGTACACTGTGATCTTGCTCTCATCTGAAGTGGCCGTGACGTACCTGACTAGATGGTACATGTAGGGAAACGTGGACGTTTCCCCAATGGAGTCCACCAGCCTCACAATGGACACGATCGCCACCTGAAACAGTGGGAAGTCGGCCAAAATTTCAATCATAGTCAACCAACCATCTTGACCTGGGTCCTTTCCAGTTCAGAGGCGGGATATTGGCTGCCCCAGTGCGAGCCGGTGCTGCATGAGCTGCAAAAAAGAAAAGCCGCCCACGCAGTCAAGAAAAAAATTAATCACCGATGAGTCCGTGCAGTTCACATTTGAAAGGTGCTGGACCCTCCCTCCAAAGGGGCTCCAGCAAAAAGGTGGAACAAATTCATAACTTATACTCCATCCAATCTCCAATTTTCAACTACACCATGAAGTTCCAAAACCTTGTTTCTGCCCTTGCCCTGTCTGGCCTTTCAATGGGTGCCACGTCGACTGACACTGCGTCTGCCGCTGTCACTACGTACTCCCTTGTCATCTCCAGATACGGTGCATTTTTCACTAAGGTGATGACTTCCACCGTTGGCCAATCCATCGATTACGTGGATCAGTACATGAGTGACAGCAACATCCTTGCTTACACTATTGGCGATTCGTCTGGATCGGCCTCTTTCTACAGCAGGGCTTCAGTCCTTTCATCCGAGTCGTCTGCCTCGGCAGCCAGTGCAAGTGCTACGGCCACCACCACCGAGTCCAGCTCCTCTGAAGAGGAAACTTCTACTTCGGCCTCCGAGACTAGCACAGAGTCGTCCTCGTCATCGACCAGCAGCTCTAACGGAGCAGCAGGTTTGCAACTTGGAACTGTCTCTGCCGCTATGGGTCTGTCTCTCTGTCTTATGTTGCTATAATAGATTTAGGTAGCCTGATTTAGATTTGGCCGAATGCCTGAAAATAGTAATTCCGTAAAGCTTAGTGATGCGACGCTGTTTAACGTCATTGCAGAAGATTGCGTTCCCGAGCATGCCGTGGGGGCTTTTCGACGGCTTTGCGCCTTATGCACTTACGAGTTTCACCGCGCACCCGCGCAACGCGGAATTACAATGCCCGTCTCTTGCTACCCTTTTTATTTCTACCTACGATCAAGTGTTCTTCTGTTCAACATGAAAAGAGTGGCCTTCAGCGAGCAGGTGTCTGGCTTTCCAAAGCTCCAGGTTGGTATTTTACTGCTCATACAGGTAGCCCAGTATACCGCTGAGCTCTCAACAGATTGCTACATTTGGCATATTATCAAGAGCTTCCACACGGCAAAAGCCCATGATGAAGTGCTCAAATATATTGGCTACCTCGCTTTTGCCGACGGTGCACCACAGGTTCTTACATACATCTTCTGGGCCTTTCAAGCCGAACGTTTTGGCCGCAAGCCAATCATGCTGACTGGCCTCATTTCCTTGGCCTTTTCTATGCTGCTCTACGGCTTCGGAAGAAAATTCTACCTGATCTGGATAGCGAAATTTGCCGCTAGTCTGCTCAATGCCAACCACACGCTGGTGAGGACAGCTCTGGGAGAAGTGACTCCATCACTAAACCATCAACCTTTGGCATTTTTGACCATTCCAGTCTCCTATTTCGTGGGATCATGGCTTGGACCCCTCATTGGCAATAATCTCATTACTCCATGGACTGGACCACCTCCTGCTGATGCTCCACCTGACAGACGGTTCATCAAGGTGTTCCCGTTTGCGCTCCCTAACATTGTGCTGGCCATCATTCTGCTTTCCACGGCTCTTTTGACATTCCTCTTTTTCGAGGAAACTCATCCGTATCTTGACCACCAAGCAGATCGGGGGCTTGCCTTTGGTAACTTGATCAGAGAGAAGCTCGGCCTGTCGTCATCCAAAGGAAGTTACAGCCGCAAATTCGCTACGGCAAATGATGGCCTGGTGGATGGCGAAGATGACATCGAGCTCCAGGACCCTACAGGTGCTGCAGAAGATAGTTCTGCTCCGGTTTTTGCAACCTACAGCAGACCAAAACTGATCCAGATGATAATTTCGCACACGCTGTTTGGTTATCTGTCTGCTGTGTTTGCAAAGCTCGCTGACTCCTATTTCACAGAATCGTTGAACAAGGATTCCATTGGGTTTCCGTTCATGTTCAAAGGAGGATGTGGAATCAGCTGGGTGGATCTACCTGTTATTGTGATTAGATGTCTGGTGGTTGCCATCATAATAACCGTCATAGCCGTGCCGCTGGCTGCCAAATACGGCGCTATTCTGGGTGGCTACCGCGTCAGTCTTACCAGCTTCATTGTCACCTTCTTTTTCCTGCCACTCTTCGTCTTTGTCGCTCCTGATGTGACTGGAATTCCCCAATCTGCCTACTACGGCTTCCTTTATGTTCTTCTCCTGGCACAAAACACGTTCTTCCTGATTGGACTTGCCTTCGCTGCGACGTTGCTGAACATGCACGTTTCTGCTGAGGACCGCAACATTCAGACGGCAATTGCAATGGCAGCATATGCTGGCATGGGCTACTTTGGAACGATGCTGACTTCCTGGATGAGGTCTCTGTTCAACAACCTTGGACTGCAGACCATTTTCTGGTGGCTCCTTGCCCTGATTTCGTTGTTTACACTCCTACATTCACGCGTGATTGCCAATTAGACAGTATATTGACCTATATAGGTAATCAGAACACAAGGCTCATCAGAAGCAAAGCAGCCCCTCCAAACGACACACCGGCCAGTGTTGCCGCTCCTGCGGACGACGAAGAGCTGGAGCTAGAGCTTGCGGACGAGGTAGAGGTCGAAGAGCTGGTCGACGTGGTAGAAGAGCTCGATGACGTAGAGCTGCCAAGAATGTGACTCATGGTGGTGGACAACTCGTCAGTTGTTGCTGCCTCGTCTGGTTGGTAGGACATGTAGTAAGAGCCATTTTCGAATCTTGGCACCAATGTAGCAGTGTAGTTGGTGCCAAGATCTGAAAGTCCACCATCAATTCCTTGGAAGTACAAGTAGTACGTCGAGTTGTAATCGACTTCTTTGAAGGAATAAAGCATCGTTCCGCTGTAGTAGACAAAGTGAGTCTGGATCACAATTGGCTCAGTGGTACCGGTCGTGTTGACCGTCACCAAACCAGTGTCGTCGTTAATAGTCCAATAGAGCGGATTGTCTAAGTAGCCCTGAGAAGTTTGGGTGAGCTCGTAGTATCCTTCGTCGGTGATAAATCCGGTGAAGTTGTAGCACGTCGAGCAGTCAGGGAAGACTCCAACGATGTTGTCCTCGTTATATTGAAGAACAACGGTGGATCCTGGTGGAAAATCAGATGAGTGAAGTCCACCATACATGATAAACTCAGAAGAAGCTGCCAAAGCAGCTCCCAGCTGAGTGAGCAAGAGTCCTGACGTCTGGAGAAGAGTCTTAGCTAGCATTTTGAAAGAAGAGAAGCTGCCTGGGATTGTGAAAAATTTCTTTGCTTATGATGATCCTGTGCAACCCGTAGTCGGGCCACACTGTTACCGAGACTTGAGCTGGTTGCCAGTTGCAGCCAATAGGAAAGGACTTATCGCAAATATCACCTGCATGATCACAATAGCTGCGACTTTCAAATCAGGACTGCGCTTTTCAGCTCAGCTACATTATTAGGGTCCTTGTTGTCAGTTGAATTAATTTCCAAAAAAAGCCAACAAATTGGCATGTCCACAGAGAAAACACAAATGCCGATATTATTGTTTCTTGGCACGCAGGGTCCGGGATCAGTTTGATGAGCGTCACTCCAGCTTCATTGGCCAGGATTCAAAATCCCTCACAAGCTGCAACTACCTACCTTGCGTATGTGGGCTTTGTGATTAGTAAGTCTTACGTTTTGTGGTCATATTTCCCATTTCTACCGAGAAGGGCTATTCCGGATTTAAGATGTGAAAAATATCTTTTCCATCAGTCCTTCCGCCCACATTTGAGGAGAATTTTCCAAGCTCGATTCAGAAAAATTCAGGTAGCCTCAAATTTTACTCGCAAATCATGAGACTAATCACTGCCTTACCTCTTCTTGCGATATGCTTGAGAACTACTGAAGGTGCCTTTCTCAAGAGAGAACCCGCCGTTGTGCCTCTAGCTAAAAGAGATGCAACCACTGCCCTGACGGATTCGGTGTGGACCACTACAACAGGCACCACCACTACGACGTTCACTCCCTATGCTATTGATGGAGTGACGGTGGATGCTTCCCCTGTGACCTCGTCGGCAACTGCTTGGGTGTCTCTTGACAGCTCTGGTATTCCCTATGCTGTCACCCCAACTGTGTCTGATAGCTCGACTACTTCTGCTTCGCCAACCCCAACGAACACTGCGTACCCAACTCCGCTAGCTGCTCCCCCGGTTTTGCGCTGTATGAACGAGCGTGTTCCATCAAGTAGCGATCCGTTGTGTATCGCAAACGCTACCAGCTTTGTCGCTGGCGAGACGTACTGGATTACCTGGAATCCACTATATTGGAACCCAGATAACGACGATGATGGAATTTCAAAGGTTCAGATTCGTCTGCGGGCATACTCAGAAGACACAAACTCCTCTGCTTTCTACACCACCGACTACTCTCCCAACTCTGACGGTTATATAGCACTCACTATAGACTCGGACTGGATAGACGAGGGAAATGACGGCTGGGTGCAAATTGTGCTGACTCCTTTCCTTGACGATGATGATCTTTCAAGCAAATACAGCAGTTACGAAGGACCTGCTGTGAAGCTTGTTTCATCACAGGGAAGTATTGAGAGAGTGCCATCGGACAACGGTTCTAGCAGCAGCAGTAGCAGCACTTCCACCACCTCGAGCTCTACCTCTACTGCTACCTCTACATCATCATCTTCCAGTCATAAAAGCAAGGCCTCTGTGATTGCTCCAGCAGTCGTGGTTCCTGTCGTTGTTGTTGGACTGGTTGGAGGACTGGTTGCGTACATTTTCATGGCGAGAAACAGAAAGAAGGTCAAGGAGCAGAACAAGACGGCCAACGAGAACCTGCCGATGGAGTCTCTTCCTCGTGGAAAGGAAGATGATCACAATTACGACGGAAGATCGCTCAGAACCGAGGCTACCGGAACTAATCCTTTCGATTAGAATCAACTAATTTTAAATATGGTAAAAGCAAGTTATAATTTAAGATGTAGTCGATGATTGGTTATATTAGCCATACTAAAGTCAATTAGTCTTCGAGATATCTAAAAAATTAGCTAGCTTTGCAAGTGTCTATTTGAAAGCTATAGAGACCCCGTCACAACTTACATAAGAAGAACGGCCATTCCGGAGAGCAAAGCACCCAGACCGACTCTAGCAACAGTCTCAGCAGCAGCACCCTCGTAAGTAGCAACCGAGGCAGCAGATGAGGCGGCAGCAGATGAAGAGGAGCCGCTAGAGTAGTAAGAAGACTGAGCGGAAGCAGTTCTCTCGTACAGAGCAGAGTAGAAGGAAGCAGAAGCGCTGGCGTCACCAACGGTGTAAGCCAAAACGTTGGTGTTTCCAGCGTTAGCAGCCTTCTCAGGGTTCTCGACGCCGACAGTGTTGGTGACGACCTTGGTGAAGAGGTGGTTGTTCTTGTACAGAACAACACTCTCAGTGGTCAGCTCAGCAGCGCTGGAAGAGGTGGCAGAAGCCTCGGTGGACTCGGCAGTGGAGGTAACTTCGGAAGAGGAAGCCTCAGTAGTCGAAGTGGTCTCTGCGGTGGAGGTGGCAGTAGACGAAGACTCAGTGGAAGTAGCACCGTTAACGTATGCCCAGAACGAAGAAGAAGCCTCAGCATCTCCAACGGTGTAGACGTGGATGGAAGTGTCCGTGGCGTATTGAGCGGCATATCCGAGGTCAGTGTTACCAACGGTAGAGGTCAAGACTTTGGTGAAGACAGCACCGTTTCTGTTGATAACCAGAGAGTAGGTGGTAAGTTCTTCAGCAGCAGCGAGGGAAGCAAGAGCAGCCAGAGCAGAGGTAAGCGAAAGGAATCTCATTTTGAATTCTAACTAAGAGTTGATGAAGGACTATATGGAATTTCTGTTCAATTATATATGGCTCGCAACATGATCTGCGAAAAGTCCGTGAATATGAGCATTCTCGGCCCTGTTCTTGGCTTCCCAAATCGGTCTTTGAAATTGCTGTTTGTAGAAGTATGGCTTTCCAAGGTGCATAGCCCCCACCTATTGGCTCTTTTGATACATAGAGCTTAGAGGCAGTGCGGGATTTAACAGCCCGCACCAATGGAACTTATTGGCCTTCTTGCTTTTGTATGCAGGGTTTCGCGTCGAAATATATTTTTCCAGATGCACCTCTCTCTTAACGGGATTTGCTCCTTTTCTTGGAATCACGTCAAACTTGTGTATGAGTAAAATTTAGGAAATGTAGCGAATCAGATTTTTTTCACACAATAAGTTCAATTTCGTGGCGACTGAAATTTGCTGGAAAAAGTCGACCGCAATGCCCGTGTTCGTACACTGTGGCAGCTGAACGAGGCCTGTGTGAGCGCCAAAGTGTCCCTGTAGCGATTGAGACTGACTGGCTTTC